TTGCTTGGATGAGTCCGCATCTTGTTCCAGTATGCTTCCAGCGAACGAAATGAATCCAGTAATCCCCCCCCCCCCAATCTAACCTACTTAGTAAAAAAATAAGCTGACGAAATGTCGCAGAAGCATGCGTCCACGAAACATAAGTGTCGACGAAAATTGTATTCATGGGAAGTTGTCCATGAAACGTGTTTCGATGAAACGATAGGGACCGGCGCATACTATCTGACTTTCCCGTTACTGTTACCGTAGTTCCCAATGTAGAAATGGCATTTTTTATTTAAATTTCTGTCGGTGCATTTTAAACTGCTGTGACTTTACACATTTTTTTCTTCTGTAGGCATGGGCCTTAGCTGAGAAAATTTGCCATGGGGATTACATTTCTCGTTCGATTTGCTGGCCAAAAATATTAAAACTGACTTATGCTTACGCATATATGGCGATTACAATAGACATGAACTTGTTAATCGGAGCAGTTTTGCCACGCCGACCATACTAATATACAGGGCATTGGATTTTGATTCAAACGGATTTATTACAACAGTAGCTGTTAAAGGTTAGCTAATGTGGTCTGTGCAAGTGAGTTACACGGCCAGGTGGACATAATATAGTGGACCGATCCTCACGACTAGTCGGATGCTAAAAATTGTTAATCAACTTTTTTATTTGCGAAAAATTTCAATTATGGTTCCAATTAAACGCTTGCAGAGCACTATCTAAAACCAATAAATCGGTCAATTTTACAAAGCTTCGAGGAACACGGAGTGTGCGCTAAAGTTTCCACATGTGCGACAGGTGCAACTCTGGCAGTCCGAAAGCGCGGATGTTGACTCTTTTGTCCGCGTCTTTGCATCGTGCGCATGAGTAGAAACTCTCGTGCATCTCCACGCTTGCCCTATGCTTCAAACATTTCTAAAACTGGCTGGTTTGGTGTTTTTAGGTGACGCCCGTCAAGTTCCTAATTGAAACCGTATGTTTATTTGCACAAATGAAAAAGTTAATCAACAAATTTTGGTTAATTATACAACTTATCGCGAGGATTAGCTTCCTATATTATGTCGCCCTGCCAGATCATATTAATCTGCCTTGCACTGCTTTAAAAAAAAAAAAAAAAAATCTGTTGGAATTAAAGTCAAACACCCTGTATAAATGCAACTTATACAAAGGTAAGGACTTTTTTTACTGACTTTTAATTTGCACCGAACCTGAGTGCACTGAACGTAGTAACTTAATGAGACTTTTCTTTTCTCGAATTTCGCTTTATTTTAAAAGTTATAGGCAAATTAAAATTACAAAAACAATCAAGAAATAACATCCATCATGACGTCTTTGGTTGCTTGAGTGGCCGTGAACTAGAGTAACGGGGTAGTGAGCTCAGCGAGCGCTCACGGCTGCCGCACTCCGTGTCGACGGCTCGAGAGGGCGCCACTCAAGCATGTTCTGGAAAGGCCGTATGAAGCGGGCAGCCAGGATGGCTCGCATTGCATTTGCTGCGCGATTAAACACTAATTCGGCATGACACTTCATTCGCCACAAATGACAGCAAACGCGGGGTAAAGATCAGTTCAGAACGGGAGCTACTTCGCGCTGCCATACAACTAAATGGCCAAACCACAAGCCAAACCTAACCGTCGAAGGCCTTCGGAACGCTTGGAACCAGTCGAAGCGCCGCCGCGTACATCCGGGATCTTTCTATGCTTGGCGCTCGGCGGTGCCTGATCCCACTACCTCTTTCTAGTATGTGCCGCCTTTTCAACCGCTTGGTGGTGGGTGTGTCGACGGGTCATTTCTTGCTTCCATATTTTAGGAACTGCAGTTGTTTCTTTTCTGACCTAATATACTGAACAAAAACTACTTTTATAAATAATTGAAATGGTTCGTGCCACTTATATTTTGTGTTTCGACTAAAAAGAAGCTTTTAGCGGCTCTGACCAGTAGTAAGCCCAGGACCGAAGACTTTACATTTTGCGCGCTTTCGGCACCGCGGGTTGCACCCGTAGGTAGAGGAGGTTTCCGCGTCATCCGGTTAAAATATGACACACTGATATTTACTTACTCTCTCCATGCCCGCTGGGTTGCCCAAACCCCAAGAGACGTGGAAATTGCAAAAAAGGTAGACGCTTAAATATGATTGCATGGCCCCTTTAAGCAGGGGGACACATGAGCACAGAAAACAAATGCTGAGCAGCAGTATGCATAGCAACCGGTGCCGACGGTGGTGGTCTGGCAGACTCTCCGCGTAACGGTTCTCGCCTATCTGTCCAGCCTCACACACCACCACCTACGCCCCTCTAAGTGCAAATAAAATGATTATTATTATTATTACGTCACTTCCTTGCGGTGCCGCGGAGTTCGGATCTGGCCGATACAGATAATGCCTCGCGGTGCGCCTGTGGTGCACCTAACGGCGAGCGGCGAAGGTCACGCGCTCGCAGTTTCCCCTCTTATGTGTTCCCTGCTTTATGTTCAAATGTTTTGGAAAAATGGCTGTTTATAGGTAGGATGTGCACTTTCCGCTTCTAACCGAGAAACTCCGATGAACATGCACCGGGGACGAAAATACTAGATTGGTTAAAACCGAAAAACACCTGTGGTTGAATATTTTTGCCCTGACGAAACCCGAAAAACACCAGTTGTTAAATGTTTCCGCCCTAGCGACAGCTATTTTCTTCGAAAGTCCTCCCTGTAGAGGTTCGTCGAACATGTTATCTCGTGGATCCTGCGTCATTTCGGCGTCTGCTCAGAGGTGTTAGTGGTTCTTGGAAGGCAACACCAGTGTCGTCCAGGGCCACTGACCTTGGAGAACGTATCTCTTTAAAGTAACAAACCTTAATTACTCTCACAGTAGCAGCATTTATTCACGTTGTCTCATTATATTTTTTACTTTTTATGAGATTTGTTTTTTCAGAAACACGGCAGCAACAAATGTGGCACAAAAATAAATTAAATAAATTGCTTTTTGTTTTGCTGATAATTACTGTTTTTATCCTCGTCACGACTCGTCCAGCCAAAATGCAATGGTGTTTTAAAAATGAATAAACACAGAAAGGCATCCGGCGATCTTTCTCATTAATAAGCACCGGAAAATACACATTCTATTTATAGGTGGGTGATTTGTAGGCTGTAAAATAGGGTAATATAAATTAAAAAAAACAAGACAGCGCTAAAAAGGACAAAGGAGGAATGATGTGCATAAACAAGGCATCTTGTGTGCCCACTTTTACCTTGTGTCCATTTTTCTAAAAGGGTTTGCCAACTAGTCTGTCGTAATACCTTGCACTACCATTATAAATATTTGCTATACCCTCCAGTCTCATTTCCTGCCTTCTAACATTTGTCACGTGACCAACTAGGAGCTTGTAGCAGAAGACTGATGACATCATCATCTGTGATGATGGCTTTCGTTTGTGCAGTGCAGGCATTGAAAGAGGAGAAATAGAAAAGAAAAGAAATGAGTCTGTGGTGGAGTCTGGGCTTCTTTTTTAGTGCGCGTTCACCTTTGATTGGAGACACACGTTCACCGTTTGTGACTGGTGATTTGTCTCTTCCCAGCTTCGGGATGACGTTGGCTATGTGTTTGCCGCGTAAGTATGCAAGGCAGTCAGCTACTGCATCCCCCGCTTCTTTGTGCGTAATTTGGCGTATAGAAAAGCAGCTTCCGTGCGCGGCTTTACCTGCTGCTAGCCTTGATCGCGCAGACTTGGGGGGGATTGTTATTGACCTTTCTGCTCGCAGCTGTCTCACCAACTGTGATCGGGCTCTTCTTTTTTTTTAAAAAATCGAAACTGTGCTGTAGATACTCTTTGTGCAAATCTGGGAGTATTGTCGACACCTGGTGAACATTTCATCGCCTGCCGTGCGCTCGCTACGTTTCTTTGCTGGGTAGCGGCTTGTTGTGATGCGACAGTGAGAGTTGAGCAGTATCCTTGTTTGCTCCGAAAGAGATCCTCCTCCACGTACGGTGCGGCTGTAAAATGTTTCTGCCAAAAGTTCAGGTACGAATCGGCGTGCGCGCATCGGTCTGACGAATTGTGTTTTCCAGCTCAACTCAAGGTTTTGTTGCAGGCTTTGGGGGGGGGGCTGGCACGAACAGCGAAGTGTACCCATGCAATCTGGTTTTGTCCGTGATGCATGTGTAGGGCGACCTGACCTGACATCTAGTTTTGGTCGGGACAAAGATTTGGGGGGGGGGGGGGGAGGGGGGGGGGCAGGCCCCGTGGGACACCCCCGCCCCCCCCCTGGCTACATGCCTGCTATGAAAACATTACTTCCATGGAGTACAATTTTGAACCCGTTCTGTGGCTACATCTGCAAGCGCATTTTGTTCGCGGAGATGCGTTTATGGGAGACGTTTTCTATACACCACTGAATTTAGGATGCGTCGGTTGGCAATGTTTCTTCCCCGCTGGCCAAACATTAGGAAGGAGGACGCTTGTGTTCTCAACGAAGAACTGAAGAATATGCGTTTTTACATCAAGCTGAATATTGACCACTTTTCTTTCTGCTTCGCTTCATCTCCCTTCATATCCTGCTTGCACATACATCACAGTGCTATGGTTTGTTACAATATGAGATCAGTAGTCAATGCTCCTCCTCCAGAATGAGCTTTCTACTTCTGACAACATTTCGGTGCATGTGAAGACAAGCACGCCGAAGGGCAACAAGTACATGCTGGATGCACGCATAGCTGCCTATCTTACTTTACAACAGACTGTAGCTCAGTGCTATGGACACAGCGCCAACTTTACGTTACCTCCGCACCGCGCTGCACGGTGAAACCGGCGCTTAATGGGAACCTTTCATAGGTTGTTTTGCAAAGCAAAGCAAAGCAAGGAGCTTTGCTTTGCTAGCAGGAGCTCGTGCCGTCGGGTAGAGCACGTGCACGCAGGGCCCACAATGCGCAGCTGACGATCCACTAAAGATGCGTAGCGTCTCGTCTTCTGCTCCGAGGAATCGAGTCGTCCCACGCACGTGTGTGACCCCGTGGCTGTTCTTGCTTGCAGATGTTTGGGCACAGCCGTAAGCAGAGCGACAGCACCGAGTTTAAGGAGATGTCGAAGGTGGATGCTCAGACCCACCTGGCCCAAGAGCTGGAGAAGCTCTGTCTCACAGCCAGCGCCGCAGAACGAGAGGTGACCCAGCTGCCTACTTCTTCTCCCTCTTGATTTGTTTTTCAGCTGAGACCGCAACTCCTGTGGCCTTACCACTTCTCTCTAGTTCCGAAATTGATTGATCGGAGATGCGTTTTATTCCACGTTTTGCACCATCAATCAATCACTTTCAGTTCCGTCTCTAGACTAAAGGGCTCACTCATTTGCGTTTGTGTTTGATCGAAAGCGTTGTAGGTACTTGTGGCTGCTAACAGCGAGAGATCATACCAACGCCATCTATTGGATAGCTCTGAAACGTTTCGAATCTGCGTATAAAGTTTTGCAGCATTTCCGAGTTCAAATCTGCATACTACTAGCGAGTTCAAAATCTACACACATCCACCAAAAAATTGGGATTTATAACATTTTTGTTTTTTGTTATATTTTTTTTTAATTCAGAGTTTAGTTTTACTCAGTTTGCAGTTATTCAAAATAAAAAATAAGAAAAATTTGGACTTAAACATACTCTAAATTCATCAGAACTCCCCTGTATTGAATAATATTTTACCAGCTACATTTGGCATTGGTGCTTTGCCATTTTAAATACTAGCTATCTCACAAAAAATATTGCAGAGAAGTGTTGCCTCAATAACAGACAATTCTTTGAAATAACTAAACTCCTTGATGTAGTCACTGAGAAGCAGGAAGCTTCAGCCTCCCTTTATTGAAATATAGGGGTTTATGGCAATCAGTATCACTGTTATGAAAACCCTGCCCCTCTTTTGTCTAAGAAGGACACAAATAATATGGTCCAAACTAGAAAACATGATTGCGCTTTGAAGACGGGGACATAGGAAGAACAGACACCACAGAGTGCTCTTTGGTGTCTGTTCTTCCTATGTCCCTGTCTTCAAAGTGCAATCGTGTTTTCTAACATACCATACCAACTCGCCCAACAATCAGCACTTGCCAAACTAGAAACCTAAAAAATGGCGTTTGTCGTGACCCAGAGGTACCGTGACCCATTGTTCCGAACGAACCTTCACGAGCTAAAAGGTAAATTGCCTTTTGTCGGTAGCCAGAGATTTCAAGGGAAACTAAATTGGCCTCTCCTCGGTGCCACTGACCCTGTGCCCTCACGAAATTTATTTGTGAGATGCCGTCTTTTTTTATATTTATTTTGCCATCGTGATCTTGAAATTCTGAGTTTTTCGGATACATCCAAATAAATGGAAATTTTACTGGAGAGTGTTTTCCGAATTTTTTCGGGCTGAAAATAAGGCGTAAAAGAGAAAAAAAAAAAAAAAATATATATATATTGGTACTGTTTCAGGGCTATTTGGTAGATTGTGCCAGTGTGCTTTTTCACCGTAAATGGTTGCAAGGGAGCCCAGCACAGTCTATCACACTTAAACACAAATGTGTGAAACAGCCTAACAGGTAGTCTTTGAGCGACGAAGTGCTGCCGTTCTTGCTTTTTGCGGGCGTTAGCTGATTGCTGTAGATACTGCGGTCATGTCCCAAGAGCATGGCCCTCTACAGGGCTCAAGTAAGGTGAAAGAGGAGATGTGGGAATAGGTGTGCAACCCCCCCCCCCCCACGCCCCCCTCCCCCCCCAAAAAGAAAAGCTTTGAAAAAAAATTTTCTGACTTGAATCCTCATACCAGCTGTTTTAGGCCACACTGCGAGCATGGTATTATTCCAAATATGAAGGAGTAAATTCGTTTATTCGCTCAACTCGTTTTTAGGTTGTCAAAGGAGCAGTTCTTAGGGCCCGATTTGCAACATGGTCGCCTGTATCATGCACAAATCATCGGAACCCAAGAAATGGGACTTCTAAAAACAAGCTCTGTTTCTGTTTTCTTTTTTTTTTCTTAAGAACAGGAAATTAGACAGAATGCAGGAATAGCACATCAAGGTCATATTGGGTCCCTTACTGCTGATTCATTCAATCATTCGTTTTCAAATACAGCAGCTCTGCTGAGACAACTGCAGAAGTGGAGGAAAAGAACAACACACAAAACATGATCGATGATGAATATGAATCATGATCACTAGTTATAAATGTGGGAGACAAAAAACCAGTGTGGCTGTTGACGAGATAACCTGGAAATCCTTGAATTTCCGGAGGATCCAGTTCGCCTAGAAAACGCTGGGCATAAAAAAATTTTGTGGGAAACATTGTGAGAGTCGGGAAAATCTGCAAATGTTTTGAGTGGCTGCTAGCCATACCAGCCACTAGCTAAAAAATGAAATCAAGGCTACGGTCGGAGGGGGGGGGGGTCGTCACCCTCAACAAGTGTGATGACCCCCCCCTTTCCGACCGTTGGTTGAAAACAAAGTCTGCTTCGTTTTCAACCAACTCGTGCAACTTTAAACTAGCTCTTTTTGTTTTCAGTTTTTTTTTTTGCATCACTTTTTGTATAGTATATAGTAATTGGGACAGAAAGTAAACCTGTTGGGCTTGTAATCGCTTTGTGCCACAACTGTGTGTGTGTGGGGGGGGGGAGGATATGGGATTGCATTGTTGCCTCACCCCTACCAATGTTTATCTCCTTCTCGGTATATGTTTCTCTTCTCCACTACCCTGCGATTCGCTCCTTTTTTTAAAATTTCAACGCCATAGTCTTTATAGGGCCACTAAACAACGAGATTATGTGCATCTGTGCTTCCCAGTTCAACAGCTGAACTTAGCAAGAAAACCTGAATTGGTGTATAGTTTCGCACCAATTCAGTTTCCCCCCTAAATGGGGCGGGAAGTGTTTCCCCACTAAATATACTGGGAAAGCCTGAATTGGTGTGTAACCATAGTCGGTGACAGGTCAAGAGTTCGGGGGAAGCTCCTCCCACCTCTTCCCACTTTAGAAGAGCAAACACTAGAGAGGAGGTCACCTCTCCTCTCCAGTGTTTGCTCTGCTAAAGTGGAGAGAGGTGGGAGCAGCATTTTCACAACCTGTGACCAACTACACATAGCGATTTAGTTTCCCCGCCAAATATAGAGAGAAAACCTGGATGGGTGTGTAGTTACAGACCAGTTCTTACGCCGTCCCAAAGTCGACACGAGACGACGGGAGCCGCCCTTCAATCTGAGTCGAACGGAGGAGGTTCTTCTATGCACTGAGGAGTCTTTACAAATGTCTCGTGTTCCCTGTGCGTACCTCGCAGCTCGTGGAGACAGAGTTTCGAGGCTTCCAGAAGCTCTTCCAGAAATTCCTCAAGGACACGGGACCCTCCGTGAACTGGGAGCACATCCAGCCCCTGCCTGCTGACGCGGTGAGTGGCCGCCCGCCAGTCGCTGGCTTCGATTCTGCCTTGGGCTCTTTCGGAGAGCTCTGAGCGTCGGTCTATCTCCGGCGGCATTTAAACTCGTATCTTTGTACACCGTAGTGCTCATATTCTCGTGAAAAAAGCGGGCTTTGTGCGTAGTTGATGCGTTGTGCAAAAGAGTTATAAAAGCTTGTTGTTGCAGAAAGAGATGATGCTACAACAATGTCTCGTTAATGTGGACACCTTCGTCCCCCCCCCCCCCCCCCCCCCCCCACCCCAGAAGAAACCATCCGTAATGCGAGTTGTTCATATTAACGAGACAAAAGTGTATGTATTTACCCGTTCGTCCTTGAAAATGTTGTTCATATAGAGAGGGGCATCCATATTAACGAGACACAACTGCATTTGTCGTTGAAACATGTATGTTTGGATGAAAGAACATGTGACTTACCTTGTATGTGCATACAAGTATCTCTGTTCAACGTGTAAATGGTGATTTAGTAATGCTATGCAAGGAGCCTAGCTTTTCTTACTACAGTTCTTGAAGTAATAAAGAGTTTGACGTCACCGGCGATGTTGTCGGCTCTCCCAGGTGATTGACTACGGCCTGCTGCAGCCGCCGCCGGACGACGACACCATCCGCAACATGCTGAATAAGCTGGTGGTGGTGAAGCTCAATGGCGGTCTGGGCACCAGCATGGGGTGCAAGGGCCCCAAGTCCGTCATCCCGGTCCGAAACGACCTCACCTTTCTCGACATGACGGTGCAGCAGATGGAGGTGAGAATGACCTCCCTTCAGTCGTTTACCACAGGACCTGGTATGTACGCACCTTCAACTGGCATGTTCGGTGGCCTGCATCGCCCGTGCATTGATAGAGGTGCACAGCACTTATCATCACTCGCGAATGACAAGCTCCACGGTGTGCTTAAAAAGCGCAGTGGAAGCTTAGACTCATCGCATCCGGTGCCCAATCACGTCACGATTGGATGATTTCTCATTTCGCTTTTGAGTTCACAAGGAAAGCCGAGGAGGAAAAAGTTGAATCCTTTAATGGTCCCTTGAAACGCCAAGATGGCAGAAACTTTGTTACTTGAAAGCGTAGTCTGTTCAGTGCGTCTGGGCCGGAGGTGGGCTCGGCGCCATCTAAAGACTGGCCGCACATTGTCTCCAGCACCTCAATCGGACGTACAACTCTGCCATGCCCCTGGTGCTGATGAATTCGTTCAACACGGACGAAGACACGTCCAAGGTGCTGCGCAAGTACAAGGGATTCCGTGTCAAGATCTACACTTTCCTCCAGAGCAGGTAAGGGGGCCGGGAAGTGCTCCTCTATGGGTACTCGAGTTTTGCGAAAAATAAGGAAAATGTGTGTGTGTGTGGAGGAAATGTTGTGGCATCTAGGGAACAGGGAAATAAAGGAAAGGTCATATAGCCCTTTCAGGCAACTAGTTGAGAAAGCTTGGAAGCGGTCTGCTTTAGGTACTTGACAGGATTTTGGAAAAATGGGGAAACAAAATGTGCATCTGTGAAGGAAATGTTGAGTTGTCTAGGGAACAGGGAAACTAGGGAGTATAGAGTTCATTTAGGGAACCAAGTGAGAGGGTTGGGAATTGTGCTCCTATCTAAGTACTTACAAAGATTTATGGGTGTGTGTTTGTGTGCGTGGAGGGAATGTAGAGGTGTCTAAAGAACAGGGAAACAGGGAGAGTTTGTAGAGTTCATTTAGGGAACTAGGTAAAGGTAGGGAAGTGCTTTCCCCTATAGTTACTCAAGGAGATTTGGAGAAATGCCCTTTGAAGGCATCTAGAGACAGCAAAACTAGGGAGAGTCAGTACTCTTTCTTGGGAACCTGATCACAGGGTTGGGAAGTGCTCCTCCCTAGATACTCCAGGAGATTTGGCGAAAAGGGGGCGAAAGCACGCGTTTGCGGAGGGAATGTTGAGCGGAAGTTGGTGAATGGAGCGACACATGCTTCTCCAGTGCCTTTGGAGGTCTCTAGAGAACGGAAAAACTAGAGAGAGCCCGTTGAGTTTTCTAGAAATCAGATTAGAGGGCTGGGGAGCGCTCGTGCCTAAGTGCACAAAGACATTTGTGCTCTCTCACGTCGCAGGTACCCGAGAATCAACAGGGAGACGCTGATGCCCGTTGCCTCCACCCTCATCAACCCAGACCCAGAAGCGTGAGTAGGACCATTTTCCTTGGGCCGGCCAGTCCTTGTAAACGGTGAAGCTGCCCTTGTTGGTGTGGAAGCGTTTGGTTCATTAACGGCGGTAAACATGTTTTCTCAGGTTCTACCCTCCCGGCCACGGGGACTTCTACACGTCTTTCTGCCAGTCGGGGCTCCTAGAACACTTCCTGTCGGAGGGGCGGGAGTTCTGTTTCATCTCCAACATTGACAACCTCGGGGCCACCGTAGACCTCAGTATCCTTGCCGCCGGAACTCGCAACGTGCATTCCGCCTCCTCGGCTCGCGGAGGACGCCGGTTTGGAAGCCGTTTGATGCCAACTGTTGCACGATTCGGGTACCGGTACAGTGCGTGGAATGCGTCTCTGACCAGCGTTTTCAGCGTCCTATCCTGTATGCGAATAGTGGACTTTTTAGTTCGAAGCAAATAGTGGTTTTGCCCAAAGATTTTAGAATCGAATATTGAAGAGTTTCCCCAGGTCTTTCACTACCGTGCGCCATGCTTAAACGGAAATTCAGGTGAACTTGTGATGGTTGTTCCCAAACTTCCACTTGTCCACTTCTAAGCTTGGTTAATTTTAGTATAGCCATATTTTTTTAACTTTGACGTGTAAACAACAAAATTGTTGCAGCGCTGTTCCAATTGAGAGGTCTATAAATCTGCTTGCTTATGTGCACTTATTCTTTCTTCAATTTAAAATTTGACAAAAGAAACAAACAAACAAAGCAAGCACGAATGAAGGAGTACGGGTCGTCAAGACATTGCTGCCTAACTTACTATACCCTAATCGCGGCGGGATAGCCCCGCGCTTCTCACCCAGTACCACCCGCGCACTATAGGGAAGCAACACCCGCGAGCTCTGCGGGTACCGCTTTCCCGCAGCGCACGGGTGCTCGGTACGAAGCGCACTCAACGAGGCCAATTCGCTGCGATCAACGCTTCGAAAACTATGAATATCGCGGTTCATCTCGAAGCGAATATCGAATAGCGTAATGTTCGAAAATACTACTACTCAAAATTTGTCCCTGCCCTGTCTAAAAATTGAAAAGATGTCCAAACCACGAACGTTTGCCGGAGCACAAACGTGAGAGGGTGTAGACAGAAGAAACGGGCGCCCCGACCGTGTCGACAACGTCGTTTCCTCAACTCCGGCCGAATGCGTTCAGACATTCTCAACCTGCTTCTCTCCACGAACACCCCGGCGGCCCCCGACTTCGTGATGGAGGTGACCGACAAGACGAGGGCAGACGTCAAGGTGATTCGCTTGGCCGCTCGCACGTTGGAATGGCTGTCGAGAGCCAACTTGCCGTTCTCACTCCCGGCCGCCCATCTCTGGCCATAGGGGATTAAGCCAACTTTGTGAAGCCTCCGTGGAGTCTTTGGGGGCTGGAAAAGAATGTGGAAGGGTGTCGTTTTTAAAGCCTTTTTAAAGACGACAAAGGGCAGCAGAACAGTGTTGCCAAGTGTCGCCCTGGTGCCATTTGTGAATTTTTTTTTTGTTCACTTTATGTGCATAGAAATCTATGTCCTCGCTCTCTCAGTAACGAGCACAGAGTGAAAGACCTCCAGCCCTTCTGAAGAATATTTTGTCAATCAACTTTCTAGGATATATGTAGGGCCCTTCGTTTTGGGGTTTTACGTCTTTAAAAAATCTGTGTGGTAGAAATTGGGTTGCATTTCACGAGTACGTAATAGGGGAGAAATCGGGTTTTTCTAGCAACTATTATAAAAATCCTGTTTCTCAGGTTATATGTGAAAATCAATAACTAAAACAACAATAAAAAGTATTGATCAGTTTTAGGACAAAACGTTTTACACAAACAAGTCATTGATGTGCTGATAGTTGAATTACAACATAGTATATGAGCTCACTTGGTGATCTAAATTGTCATCTGATTTTTTTATTAACAAAATCATCTGCATGCACAGCATTTCTGCCTCGATAGTATACCTGTCCAGTCTTCAGACATATCCTAACCGAAAGAATGTTTTCTCAACATCAAAGCTTTCCTTTGCAACGCACAGCGACGTCAGTGCTGCATTCGCTAGTCTGGGGTGGCACTCCATTGTCGAAATTGTTTTCTCAAAAAATTAATTTTATCTAGAAAGCATTATTTAAATATATTTTGGATTGCTTCTTAAAAATCTGAAAATGGTAAGTCTTTTGTTCCGAATTCGGAAAAAAAAATCTGGTTTGACCCAAATTTCAAGAAACATTTTCAGTGTGTAAGTATAGGGATATATCGGGATTTACCTGAAAATGAAAGGACCCAGGTATATGTCCTCACTGGTGTCCTGTGTATCGCTGCTCCTTGTATTCTTGGCTCTATTTTACTACTATAATCACAGAGGATCTAAACGGCAGGGGGGAGGAGGGGGGGTCTTTCAGTAGTTATGCCTCCAGCGTGAGCTTTCTGCTTTCGATAATCCTTAGGCTAGGCGCTTGTGAATAGTGAATTTAGAGTTCGAGGTGAATTTGAAGCGAAGTGATTTTGGCCAAATTCTTATGAATCAAATATTGAATGTTTCTCTAAGCCTTGCACTGCTGCAGAACGCTTAAACGAAGACCCCGTTGAACTTCTGAAGTTTGTTGCCAAGCTCCCACTCATCCATTTCCAAGCTAATTTTAATTTTAATACAACTATATTTCTTGACTGTGGTCTCTGAAATTTCAATGCTTATAGAGATGCCCAGCTAAAGCTAATAGAGGGGATTTATAAAAATTCTTGCTATATGCAACATGCAACTATTTTTCCTTCAGTCAGGTATAATTAACACAGGTTGTCGGGGCATCTCTGCTTAACATATACTCACGTGTGCCAGTTTAATTTTTTAAAATTTAATGCAATGTAGATATTAACATTTCCAAAGTTTCGCGGCATTTGTTTGTTTCGAAGCATTGATCGCGGCAGTTTAGCCCCGTTGAGTGCGCTTCTAACCAAGCATCGGTGCACTGCGGAGAAGCCACTTTCGCAAAAGCGAGCTTTGCGGGTGTTGCTTTCCCGCAATGCACTGGTACTTGGTAAGAAGCGCACTCAACGGGGCTAACCTGCTGCGATCGACACTTCGAAAAATGTGTATATCGCAGTTCATCTCGAAGAAAATATCGAATAGCTTATTATTTGAAACTACTATTTGAAAATTCGAATATTCGCACAACACTATACTCTGTTCGTCCTTATGCTGAGACTGCAGCCAGTGTTACAAGCACTAGAGATTTGAAGCGTTCTTCCGCTGAACGAGTACTCGCTCTAGAAATGCACGTCTTAAAGCCAGGAGCGCGGGCTGGCTTGCGCTTGTAGTTTTTGCTGCAGTCTCGGCCTAAGGATGAACAGAGAATAGCTTCGGCGTCTTGTGAGCTCATCCTGTCAGTGACTGTAGGGTCCTGTTTACTGTGGGGCAACTTCCTGAGGCAATGCAACCAAAGCGGTCGGCAGTGCACGCTCGCACACTTTGAGTGCCAGTCGGAGCACACGCCCGTGCCCTTTTCACTTGTGAATTGTTTCGGTAAGTTGTCCTCACCTTGAGGTTGTGTTGTGCTAAGTCGGTCTCCATTTTGCTCCAAAAAAGTGATCTCACTTGGTTTGGCTATCTCCATGAACTACACAACCGCCAGAAGCATGGCAGCGGTAATTGCTCGTTTATTTGAAAGATCGCGGGATCAATTGGGTGTCAGTTGTGAATGGCACGGTTTTTCGACAACCACCTCCGCCTTATGCTGACAGTGGCCTTTTCTTGCAGGGAGGAACCCTCATCCAGTACGAAAACCGACTCAGGCTGTTGGAAATTGCTCAAGTGCCCAAAGAAAACGTCAGTTCAATTCGCCGCTTCCTAGTCGTGCTAATCTTGGATCTACTGCTATTGTAACTGTCGTGGGACTTGTGTGCCCCTGTGCACACGAGTCCCACGACAGGGGTGCTCATACAGGGGTGCGAGTCCCACGACAGGGGTACAAGAGCACCCCTGTATGATTATACAGGGGTACAAGAGCACACCTGTATGATCATACAGGGGTACGAGTCCCACGACAGGGGTACAAGAGCACCCCTGTATGAGCACTCCTGTATGATCCCGACAGGGGTACAAGAGCACCCCTGTATGATCATACAGGGGTACAAGAGCACCCCTGTATGATTATGAAAATTGATAAGAGTAGCAGTAAACCTTTGATCCAAGTACTACCATAGGGGTGCTCTTGTACCATCATAGTCCCAGAGCCAACCATTATTGTCACCAGGGATGGGCAAAATACATGCAAATATGTATCGAAATACAAATACAAAATACTTCGTCAAAAATGTATTTAATTACAGATCTAATTACATTTCCGAAAAAGCATTTAAGTACAAGATACAAATACAACCAAATGTATTTGGTCTCCTCCAAATACTTTTCCAAATGCATTCCTCGAAATTTGCGTCAGCGATTTCAGGGCACCTGCAACGGGTTTCTGGGTATCTCATTTTAATTTTACATCGCGCACTCGGGAGTTCAAGAAGGTAGGAGAAGCTCCTCCCACAAGCGTCATGCGCTTGTTTCAAATCTCTCCGCAGTCGAAAAAAGAGTTCACTGGAAACGCTCCTTGTTCCGCTTCAATAGATTCCAACTTGCCTCCGATTACACTTTTTAAGAAAATGACCTTCGTATTCATTGGAGGGGAAACCGAGCCCCTGAAAGCAGCCTTTGTATCCATCAAAGGGGGAAGCTAATCCCCGAAAGTCATATTTGTTTTCATCGGAGGGGGAAAACTCTAATCTCCCTCTTGTGGCTTCCACAATGCTAAGTTAAAGTCGAAAGATAATGCAAATATTTACAGGGAGGCAAAACCCTCCTCGCGCGTCGACCGCAACGTCACGGAAACAATGGGATGCTATTGGATGCGGAGATGGCGGGGGGATATACGAGTCCGTTTGAGGGGCATTTGCCGCTATCTTCTTAACCTGTAACAGACTATAGTAACATAATAGAAATATAATCACAAAAAAAATGTAATCAGCTTGGACGTACTAGGTGAAATAAGTACAGAGCTGCAAGCAGCTTTTTTTTTGTCGATTATACATTTTGGTATAGACCAACAAAGAACTGAGAGGACCAAGACGCGCAGCACTAGCTAGAGATTTTTTTTTTTTTGTTGCAACTCACACCAGCTACGAAAATCTGGACGACCCGTGCATTTAGAATGTTCCAGGCAAAAATATGGATGGAAATCAGGCTGGAAAGCATCACAAGTTGTCACAGGCACTTATTTAGCCAGTCTGCCTGTGAACATTGATTTCGTCACTATTCTTGCCCTGGAGTAGCACCGTAATCACAGTCACTAAACGCTTGTGCTTGACTGAGAGACACTGCATTCGGTGCAGAACGTAGTTTTCTTCCTGCTCTGGACAGTGACAATAAATTTGAGGGATGTATTTTCGCTCACAAAATTGTATTTAATTACAATTGTATTTGAAATACCCACATTTTAGTATTTAAATACACACATCAAATACATTACCCCATTTGTAATTAAATACAAATACAAAATACACAAAGTATTTGAAATACGTATTTAAAATACTTGTATTTGAAATACTGCCCATCCCTGATTGTCACTAACAGCTCTAATCAGTTGTAATTTACTACCGTGAAATCTAGAGAAATGCCCCACCCTTGAAAAATAACCCGTCCCCTATTTTTTGATGCGATTTGCTATTTCTTTAAAAACACCACAAGATGGCCCACTTATAGCAAGTCCAAGGCCCTGGCCAGTGGTGACCTCAGCAGAAATAGTGTTACTTAGCTACGGCGGGACTGGAAAGGACTTTCGTCTTTAGTTCATCGCCCCTCCCTGCGATTACAAGTTTTGCAAGTCACAAAATCTAAAACTAGCATTTTTCAACTTTTTTTGATTGCACATGAAAGTTAGTTCACTCCTTATTTTCAACCGATTTGCTTTCGATTTTAGGTGGGCTATCTGTCGGAATAATATGGTAATTGTTACGGACAGTACTAGTTAGCTTTTATTACTTCTACTATTAGTCCACTGAAATGTGTGAGTGCTTTTATATTGCAGATGCATTTATACTAACAGTTTCAGCACTATCATTAGTAAAATGTACTAGTAAATTTTAATTATGATGATTGATAGGACCATTAGTAGTTTTTCAACTAGTACTAGTCCTGCTACTTTCATTACTGACATTCGCATCTCTTGTCAACTATCCTTTACTAATGGAGGAGGGTGGTATACTCCGTTTCACCTTGCGTTGTACCGCAGGAAAGGCTACAAGCGCGAGCTCCTTGCTCTATGGCACAAGCTCTTATGCACGAAGGGCAGCTGCCAACGCTATGAGCTCGCGCTTCTAGCCTTCGCTGCGGTACAACATAAGGTAAAACGGAGTATAGTACCTTCGTTACTGACTCAGTTTTGCACGAGTACTTTACACTAAACCCAGTACAGATCTTACGGTCGTTAGCAGCTCTTGTTCTTATTTTGTTTCACCTTGTCTTTGGTTACGTCGAGCCTACTCCTAATAATCCATATTAAAAATAGTGCAAAAGAGACGGGAGAAAAGGACGAAGAAGCACACAGGACAAGTCCTAAAACTATTCGCGTGGCTTTTATGCCTTTCAGATAGACGAGTTCAAGAGCATAAAGAAGTTCAAGTGAGTATACCTTGGAGCGGGCCACCCTCTTGCCAGTTGCCGCGGCAACTGCCATGCCCTCGTCCTTGCCCACAGGATCTTCAACACCAACAACCTGTGGATGAAGCTGAGCACCATGTCAGAGCTGGTGCAGTCCAATGGCATCGACATGGAGGTCATAGTGAACCACAAGGTGACCACACTGCCTCCCTCCCCTCCCTTTTTTCTGAAGTGGTAGTTCTCAATCAACCAAAAAAAAAACAACAAGAAATTGACTGTCTCATTGACGTGTTCAAATGCATAGCATTTACTGTCATGGGGTCGCATGACGTGAAGCTTTAACTGTAACAGAATGCCGCATGGAGTCCTGACGTGTCACAATGTTGCATCATGTTATTGTTTCACACGACAGGATGTCACAATGTTGCATCATGCCATAATGTCACACGACAAGATGTCACAAGGCCGCATAATGTCATGCCGTCACATGACGGGACGTCATAATGTTCCGTCATGGTGTCACGTGAAGTTAATGTTACATGACGTTATGGTGTGACGCAACATCAGAGGACCTACAGTTGCTACGTGTTTGAGCGCCTTTGGGACATAGTTTAGGCTGCATCTGCGGATGCCAAAACCCGGAGAGCCGGCCCTATAAATGCTGTGCATTTAGAAACAAAAGCCTGCGTTTGGATCTGGTTTAGTTGCCACGCAAAGCATTGTACATCGTCATTCAGGACATTTTGATGGAGGTGGTGTATACATTTTGTTTTGGTGAGATTCACAAGTTTTGCCAATTAAACTTTTATTTTCTCTTTCCTATTCAACCAGTGCGTTTTATTTGTGACATTTCTGGTGAAATGGAATATTTTTGGTGACAGTGTCAGCTCCACTAATACCTGCAAATATTTAAGTACTTTTTTTTTAAATTTAGTCACACAGCTTGTTTAAATTCAGCACACAAATGTATTTCTTAGCCCCAATTCGAAATCTGAGGACCAAGATAAGATATAGCTTTTAATAAAAAAACAAAAAAAAACAATGGCAAAACGTCTTAATTAGGTAATTTCTTGCAGGTATCTAGGGTCTCAAGGTTGCGTTTGAATTGTATTTGATGACTTCCAGAGGTCTACCATGTACTCTAAAGCAAACTAAATACTTATAAGCTGGTTATTTTCTAATAATATGAATAGTTAACAGCTGCAATTTAGGTGGAAATTGCCACCATCAAGAGAGTAGCCAGAATCTTTTGCAACGTGTGTCTTACACCACGGCGTGTGAAGTCTGGTTCACACATTTACGTTTGAGTGTTCTCGCATTCATTGGGCCATCTGCCGGTTAGCACCGAAACAATTCTGGCCTGTGCATATATTTTAATAATTAGTTATTCCAACAGCGTTATGAGCGACTTCAAAAACGAACGCAAATGTTCGCTATGTTCCGGACAAGCATTTGCTTCTGAAACGTTAAGGTTTGGGTGAAAAAATTTTGGATGACTGCTATTCACGAACCTCGAGTGTCGCAGTTATTAAAACCAGCCTCGAGTTGAAACATCTAGGCGTTAGAATGGGGGTGAACAAACATGGCATCTACTACTCATCATCGGAAATTCATAGCCTCTATCTTTAAGATCCATCTTACATTTCAAAGTGCCGCGATCATCCACTCAAAGTTCAGCCTCTCTTCTCCAGAACTAACAAATTTCAAAATTGCCCCCTTTTACTTGCTATTGCCAACTGGAATTCCTTACTTGCTCACATCGTCCATGAAACTGATACCAAGAAATTTCACGACATTTGTAAATCCCATTTGTAAAGTGTGATCAGCGTATGTTTTTCAATGTTTTGCTGCTTACCTTTTATTTTTGTGCATTGAATGTTGTATTTATTCCACCCCTCATGCAATGTATCCCAGTTGGGATACCTTGGAGGAAATATAATCTGATCTGGTTTGAAACTGGACCCGACTCACCCAACTCTCTCCTTCCTTTTAGACACTCGATACGGGGGTGAACGTGGTCCAGCTTGAGACTGCAGCAGGGGCAGCTATGAAGGACTTCTCCAAAGCCATCGGTGAGCCATTTTGTTTCCTTCCTTTGTGTTTCGTGAACAAGAGCTTACCGTACTGCTTTCACGTGGCAGGCCGCTCGGTTGGTGTTTCACCGGCGATGGGTGTGTCTCTTATTTTGTGTCCCGCTCCGTCTGGAGCGGGTTGCGGCAACAGTTGTCGGACCGCCACTACTCTCATTGGTTTCATCTGGTTGTTTGTAGCCTTGTCCCTTGAGCAGACGGACAAACTATAGGCGTATGCACGAAGCAAAGTAGGAGTAAATTTGTACGTGGAGTGCATCTGAGAGCATCTGTACGGTACAGTTGTGTGCGTTAGGCAAGAAGAATGTGGATATGAAGAAAAACAAAGAGGATTTCAGCGGAACAGACGTGCAATATACTAGTGACGACGGAATGGCGGCGATTGAAAAGAAGCAACTACGCTTTTAATGTATTGTAAGCTAGACCACGCCGGAGGCACAGCCGAACTAGTAAACTTCCAGCATTGCGAAAAGTCGTGTACGAGCAAACGGGAGGGAGAAAAAAAAAAAGAACCATTAGTGAAAAGCGCTTTTCAGAGTTAATTTTTTAATTTCTGGGGTGTTTCTTTGTGGGGTTTTAGTTCTTTTCCATGGATGCCATGTTTTTTAATGTCTAGTATTTGCGGCGGCGAACGAAAAAAAATTGGCATCTATTGGGGTTTATTTTTGAAGACAAACGGGACACTGCCATGAAACTCCCCAACCCCCAAAGAATGCATACCTATGTGACCCGGACACTAGGAAAAACGTCCTGGTATTAATAAGAAAACGAAGTAAGAAGGAAGATTTCCCCAAGAGATAAGCAGCCTGGTGCACAGTTTGGTGCAGGCTGTGTTCGGGCTCGGCACAAGATAAAACCCTAGACAAATAATACGTCCTGCAAAGCTTGGGTTTTTCTCGTCGAAGGACAACTCCAGTTTTGGGTTTTTCGGATTTCCCAGATTTCAATGAGAGCCGCCCGGGAGTTACTCGTCCAAGTTTGTCGGGGTACACCAAAAACACAAAACCCCAGATATGTTGTGGTTTTTTTTTGTGCGCTAGTTTGGCATTATTAAACACAGTGCTTATTTCATGCTATACCAGCGCTCCGCTGCGCGTCGCTCTTAAAAGTACAAACAGCGCAACGACACAGACAAAGTAAAAGATGGCCGACAAACAGCAGCATGGTCTTCTTTCACCCTGTCCGTGTCTTTGCACTGTTTGTTCTTTTAAGTGTGAACCAACTACCCCAATCGCACACATTATCCGTGTCGCTTCGCCGCAACGCAGGGCCGACGGGGGGGATGGGTCGGAGACGACCTTGCGTCGCTGCAACGCTAAAACGCACCTGTGAACTGGCTTAAATTCGTGAACACGCCATACAAAAGACAGTGTGGAAACAGTGTTCTGAGGCACGTTCCTCCCTCGTACCACAGTTCCGCCACATTGGTCACGCAAAAACCGCCTGCAGACATGCTCAGAGCACGTCTACCGTAACATCCCGAGAGATAGCCCACCTGAAAGCGAGGGCGAATTGGGCGAAAATAGGGAGTGAACTAACTTTCGCTGTGCGGCAAAACAAAAGTTTAAAAAATGCTAGCTTTAGAGTCCCTGACCTGCAAAACTTGCAATCACCGGGAGGGTTGGCGACGAACCAAAGACGGCCGTCCGTCCCATTCGGTGATGTTCGCTCGTCTCCTGCTGTGCTTAAGTAACACCGTTTCTGCCGAGGTCACCATTGGCCAGGTCCCCACAATCACTAGAGGTCTTTCGGCGTTTTTGAAAAAAAAATAACGAGTTGCGCGAAACATAGGGGTGGGTTATCTTTTGGGAGTGGCACATCTCTCGAGACATTGCGGTACGTACGGAGCCTTCAAACGTGCTCGGGGCGTGGCCCCGGACGCTCGCGTCATCGTGCCTGCGGTGAACGTTGCGTCTTTTGCGTGCTGTATGGGCATTGGACTACGGCGGCGTTTTTCCCGACGGCTTCCCTCTTTGCTCCTCCCCGTGGCAGGCATCAACGTGCCCCGGAGCCGCTTCCTTCCGGTAAAGAAGACCTCCGACCTGCTGCTGGTGATGAGCAACCTGTACCACATGAAGTTCGGCACCCTGGTCATGTCCCCCAAGCGCACCTTCCCCACCGTGCCCCTCATCAAGCTGGGGGACAACCACTTCGCAAAGGTGACGCCCGCCGGCCCGCCCGCTCGTTTCGACCGCCGTAAAAAACCGGGGAAGCGCTCACGCTCAAACGTCGGAGACGGTTGCGAAAAAATGGAGACGGGCGCGCGCTCGTCAGTTCCGAGAGCGGAAAAGCGAAATGGGGCACATGGTAGGCTAGGGAACTTTGCACAGTTGCGTCTCGTTAGATGTGGACGATGACGTCCCGCCAAACGTCCTCCATAATGCGAGTGGTTCGTAATAAAGAGACGGAAATGCACATATTCACCCAGTTTAACATTTCGTCTGTACAGTGCAATCCACTTATAACGATACCTTATATAACAATGTACTGCTTATAACAATCAGTTTCTAGAGTTTCTTGACTAGAAGCACTCAGTTTCTAGTCTAGGTACAACTATAATTGGTTATAACGATTGATTTTTCGTGTTTTATTATTATCGCTATAAGGGAATTGCACTGTATAGCAGGGTGTTCATATTGATGGGGTCCACATTAACCCTCTAAACGTTCTTAGTTTTTGGGAATTTTTGACCCTCAACCGCGTAAATGTTGTTTTCAAAATCAAAATTGTTGCCTTCAAAATCGAATTTCTAGCCACGAGCGGAACGGTTGCGAAATTTTAGATAGTCTGTGCTGCCATGTGTTGACACAGCAGCAAACTAAGCCGCGAGCGAGCCCGGATCGTCCGGAAACGATCGAGCGCTGAATTCGGAGAAAGCAGACGAGCCACCACTTATACTCGTCCGGAACAGTTTGGGATCGGCTCCACTTTGACGAGCTAGGCTCGTCCAAAATGGTTAAGGGGTTAACTAGACACAACTGCGGTGATATGGGGGCCCGGAGGTGCCCCAATTTCAAAAGCAGCCGCTCCGCTATCGTCGAACCACCTTTGTGTCAACGCCGTCCCGTCAAGCTTTACCGCACTGCACCAACGGACGCGCGTAAAGCTTCACCGCTCCACACCGGGTTCTCGGGGAAGCAGCAGGAGCGGAGGAGCGCCTCGGTCAGCTCGGTGGGCTCGGATGTTTTGCCGGGGTGGGTGCTCAATGCGTCCTTCGTTTATATTTCTGCATTTCAGGAGTGAGGCATGGGCGCTTACCGCGACGTGGGTGCACGCTCAGTATTCTACTATGCACTTTACATCACTTTATAGGCCGGTTCACGCACCTGCGACTACTTACGACTGTATGCCTTTAAATATCTCGTGATTGCCTACGACAAGGGAGCATACCGGCGCCATCTAGAAGGGTAACCGTGGAACGTTTGGCATTTCCTTATATTTCCTATTTCTTTGGCACATCATTCTTTCTCTTTTGGGTCAAAAACTTCCGACAATGTCATAAAAGACCATTTCTCGTAGATGGTATGTACATTTGATCTCGCAAAACCGCAAAACCTTGACGTTAGTGAAATGCAGCTTCAGGGTTGCCTCGTAGACGGCGCAAGCGTGTTAGCACTTCGTAAGAGATCACAAGAACTCTGTTGTAAGCAAATGCAAGTGTGTGAACAAGTTCAGAGTGTGAATGTAGCAGAACTAAGCTTCAAGTGTGAGCTCTGGGCTTTCGGCATCTATGGCAAGCATATGTGCTCGTGCAAACTTAGTTTAAAGGGACACTGACACCCCCCAAAAATTTTTTTTTATTTTTTGCCAGGCGCTTTATTATGGTGTCGGAGGACTACCTAATTAATATTTTGCAACAGAGTAGCGTATTTCTTTAATAAAGCCAAAAGACGCAACTGCTCGAAACCGAAACCGAAACCCGACGGAGGTCGGAGAAGTGGAGAGAAAAGAGTGACTGGCGGAAGTTACGTGGCTACACCCGACCGTGCGTTTTTTTTTTTTTTCCTCCTCTCCGGTAGCAGACAACGCGACATGCGGCGTGCGGGAACTGCTTGCCGTGCGATTCTTTTGCAGTTATGTTTGTTCCGCTCGTTGTTATGTACTCCAAGATGAGTTGTTTTGTACATTGAGGAGTTAGAGATGAGTAGTGAGTGCCCGTGGTGAATTTCCATGATCGGCTCCGAAAAGAATAAACCCAAGATGTTGCGTGAAGAGCTGGCTCACATGTCCTGCATCCGAAAAAAAGTGGCATTGTCGAAAGATCAACGGGATCGGGACCAATGGCTGGCTGCAATTCCTGTAGAACATTTACGGGCACCTCGGAAAGCGGACGCTACCTGATTTATATGCTCCTTGCATTTTGTGGAAAGTGATTACATTGAGTTCGCAGGTGTCAAAACGGAAATCCCATACCGTTTAATTCAGCGAAGTATCGTCCACAACATTTGTTTGCTATTTTTTTATTTGTTTCTTCAGTGATGATTGTAAAAAAAAGAAAAAGATATGTAAACATCAGAAATTGTTTGCAAAAAAAAAAAAAAACAATTCACGGGGGATCGAACTTGGACCTACGGCGTGTGAAGCGGACGTCTTTCCGCCTGAGCTACTGGGGCATCTCGTTTCTGGTGGATCTCATTCCTTAGTAATAATTCAGCCGGTAAACTGTAAGTTTGAAAGTTTGTTGTCGATTTTTCTCTAGCAAAAGCACTCCCGGGTCGAAGTCGGGAAGCACCACGCTTTGGGGACATTCGCACCTAGTAAAGAAATCGTACGCGTGCATATTCAACTCGAAGTAGACACGTCGTGCTTGACGTTTGCGCGAGCGTTGTCTTCAGCCACGAGAAGGGAGCGACGGCTCGGCGACGTCTTCGTGCAAATCGGCTTGGTGGCCGGGCGTGTCGTACGGGATGAATACCAATTCTTTTGATCAGTCCCAAATTTCTCTTTTAACGGTAGACAGAATTCGCCGGTACCGCGAACGACAGTTCTGAAATAGAGGTCCCACGCCCGTCGTCCGCTGCCATCGCCGTCCCCGCGAGCCCCACGATACGCGAAACGACGAACGCACAGAATGCTTCCGGTTGTCTGTGGAACTTTTTTTTTCAATCAACGTATTTACAGTTTTTTAGAAGCCACAAAAAATGGGTTTCATATTTTTTTTCTATTTTTAATATTGAGTGTGTGCCTTCAGTGACCCACGACTTTGATTAAATTTGGTGGTCGCATCGATACCTTAGAAAACGGCCCGTGACCGCGAAAAAGAGAGTGAGCGAGACTCGAACCGGCCAATTCTTGATCGGCGGTTTTCGGGCGGAAAGAAATTGAATTTCGAGCCGCAAATTCTGTTCTGGGTAGTTGAGCCCTCATATGTCACGTACAACTAACAACCTCGGCGAGCATAAATACCCTGTCAGTGTCCCTTTAAGCACGGTGCGAGACATATGGGCGTGGACACTGCGCGCGTCGCGGCTTCCAGGTAAAGTCCTCTCCTCGTCTTGCCTGCAAGCGACGCCACCAGGTATAACAGCAGTTTGTCGCGAGCCTGGTTTCTAACGTTTCTCTATGGGAGATGTGCTTTTCTTTAAAGTCGTTTTTCGGGTGCACCATGTGATGTGAAACTTGACGCTTGCGCTACGCGCATTACTTGTACGCTGCTTTATCATTGGGCTTAATTTCGTGCTTCACCAGCAGCAATAACAGTTTTACGAATGCGTTGAAGCTGAGAAATCTCTGGCGCGGTGTTCGAATGAGCGTCCATCAAGGTCAGAGCAGACGCTCCGAATGGAAAGAGCATGCGCCTGGGTGCAAGACACTTTCTTTGGTTTTGTTTGCTTCTTTTTTTCTCATTTGCGCTGTCCGGACAATAGAGACGCCGTCGGTCGAGGCTGCTTGGGCACACACGAAGAGGACTTTACCTGGTTGGTTGCGTCTCGGCGTTCGCCGTGCTGCGTGTCCCCACCCATATATATCTTACACCGTGATTCGGGGCTACGATGCTTGCATTGCAGACCGAGTGCCAGTTCTTTTTTTTATCAGTCTTTGTTGACAAAACTCGCGATATAATATTTTTCCGTTTATTTCTATGCAAAAGGTTGCTATTCCTGAAACGAAAAACAGCTGGGCAAACAAATGCAAAAACTTTCCACGACCACCACGCAGCCAGAGGTCTGGCAACTTTGAGAAAAGAAGTTTAGTGTGAATTCAGCGCATGCCATGCGTGAGGGGGTATAATCATTACTGCACGGTTTACGGCAATGGCCCCCGGCGGTAGTCTTGCTGCACTGTCTAAATTTCGCATCTTCACCGGTGTCCCCAGATGCCATTACAAAACAGAGTAATCTTTTTTTTTTCATCATGCTGGGGTACACAGATCAGTAGCTGGTTTCGTGTACTCTAACCTCCGAATTCACCAACCTCACTCCAATTGAGGGGCCCCTCCACTTCCTCGAGGAAGGCACGAGGGCTGGTGCTGGCCAGTCGCGACGGCGGATCCGTCGTCGCCATTGATTCAGCACCGGCCCTCGCGCCTTCCTCGAGGAAGTAGAGGGGCCCCTCAATTGGAGTGAGGTTGGTGAATTTGGCAGTAGCTGGCATTCTCCGAGGTTGACTCTCGTGGATCTGCCTGTGCCGCAGGTGCGGGAGTTCCTCCAGCGCTTTGCGAGCATACCGGACATCTTGGAGTTGGACCACCTGACGGTATCCGGCGACGTCACCTTTGGGAAGGGAGTTTCTCTGAGGGTGAGTGCACGCTTCCTTCGCATTGTTATCATGGGTAATCAAATCAAAATTTGGTTGGCCGTGCTGGCTCTGGGGCATTGAAACAAGCGTGAAAGCAGAGAAGTACCGATGTGCTATCGACAACGGCAATTCATACGTAATACTTATAGGCAAGCACGAATATTCGAAACTTTTGAATACCCGCGTATCGGGCACCAGATTCGATTAGGAGTACCCCATTTAGCCGACAGCTTTAACGTTTTGTCGAAATTGTTTGTTTGGTTGGCTGAAAATGTTGAATTGGCTCACAGAAATTTGTATTCCCACACTGCTACACAAGTACTATTCCTGCGCCTGTGTATCACGACAAACACTCGGAAAAGTTGTCGTGGTGTGCCTGTACAATAGTGTTGTATGGCCAAAAAAAAAAAAAAAAAGGACCCGAGAAGACGGTTTGGTGGCTCCAGATCTCTCTAACACTTTTCTTCGACTTCAGGGCACCGTGATCATCATTGCCAACCACGGGGACCGCATCGACATACCTGCGTCCGCCGTGTTGGAGAACAAGATTGTTTCGGGCAACCTGCGCATCTTGGACCACTGATGCGTGCACATCCGTCGGAAGTTTACTTCATTGTTGGTTTTGGTTTACATTACCCCGGTGTTTGGTCTAGCTAAGCTACCAGTTTCTCTTCATACAGCAATATAAGTGGCGTTTCTTCCACTTGCAAAAAAGTTGCAGTAAAACAATAAACGGAAGACACTTCCGTAACCCGATGCGCAAGAATGTTGCCGCAATCTCGGACGTGGGGAATATAACCACAAACACGGGAAAGTTATTGTAACTCCATAAATGGTTACAGTTTCCGTTTTGCTTTTAGCATCCACTGCCATGTTTTGCTCCAGGGCTTTCACAAAACGTTTCGGGGAGCATCGTTGCAGGTTGGGGGTTGCTTCATCGCCATTTATTTTTTTCTCGGCATTCAGTCGTCACTTTAAGAGACGGTCTTAACTTATTTATTGTTTGCCCTACGAGAAAACAAAGACGGGTCGTGCCATAACATAAAATCAAAAGGCTAGTCTCTCTCTGCCCTAAAGCAGTGCCAAGTTACTCATAAATTAGTCTTGTTTAGCTTGCCAATAAGACAATAATGCGGGGTGTTAAAAATGACTGTTCCAAAAGCTTCGAAGTTCGTATATTAAAATTTTTTTTCTTGCAGGCAAATGTCCGAGCTACGGTTTACGCGTACCAATAAATCGCGCAAAGCGTCGTCCCATCAATTTTTGCCCGTTATTTGGAGAGGCGTTTGGTCTGCATCTTCGTTGCATCCTCGGGCCGTGTGATCGACGGGGTTTGTTTCTGAAAGAATGAAGTAGTGGCAAGAAAAAAAGAAAATGCAAGTTTTTTAGTGTTGTTAGCCTAGTGTCCTACGAGATGTCGAAAACCGTAGCGAGGAAAGTGGTGTCATGCCATACCAGCGTGAACCTAGAGTGTACAAAGGATAGCCAACGTGTTTTAGAGTGTTGAATAAATGTTTGTTGGATGCCTGGGTTGCGTCTTGGTTGCCAAATACACTGCTATGTGCACAAGTATGTCACTTGGTGCTTTCGGTGCACAGCTGTCGTAGTGATGCCTGCTTGAAGGTTTGAGTCGCTGTAAAGACTGGTTCAGACATTTGCATTTGGTGCAATCCAGAGTGTGTCTTCAACAACTGTTTTTCTTTGTCCCTTTGATCTCGTGGGTATTTGGGGGTCTCTTTTAGGGGCGAAGCTCCCTAGGGTCTAGCCTTGTCCGGCGTCCTTGCTCACATCGGTCTTGCTGGTGCTCGTGCTTGTGAGCTCACGTGCTCGTGTAGGGCAAAAAAAATAAATAAAAAATAATGAAAAAAATAAATAAATGTTTGCGCAATCGACAGGATTGGAACCTGTGCAGGGAGACCCCAATGGATTTCTAGTCCATCGCCTTAACCACTCGGCCACGACTGCGGGACGAGTAGGGCGCTCTGAGATGTAGTAGTAACTCAAGAGCTGGGGATGTCATGGATGAAACGTTGCATGTAGCCGCTCAATGTCTATACAGGAGAGGGCACTGTGGTCAAATGCGTATATAATCGCGTTAAGCTTTGCATGCATTGGCTCAACGTTTATAGACGAGAGGGCGCTGCGGTGAAATGCTCAAATGCGTATATAACCACGTTCCATACCACACATTCTCTTTCTGACATGGATGAAAACGAACGAGAAGCTCTGCATGCTGTGGCTCAGCGTCTGCGCAGACAAGCACCACCAGAGCTTCACCCCAATCAACATCATTCACCATGTGGAGTTGCGGTGAATTTTTTATGGCTGGCATTTCTGAGTGTTTTGCAAATGGTAGGGTAAACGAGTCATCTTGGTTTGAATTTTGTATCTCAAACTACATGCATACTGCCAATTGTGAAATTTTATGTATTGAACGGTTACATCTTTGGGATTAAAACTTTCTGTTGCTTGTTTACTAAAACATTTTTTAAATATTTTTTGTAATAGAGTGTCAAATCTCCAGCCGAGTTTTTCTCAGCAGCCAAAAATAGAATGCTAATTTAATTTGGCACATCTCTTCCCCATGTTACTGGCTTTAAACTGAACCTAAGAAAAATAAGTCAATGCAGCATGCAAGAAAAAAAAAAAGGGTCTTGTCATGAGTTATAAGAGAGGAACTTCTATATTTTACCCATGTTGAATTAACCTGAGACTGGGATAGAGAAGAAACATCAAAACGTAGAAGGGACAGAAAATAGACAGGACGACGTCTCAAACGCGTCGTCTCAAACTAAGCTGAGTTTGAAACGTCGTCCTGTCTATTTTCTGTCCCTTCTACGTTTTGATGTTTCTTCTCCACCCCAGTCTCAGGTTAATTCAACATGCTTAATATTCACTAGCTTGCCTGCACCCTTACGATTTTTTCTATACTTTAATTTCTTGTAACATTTTAATGTAGTAAATTCTTGAAAATTTTAGGTTCTAACTGTAGGCAAGATCATTTAAAATAAAAATTTGCCGTACGTTCCTAGAAAAGAAATGAGTATACAAGGGGTTAAAGACAGACATATACAGTCGTGCCGGGTCATATCACACCCGGGTATTTCGAATTGCTGTTTATATCGAACAGTCTAAACATCCCCTTGGAAATCGCATGTAAAAGTGCAGGAGCGTTGTTTTTCTGTATCGAACTCTCATGGCGGGGTCACTCGATAGAGCGAACAAAGCACGGCCGCCCGTCGCTTCTCCGCAGTGGAATTGCGGTCGGATTGCTCCGGCGGCGGGAACGTAGCCCGCGTTGCGAGGCTGGCAGACCGCCAAGCCAGCGTACGCGCACGGGGGATACGCGGCAAAAGAAAAAAAGTGGAAGATGGCAAGGGGAAGGGCACGCACGCACGTGCGTAGGGCACGCACGCACGTGCGTAGGGAGGGCCGAGAGTACCCGAACGGTAGCGTGCGCTCTTTCCCCGAACACACCGCTGTCGTAAAGTGACTCCTTAGCCCCCCCACCCCCCCCCTCCAAAAAAAAAAAAAAAAATTGTTGTCAGGTCGAGCGCGTCGCAACAAATGTTTAGCAATCGCACTTCGAACGCCTTATCTTTGTTTACCTTTTTCAGTGTTTGCTTTGCCCTATTTTTTTTTTTTTTTTTCCTTTTTGCTGCGGACCTTCGCTTGCAAACACCGTTGCGTAGAGGCCGCGGCGTTTCTGATCTTTACCAAGCTCTACTGTATTTAGCGGCTCTTAGAGGCCCTATTTGGTGAGGTCCGGTTTGTTGCGGCCTTTGGTATTAGCAGAGACGCGCGGAAATTTATTAGTATGTCAAACTATCGATATATCGAATTATTTTACGATCCCCTTTGAATTCGATATATCCGGGTTCGACTCAAGAGACATATATCTCATTATGTGCCATATGCTATAGTGGGAGCAAGACTTTGGAGCATTGGGCTTAGAAATGCACAGGGTTTCACCTTGCCCTCCCTAAAAAAGCAACAGATTTGGCGGGGGTGCTGCATTTTGCTGGAGCAGATGAAAGAACAGAAAAGGGTTATAATCAGACAGGGGAGATTAGAAAATTGGTAGACATTATCTAGGGAAATTTTAATGAAATACAACGAGACTAGTTAAATGACAGGTGAGACAAAAGAAAGTCGAGACTCCCTCCCGCATGACTTTGGGTCAAGGTCTCCACTCCCACTCTCAGTGGGTCCGGCGCTGGGGTAACTTCGACAAGGTTTGGCCGGAGGAAAATTGGAAACTGGGGGGGCTGATGTTTTTTGCTTGATCTCCCTGAAGGTCATCCTGGTGATATCCCTGCATCCCCATTTTTTTAAAAATCATTCTTCTATCATGGGCTTGAAATGCTGTAAGAGCCTGCAAAAGCCTCTATGCTCAATGCGTTAAAAAAAAAGAAGTTTTTGCACGATTTGGTTGTTGAGAGAAGAAATTATGCTTTTAGGCCTTCGAGACTTGTATGTATCAATAAAATAATGCTTAGCTCATCTGAAGTGCTCCGGCATATGTCTTGATTCGCCACACGAGAGGAAATTAGTAAAAATGCTCCTTGAGGAGCCGACTCTTTTTTTACTAGCGCTCTTGAAGTGAATGCAAACATACCTGTACTCGGATCCAAAGTGTGTTCTCTCGTCATAATCAGTCTTGAACGTGAACTCGGACCAACACTCAGGAAAGGGAACCGCAAAAGGACGTCGCAAAGACGAGAATGCTTGCTTTCCAGGTCTCTTTATTTTTCTCTCTCCTCAAGTAACATCAGGTGCCTCTTCTCCTCATAAATAGTTGCTTCAGGTATGTACAGATGGGCCTGCGCCGCAGCCGAGCCCGCCATCAGGAGCCGTCGAGCCCCGTGCCGTGGAGGTTCCCGTCCTTGAGGCAGAGAGTCTCCAGCACGGTGGAGGGCAGGGTGTGCCACTGGGACTGCAGCAGCACCTTGCACTGCAGCACCTTGTCCAGGCAGATCCTGGCAGGGAGCAAGAAGTACACCCGTCTTACTAGGCGTCCCACGCACGCGTGATGCGGCCATAACCAGTCCATGACTAGACGGTGCGTGCAGCAGACCCGCAGCGGGGTTGTTGAGTGTTTAAGAGGTTACAGGTCCCACAATGTATGGTGGCGGTGGTGGCATAACTGAACTGGCAGGTGAGATCGGTCTACTAAATGCGAGGCAAAAAGATGAGGACGCAACAGGGGGATGCACCAAAGAAACAAGAAATGCATAAAAGATTGAAAAGAACACCCAACAATATGCACTTGCCTCTCCCTGCCATGTCTTAGTATTTTTTTCACTACTGGAGGAGGAGGACAAAACATGTTTATTAAGCGTTTTACGCTGTGGGGTGGATCCTCAATTCAGGTACCCATGTGCCGTCCTGGCTCGATCGGCCCTCTCCACCAGCAAGAGCTGATCTTGAGGGACAAACAAACCACGCTGGATGAGAGTACCATCGGGTCTCCCTTGTGCTCGAGTCCCACTAGACTGACAAACGACAGCGACAAGCCTCAAACCGCATGCAGCATGCTCGCAATGGTACCTTTGGCAGGCGTTTAGACGTTCGGTGCTCGTGAAGTAAGCATGAGTGATTGCAAGCCTGCCGAAGACACCCTCGCGTGCTTTATGCTCGTGTTTGAGCATAGTCTTCCTTATTATACAAAGCCTGTCAAATCTCGAAAGACTCTAGTTTGAGGCTTGTCGCTGTTGTTTGTTTTCGTTTTTTGCTCTAGTGGGACTCGGGCATTCGAGTGTTAAATTCTGAATTCCGTTCCAGTGAACGTAAACAGTTCGAGCACAAAGACTTGGAAGTGCAGAAGTCGTATAATGCAAGACTTGCCTGTAAAGGCTCCTTGGAGAAAACCGTAGCACGATGACTGTGTCCTCCTGTAAAGAAAATAAAATGCTATGTTTAATGTACGTCGGGCAGTGACGTGCGGCGATCTCCACGCCGTCTAGGTGGCGCAACCCACCACCCGATTCAAGGGGTTCGGCCGTATCCTGCAGCAGCGCTCCGTTGCTGACATTCTCTTTCACCGTAACTTCACACGGGGCGAACGCTACGGCTCCTTCTACCCAATCAAAGAAACGGAAGGGAAGCACGTGACAACCCTTGCTAGCACTTGTTGGTACGAATCTCGGAATCTTTGTAGAAAAATCACGTCGCACTTCATGCAAACGTGAAAGCTGGGCCAGTGAGCCAATTGGCGCGTGACTCTATCCGACGCGCCGATTGGCTCACTGAGACCCTAGCCTTCGTTGTCTGTCAAGTTTCGCCGAAACAGTACAGGGTGCGACCGGCGCGAGCAAGCAAGCTCCCACTAAGGGTTCCCAAATAAAGCTATCGTTTCGAAGAGACACGTGGACAAGGGCACTTCACTGCGGACCGCGGAAAGAAGCAAGTGCGGACGTACCGCGTGGATGCCGCCACGCTGGAAGATGTTTCCGGCGCAACCGCCAAACACCACCACCTCTTCCTGCTGGCTCAGGCAGGCCGAGTGCCAGAGCCGGGGTGGCAGGGGAAGCTCCACGCGGATCCAGGTCAGGGCTCCCACCACAAAGAGCCAGCAGTCCGCTGCAACAAACGAGGAGGCAAAGAGGGCGGACACCAAGCTCAAACGATCCACGGCTAAGGGCCCTCGATGTGCTTTTCTACAACTATGGACGAGTCGTCTCTTGACCCCCAAGAGACTCCTGGTCAATCCGTTTCGGCAGGCCTTCCGGGCCTGTTGACGTCAGAGTTCCCCGGACAACGGAAGTTCTAGAGAAATCACGAAGTTAGAGATTGAGCGAGGTCCTTACGATGTGCCATTTAGCGTGTAAGAGGGGATCAATCGTCTTACGGGACTACTAAAAAATCTCCGACAAATCTCGTTCTTCATCTAACCACCTAAAGAACTGGTCATAAAATGGTTTGCAAACGGTGCAAGGAGTGGTGCTATGATGGGGATTGTTTGACCTCTCATTTGACCAGAAGTTTGCAGGGACACAATGCAACGGCACTTTTTCTTCGGCGCTTTAACAAAAAGCACTTATGCTCCGTTTCACCGTATGATGAATAGACTACTTCCATAAATCCCTGCATGCAACACTGCGCACATTGCACTCTGGGAACTATAGTTGGCCAGGGAGGAGAGTGGCATGGTTTCGGTTTCGATCGACACGACGACAAGAGATTATACACAAAGCGTGGACTATAAACGGCTGTTATCTCATGTTTTGTGGTCCCGAGAGTGTCATTTGTGGTCTCTAAACTAACCTAAACGGCCAGACATCGAAGCTTTAGCACAAGCCAGAGACGTATAGCTTGTCTTAACACATGCTTGTCGTATTTTTGTACTTGGGCCTTTTTGTTAGCGTTTCGAGGTATGTGGACGAGCCAGTGCTGGGAATCTCGACGCTGCGAAGCTTGGGGATCTTGCTTGTGTACGAATCAACAAGCTGCAGCAAGCAAAAAGTATGCATACATCGAGCTCGTGCCTTCACATTAGTGTTGTTGATCAGAAAGTTGTTTGTTTCGAGCGTCCATAGACAAAATAGAACTTTTTGTAATTACTGTTTTTCTTAATACGCCTGATAGCGCGAAGTAAAACTCGGAGTCGCCATTAAATAGCTCCATTTGAACACACTTCTCGTCTCTTATCTGTACTGCCCCGCAGCACTGCACGAAGTGGAGTCCTCGCACGCTTGCATTTTACTAATATTCAACATTGTGTATCCGCATAAAGTTATCCTGCCATCATATAGGCACATTCACACATACAAACTGCTTTAAAGGTGTACTCCGCCGATTTTTGAGCTACCTCAACTAACTATATTTTCTGACTCCCAGGCCTTTACCCTTTCTGGAATGCTATTTAATATCGTGAAATTCATAATAGTTATTGCGAAATCGGCAAATGAAAATGATGCAAAAACAGACATTCAAATATTCCCGCCCTTTTCAGGGCCGTGACGTCAGTGGAAGTTCAGCTTGCCAGTCGGGCGAGTAGTCTAAAAAATAGAATATGCCAATTATTTGTTCCGTGCTGGAGCGCGGGGACTGGAGCGAGCTTCCAAGGCATTCATTTGACACCATGAAACTGCTTCAAATCAGTTGGGAACAAATTCTACAGTCCAAAGAGTGAACCCCTGCACTTCCAATGACGTCACTTTTTCATTGTTGCCAGTAGAGACTTTCAGTTTGAAAAACACTGTGAGGACCAAAATTGTAAATTCAATAACTTCGTGAAAAAAAATTATTTTGACCTAATATTTGGGATACTATTTTGGCGATGTTGTTTGGCGAGTTTAGCAAAATTTAAAGCAAATCGGGGACCATGAAGAAATCGGCGGAGTACACCTTTAAGAAAGCAAAAGTCAAGCACTTGTGTGAAGAATGTTGCACCGTTCGCCGGAAGTGCGCCGGACGGGCATGAACCCCTACGCGATGTGCCAAACGAACGAAATTATTCAAAGCGCAATTGACGGTTGCTAATGGCCTTCATATTTGTTCTGTGTTTGCTTTCTTCCTGACTGAGCATGCTGAGATAATTTCAGGCACACCGTTCAGACACAGATTTGGGTGTCAGTAAAAGCTTGTCCAAAAGGGCTTTGCGAGGAGTAGGGGACGCTTGTTAGGGCCTCCATCGTAGCTAGCCGATCTCAGCGTTTGCGAAAACTGAAATCTTTTGTCAGCATAACATTTGAGTGTGAGATATGTGATGACACGAGGAAGACATCATAGTAACTTTTGTGCAGTAATGAGATTGAACTTATTGCGTTTCCTTAAAAGTTCATGCGCAAACGATGGGCTCAACTTTGATACCCCTGTGAGGATGCGGCCTGCTTTTCGCCCAATGAAGTACTAGAAGAAGTGGATGTTCGGCAAACAAAATATGTGTAGGGCTCAAGGTGACCAAATTTCAGTTGTAGTTCACAGGTACTATACTTCGTTTCAGCTTCGGTACGAGCGCAGCCGATGTTATGAGCCGAAGGGCCAATCAAACACTGCAAAAAGCGCAGCGTCATGGCGTGCTCTCTACGCTTGATAAGACTAGCCGGCGGAGGAGCACGCACAGAGAGACGGCGGATACCGGTTGGTCCTATCAACTGCAGAGAGCACGCCATGACATTGTGCCTCTTTCACAGTTTGATTGGCCCTTCGGCTCATAACATCGGCAGTGCTCGGACCGAAGCTGAAACGAAGCATAGACGCGACTACTGACATTGAGCTCAAAGATGGACTCGTTGGGTGGGGTGACTAAGCCACGTCTTACTACGTTTGCATACGCACGCACAATATCCGGTGTTTCGGGAACCAAGGAAAGTGCCCCGGTCTTCGTTTTGTATCGCTCGAGAATGAGTGTATTGTACATTTGTAAAAAGTCAGATAATCGAAAACGCAAGCAACGCGTTCGGTTGCGGCGTGATAACATGAGATGAAGCTGCTCAGTCGAAACCGAAACAAAGTGGCCAACTAGTTCCAAGAGTGCACTGCGTAGTATTTCGCCGCGATGGGGTGTGTCGGTTTTGAAAGAAGTCTATTGCAGCGGACACTGCAGGCCAGTTAAATCAATGCCGCGAAAGAGTCGCGCTGCCTTCGGGAGAGGTGCAGTGTATTGCCCTGTGGAGCGTTCACAGCGCTGGGTTGGCTGGGACGACTCGAATGGTCTGCTTCGGTCCATTGTCGGTGAAATAGAGCGACAAATCCCGCCAATTCATTTTAGGAGCATACGCACAGCAGAGTACTCGGCCATCGAGACCCAATGTCGTTCCAGCACTCGCTCGTCCTGGAACAGCTGAGCTTGGCGCTTTGAAAGCACAAACTTTTTTCTCAAGGGGCTTCATCCATGTTTACACTCGCATGGATGTCGCAAACCACAGAGAAATGTCCTCACAGGTAGGGAAATATCCTCAATCGTAGAAATCTTCCTTTAGACACGACCCTAGGGACATATCCTGGGGCCGTTATTCCAGGAACATGCAAAGAAACGTGTTCCGAGGTCCTCCAGACATTTATTTTCAAATATCAGAACAATAAATATTGGAGGGCTACAGTCGCTGCGTGTAGCAAACTCTTCGTTAAAACTTGTAACATGCAACCCTAAAACAAAAGCTACTTTATCCAGTCTATTCAAAGCACTTATTTTAAAGCTCTCGAGCACAAGAGCTAAACGAGAAACGACAACAATGGGCCACTCACCGAGCGGTTCTTCGGACTGGCTGAAACCGCCGTACAGGACGACGTGCACGGGCGAGACGGCTGTGAAGCTGTGCCACGAACGGCCGCAGGGTTTCTCGCCCACCGTCTGGAGCCTGCACGACGCGGCGGCAAATGAGCAAACTCTCTTTTGACGTACCGCTTCGCGTCGACGGAAGGAAACCCGGTGCCCGGCAAGGAAGACCGGCCCGGTCACGAAAGATACGTACGAACGATTCCCGGAAGCCTCTCTCATAGCCCGGAACGCAAAGGAAATGTTTTACATCTAGCACAAAATAAAGCCACTAAAAGGCCTCTACTTTGGGGGTGGCAATCATTATGAGCGGTAAAAACCAGACATGTTAGCCAGGTGGAGCAAGCCGCCACCCCCTCCCCCAACTTCTCTCCCTTTAGGGGAGCGGGACTTACGCGCCGCTCCACTCCATGGCGTCGAGGTCGAGCCTGTGGATGTCGTTGAGCCGGTTCTCCTGGTGGCGGCCGCCGAAGATAAAGACTTTGCCGTCGATCTGCGCAGCCGCGTGCGCTGCCCTGGGCAACGGCGCCTTGCCCTGCAGAGGCAAGAAGGAGACGTAAGCGTTCCTCTCGCACAAAGTTGCCAGCACTGTATCACGATAGGCACTGTTGTCCCCAGAACCATAGATGGGGCAAGAAAATATTAGCAGCGCGAAATTTAGGGCACACTAAGGGGTAATAGACATTTTATGAAAACGTGATATTAAAGAGAGTGAGAGGGTAGCACAGTTGCTCTCCTGCACTCGTTCGCTCGCCCTCGTTTCCAAGGTCGCACTAGTCATAGCCTCTCTCCATTTCGGGGCACGGTTAGGACGTAAAAAGAATTTCCTCTCCTCCTCTAAGGATTTGCCTTACGATGATGGGATGTTGCATTGCTTTTGGAGCACCGAAAACGGAGGAAGAGAAAAGAGAAAAAGAGGCTTGCCTTGTAAGACGGATAGCTCCAGGTCTTGGAGACAACATCAAACTCCACGAGCTGATTGGTCCATCCCCGCTGCAAAGACCAAGAGGTGTCAACGTGCAACACGCGGCATCTTCTGCAACAGCGGTAGTCATGGTAGTCGCTTTTTTGCTCCCAACGTCTAGAAGGTTCACGCAGTCACTCGGCTAGGACGAGCCTTACAAACCCCAATCCGAACGAAACTCCAAACGGAATGTTTTGGTATGAGCAGGTAACGCAAAACTATAAAGTAATTAGACAGAAACTGGATACAAATGTTGCTCACAAAGAAAGCAGCCGACCGAAATGTGACTGACAAAAAGGTGCGCGACAGAAATCTGTCCGACGAAAAGGCAATGCGCAGCCGACAAAGCCCAAACAAAGGTGTGTGTGATAAACTGGTTGTTCTACCGAAAAGACGACCATGGCATCCACGGGACCAAAGGGCACGAAACACTCACCCACGGTGCTTGCATGTCGAGGACATAGTGGAAGTCGAGTGGTCTCGAGACACCCTGGCGGGGCGTCACTCCGAAACCACCAAAAACATAGAGCCTATATGGGGAAGGAAAACAAAGAGATTGTTTTTTCGTCGTCTTTTCGACTCGTCTTTTCACGCTACCATGCCTGCCAACAGCTTGAAAGACGCGGGCAGTATGCCATCGCCCAGCGGCCAATGAGATCGACCGAGCCGTAGACAATGAGGGCACCGGAGAATGAATCGCAGAGCATAGCAAGTCCCGGCCTGCAGTTCTTAAGCGGTTTGTGATTATACCGACAACTGCTTGCCCTAAATGGCCGAGGAGTTTACGCCAAAAGAACGGAGGCGAGCTCTCGAAGTAACTCCACACAATGCACGTCGATTCCGCCCACGAGAGATCTATAATCGTGGGAGAGGTGGGGGCGCACCTGTCTGCGTAGCTCCATCCGGCCATCTTGTCGCAGGGTGTGGGCAGGGGCCCCTGTGCGTCCACCAGCTCCCAGTCCATGGTGACCAGGTCCAGCCGGTACAACCGGTTTGTGTTGCGGCTATCGTGGAAGCCCCCAAACAGGTACATGCCGTCGCCGACGGTCACAGCCACCGCGCCGGACGTCCCCGGCGGCACCTGGCCTCCCGTCCTCCGGAGCACCCTGCCGAGACGGCGAGAGAAATGCCCCGCCCCTATTTTAACGCAGAGGTTTGTAACGTTTGGTTATAACGAAAAACCGACACCGAAGAGAGTTACGCCCATGGGGAGCCACATATAAAGACTTCAGTTCCGTGGCACGATTTGAACTCGCTGCCTCGAGGTTGTGAGCCAAGTGGCTTGACGACTGTGCTATCCAGGGTCGCTGGCCTCTATCGCGCGCTTCGCGACACCTCCTGTCATGCTGCGCTGTCTCACGGCATGTTAGAAACGAGAGCTAATATTCGTTAGGTGCTGCCATTCAGATGCACTGCCCTTCCCTCCTTCCTTGGAAGACCTATCACATACTGTGCTTACCTGTGTTCGTCAGCATGATTAAGCTTGTATACTGTAAACAACTTATTTCTCGCGGGCTCAATATTTCGCGATTTAGGTCAAAGCTGAAGTCTTGGAATAATTTGCGGGTTCTAATTTTTGCAACGCGGTACGATCTCAACATAGATTCCAATGTGTTCACATTTTACCGGAATTGTTTGCAAGACCTATTTTTCACGAATTGTAGGCAATTTGCTAAGATTAGGTTCTTGTGAAAATTAAGTCGTTTATAGTAGTTTCTTTTTCTCCGTATGCTTTTGGTGCTTTTTTTTTCAAAAGCACCAAAAAATAGCCTACTCTTAGTAATAGACCTTTCCGGAAAATTCCACAAGGCCTTTTGTCAACCGTCCTTTGCACCGCACGGCGCTTGGAATCGTGGAGCCGATCTGAGGTATGCTCAAGCCAGCTCGTACGGATGTACATATGGGAAGTGGCTCAATACCTTCCCTTTCACCACTGCGAGCTTAGAACGCACACACCACAAAGCCGATATGTTCCCAGTTTCGTCGTCGTCCTGCTTTTTTAGTGTTCAGAAGCCGCAAACCGCTAAACGAATTTATCTATTTGTTGGTTCTCCTTCGTACACCATACATCAAATTGCCGAAGTGTGTTGAGAACACAACAGGAGGCGCTGCTCTCGCACTATAGTCGGCCCACTGCTTATTTTCACCCGATTTTCTCTAGATGTTAGGTGGGCTATCTCACCAGATATTACGGTACAACCTACACACATACAGCTTGCGACACGTCTAAAGTTCTCAAAAATGCTTTCGCCTGCTATGTCGTCGCATATAAAAAAAAAAAGAAGCTCGACTTGGCAAGGGGAGGATGCAAATGTTTAACAAAATTGTTTTGCACGCTAAAAAAAAAAGAAAAAAAAAAAAGTAGAGCCCTTCCACTTCATGTGAAGATAGAGGACCAATGAAACTGTTATCTTTACGACGTCTAAGACGACTTCTAGGACGACCTCAGGGACGATGCCTAGAGGACGATCTCAAGAACGACTTCTAGGACAACGCCTAGGACAACCTCAGGGACGATGTCTAGGACGACCTTTCGAACGATGTTTAAGACAACTTCTAGGACGACCTTTCGAACAACGTTTAAGACGACCCCTAGGACGACCTCGAGGACAACGCCAGGACAACTTCTAGGACGACCTCAAGGATGACTTCTATGACGACCTCAAGGACAACCTCTCGAACGACTTCTACGACGACGCCTAGAGAAATTTAGCTTTTCCATTCTGGTGAAAACCAGAGTGGAAAGGCTGGACAGGTTGCCGCCATCTATGAGCAACGACGGCAACCAGACAACCGGGAAGCTGGTTGTATGGTTGACGTCGTCGCTCATAGATGGCGGTAGCCGCCCAGAGTATTGTGTCAACATTTGTTTGCCTGCGGACACGATACTGAGGAAACTAGCCCTTAACAGCTCCGCTGTAAAAAAAGAAAATTTGTTTCTTTGACTACTAAGCTTTTTTTTTAGGATTTCATCACGTTTTAAAGCGTTTGAGACAACTATTATGTTGAGGTGTCAGTGGCTCTTAAATGCTTTTAAATGGTCACTTTCAGCTCTACTCTGAATCACCCTGCCAAGAAACAGTTATTTTATGTGCCTTTCAAAGTACCATGTCATAAAACTCCTTGTTGCAATGATCCTTTCTAATATATTCACAGACAACCGGCAATTAAATTATTTAATTCAATGTCATCATCTGTCCACTGTAACACGGCAAAGAGAGAAAATGCATTTACCATTAGTGCACCAAAAAAGCTTAGTGACGCAAGCTCCGCACGCTAGCACAGCTCAGCAAATAGGGGCTATGCTACTAGACAACGAAAAGTGGCCAAGCAATTTGCTCAGGTGGCCAGAAGTCTCTAAGCAAAAGGGTCATGCCACCCCCCAATTTCGACACAACGCAGGAAGACGGAACACTTGGGATTTAGGCACCACAGACGTCGAAAATAACGTCGATCATTGCTACACAGGGCCGCAACCACAGCACGCAGAGCTTGGGAAAGTGTCCGTTGAACCGGTGCCAAAATATCGGTCTCGTTCCATCCTTCTGAGAAAATGAAGCTTTTACAAGTGTCTGAAGACTGGGCTGAGGTGGCTGTGCAATACACCTGTTCTCCTAACAACCAAATAACCCAATCCCCACAACTTTGTAATCAGGTAGTACCACGCATGATACAATACATGATAATGAATTCACCTCCATCTAAGCTGTCTCCTTGTAAAAAAAAAAAAAAAAAAAAGGAAAGGTAGTGCTGCAAAAAAACACAGTCTTGTTTTGTTCAGGCTCGCCTTAAATCAAAGTAATGGTTAGCATTTGCTGCTAACCATTACACATACCTCCCCCCCCCCCCCCCCCCCCCCCCGGTCCTCTAAACACAAACACGCAAAAAGTTAGACTTTAGGATGTTCAACACATAGATTCAGACAGATCGCTTTTATGAAGATTACACGAAGACATTTGTAGAAGCTCATTGATGTGTAGACATTTGAAGAAAGGAGACTTCAAGGTGTCACAAAGTTTAAAATCAAAAGCTTCGTAAACTTGATAAACTTACCATTTTTCGAGCAGCGTATCGTAGAACCAAAGCTCGTAGCCCGGCAGATAACTTGTGGACCTTTCCGTTTCCTTTGGGAACACAAGATATGCGAGGGAGATGGTAACCCAGTGTAAACATCCCCGCGAAAGTTGGGGAGCAGTTTTTTTTCACCACACACGCACACGCACTAAAAGAAGGTGAACTGATAATGTCATTACATCACATCACACGTGCCCCTCTTAATCACAATACATTCGAAATTCACAAAATTCTGAATCAGGTTCGGCAAGCATTTGATGCAGCTCGCTTTCTGGTGCGCCCAACGTTGGGTGCGCCAAACGTAAAGGCATGTTTCGACATGTCGGATCACTTGACGGACGTTTTCCCTTTTTCTTCTCTTCATATCGAGCTCGAGCCTACACTGAGATCCTCCACAATCAAACTATCACGTCTACAACAGACGCAAATTCAAAACACGTCAACCCGCCTTTGATGAAGGCAGCGTTTCAGCTGATTCGAGTTTGTTAAATCGACTTCATCGTGAGCGAAGCCAATACCACGGAAGCCTTTCGAGCTGTGTACAAGCGATCAAAAGCAGCGTTCTTCGTTGCCAGTTAAGGGTACACATCACGCGGCGTCGAAACTTTATCCGACGTTCACTCGGGTTGCAGACGATCTTACCTTGTAACCGCCCCAGACCAGCATTCCATTCTTGTAGCTGCAAGCCACATGGCCAGTCCGTTGCTTGGGTTTTCGAGTGTGTTCCGCATTCATCGCGACCGTTGGCCAACTGACACGGAACGTGATCGCATCTGAAGTGACTAAGCACACACGGGAAGCTCCCAGAGCCTCACGCCAGACCGTTGCGTCGGCAATGCGCTTGAAGTACTACGTTGTGGACGTAGCGTCGTTGGCGTTGCGTCGTTTACGCAAAGTTTTCGTCAGCTGTTTTACTGCCTCTGCCTTTTACGTTGCAATTTTTTTGGTTGAGAAGCGAGAGCGCTCAAATGTCATTCGCGACCGTGAAATAAATCAATTTAACGTGACGTCATGGCATGAATAAACTTTAAAACAGAAATTTAAACAATATAAAACAACTAAATAAATTTTTATTAAATATTAAATTTTTTTCCAATTAATTTTAATTTTTTAATGTGTTTATGTCACGTGACACTAACCCCGACTGGAGTGGGTAACCCTGACTACTCAATATTAAAAAGGGTAACGCTTGTGACGTCATGATAACTCAAACTCCCGGTATCTGAAGCGGACCACACATAACCGCGGCGAGGAGAGGTCATCGGAAAAGTGCCGGTTTGAGCCGTAGACATATCTTATTTTTTCCCCCTTACTGCTTTTCTCTTCTCTCTGAAATTGCAGCCGCTCGGCCGTCCTCTCACTTTATCACGTGTCCTTATCACTAAGCGCGCCATGAAGCTGCCAGCTTGTCTCGTCTCCCAGTTGAGGCAAGTCGCCCGACACAATTTTTCCAACAGGATGGCTTCGCTCCACACATCGGCGGCCAGGGCAGCTGCGGCACCCGTAAGATGTTCTTTTCAACTCCTCTGTGTCATCGTACGACACCACTGAAATTTTTCGGTAGTTACACACTACAGGGAGCCAATTTTTGAGCGTCGGCCTGCACTCACGCGTGCCCGATGTCCGCAAACGTCCAGAACGTTTCGCGTCGGAAGCTTTGTTGTTGGTGCATTTCGGCATCACAAACCGACGCTCTTTGCTACCCGATGTCGCCCTAGAATCGCACAATGTAGTCGCGGCATATTTGTGGAATGCCCGGTTTTCAACCCACAATTGGGCCACCAAAAAGTAATAAAAAAATCTTAACCTTTCGTATCCGGAGCGCAAGTTCGTCTGCAATTCTTTTGTAGGAGTTGTGGTGACGTAGAACTCTGACTGGTTTTGAATGGAAGATAATGAGCAGACTTCAAGGCAGCTTGCTTTGAGGTCTACCCACTATCCTTCAACCAGAGGTGGGCATCTTTCTGACGTCACCGCAACTCCTGCAGAAGAAGCAGACGACTTGCTCACTGCATATGCGTGGATAGATGCGAGATTCGCCACTTATAGAGTCACCATGCCACAACTTCGTGTAGACATGTTGCAACAAAATTACACGCATCGTAAAAAAAGAAACCAACAACACACATCTTAGATCGTGCAAATGAACCATCTAAAACCATTTGTTCGTTATCCTGGCCCAAGCAGCATGTCTGATTGGCCAGCAGACATTCACCAATGCTGGAGCCGCTTAGCAGATGAGACACGCAGCGGGATTGATGACTGAGCGTGCTAACGCGCAGCCGCTTGGGGCACGTGGAGCAGTAGCTCGCGCTGCAGGCTCCAGGGGTCCTGGCTGTAATTCACAACCCTGCCCGTTTCAATCTGTACGAGTATCGTACCGGCACGTGGTCATGTACCACAACTGCGCGATGCAAGTTAAAGGCCCCAGGCTAGCCGTGGTACCACACTGACCAAACGTCTCATCTGCAGCGGAGACACCGCATACCCATTGGAGCTGACTCACTCCTCGCTCTCTAAACAAGCACACAACACAAATTATGTAACACGTTACTTTGTTTCAGCTTACAGTGAACTGCGGAGGATGCTACCAGCCATCGAATTCGCCAACCCAGTGCTGTGCAAGTATCACGTGACCTTCGAGAGTGTGTGCAGCAACGTGGGGGTGCCTAGTCGTGATACTTTTCCAGCACTGGATTGGCTAAGATGGCTCGTATCGTCCTAAAGTGAAACAGAGCATTACATGCCTCTGCCTAAACATGCATTCGACACAATTTTGAAGTGTATCATCTTTTGGGCATGGTTTCACTTTTGTTTTCCTTTTTTTGTGTTTCTTTAAAGGGTGACTTCAGGGTCGAGTCGGACACCTTCGGCGAGCTGAAGGTTCCGAGCGACAAGTACTATGGTGCCCAGACGATGCGTTCCATGATGAACTTCAACATCGGTGGCGAACACGAGCGGATGCCGGTATGACCTTGAAACACCACGGGGAGGGGGAGAGAGAGATGAGTGCAGCATGACTTAAAATCATTATCTTCACAGACTTTTTGTTTGACAGGCAAGCTCTGTAGGAAAGCCCTGTTGTCGTCTTTCATATCACATGATTATGTTATGTGTCTTGAACTTTGAACGTTTGACCCCATGTTGGGCACCCTATGTGGGGATGAAAAAATTGACGACCACCCTTGCCAGTGTCTAAGTCCGTTATAGTTACGCGCTTCTCGCATGCCCCCTGGTCTTGGCCTTCTGGGCCTCGTTTATTTATTTTTTTTTCTTTCTTAAATATTCTCAAAGTCTGTGTAGATGTTTGTAAGCAGCCATGCTTCAAGAGCCAGTCTGGCCACTGTGGATGGAAAACACTGTTTCTTTTGCCCCCTTCTGTGACATGTACTTTGCATACCTGTCACAGCTCTCAACAGAGAGGCAGCAGTATGTATGAATAGTAATAACAACAAACTAAGCAAATAGCTGAACTCTGTGATTGCAGATGACCATTTGCTTTTGGTAAGTACGCCAGTTGAATAACATGCCACAAATGAATGAAAAAAATATGACAGTCACAGTTTTCCCAGTAAAAGCTTTTTGAAGTATTGAGACTATTATTTAAAAGTTCTTCCAGTGTTTCTTAACAAAAGGTACAAGACTGCCATTTTCTTTTAACGAGATTGAGGTGCTCTTTCTTCTCTTTTTTTTTTTTTTTTAACCCCTCTGAATGATGTTGCACATGGTGAATTACAAATAGCGCTAGGACAAGGACAGACGAAGAAGTGGACAGGACAGGCGCTAATTTACAACTGACGGTTTTTCGTCTGTCCTTGTCCTAGCGCTATTTGTAATTCAGTATGTATAACCAACTAGCCTGCCAAAATATTTTGATTGCACATGGTGTCATCAGTGGTATAGCCAGGGGGGAGGAGGCTTATGGGGCTTCAGCCCTCCCCCCAAAGTCCAGCCAACCCTATAATATACAGATGCATTTTGACCCCCTCCCCTCCCACTCCGCTCCCTTCCTCTCCTCAGCCCCACCCCTTCCTCCGTTCCCGAAAAAAATTTGTGGATACGCCGCTGGGTGTCATTGCATATTTTAATGCACTCTACCCCGAGTTACTCAACCATTGATTGGCCGACTCCGCAGCTCCCCGTGATCAAGGCCTTTGGAATCCTCAAGAAGGCGGCCGCCATCGTCAACAAGGAGTTTGGCCTGGATGCCAAGTTAGCCGACGCCATTTCACAGGCGGCAGACGAGGTTGGTGTCTGCCTGCCTGCCGTGAAGCGTTCTAAATCACAGCTACTCTGGTTTGCATTTCTTTTAACACTTCCTAGCCGGGACAGTTAGTAAACAGAAACAAATAAATTTTCAGTTGGCTATGCATTAAGTTTCACGAGCACGTTAGCATCATTTATTACTTTCTTTTCTTTCTCTGGGGCCTTTTCTTGTCCTAAAAGCACTAACAAAAAGGGGCAGATACTTGCAGGGTTTTGCAGTATCAGATTTTCTCGTTGCACCTAAACGTAAAAAATATAAAACTGTTTATTTTTAAATTGTGTGGGACTCCACCAGACTATAATTCTTGCGATAGCCCGAGAGATTTTGATCTTACTATACTTTGTTTAACCTTAAAGGGGCACTGACACCCCAAAGGTCATATTTTTTTTTATTGTATAAAACGATGCAAGTTGTAGTCATAGACGCGCAAAAAAAAACGCATCGCAAAAAAAAATATTTTTGCGCGCGCGTGCACCTTTTCATTTTTGGCGTTTTTCTCCCCCGCTTTTCACCTCCTAGCTTCTTTTGATTGTTGGCGTCAAAAGTCGTGAAATTTAGAAGCTTTGTAGGCGACATATCTATAACATTTGATAACGGCAATCGTAAAACATGTTTTTTTAACACAATTGCAAACGCACTATGGCCCTTCTTTTTGAAACATCAAAAATCTGAGTCCGGTGTGATGTCGCTTCCTGGATTTATATCCTCCCTCGGAAAACTTGGCGACGCTCGAGCAGAGGATGATCGGTGAGGTGGGGGACCGGGCGAAGCAACCGGCTTTGTCCCGGTCTGCCCGACGCCCTTCTACCGCTTAACACCTCCTCCTCGCTTCGGGTCGTGGTGGCAACGGCGCTTTGCCTTGTAGCGTTTAGCGGAGGTCCGAAAGAAAGTCAACTCGCAGGAGACCGCAAAATTTGACGTCTCTTCACTGGCGCGGATCGCACGGGACGTTCAAATCCGACATTTGGAAATTGTTTTTTTTCAATCGCAAATACTGAATTTCCGAGTTTCGATTTTTGAGGGTAATGTCCCGGCATCGTTTTCAATTGTTTCGGATAATAAAAAAAAAATTATTTTGATGTGTCAGTGCCCCTTTAAAGGGCAACTCCGCTCAATTCTGAAAAATTTAGGCTTACATGTGATTCCATTTCACAAAGCACTACTAAACAACTGTACGTCTTCGGATTCGCGAAATGTGAAATATTATTTGTGTGATCCTAATTTAAACACCAGCTGATACCGAAGCCGAAACTTCAGTTGCATCAGGCAACATTGGTCTCGTGTGGTCAGTCATGGGCACGTCACGTCGAACCACGTGGTCTTGTGACGTTCGGGAGGGGGGCGAGGGACAGGACACGCGACGCGCGCAGGTCGCTTCGCGTGACGTGAACGGTGACGGCCTGGGCGAGAGGGGGAAGGGGAGAAGACGAAAGAGAAAGGGAGCGGAGAAACAGACCGATAAGCGCGCAGGGCAGCGCAAACTAGCGCATCCGCGTTGCGGTGACCACGTGAACGCCCGGTCAGCCAACACCGAAAGGAGAAACTCGTGACGTCATCGTTCAGTTTCGCTCTGAGAAGTAAAAACAAACAAAACATGAGAATGACGTACACATGCCTCTGACGTAGTGGCTCAACGTTTGCCGCTCCAACTCCGTCGCTTTGACTGCGCTGACGATTGCGCCTCGCGTCGCACGCTAGAGTTGGCAGATTTCGGCGACTTGACTCACTTGAAGGTTTGCTGGCCAGTTTATTAAATATATAGACGGAATTATATCGTAATATTTGACATGGGGTCTTCCTATATGATACTGAAGAGGGCTACATAGTTTTCTAAATATCAAAAATGAAGCGGAGTTGCCCTTTAAGGCCGGAAGGAACCAACACTACGAGATGATGGGGCCAATCAAACAGTGTAACACGCACACCAGCACACTGTTCCTTGCGTTTCTGTACGTTTTCTACCCTTGCTGAGCCAATCATGTATGGAGAAGGACCACTTGCATCTGTGCTTTTGACGCCGTTTGATTGGTCCTAGCAGCATCTAGCGTCAGCTGCATCCGCACTTATGGTGAACCAAAATATAGTCTTTTTTTTGTGTGTAGGGTGCAGATGAAACAAAAAAATCCAAACTGAAGAGTTCATTTGAACGCAATTCTGATAGGCATTAATTATCACTAGAGGGCTACTTACTGCCTCTTCTCACTAGGTAAAAATGAAATAGACGAAAAAAAAAAACAAGCGTAAAACAGCAGAAACGGGAGTGCCTTGGACGATTGTACGCTTCTCCGTGACTCTTCTCTTGGCAGGTGATTGACGGCACCCTGGAGTCTCACTTCCCGCTGGTGATCTGGCAAACGGGCTCGGGCACCCAGTCTAACATGAACGTGAACGAGGTGATCGCCAACCGAGCCATCCAGATCCTCGGCGGCCAACTGGGCAGCAAGAGCCCCGTCCACCCCAACGACCACGTCAACAAGAGCCAGGTGGGGATGTGCCGGGAGTCGTCGTAGTCGGATACAGGTCAAGAACGTACCAAAAACCTTTCCCATGGCTTCATTACCGCCAGTCAGGCTTCCTCCGCAACGCACAATTATTCCGGTACTGTTCCTCTTCCACAAGCCCACATGTGACACAGTTCGTTGTGGTTACTGCCTTTCCTAGTTGGTTTGCTGAGAAATTCGATGCCGTGTATCCAAGTATGGACGTCTCCAGTTTGGAAATAGGGTGTCCAATACATGGCCCTTGTTGTGTGTAATTACGCCGGTGGGTGCTTACGATATTTTTCGAGGTATGCCATAGTAAACTTCGGTTCTGCAGCTCAGCTTAGAAGCATACAGCTTGTGCTGCGGGCTTAGACATCCCAAGCACAATTCCCGGCCCTGGTGGTTTTAATGCAGATGGGCATTGGGCCGCCGTTAGTTGTTACCACCGTAGCATGGTGCGCGTTAAAGGTTTTGGGTTACAAGTCGTGCTATGTCGACCGAATTTGCTATGTTGACTAGTTATACCATCACCAACACGGTCTTCGTCTCGCAACTGCTTTTTCCGGCGACAGAGCTCCAACGACACATACCCTACAGCCATGCACATTGCGGTTGCCATGGAGATTGACACACGGCTGCTGCCGGCCCTCAAGCATCTTCTGGACGCCCTGCGCAAGAAGGCCCATGAGTTCAAGGACATCGTCAAGATTGGCAGGACTCACACCCAGGCACGTCGGGAAAGCTCCCTCGGGTGTTTGAGTATTGTCGGACTTTTTACTGCTATTAGGGTTTAAAAATATAAGGCTTGTCAAGGTTGAGCAATTGGGGTTGACAAATGAATTGCAGAGTTTACCGATACATTTTTCCTGGCTTTTGGGCCTTTTAGTAGTATTGGACCTTTCACTGTTGGGGAGTTTTAGTAGGTTGCTCCGATTACTCCTATAACCACACCCGATACTTCGCCGACGCCTTTGTGCGTGCACCGTATCGTTACCGGGTGCTGTTATCAGAGGTATTGAAACAGTTTACTAAAACTCCACTACTATTAGAGTTTCAGATAGAAAGACCTGCCATCAGAACTGGGCAGTTCGTGTTGATGAATGGAGTATAGAGAAGTTTACCCACACATTTGTCCTAGCTCTCGGGCCTTTTGGCACTGTTGTGCCTTTCGCTGCTTTTACCCTCTCAAATGGAACAACTTACCAGCATGATTAAGCTATTGGTATTGGTATGTAGTGTAAAAAAGCGCAAAGGCCACTTTGAGTAACTGGACTTTTTTCTCGTTAGGATGCAGTGCCGCTGACGCTGGGGCAAGAGTTTGGTGGCTACGCTGCTCAGATTGAGTATGGCATCGAGCGGGTCAAGGTCGCCCTGCCGCGTCTCTACTACCTCGCAGCAGGTCGGGAAAACATTGGTTGTGCCCCCTCGCATGTTGTGTGCAGTGGCGTCAAAGACACGTGTGCAGAAACCTGTGGGAATGGTTTATGCGTGTGAGCAGTTGTTCAAGAGCACGTTCGAAAGCCTGTCCCTCTCACGGCACTGCGCACGCTGTCTGTACTTCTGCTGGGAGAAAGTGCTCTTCCTTGCACGCACTGGTGCACTGCAGTGAAGTGGGATAGCTGGCACACTTTCCTGGAAAGGACACTTCACCCTACACACTGCCCTACTGTGGGCAGCAGCATAATTGCTGGTGCATACAGGTGCCTAAAGATGACGCCATCTTGTGCACTGGTGTACCGCAGGGAAGCAGACTGCTCTGGTCTCTCCAAATTAATGTCTCACTTCCGAAAACCGCCTTTTCAATACGATTGCCAGTGGTGCCATTGCTTTGTACATTTCTTGCTTGGGGAAGTTGAACTACCAAAGAGAATAAGTCATTGCACTTTTTTTATGAATTTGACATGCTGTATGTTTGCATATGCATATGTGGAGGGTTTTGCAGTAGTGTTTTAAGGAGCGTTTGGCACTGTTCCAGTAACCAACACCTCATTTCATGAATAAAATACCAGTACTTCGATTACTACTGGCAGTGAGCAGACACTTTACACTTCGTTTTAGCGTAACGTGGCAAAGACGAATGCTATGGCCGCTTCAATCCAGTCGTACACTTCGACGCCCCGCTTGGCTCACCGGGCTCATAGTTTTTTTCCGTTTGCCAAGTTATGGAGAAACGGAGTGTACAAATGTGCTTTTCGTCTCAGCTTCCAAGGCTGGAAGCTCGAACTTATGGCCTCCTCCACACTGTCAGCTTAAAGGCTAATTGTAGTACTTGCAAGTCATGTCTACAGATAGCACTCCTCATGCAATCACTTTCCCCCAACAGGTGGCACTGCGGTGGGCACGGGACTCAACACGAGGGTTGGATTTGCCGAGAAGGTTGCCGAGAAAGTGGCCCAGTTCACAGGTAAGAAAGGGCGTCCCAAGCATTGAGGACTAGGGAAATGCGAACCGGGTGGTACGCGTGTGTAGACGAGGGTGCTCTTCTTTGGTTGACACGTTGTAACTGGCAGCGCGAAGAGTCTTTTGCCAGTTGCGGCAAGAATCGCAGCATTAGTTAGCATCTTGCACAAGAGATGGGCTGCCGTGGAAACTGGCCACGAATGATGCAAGTCGTTGAGCTGTTCCGATTCTGCTCATTGCATCGTGCGACTTCCTTAGGAGTGACCGGAATGTGGCTCGATCGAATACCTACCCAGCGAAGTCCTCTTAACTCCGAGACAACCCGCGACCGCAATTGTTGGATGCAACCTGGAGCCTGAACGTCCCCGTGCCTGGCTGAACTGCGACGCAGTTCAGATGTCCAGTTCTGTGGTGGCACGACCAGAGTCAAGTTGCCCGTCTTGGCCACCAGCCGTACCGACTGGTGGCCAAACAAGGTGTCTCCCGGTCGTTGCCCTGGGGCCATTGTGCATTGAATAAGGTTGAGCGACCCACATTAATTTGGTGGAGCAAGAGCTTCACCCGTTCAACTCTGTTCTCGCTTTCCCCCGATTTGTCGCATCCCCATGGCAGGGCTTCCCTTTGTGACGGCACCCAACAAGTTTGAGGCCCTGGCGTCGAACGATGCCATGGTGGAGGTGTCCGGGTCCCTGAATGTCACTGCCTGCAGCCTCATGAAGATTGCCAACGATATCCGCTTCCTCGGCTCGGGACCCCGGTGCGGGTTCGGGGAGCTCTCCTTGCCCGAGAACGAGCCCGGCAGCAGCATCATGCCCGGTGAGAAAAAAAGAAATAGAGGCGTCTCGCATAATTTTTTTGTACGTCTGAGAATTCTTCAGATTCCAAACTTGTTTCTTTTAGAAGTAAAAGTGTTTCTCAGACAAGGAAAGCTTTGTTAAACATTGAGAATGTTTTTCACTTGTTGAGAAATGTTTTTCACTCATCGAGAGATGTTTGTCTGGTGTAAAGAAAATGGTTTCTGGCATCAAGAATATTTCTTTTCAGATTCCAGACTGGTTACATAGAGGTCAAGGATGTTCCCAGGACACCGATAGCTCTTTCCCGAGTTAAAAATAAGACCCGTTTCTTTTGATGCCACGGTTCTTGCATTCAACACATTTTCCAAACCAAAACACACCTGCAACCCACGATCGCATGCCAGAGAGCGCCACTGCACAGTCGGCCGTCCCCTCCCCCTCGACGCAGGCAAGGTGAACCCGACGCAGTGCGAGGCGGTGACCATGGTGGCAGCCCAGGTGATGGGCAACCACGTGGCGGTGACAGTCGGCGGCAGCAACGGCCACTTCGAGCTGAACGTCTTCAAGCCCCTCATGGTGTCCAACGTCCTGCGCTCTGTGCGCCTCCTCGCAGACTCCAGCGTTTCCTTCACCGACAACTGCGTCGTCGGCATCGTGCCCAACAGGCGAGTCGGGTCGTTTGGGGGGAGGGTACGCCGAAGCGACGGTATACCAGGTGGCGCAGTTCTTTGGGCCAAAATTTTTTTTTTTTTTTTTGTCTGGGAACTTGAAACCTTAAAAAAGCCCGAAGAAGCCAAGGTAGTGCAAAGTTTTACCATCTTTGTCCAGAGGCTGTGTATCTTGGCCCTAATTTGCCAAAAGCAAATGCCAAAGCTAAGCTTCACTTCTGCTGTTTGGTTTTCATGTGGCAGCTTTGGGCCCAAATTGCCAAACAAGTACCGGAGTGAGGCTTGACTTCTGGTTGTTTGGCTGTCGTCTGGCACTTTGGCAACTATGTGGCAAGCTTGGGGAAAAGCCACTGAAACACCAGAGTACCTCGACGCTAATGCCTCGGAATAAAACCGTATTATACCAGAGTTGGGCCCCTAGGATTGCCAAGCTTGTGCCAGGTTGGGCATTTCTCTGGCTAAAGTAGAAGTCTGGGCTAGTTGGTAGTTCATGATTAAAGATTAAAACAGCGCAAGGACACGGACAAGAACAAGAAGGTAGACAAACAAGGCGCTGACTTACAAGAGTTGTAAGTCAGCGCCTTGTTTGTCTACCTTCTTGTTCTTGTCCGTGTCCTTGCGCTGTTTTAATCTTTAATCATTTCTCTGGCACGTGGGAGGGGCATCCCACATAGTACTGGCAAGTTCTAAATCCAGGCAGCTGGTTGCATGTTGCACCAATTCGTTAAAAAGTCGGTGTACTGGTCGTACCAGAATGGTGCTGCCATGTGCAATAACGAGGGATGGCGTAAGTGTGCGCATGACATGGTTTTCGTCCGTGTTCACCTGCACCGAGTTTGTTTGCGATGTCAGGTTTTTGTCTCCTCCTCAGCCGTTTCTGCAACTTTTATTTTGCGTGTAGTGTATTTCAAAGAAATGTTTTTCCGAAAAGTCCAAAGAGGAAACTAGGAAGTATGTTGAGCCCTCTGGGAACCATGGAATCTTGTTTTAGAGCGCAGCTCTTAGGGGCCCGTTTCCGGCTTGAGCGGCGTCTGCGTAACCGCGAGGTCACATGACCCCCCCCCCCCCCCCCCCCCCCCCCCCCGAGGTCACGTGACCCACCCAGGTCACGTGACAACCCTAGGTCACGTGACTCCCCGAGGTCATTACGTGACCCAGAAGTCACGTAACCCCCTGAAGTCACGTGACTTCTGGAGGTCACGTGACCTCAGGGGGACACGTGACCCACCCAGGTCACGTGACACCCCTGGGTCACGTGACCCCCTGAGGTCACGTGACCCCCTGAGGTCATGTGACCCCCTAAGGTCACGTGACCCCCTTGAGGTCACGTGACCTCAAGGAGTCACCTATCCCTCAGTACGCTTCCATCTTCCTCCTCAAGAGCTGCGCTCTAACCGGCGTTACAGGGAATTGTAAACGACTTTCATTTTTTTCTGTTTCAGCATCCCTCTAAAGCTAGCAGTCTGCTGTCTGCCTGCCTCAAAACACCATGTGTGTTGCTCCCAACCTATCTCACACAACCCGCTATCTTTTAGAACTATCTGATAGTGCTTACCATCTCTTGCTATTCCCTACTTTGTAGAGCTGTCTTTTATCTCGTAAAACTATCACATACTACTTGCAGCCTCATAGATTTATCTCGTACCACTTACTGTCTTATGGAACTCTCTCATGCTACTTGCTGTTTCATGAAAATATTTGAAACGACTTGCTGTCTTGTTGCAAAAGCCTTTTTGGATGCATGGATGGACGAATAACAACGGTCCTACCTTTTATAATGGGCAGTATCTTTAGCGATCTAGCCTAAAAAAAAAAAAAAAAAAATAAAGCCTCAGTTCTTTTAAAGGCCAATGACCGGACACAAGCTTCTGCAAGGCAGAATATCCTCATCACCCTGGGGGAGGACGAAACAGGCAACGGTGGACAGGGTAGAAGGGGGGAGGAGGGAGCGGAGGAAAAGTGGTAAGCGCGAACTGGTCGTCGGTCTTTAAGCCAATGCATTTCTGTAAAGAAAATTACACGAGTTTGATCATGGCGACAAAGACTGGTAAGCACACAATGTGCGATAGGCCCTTCAGGGAAGAAGAGAAGGGCTTCTGAACGGCAGCGCCTTACGAAGATTAGCTCGTCTCCGACACGCGCCGCGAGATGGCGCAACATGACTGGAAAGGCCGCGCGCGCCTTGCGAATGACTTTGCTTCTGCATGCTCCGACCCCCGACCACGGATAGCTCGGTCGGCAAAGCACTTGGCTCACAATCTCAAGGTGGAAAATTGAAGTCCTGCCCGGGAACCGAAGCCTTTTTATATGGTTCCAAAAAACTGACGCCTTTTGGCGTAGGTTTTTTGTTATAGCAAGCCATTAGAGCTTAATGTTACAGAACTTCGTGGAAATCGGCTGATAAAACACATTCCGTGTCAATAACATCACACCCCGCCTCCACCCCCGGCAAAGCAGTCCCCAATTTTTCTTAGCACGCCACGTAGCTGCCCGTGGGTGGCGGCACCACATTGCCACACGGTTGCCAACAGTATACTCGACTCGCAGGGAACGCATCTCCAAGCTGCTCAACGAGTCACTCATGCTGGTGACGGCGTTGAACCCACACATCGGCTACGACAAGGCGGCCAAGATCGCCAAGACGGCGCACAAGGAAGGCACCACGCTCAAGGAGAGCGCCGTCAAGCTGGGCTTCCTCAAGGCCGAGGACTTCGACAAGTGGGTGCGCCCCGAGGACATGCTGGGACCCAAGTGAATGGACGACGGGACGCGGGACTCCAACTCTTGAAACGGAACATTTCCCGTATTTTGGAAGGGGGAGGGACGTTCGAGCACATAAAAATGGGACATGTCCCATATTTTATATAAGAAGGAGGGACGACGGAATGTGCGACCGCAACTTGCAAAGCGTAACACGTCCCGTATTCTGGAAGAGAGGGGGATGACAAGGCAGATCATTGTAACTCCCAAGACAGGACGTGTCCCGTTTTGGGAGTTTGAAAAAGGGAGGGATAAGCGTGACCACAACTCCCTCAACGGAAATGTCTCATAGTTTGAAACATGGGGAAGGGACGACGAGATGCACAACCAACTCCCCCAGATACGAGGCAAGCCTTAGTTGCAAAAGTTGGGCGTACCTATTTTGCTTCTTGGGGAAGGAAGAAGGGAAATATGATTTTATTTTGAGAACTGACTACATGTATAAATATTAAAAATATTTGTAAGAATAAGGAAAATTCGGAAACAAATGCGATTGAACGTTAGTGGATGCCTTTGTAGCAGCTACAAGTCAAGGTTTCATTGAACATGCAATTTGGTGTTGAACGCCCCGCGGTATTTAGATTGATGCTAATCGTGCGCCTGGAAACCGATTGTGTATTTTAGTACTGGAAGCATTAAATGAACCTATAGCGCACATGTTCATTGTCTGTCATTTGTCTGTTGTTGGGACGTAAGGGTCGCCAGAACGAAGGACTATTTTTACGTACACCGCCTTTGGTCGTGACTGATCAAGCATAACCAGTGGGAAAGTTACATCGCTCAAATGACGGCCCACGAAAGAAGAGGCATGAGCAGGATTATACAAAATTGGCCTTTGCACGGTTGTTTCGAGCTTTTCTGACTGTCGAATTCAGTGTTGCCACAGCTAGTGATTTAGTGGCAGACCTGTTGATATTCTAACTATCTGGTGTCCATTAGTGGCACAACTGACTGCTGAAGCTCAAAATCTTGACAGTGCAAAACAATAGCTGAAAAATGATGAATTGAATTTTGGCAGAAGCTTCCGATAACATACAGTTGTAATGTTTTGTTACCAGCTGACCTAGCATGTTCTTTCCCGTTTACAAAAACACACATGAAGTAAGCATGCATACTGAGGCAAAGAGAGAGAAGATAATGTAAAAAAAAAATACTTTATTGACAAGTCTCATTAATTAGCACAAACTCATCTTCAACTCTGACTAACGCATAGCTGATGAGGTCAAAACTCGCCAGTGTATAACGATGGTCTGTGCCAAAATATTGTGCACCGTCAGTAATACAGAGTTGCAAAAAGTTTGTAAATATGCTTGATAGTTGCCTTCATTTTTTGTACCTACCCGTATGCACACGTGCGATTATAGAGTACTAGCATCGCACTATCGAGGATGGTGCTCAGATTATCCCTAAACATTGCATCATACATTGACAAATGACAATCTGCGCCGCAAATATGAACCTACTCGTAGTAAATGGATTCACGGATAGATCGTAAAGTTACCGAATTGGTGCATTATTTTTTTTTAAGAAACCCATATTCAACACGCGTCACTATACTGCACTGGTTGTCGATAATTGCTAGTGTTGTTAAAATTTTCCCCATGCATAACATATCTAAATGTGTATAACAATCTCTGCTGTAAACATAGTAGATTGGACCCATACATTCGTTCACGCTATTCAATGTGTGAGAGTACTATACGTTTGGGAATGGTATTTATAACGTCGTCAAACACAGTGCTGTATAACGTGAAATCATATCTAACATACGACAGTACTATGTCAAGGGGAATACTCCCTAACATAGTAACGTCTCCAAACGCAATATTCTATAACACGAAACTATGACTCGTGCTCACACCGTAAATATACACTTCCCCATAGAAACGTTGCAAACAGCTACGTAAACTCTACAACGGAAAACATAACACACTAGAAACCTGGCATACATGTATGAACAGTCTTCGTATGAAATCTGGCACATGGCTGCACATTGCAACGAGTTCACACACAGTACTTGTGACTGTAGTCTACAACAAGATGAGAACGGCCGGGCGGTCTTTTGGTTGTCGCGCTTTCTAGCTTCGACGGCTCTTCGAGTGTGCACGTGCAGTCAATGCACGGCGGGAAGGCAAGAGTGCGTGCTGGAGGATCCGAAAGAGACGCCCCGTCGTTCTCATTTCTGTCAGCGACTATAATATTCTAGTTTAACGACTAGGACGCAGCAAGTGATGCAGCCGTTTTCGACTGGAATCGTAATAGCTGGATGGCATTAACGGTTCACGACCTCATTATAAACGGCTTTCCAAAGGAGTACCGCGGGCATAGTAAGCGAGAATCCTTCATTTGGAGTATGAACGGGGTTGACGATCGTCGGGCGAAGCTGATTTGTGCTTGAATCGAAGCGGAGGACGCCGTTATGTTCGAGACACCCTTTGCTGAATTGCCCAAGCACCGAGGAGAAGGCCATGAGCAGGAATGGTGTGCGGCAGGTCAAGAGTAGTGGGAGAAGCTAATCCCAGAAAGCCGTCCTCTTTCTTTACTTTAGGAGAGCGAATGCTAAAGAGGGCCTTCTCCTCCGCTGGTATTGCAACAGACTACAGTTACACGCGCGCTGCACGTGCCGGCACCTGCGGCAGTAACTGTTTTAAATTAGGAGCCTAGAAGGAATGGCACTTCGCATGTGCGTTCGTCGGCACCTTACTTTTAAATCTTTTATGCCGATAAAGAGGGTAAGTGTACCCGCGTTCCCGGCGTTCTCCGCGATGCTTGAGTGATTTGGCAAAGGATTCGTAGCGTGCCAAAACAGGATCAATATAATTGGGGAGACCGAAATCGCTAAATTTTTCCGCAGCCAAATTTGTGGCACAAATACACTGACGGCAGAGAGTTGGTCTGCCTTACGTGGCTCTCATTTATCCGATTAGCAAATTTGAGACAGCTGGCACTTTGCAGTTGGCTTTCTAATAAATCCAATTTTCATCCCCAGTTCTCCGATAAAAGTTTCCAAGCCCAATTTTTACGCACCTCCTTCTGGATTCGAGAAATATTTAAATACCCGAAAACTCTCAACCCCTGGTATAGACAATGTGTCATCTGCTTTTTTTTTTCTTTTTTTCTTATATTTGCAGACACACTAAGTGGACATTGGTAACAAACTATGCTTTTAGATTCGACGGCAAGGTATCAAAGCTCGCCGATTTCTCGAGTCGACGAGAATGCTAGAGCCCGTTGCGCGCTAGGGCTCCGCGGTCGTCTGCTAGGAGCTGGCCGTGGATTGGCTCGTGTCGGCGCTGGGCTCGGTCGGCTCCCACTGGAATTCGCTAGACGACGTCGTCTCGTTCAGCTCCTCGAGGTCTGGGAAAAAGGGCACGAGGAGACGTCGCGTCACGCGGGGATCCCGAGGTTTCTGATCGAAGCAATGTCTGCAACGAGATTTCGAAACAAAGAAACTCTGACTTTACGGGTGCAAAAACTGCGGAAGAATTCGACGCCGGCCGTCGTACCCTCCCCCCACTGTCTGCAGTGACGTAAGGAGTGTTTCTGAACTACTAGTGGGTCAGCCACCCACGTGATCTTAATTCATGATACAACCATTTATAGGATGTGGCATCCAAATGCAGGTTTGCACGTTTGCGTTTGAGCATGACCAAGTGTGTAGTGACCTATTGCGACTGCTCATGAAGAGACACGCTGGTATCATCCAGAGGTACCCTGGAGCACTTCCAATCCGCATGTATATTTTCTAATATCGTTACGCGTCGTGCTTTCGCTGCCGACTTGAGATAGTCCTCGCAACGTCGGAAGCGGCGGTTTCTCGTAAACGTCGTGTAGGTTTCGTCTCGCGCATACCGCAAAATTACGAAGATTGGAAGAGCTTTAAAGTTACCCGACAGATGGTGCAAGTGTGCAGGGCTTGTTCTCTCTATAAACTTGGGAGCGTGTTGGTTTTTGGACAAGGACGACAGAAAGAGTAACGCACTTAAAACGAAGGGATGACGGACACTTCTTTCAACTTGCAACAACAGATACAGTGAATCTCCTAGCGGAGTACTGTTGAACGCCTTCCTGCCCAGGAGGAAGAAAAAGAAAGTGATATAGTAAATACAGGACAAAAGAGGACAGAAAAAAAGTGATATAAAAAAAAATACATTATCTGATGGAAGATGAAATGCAGTTAGGCCAATTTTGGAGTAAGGAATACTATCTCATCCTTAGCTAAAATGATTGAAGGTGCCGAAATATTATTATTAACTGAATTCATGCTGAAGGATTGTATAATTTCTCTGCCAAACCTGTTACTGTGCCCTCCCACAATCCTCGTTTGCTGGAAACTCGGAACACGGCCACTGCATGTGCGGGAGTGAGTGACATGGGGTGAAAAGAGTCTGCTGAGGCTTTTGAAACTCCCACGGGGTGCTTGCGGAGTCTGTGGTTGATGCACCTGCCCGTTTGTCCTATGTATTGCTTACCACACCTAAAGGAACAGACTAAACCTTCTGCTCTCTGCAGGGGAGAAACTTATTGGCATGCTTGACTGTGCATTTTTAAAGCTTCTCGCTCGAGTTCACTTTTCGGCAAAGCTGCCTAAAACGCATTCGGCAAGAAAACGCCACATTGATGTTGCACCTGGGAGCAATGGCTTTTAGCTGAGGCACTGAATTATGAATGTATGGAACGATGGCAAAACAATCTTGCCTATTGCTTTTAGTTGCGTTCTGCCGGTGGCGGCCAAGAAGGAATCTCCGCAGGGTGGCTTTTAGAAGATCCGCTGCCTTGACAAGCCTCTGATGTTGTAAATGGAAGCTTCTTTCGAAAAGGAGAGGGCATGATTTTGTAAAAGAGGAGGAGAAAAGAGACTTACAATGCCAAGTGTAACCGTTTTAGAATAACGGGCACTTGTGAAGGGTAACACCAGCTTTTTTTGTTCTCTGTTGAAATTCCCAACACAGCCCTGATGAAACAAAGTGGAGGTGGATCTCTAGGCATTGTGAACCCTCCAGCGCCTTTGTGAAAGCGAGCCCTGACGAACAGGAAGTAAGGCTTCGACAATTCTCTCGGAGAAATCCGCGCTTTTCACTCCTGCACACGCAGTGTACTAGCTGTGTTAAGAGTTTCCACCAAACAAGGATTTTGGGAAAGCATCATAGCATCCTTCAGCATCAATTCAGTTAATAATAATATTTTGGCGCCTTCAATCATTTTAACTAAGGATGAGATAAAAATAATCCTTACTCCAGAATTGGCACAACTGCATTTCATCTTCCACCCAACAATGCAATTTTTTTTTTTCTGACACACTCTTTCTGTTTTTGTTTATCCTGTATTTACTTATACATCACTTTCTTTTTCTTCCTTTTGGGCAAGGGAGGGCTAAAAAAAACACGCCACCAGAATATTCACTGTATCCGTGTTGTTGCGAGTTAAAAGAGGAAGTGTCCGTCATCCCTTTGTCTTCAGTGTGTTATTTCTTTCGTGTCGTCCTCGTTCTCTCGTTGCGAATGGTCACGAGCGGTTGCAATGCATTCGGTTGCACCCAGACGCAAATACATGCAGCGGCCTCGAGAGGTCGGCTTGCAGCGGGTTACACATTTCAGCCAATACACGCACGCCAGGTGACGCCCACCATTGCCGACCTTCTCTCGTCTTGCCGAGACGCCGAGCCACCGAAAAAGGCGTCGACGAGCCTCGACAAGGGCCAATGCTAGGGAGAAAAACGCGGTAGAGTCTAGAATGTCAATAACCCGTCCTCTTGCGGTGACGACGCAGTGAAGTAAACGGAACGAGAGGAAACAAACCGAAGGTCGGTTTTGGCGGTGCCCCTGCGCGGCTTTTGCAGGGGCGTTTATGGAATGCAGGGCTTGGCTCGCTATCTTCGCGCTTCTTCCTTCGTCTGTCATTCTTTGGCGTTGTTGTCAGCCAATCTGAATCTCGTTGTTGGTAGCGGAGCGGTAATAAGATCCTCGATGCCCTTGTGGCTTAAACTGTCAGTGACCGCTATGCCCTGTCCTGCACATAAAACTGCATACATAGTTCAACGAAGTTCGACTTATGGACAGTGTTGCCGGGCTTCTACACAAAGATTTTAAAAAGAAACAAATAATTTAGAAAGCATTTTATTTTATAATTTATCAAATGATTACCGATGTTTACATGCTATAAAAGCAAAAATAGGTATTCTCTTAACGCTTTCTTTAGTCAGGAATGTGAACCAGCGATGCAATACATCCAACAAATGTTGCCTTTTTCCTCCACCAGATGGAGTCTGTTCATTTTTATATTTTCGTGCATGCGCAAAGAAGTCTAGCTTCAGGCGAATTTTTGTCGAACATCACGTCTGAAGTTTGAATAGGTGGAACTCGAACCTGGGCAGGTCCTCCATGACATCCCTAGTTGGAGTTAGAGTTAGTTAAAATTAGTGGAGTTAGTGGTGCTAACTCTACTGAACCAAAAGTGACGATTTTTGTGGCTTCACTTAATCTGAAAACCTAGCCTAAAAACGTTTGTTGTTACAAACAAAGCTGCAAGTTTTGCTTGAAATACAAATACCTACTACAAGGTTTGTTTGGCAAACAAACACGGACACAAAAAAGCTCTGTTTGGAGCACGTCCAGCTTAGAAGCCGCCGCTAAACTGGCCAAAACGCTGTGGCCGTCATGGCGCATGGTTCGAACGACGACAACGTACCTCGCTGCCGCCTTCTCCTGACAACGGCTTCTTGGGCCTCAATGGTCTCCTTCACCAAGTCTGGCTGCTCCTCGTCTTCCAGGCTCTCTCCCGAGACAGAAACTGCGTAATTGCATGCTTCAGCAGTTGCGGTGCCCTTTGCCCGTTTGCAATAGGCCTATTGTTATATTACCCAAGCATCAAGGAGAATGCAGGGATTAGTGTTCCACGTGCCGCACATGCTGGCGTCAGCAGTGGCAACTTTTCTAAAGCAAATACGTAAAACAAATGACATCTTGCACGCGCGTTCGTCAACGCTTTCTGGGAAAAATATTTGCTATATCATCATCTTCCTCTTAATCGGTGGCAACGTTACTAGAACACTCAGTTGGGAAACTCGCCGTTGAAACCTGAGCCGCTGGCATCCACCGAGACCGAGCTAAATACGGCAACAGCGCCACTCTTTATCATTTGTCTGTACTGTGGTCACCTTGAGGTTTTACAAAGCATGTTTTTGTGTAAAAACAAACGGAAAAGACTTTTTGTATGAAATTTTTTAGAGTTCAGTACGAAATGAAGGGCGCGTGATGTTTTTTATAATCTTTAGTTTGCAAGGTTTTGCGGCACAATTAATATTGTTTTTATACAACCATGCCTCAGCGGTCCTTTCAGGTAGCGCGTCCCGACCTAGGTGCATTTTAACTTCGGTAGAATTTCGCGGCGCGTCCGCTGGGGAGACGGGGGTGGCACCCCTGTAACCTTTTCCGCTGTATCTGTTTCGGCGCCTAAAGGGCCGATTAAAGCCAAAATAGAAGCAACGTGCAGTTCCTCGAGTGGCCCCTGAGGGAGAAATGGCGACGTTGTGTTCGCCATTAGCTTGGTTCTGGTGGACAGATTGGGGCCACTTTTTCAGAGCAGTCTCTATGGCAGTTTCCCAACTGAGTGGTTCTAGTAACGTTGATAGGTGGCTTACATGTACCGCAACAATGTATTGTAAACATACTTCAGCTTTGCTTTGCTATGCCCGTATCATTAGTCTTTATTTGAGTTTACTATATAGAAGTTTTGCTATATTTGAGGCAACTTTATTGGCAATGCTGCAGCGTTACACTCCACTCAATGCGGAGAGCGAGTCGTCTGCTTCTTGCACAGGACTTGCGAAGACACCAGAATGATGCCGAACTTTGATTGGCTTTGATTGAAAGGAGTGTAGATCTCAATGCTAGATGCCTTGAGGTCTACCCACTATTTTTTTTCAATCAGCCAATAAGAGCTCGGCGTTCTGACACCATTACAACACAATCCCTGTGCAAGAAAAGAAGCAGACGAACTTGCGCTCCGCATAATACAGGCGGTGGTTTACAGAATGTGAAAAGGTATTGTGAATGATCAATTGCCAGTGCTATGAGTGCACAGTGTAACACACTTATGTGAGGCGCCAACCTAGGCAGTATGTTTGGTGTAGGACACCAAAGCGTACAAGGAAGACGTTAACTTATGTCAAAGTCACGTTTGCACTAACCGTGTCGTGCGGGCTTGTGGTTTAACAAACTTAGTCCTTCCCTATGCGCCTGTGCATGATTTCACGCTAATGTTACAACACATTTTTTCGTATCCCACTATGTTTATAGCTACACCTTCTGTTAACCTTGAAGAGGCCCTAGTACTTTCATGTTTTAGTTATTTTTCCAGTTTATTTTTTACTCCCATGCTCCAATTAAGTTTTACTGTGTGTGTATGAGTAGTACAGATTAGGGCCCGTAAATAAGCTAGGATTCAGACAAATGACACTTTTGCCATCCTGGTTAACTTAAAAATGTGGGAAAAACTTTGCCGTCCTCCAGAAACGTTAAAACGCTCTGAAACAGGGTAAGACGACATAGCCCGACCTTCCTAACACTGTTTCTAAGGCTTACGAAGTCGGATCCTCGAATTGTGACAATTAACCTTTTTCCATACTACCGCATTTACCCACATAATGAACACCCCCCCCCCAATGAATACCAATATTTGGACATTTTTTTTCCCCTCGCGTAATGAACGTACCTCCAATCTTTGGCTCTGCGAGTCTCAAATTGCGTCCAACCTAGCTAGCCACCAAGCCCACCAAGCCAATTTTCTTTCATTGCCAAGTGGTCAGGACAAGTCAAGCCAAGCCAAGCCACTCTCATAATGGCTGCAAGTGCGTAGTTGCGAAAGTGATCAACTGTGAAACCAAGCGGAGCACACACTTGACGAAGCTTGGGTCGAGTAATTGGCCAGCCCCAGACATTCTTCGCCTATCGGAAGCATTGACATCAACGAACATGCGGTCGTCTGTGGTCCGCTTTCGGGCAGTGAAATTGTAAACATGGTTAGACCTAAGAATGGTTGCGTTGCTTTCCGTACTGAGTGAGCTTTGTAGGGCGCTTTTCCTTCAGCAAAAGGCACGCCAAAAGCACCCTAGAAAGGTTCGCAATTTAAAAAGCATGGTTACTCTGGCGCGCCCCCAACCAGCCGTGGGTGCGCCAGAGTAAGTGAAGACGTGCCACAGTACCTTGCCTTGCCATACTGGCACCTAATATGACATTTGCACGAAGTGTGTAAATGCAAAAATTTTACCCCGCGTAACGAATGCACCCCCCAAATATCTGTCAATTTTTCAGAGAAAAAGTGTGTTCATTATGCGAGTAATTACTGTATATGGCAATTTCTCTACTATTCTCACCTTCAAAAAATATCACCATTATACCAGAAGTATTTTCTGAGGTTGCTGCCATTGTAATCGTTACGAAAGCGTTAAATGTCATACAAAGAATATTTTCTTTTCGAGACATGCTAAGTTAGATTAATTTCTGAGTGAATTGAGCAACGGGAATGACATGATCGCTCTCTTGTTCTATTAAAATATGTCAGCACGTTGGCGGGACGGTGCCATTCCAACTTTTGTTATCATAACAGGTAGGGGCCCAAAGTTAACACACAACACACACAACACAACACACACAAGTTAACAAGTTAACAAACCAAAGTTAAAGATGTCACTGACAAAACGGTGAGTTTATAATAAGTTCCTTCTTTATAAAATCTTTCAACTGCCCCGATCCCCTTCCCATCCACCTTATGTTGACCCTCGACTCTTCAGAATGTGGGCTATCTGGCCCCCACACTCAAATGAGTTTGAGATCCCTGCTCTAGAGGTTGTACCGTACTTAAAAAAAGCGCAGCTCGAGCCGTAACCGGCTTGGCCGTCGCACCGACCGTTCTCGTCCTCCGTCCGAGCGCTGGAACCGCTCCGCCTCCTGGAAAGGCGCCTCCGCCTTCGCGGCTTTGCGGGCGCCAGCCGGTGCCAGGAGAGCAGCGCCACCAGCGCCACGAAGAAGAAGTTGGTAGAGATGCCGATGATGGCCGAGCAGAGCGGCCAGTTGTATAGCAGGTACCTGCATCGTACGTAGCTTTCATTTGTTCAAACTGCAAAAAGTCGTGAAGTTTGTTTGAATTATCGGAAATTCATGTAAATTCGATGCAATTCAAACTCGAGGGGAACCGAAAATTTGTTTGAATAAAGCAAAGTTTGAATTACCGAAAGTTTCCTCCCATAGAGATGCATAGGATGGGGCCTGCATGTTAGTTTGAATTATCCACAAGCTTGAATTAAAAGGGTTTGAATTAACGAAATTCGACTCATGAATGGCTACACATACAATGCAGAAATTTTATGATTTCCTCTACACAGGATTATAAGCAGGTATACCAAACACGAAACACTGATGAAATGTATCACATAGCATTATTCATCCCTTAAAAATGTTGCCTATTGTGGACTGTTTAGACAGCACGTAATATTTCAAAACAAAATTAAGTTTGTTCATCCGGGAACAAAAGTTGTCTACTGTGAACCATTAGCCCCTTTGAGCGCGCTTCTTATCAAGCATTGATGCACTGCGGAGAAGCAACACCTGCAGAAGCGAGCTCCATAACTGTTGCTTCTCCGCAGTGCACCCGTGCTTGGTAAGAAGCATGCTCGACGGGGCCGTGAGGACAAAAAGTAAGAATTACAAGAAAAAGCCACTTGAATTAAGCGGCTTATATATACATTAACAATATAGTGGGACAATTAAAATTTTAAAATTTGTTTGAATTATATGAAATATACAAGTTTAAGTTATTACGCATTAAAAGTCAGCAATGCGGCTCTCATTGGAAGCCGCTTGGAGACGAGAAACGGACGTTGTCCCCACAGCATTTAAAGGGGTCATGAAACGCTTTTCCAACTTTTTCCTGTTTAGCTTTCCTCCTCAACTCATAAATCACGCATTCCACCAAACAGTTCAAGAAGACAAAAAGAGGGGAGGCCCCTCTTGCTCGGAATCTGGTTTATGTACCCGGACAGAGCCATTGTCCCCCTAGAAGATTAGCCCGTCGCTCAAAATTCAGACAAAAGTTGCTTTCCGATACCCGTTCACCCCGGAGCTGACAGTGCTGTGGAAGCTACGTGCTCGTTGGGCCAGCCCCACTTGCCACATGATCACGCTCCTCCGCGCATACCCACACGCAGAGATTGAGGTCAGGTGATAAAGGGAGGCGGCTGATTGGTTCGGCAAGCGCGTAGCTTCCACCACAATGTCAGCTTAGGGTTGAAGGGACTAAGTGAGGTCCGGTTTTGTGTGACGTCAGTTTGGACCCGATGACGCGCTTTTGGGACCGCGGATGTATCACAGTGACAAGGCAGAGAGCTTACGAAGGGGAGGAGGTACGAAATAGTCCGCTGTGTTTTCAAATTTTCGCGCTGAAAGTCAGGCTTTTGTCTTTCTACTTTTTTTCTTTTGGCCCACTGAACGATGTGCTATTAGTAAGATCCCAATCGAAAATGATTTGTCCCAACCCAAAATCCGTTTCATGGGCCCTTTAACAAAAATGTTGCCATTCTGACAATGACGGCAGGGATTTATGCAAATTTGACAGCTCTTGTGACCACAAAATCAATAGAACATGTAGGAAGTATGATATGTCCTGGAAGAGTGCCTCGTCTTACACATGCGTGCTGTCTAACTTTATATTTGTCCCCTTCAGCTAAAGGTTTCTGTCAATAATCATACATTGTCCATAGGTCTGAGCTAAATAAGTCGTCAAATACAGAAATCCTCCTAAAAAAAATTTTTTTAAAGGTTTTATTTAGAAGCTCCAAAAAACCCGTAACCCACCCACAGAGAAAACACTTCCTAGGGTAAAGCCAGCTTTGCCTACAAAAATTTTCACTTCAGGACCTTTGCTATAGGAGCACGCCATGTAGTACTGGTTACAGAACATTTATAACATAAACAAGCTTTACTATTCTCCCAAATACTAAAGATTATACGGTAACTTGGCCCGTTAATTAATTGTTGGCGCATGCAGCAAAGGGTGCCGATAAACCGGCAAATAAATTAGGGATCTGACACACGTGCTAGGAAATAGCAAGAAAAAAAATCCTTTTTTGATCTTGTTGAGATCAAACAAGCATGGCGACGCCTCACCGCCGGTGAAAGTTCCACCTTTGGTTCACACTATGCATGCATCAAATTACAGTTAGCAATCTTTCTTTTTTTTCTTCAATCCTTAGTATTAAATTTGGCAGCAAATAAATTCCAAGGCCCAGCCTTAACTGTGATATGGTTCTGGACTCGGCACTAAGTTACCGAAAACACTCTCACCTGAGACCCGTGAAGTCGGCATAAATCTTGAGCGTGGCGGTGTACACTTCTATGAACTTGTTTCTGATGACAATGCTTGCTTGAGTGGCCGGCCTCTCCTGAAACAAAAGTAAAAGGGTGGACTTGTCACACTGCAATCGTCACCTCACAAGCCTGGGGCTTTTTGCCCTTCCCGTCTTACTGCAGATGCTCACGCTGCTAGCACATCATAAAAAAAAAGAGTCCGCAGACACTTTTGCAGACACGACTGTGGTTTTAGAAACCTCTCTATGTGCGCCTTAGGTGGCAATGTACCATCTCTAACTGCACACAGTTCTATAGAGGAGTCAGAGGCACTCTTTACTAAGGTGTCACGAGCACTAGAAAAATATTGCTAAAAACGGAAGGGGAGACTCTAGTCGTAAAAGTATTAAGCATCCTCGCCAGAAATGCCGCTAGCGTGCCTTCCAGATGTAGCATTAATCTTTTGCGGGTCGGCTACGCTTCAGTCGTGACAGGCTTGGGAAACTAGCTGTGCAAATAAAAAAAGTGTTCCCACCACATTTTTAAACAATAAAATGTCACTTAACGCAGAAAGTGAAGGTGGAAGGGCGAGATGGTTAAGAACCTGAGACAAGGAAGAATATAGAACTGCAAGGCAAATCGCTAGGCAATTACGTAACTTCCCCATTAACCAATCGACGTCGAACACCTCACTTCTCCTCTCCCACCCGTCAACCAATCAGTGTCGACCCTTGCAGCCACACTTTTATCCAGGCTTCACCTTGAGCTTCATGAAATGCCAAATACCAAGTTAAGGGATGTTTCTCATTAATAATGGACACCACAATACAAAATCACAACATTTCATAGAGAGAGATATATGGTCCCTCATATGTGTGTTTGAGCAATTCATTTTAAATTCTAGACCACCCCTAAAAATCGGCATGCTGCTGTGGCAAACCACTGTGCTCCGTTCACCTTTAGGTTGAGATTGCAGCCTATGCCACAAGCACAAGAGCTTGAAGTCGCTGCTTTGAAGCGTTCTTCCACAGAACGAGCACTCGCGCCAGAAATGCACGTCTCAAAGCCAAGAGCGCGGGCTAGCTCACGTTTGTAGCTTCGGCTAAAGTCTCAGCGTAAGGGTAAACAGAGTATAGCGGTGAGAGTTAATGGATGGATGGATGGCAGTGTCCAAACCCTTAGTATCCAATGGTAGCTTGTAGAACCAAGAATGGGCACGCGAACTACTCGTAGCCGTCACTCACATAGTCCTCCTCGTATCTGTCGAACAACAGGACTGATACGATCTGCTTCTCCTCGGCCGACCCGAACATCAGCATTGGGATGTAGGTGAGTGTCGAGAAGAGACGCACCATGGCCGACTTGTAGCGAAGAACACCCTGCACGCGCCAACGTAACACATTTGGCGCAATCTCACACCTGCCGCACGAGGTTTAGGAGATCCAAACTTTAATTGCTACGCTGGAAACAAAAGAATGACAAGGACTTTTTGGATGTGACGAGGGCATGTCGACAGTTCCTAGTGGCCATTGCTCTGCACCATCGTCTGTTGCAGGGTTAGAACAGCAGGACAAACTCTTTGCAGCAAGGGCTTCACTCTTTCCACTTTGACAGAGCGAACAATGGAGAAAAGGAGAGTGGAGAGGAGAAGACCGCCAATTAAGGCGAGCAGAAAGCTTTGCGGGAAGAGCTTGTCCTGCTATTCTATACCTGCAACAGACATGGTCGAGCATTGGATAGGGTTCACATTGTGTCATTGGGCATGGCAATAACTCAATCTATGCACACTAAGCGTCAAAAAAAAGAAACAATACTACAATTGTCTGCAGCTCTTTGCCTATTAAAAATGTTATCAAAAAAGCTCCAACGCACCCCATTCTCTTAAAAAATAAAAAATAAATAAATGCGGCCTCTCACAAATTTTTACTATATGTTTTTAGCAACGGAATGGTTTGCACGGCATCGTAATTATTGGCTTTTTGGGATGCTCGGAGAGTGTGGATCGAGTCATCCCCACAAAATGCCAGACTCAAAAGCTTCTTAAGTGCCTCTTTAATCTTCTCTCTCTCTCTTGCAGAGAGACAGTTTTCCTGGACATCTTTCGACGCTGCCTCGACAACAAAATGATACCTCAAGAATCAAAACTGCAACTTTCTGAAGCAACTCGCCCATCTTCGAGGCACACTGACGTAAGCATACTTTCACACATGCTCCACACCGTGCACACATGCTATACCGCGACACATCTCTAGTATTGCATTTCAGTAAATCAAGTTAACGACGTCCACTGCTAAAAGCTGGTTCAGAGTGCGCTACAACCAACTTTTTAATCATTTTGCGATTGCTTACAATTGACTGTGCTACTGAGCAGCAGTCACGAGAGGCTTAAAAACCGGTTGTAGCGCACTCGGCTGCAACCAAACACAAGTGTGTGAACCAGCCTTGACACTCAAGGTACCTAACTATAATAGAACAATTAAAGATGAAAATGTGAATCACAGTTCCCTCAGTCTTTTCCAACAAGCATTTTACTTTTGAATCGAGCGATGGCCTTTGTGCTTTGCGTGCTCCAATTACCTGCTGCGACTTCGTAGAAACCCTTCACCTATTTTTTCCGCTCAATAAAGGGACACTGAACTGGCAAAAACTGAGACTTTGTGTTGTGCCGTCCTTCCCTTCCCCCTGTCTCGGGGTTTTGTCTAAAATGAAAAACCTCTCTTTGTTCAGTGCTAGGATAGGACATGCTTGTCATACAATAAACTTATCCACTCCCAAAAACGTGTTTGCACGGTATTTACGTCACGAGAAACATTCACAGTTGGGAGCTGTCCCAGAGTCTTGGCATGTTGTCTCGGAATAGAAGCACATCAACACTCAAAGTAAGTCTCGCAACTTAAATTTTGTGAAAAAAAAAAGACAGTTTTTTTTTTGTGGGAAAAGTGTTTCTCGCCACATACATGTCTTCTCCAAACACAAAACAAAAAACATTTTTTTTTTTTTTTTAATACCGGGCAAGCATTTACTTAAAGTTTGGAGTTGATCGTAAGAAAATGGGTCATTAATTTTACATATAAATGTACTGTGCATATTTTCTCAGATCTTACAAATTTGGGAACGGGCGCTTCGTGTGGAATGGGCGGATGTGCAGCATTTTACGGCAGTGTTTTTCCGAGGTCCCCAAAGAAGATTTCACTTCAAGACGTTTTCGACTGCTTGTACTTCCTCTTGGCATCTTTCGTAAGACGTTCTGTTTCTCGCACGTTTCTTGAGGAGTTCCAAATCCGGCTATCAGGAGAGATAGCATTGTCTCGTCCGCAAGAGCGCACTCTGAGAATTAACAAAAAAACTAAACGAGAAGAGCGGGCCGCTCGGCTTACCGATCTCAGCGAGGACCTCACGACCTCCCCGGTCTCGGTAATCATGTCTATCTTGACCGTAAACATGCCTGTGGGGGGAAGCAAAGGGTGCAACACTTAAAACACCACGAAGACATCCATTTGCAGGAGTTACGAATGGACACACAAAACACAGTCAGCAGAATGTCTCAAGCGATCCAGTCAGATAATGTTGAATTATATGTTTTTGTTTTTAAACTCGTTATTAAGATAATACTGGAGTCGTAGGGGTTTACGGTTGTTGATGTCTTGTGATGCGAGTTTAGAGCTATTTGCACACCGCTATGCAATACATAAATCATACATAAATAAAGTGTACACATTGCAGAGATTGTGCTGCTGTGAGAATTTCAGCCCATAAAGGCGCCTGAGTTAGGCATTAGAGGCGTTAGGTAACAGACACCATATTAATTTACCAGACACTACATTCCATTTACAATCAGATGAGTTAGGAGATGCTATTTTTGAACAACTTAATGACTAAGACCTTATTCGTATGCCACCGAGTGACTTAGCAGATGTTGTTTATCTGCGGCCTTATTGGTAGTAGGCACTATTCGTCTGCTACCTAATCAGTGTCAGATGGAATGTGTACGATGGTTCCTCACAGAAAGTTGAAGACATCATATAATTTTTACTCAGAAAATTCTATAGACTCAGACTTTCCTAACTTATTATGCATTGCCATTAAATGTGACATTTGGGCTGTGTTTCAGCTTTCTGTGATGTGTACTTCAAGGATGCTTGCCAAGAAGACCCATACAACTTTGCGCGAGAGAGCCTGAACTTTTCTCACCTATCCTCTGGTTTGCATCAGATTCAGGCATCTCTAGATCGAGGTAGATTTTGTAGCGCTGTCCTCTTGCCAGGTACTGTGCGATGGGAGAATGATTTCGGCAATGAGATACTGTCATCTTTGTCTCCCAGAGATTAGATTAAATCTTCTACTGAAGAAGCTGATAAAGGCGCACCTCCCCATATCCGGGCCTGACCACAGTCACATTGGCCACCGGGTAGTCACAAAAGCCTTCTGGACAACTTCTCGACCTGAGGAAAGATGACATTGTTGTCATAACAGTGCAATTAAAAATGTTATCAAGCAGACACGTGCTGTATTTCCTTTTGACAGATATACAATAGAATTTATTATTATGGGTAAGAAAATGTAAACACATATATTTTATGCTAATCATGTTGTTTCACACCCGAGACTGTGTGTGTCTGTTCCTTCGACTAAAATATTTTTTTCCTTTTCTGCACCACAGTTTCAGGTGTTACGCAACATGATTACAACCAGCTCGCCTGCACACTTACGGCCTTTTCGCTAATATTTTATGCGCCTCATTTCTTCAAGGGTGTTTGGAAAATGTCCAGCTGAAATGGCGAGGACATATAAAACCATTTATAAGAAATTAAAAAAAAAAAAAAGTTAGTTTAGCAGCAACTGCAGACCACTGTGATGTAGTATATGGAATAATTTTGAATGACAGACTTTTGCTCACAATATACACTTTAAAAATAAACACACACGCACGCACAATGTTTATTATGTAGCTTCCTTCTGAAATCGACATAATATTCTTGTTTAGAATCATGTTTAACTACCCATAGTATAAAGAACTTAGAAAGAAAACTTTAGAATTGTTTTTTTTTTTTTACTTTTAATTTTTGCAAGTTCCTCTACAAACCAATTCGTACAACTGTGAAGTGGTGCTTTCTTTTAGCGCGACAGCACCAAAAATTAAGCAGTATAACCAGTATAACTGCGCTGTTATCTGTATGATAGGAGCAACAAGTACAGAGAAAAACGCAAGACATGAGATCGGCCAGTCACAAGCCAAAACAAACGTTGAAATGATTCACTGGCCTTTGAATCCCGATAAAGAGCAAAGTGCGCAGACCTAGGAAGTACTCACTCGAAGTGCAGATGCACTGGAAAGAGGTGAGAGGACTTTGGGATGTAACTCCAATAGAACATCCCGTACAGAAGTATGGACGACCATGTTATGACGGAAAACACGACCGCAAGGAAAAACGTCCGAGCTACCAGTTGCTTGATGGCGGCGACCACGGTGCACGGTAATCTCAGGAGCGTCCAAATCATTCTGTCAGCTCGGCACAAAACTTCCAAGAAAGTTGCAGACGTGCAAACTTGTATCCATCGTCGACTCTCGCTGATAGAGAGCTCGTTCCCGTGGCTGTGATTAGAACGGTGGCGGAATCAGCTGACGAGTTAAAGGACCTTCTCTTCTTGCTGCACGAACCGCAACGCGGAATGTATCCGGCGGGGTATGCGCACACTACCACTTATGAAGCGTAATTTGTTTGAAAGTCGGATTTATCGATTATACACACAATTATTTAAATTTTATAACGAGTAAATCAACAAGTCAAGTTTTTTAACAAATCTGAAAATTCAAATTAACTTCACATTTGTAAGATTTTCTGGCGGTGGAAACGTGCGAACGGCGGATCGGCCTCAACTTCCGTTCCAACGTCGCTTCCTTGCGAAAGTTGAGCAGCAGACGGCCCCGACAAGAATTTTTTTGCCTGGTAAAGTGTTTAGCCGTCAATTTCTCACCCATGAAGTCGGTCCGGACGGCTGAAAAGGATCACACAACGCCGCCTTTGTGCTCGTGAGGCAGAGGATGTCGAGGTGAGGCTCGAAAACATCGTTTCTCCGACCATCCAACGCGCTGGACCTGTGGACGCCGCGGTTAGGCTTAGCCGATGAACAAAAACATCGTTGCGTATTTGACAAAGCAGACGTCTACAAACCGCGGGTCCGTCTTTAGAACGTGCCGGATGGTCCGTTTTCCTCAGCTACAGAACACAACACGGTGTGGGAACGCTGTGTTTTTACAAAGAACGGCGAACAGGGCTTCCGCGGCGGAACACATAAATAGGCTTACCGTTTTCTCAGCTCTCCGAAGCGTTTGCTGCAACAACTTGGGACACTGGGAGCTGGGGTCGTTGTCATGAACTCGCTACTGCATCGTGTAGATGCCGATTTTCAAAGTAGTGTCGGGGGTCTACAAACGTGTACGAGATGCTTGTCTGCAGCGCGAAAAAGACGGTCGTACTCTAGAGTTAGTCGTGGATCAGTCAGCGTTGAAACAACTAAGTACCCTGAGATATTTCGGTTTGGCCGGTGTACGCCAATTTTTCGTGGCTCGTACACGACCCCGCAGAGTGTATTTGGCCCGCAAAATTTCGGATGATGATTGGTGGTATCGTTCCAAGTTCGCTCTCAATTTTTCCAGTGCACGTTTGAAGTATTGGCGTGTTTCCCTTGTCGAGGTATGAAAGCCCAGCTTAAACAGCAAATGCACAAATTTAGGATGCTGCCGTCCCCAGCATGTTTTATGTATCCTCATTTTTTTGTTGTCAATAAGCGTCCATGTTGTATGAGCTCGTGTTTCATACTTGGAAAAGTATGCATGAACGCATGCCACCCTGCCATTGACGAGACTTTTAACTCTTTACCTACCATAAGGAAAAGCAGTTGACAAACAATAAACACACCACATCTTTTTTTTTTTTTTTTCTTTCTTCATTAACATATGGTGCGTTACAACATATCAACACTCTCCTTATGAGCTGATTTTTAAAATAAAACAAAAGTTAAAATAATTTATTAAGTTTTGCAAACTTAGTAAATTAGTTACTGAACTTGAAATTTATGCAAAATAAATTGGAAAGCTGAAACACAAATTTTGAAAATGCTGCACACACAAGGGTTATGCTATAACTACATTTATCACTTCTTAAAGCACACTAGCTGATGCTGTATGTTCTTGGTGTACCAGGGAGCTAGCTCCTGTGATGCCCGTGCCATTCAGAGAAGCAGTTGCTTCTTTTTACTCTTTGGTATCACCTAGAACCACTAAATAGGCTACGTTAGAGCCACTAAATAAAGCTACGCTAAAGGTCTATTCACATGACGCATCTTGTGCCGTGAAGCTAGGTTTCGGAAAACAGATGCCCCGTGTGAATGCGACCGAGAAAGTGGCACGCCTTCGAACAAGGTTGCACATGCTCCTCGCTTCTGGAGCGAGATTTTGCTGAAACCTCACCGAGGCCTATCAATCACCCAAAGGAGAAGAAACGTTGAAGCTTCCGATGGTCCGTTTGATGTCGCTATGACGTCTGACCTTTGAGGTGGAGTGGGCTTTTGGAGGATGTTTTTTTTTTTGGCCGATCCCGTATCCGAGCCAAAGTCGAAAAGAAAAAAAAACAAAAATTGTGGCGTCGAGAGAGGCAGAGAAGCTGTACGTACGGACGATACCGGTTAGCAGTACAGGTTGGTGCAGTTGGTGGTGGAGTGCAGATTTCTCAATGAGCGCAGCACTGCATATAAACATGATGACTGAGTATACTTGCTCTTTTAGTGGTGCAAAAATGTCCGAAATACTTGGAGATTGTCTGCCTGTTCTTTGACATTCGTGGTCTTTCCCTGGTTTGGCAGCCCTAGTAGAAAGAGTGAGCCAAATCCGGCAAAGTTTATCGAGTGGTATTAAGAAAACAGACAGTCTTTTCACACTGCATACTTCTTATCATTTTGATGCAAAACACTTGATATTCTTGTTGCAGATGACAAGGTTTTTGAAATTCTCGTGAGTCAGTACGTCACAGGTTTTGCGCGTCAAACTCTGTGTGAACGGGCCAATTTCGCAAAATATCGGTTTTACTAAACTATTGCGTGTTGAAAAAATGCATAGGGTAAATAAACCTTTAAGAGTGCCAGCACTTTGCTCTCGGGTGGGCACAGCCATTTCGGTGCTTTGTGCAGGGCAGGCACGATTGGCAATGGTCGCAATTAGAAAATGCAACTTCCAGAGCTTTGGATACAACGTCGAGAAGCTCAGGCGACATTGTTTTCCTCTTTGGCGGACTGTTCCAAAATTTCTAGATACAGGAAATCGTTTCTCGCGATTTCAGATAAAGCTTTGGACGACTGGCAACGTGATTTTAAGCACAAAATCCTGGTGACATTCCACACCGCTTGGTGATAGTTACAATATCGCAAAGGGGGAAGCCAATTGGCTTAGAAGGGTGAGGGAAGGAATCATACTTTTGGCTTTTAGTTTCTAAGCTAGGTGGCGTAAGCTGCTGCCCGTTATAAAAGGTACAGTCGTTAACATCCTTCGATCCATCCGTGGCTCTGGTTCGACTCGAGATGTGTATTCAGTAAATGAGCTAAACCTGTGAGGAAAACATGCTTTGCCGTCCAAGCTTCTTTGTTCTTCGCGCTCGAAAGTCCAGGATGCATTTTCGGCGCTATCTAGGCTTCGAGTGCTCGTCCGCAAGGTGAAGGCTATCTGTGCATCCCCGTGCAAGGTGCAAGTGGACAGGCCTTGTACAAACAAGAAAACAACCGGCGTTCTGAGCACTGCGAATTTTCGAGTCGACAGTACTCGAGGACAGAGACACATCGTGGATTTCATGCAACCTTTGACGCTCATACGGCTCAAATGAATGTAGACTCTCTTGGTTTGTCGGCAAGAGGAAATGTGGGATCGTCTGCTAACTTGGTGAAAACATTATGGAAGATAGGATAACAGACCCTTTTCAGACGTCCATCGAGCAACATTGATAGTCGCCTTTCTTGGGAGGAGATGTACCCAATGATTGGAAACCAAGTAAAATGAGACTAATATATAAAGGCAAAGGAAACGAAGACAGTACTGAGTCATATCGTCCGATAACGATAACTTCAGTTCTGTACAGATTAGCTATGCAGATAGTAAGGCATAGAATGGAGGAAGGGCAAAAGATATTCAAATACTGGGTGAGCTCCAAAATAGATTCCGAAGAGATAGAAGACTGGAAGATAACTTAATCGTCACCACTCAATGGCTAGAAATAACAATGAAGAACCAAACTCCTTTATGGTTAGCTTTTTTGGACATAAAGGGAGCGTTCAATAATGTTAGCCAGGAAAAACTCTGGGGTCAGCTGAAGGAGTACAGTTTAGATGCAAATTTGGTTAGGTTTCTTCAGCAGATGTACACAGACAATAAGGTAGTTATAACATGGGAAGCAAAAACTACACAGCCCGCAGCAATAAAAAGAGGACTCGGGCAGGGCTGTCCACTGTCACCGTTGATCTTAATGATATATATCAGTTAAATGGAAAAGAAATTAGAGCAGAGCAACTTAGGCTTTGATGCGAGTTATATGGAAGGAGGGAGAAATGTAATATAGGTAATACCAGGACTGTTGTACGGGGATGAATAGTACGCATGGCAGATAACCAGCATACATTACAGGAACTAGCTGGAATATGTGGAGAGAAAGGGAACACCTTGGGCATGAGTTTTAGTAGTGACAAGTCTGGAGTAATGGTATTTAAAGACAAAAAGAGAAAAATACCAATATCTGGGAGCCTGGCTCAATGAGGGAAGAAAATATCTAGAGGAAGATGAGGAGATTATAATTAAAAAAGGAAAAAAATAATTAATCTATTACGATGCTCAAGGCACTATGGAACTATAACAGATATGAAGTGGTCAGATGTATATAGAAAGGAGTGATGGTACCAGGACTGTCTTTTGGCATTGGGGGCACTGTGCATGAAATCAGAGGTTCAGTCAGGAGTAGAAATTTGACAAAGAAGCGTAGGCAGATTGGCATGGGAGCACATGGAAAAACACCGAATGAGGGATGTACAGGAGGACATGGGATGGTCGTCTTTTAAGAGCAGGGAGGCAACTAGTAAGTTAAATTTGAACAAAGGTTGACTGAAGTGAATGATACACAGTGGGCGCAGAAGGAATTCAGATGTTTATTTATCCATGAAAAGTTTAAACACCAAATGGACAAACTGAACCAGAAAGCTTACATTTAAGTACCTACACACTGGTGATGGGGCTGAGCAGACTACTTGAGTGGAAAAGGGGGTGAAAGTGGCAGAGAGGAAAACGTGGGAGGGAAGAATGCAGGAGAAATCAGCTCTAACGGTGTACAGGTTACAAGAACAGGACATAAGAAAGGAAAATCTGACAATTCACTGGGAAATTTTTTGCTGTTCGAGGCAAGAACAGGAGTTTTGAGGACGAGGACATATAGGGCTAAATTTCAGGATGCAGACTCATTATGTGCCGCCTGCCATAACGAGAGAAAGACACTAGAGCGCTTGGTTTTGAAGTGCATGGGGCCTCACCCCGCCCTCCTTGAAGGGGTAACGGATTTGGCTGGGGGCCCTGGGTTTTATTGGCGACGAAGGAAGGATGGAAGAAAAAGGATTACAGTCAGAAAGAGGCGATTAGAAGATTGGTGGAAATTATCTAGGGAAAATTGAATGATGCACAACTAACTAGCACAGCTGGGGACAGACGTGCTAGTTAGTTCCGAGCCTAGGTGAAAGTCTGTGGCCTGTTTGCTTAGACAGTGGGGAAGTTAGTCGGCCCCACCGGGAGTCTCGCGTTTCTGTTGTAAGTGAAGAATTCAGCCGGGGTAGTACGACCGCCAGGCCGGGGCCCTCATCGAGCATCATGCACTAGCGATCCACGACAGCCCGCCGTTACCATCGACGCTCAGCCAGACCGAAACCAGCAGGGGTGTGGATTGAACTTGGGATTCCTGGGTGCTGCAGCGCCTTTACGCGCTCGAGCCCCTCCAAACCGCTGTGCCTCGTTGCACAAACGACAACAGTGACGGAGAGCGCTGCCGGCGTGTCGACAGGCGTGGAATGCCGTTCGTGCAATGCTGGCAAAAGGCCAGGCGAGCGGCGTCTGGTAAGGCCCTGTCCACTGCTCTAAATTGGGGACGCCTGAGGGTTGTCGTCTCGTGCACGGCCGTTGTCCAGACCCGACGAATCGGACCGCTCGCGTGCCCCCCCGCTAGCTTGAGAGTTCTTGCTACTCTGAAATTGCTTTCGGGAAGTGCAGCAGAACCTGCAACTCCACTCTATCTGCTCTAAGAAATAATTAAAATATTTTTTTTGTGTGCATGTGTGATATGAAGATTTTTGTTTTTTGGTGCTGCTTGCATTTACGCACGGACAGCTTTACTTTGCAGCTTACTTGGGGCACATAAATAGATGCTGACTGACACTTGTGTTAGTCCGTGGCTCAAGCATGATGGAACGCTAGAACGTCGCTTTCATGGTCGCGTCTTCTGAGCGTTGCAGAAGCTTTTTGACGGGAGATGAATAGCGGACGGACGGAGGCGGAAGCAGACGCCGACGCGCAGATTTCGTGGTCGCGTCCCACGGGCACTGCAGGCGACGCTAGGTGGCGGTGAAATAGCAGGCAATGCCAGAGGCTGTCGCTCGTCTGCTCGCACGACTAGCAGGCAGTGTTAGACTTCCAGACTAGAAACACTGGATGAGTGAAAGGGAGACACTACACCTGTTAGCCTGTTCAGTTGAGCAGCCAAGACAGCCCAGATTTAATGGGCTGGCCCACAGATCTGTGGGCGATGCTTAGAGCAGGCTGTAACCTCCACCTAAATTGCGTCAAAAAACGTAAATATTGCGCAAAAAAGTTTTTGTGGAAAAATTTAAAAAATTATGTGTCCCATCTATGCTTTTCTAAAAAAAAAAAAACTTTTTTTTTTTTTGTAGTGTCTCTTTAAGCGTTATTCTAGATGTGAGCCACCCACTGATGGGTAGCTGTGAGCCAATCACTCTCCAGTTTGTGAATTATTATTTCGAGTGCTCGTAGGCTTCTGCGCCACTTCATTGTATCAATAGGGAGTTCTAGAATAATGGACCGCAATGCTTTTGGGCCACCCAAGCAGCTTGGGGCGTCGCTTTGCGCACGTGCAGAAGGTCTGCACATGCTCTGTGCCAAAACTGGGAAGGGTTCCACGGTTGTCAGTGGTGCAAAATGGGAGTTCCTCAAGATTGAAAACTTTGAGAACTGATACCATACTAAGTCTACCAACCTGTAATTGTCGAGGAATTTCAAAGCGTCTAGAAAAGTCTGGGGAATCATCAGAAAGCTGGCTAAGCCAAGGAAGATAACCAGTGTGGGCGGCGTGGATGGCTATCGTGCTCAGTAACGGTTGTCCGATGCACATCCCCAGCCAGCATAAGCCACCACCCGTCGTGCTGAATTAAACGGGACTGATGCAGACGACGGCTGCAGCCCCATTCTCTGCATTTTTGTTTGTTTGTAACAGTCGGGGAAATTAAAATACCCGGGGTAAACCTGAAAAAGTTTGGAAATTTGAGAGAAGAAATTCGGTAGGCACCCTGCTGTAAGCCGACTTGAACCCTCTTGCCCTGCCCAGCGTGGGGTGCCCTGCGATGGGGGGCCACCCCCTGGGAGCCGGCGGGGGCATCCTCGGGGGCCAGCAACCTCCTCCCCAGCCAGGGGACAAGACCCTGGGCATGACGTCGCCCATCAGCATGGCACCCCCCAAGGCGAGCGACGTGGCACGAACCCGGGACCTGGAGGACACCCTGCGCCAGTTTGGACTCTTCGAATCGGCCGACGAACTGGCACACAGGTGGGCGACGAACCTCCCTTCACTTCACTTGTGTACGGCCTGTCACCATCGTTTGTGTCCTGTTTGCATCTGTTGTGCCGTCATTTGTTTCCTGTCGTCTTTGCCGTGATCATCTCTCCCATCATCATCTATTGTGTCCTATCAACATCTCTGTGCCATCAGTCACCATCTGTTGTTTCCCCTCACCATCTGTTCCGTGACCACACGCCCCGTCGCCATCTGTCATGTCAACATCTGTCCCGTCATCATCCATCCCGTCACCATCCGTTCCAACACCATCTGTCCCACCACCGTCCCTCCCATCACCCTCTGTCTAGTGACCTTCCATCCTGTTACCTTCTTTCCTGTCATTTTCTGTCCTGTCGCCATCCGTTCCAATATAATATGTTTAGGATGCCATGTTTCGAATAAATCCAATAAAATCCAAAAAACACTTGCCGGTAAACCTTTTGTCAATTTGGATTATCTGAACAAAACTCAGCATTTCTATCTTACATTGGCTAAAAAATAATGAAACAAAAAATTGTATCTGCAAATAAGCTTGGTCAGAGCACATGGTCAGTGGTCCCAAGGAAAAGCTTCTCCAGTTTCCTTTCACATCTCGATCTATTAACAAAATAACAAAAAGTGCTCACCATTTATCTCGTCAAACTTTGGTCAGGACAACAGGTCATTGTAATTTTGGGTCACGACAAAAGCCACCAGTCTAGTTTTCAGCTTGGACTTCTTATAGAAAGGCAGGCTTGTGTTTTTATAACATTGAAAGCTATGATTATAGGAGGGGGGGTGGCAGCTAAAGGTTATATCCTCCCTCTCCATCCCACACAGCCGCAGGGCGGAGCTGTGGAATGGGGTGGGGAAAAAACGAGCTTTCCAGAGACTCCATCACGGATTTTAGTGATTGTAAAGTATCGGCGTTAATTAAAGCAACACTGATTTGAAGTTATGTTGTAGGACGGTTAGTTTTACCAATGGCAAGGGTGCATATGCCCACTCCAGCTGAAGAATATTCTACACAGGTGAGAATTTAGGCCAGGTAATATTTGTTTTTATATTGAATTTTGGAGAATTGGGTACACAGCAAAGTTAATTTTTGAATTTTGGAGAATAGGGAATCTATCATGGAGAAGTTACAATAAACTCAAACTTTTGGCAAAAAATAAACTCGGAAAAACGTTCTCCGAATTTCATGAGAAATGAACTCCAAAACACGGGACCCTCCCTACATATGTCCCATCACCACCACCCTTGTCACTATCCGTCCTGTCACCATCCGTCCTGTCACCATTCGTATAGACACCATATATATAGCAGATGACAGGGAACACGTCAAAGACCATATGATGACATGGCAGATGACAGGGAACACATGAGGACACAGCAAAAGGTGGCTGGAAACAATAGACGGTGACAGGAAATAACGACAGGAAATAACAGATGTCAGTAGGAAAGAAAAGATGACTGCAGGAAAAAACAGATGATGACAAGACGGAAAGTATTGAATGTGCCACGATGTGTCATCATATGGTCTTTCCTGTCAGGTGCATTCCTTCCACCCAAGTTTCCAGCCTCATGTATCCCTAACAAAATTTTTGTACATAGAACACCTTATGGGTAGTTTTATGACGTGGTCACGTCACGTTACAGGCAGCTAAATTTTGCAGATAACATCACTTCCATGTCGTCTTTTTCTTCTTTTTTTTCTACCTAGCCAGGCTTATAACATGGCATATTTTGAAGTATTAAACGGAAGTGGGCACAGCATACAGAAAGTGGAGACGGCATATCTGTTTGTGCGAAATGTAGGAACTCTGTACAACGGATATAGAACATGTAGGTCCGTCACTCGATGCCGTAGGGGCACCCGGACACTGTGGTCTCAGTGTAGCCTCGTTTGCATGTCTTTCCCATCCTCATTCCTTTAGGATGGAGGTGCTCTCCAAGATCAACGAGCTGGTCAAGCAGTGGATCTACGACGTCAGCGTGAAGAAGGTGAGGGCTCCCTTTGGCTCGGGCGCTTGCCCGTGGAGTCACTTTCGAAGCAATGCGCTTTTACAGAGAGGCCTTACTAGAAAATGACTGACATTACCTATTAGCTCCATCCTCTTCCCTCTAACGGCTCAAAGACCAACTCGAAATTTCTACTACGGGAGCGGGTTTCATGTGCGACGAGCCATCAAGTGGTCATGGTTAGAGCACCGTTAAGAAGTTCGGGGTACGGTGGCTCGCTTGAGGGTTGGTTGCGATAAGCAGAGTGACCCTGTCGTCATGACGACGAAATCTCGTAAGCGACTTTTTAGACGGAGCTTCCTAAAGAGCCGTTTTACGGTATTAATGCGAAAGCATTAACTGTCTCATGGAGCGAGCTGACGTAGTCAGTTTGAAGCGCAAAAAGTGCACCTAGTTTCCGCGCTCCCAATATGAGCGATTCGCCTTCAGTTCCACGGGCTGGCGCGCGTCGAAGGGGCTCCCATTGCCCGCTGCGCCATGGCCTCCGAGAGCGCGCGCACACTTTGGGATCTCGAAGGCTGTGCTCGTCAGTTTCCACGACCGCTCACCCCATGGTGCTGCATGTCCATCAGCGCGCCGTTAACACGGAACGTCCAGGGGGTCCATGGTCAGCGTGCCCAGGGGAGCACGCGCGCTGACCAGCGACGAAAAGTATGCAGCAGACGAAAATGGGAGCGGACGAGCCGCTTGCATGCTTTCACATTCACAACTCATAAGAAATGTTTAGGTGTACCTCGAGCTTTTATTTTTTTTTGTACAGCTCGTCGGGCCTCGTGTTTTTCATGCTTTCTTGTGAAGTCCATTCAAAGGGCTTGCTCGCACGTTGGCGCAGTGGTTGTGCTCGTAAGAAAAAGGGGCAGACCGTCATTCTCTGAGTGCCTTCCATGGATCGCACCAAAAGACCAATCTCACTAGGTGTTCGGCACCCGCGTGTCGCCGCCATAACTTTAGTTCACAGGAGACAGAAGGTCGTGCATGCGAGGGTTCATGCCTTTTCGTGTTCTACATGCGCAGAGCTCCAGCAAGAAGGTCTTATGTGCAGAAAGACTAAAGTTCCCTCAATGCATTGCAGCAATGGTGTCGTAGTCAAACTGGCTGGTGAGATTGGTTTATTGACTAGTGACGGACCGAATCTGTCGAACTTCAGATTCAGCAAAGTGCGGCACATGCCAAACTTTTGAAGGAAAGTTTGGCAAAGTTTCGGCAAAAACTTTCGCGCGAGAACGACAGGGCCTATATTTTCTGCTTGAAAACAGGAGATTGACCAGGATTTGACGCAGCCCACTGCGCAAGTGACAAATGCAGTACATTCCAGATAACATTATTTCCATTTGATTCTTCCAATGATGCAATGAGGTAGTTGCAACATTGAGTCACAAGTACTTTAAAGCACTCGTCGCAAATATGAAAATGCTGTTTTCAGCTCACAAGTAGTTTGTGTCAAATCAAAATAATATTGCTTTTTAATTAGTGTTATTTCGCGGCTTTCATCTATCCACGTAAAACTAAACACAGAACTGTCGTGCTCGACGTTGCACGTTCAACATTCCTAACTTTTCCCATCTTCCTAAATGTCAGTGCGGGTCCTGTCATCAGAAACCGGCATTTTAAAAGTTAAAAACAAGACGTGCGGATATGGGACGCAGACTTTCATGCAAAGCTGGCATCAAGTGACTCAAATTGAAAAACATGCATATTTACAATAATATTGTTCTCTCTATTCTGGTGAAGGCACTCCAGATTTCTTTGAGTGTAGAGCGAAAACCGCTTGGCGGGGTGTTGGAAGTGGTGCAATGAGGGAAATGGAGTGTTTGCTTGGCTGCACCGGTTTCTAAACACTGCCTCGCACAGTGGCTTTGGATGTGGGGGTTGCGTCGTCGGAGCCTGCCCCGACTTTGGTGTACATTCCCTCCGCCCGCAGAACATGCCGCCAAGCGTGGCCGAAAACGTCGGGGGCAAGATCTACACCTTCGGGTCGTACCGCCTCGGGGTCCACACGAAAGGTGGGTACTCCTTCAACTATGGGTTATGGGGTGTCTCGTTGTAAACTGGGGAAACAGTAGTTGACAAATTCAGCACAAGAAGCACCGTAAACAACCTCACTTTCAAGGGCTCAATATTTTGCAAATTGTACAGATAGTCTTGGGAATATTTTGCGGGCACAAAATTTTGCGATTGGGGAGGGGGACAAGGCAATATATTGGCGAGATCACCTCCGTTCAATGTTTTTCAAGTCGTAAAATTAACAAAAATTAGGTAGTTTACAGTATTCGGAGATGGTGTAATTCACAGTGGCATACTCCACATTCTAAACACGCTGGGACAGCTATTTGCCAGCGGGGAATTGGCACAACAACAAAAAAAGGACAACAGAATTTTTTTTTTTTTTTGTACTCTCAAGCAACATTCAAATATTTGACACCATGCCGCTGTCTCCGTGCTAAATCAAGCGTCTGCCAAAACATTACCGTACCGAAACAAAGCCGTCGCTTCGATCTGGCGTAAGTCTCTTTGGCCGTGTTCCAAAATTTACTCGGTGTCGCTCTAAGGTAAAGGTTCTGTACCTTGCCGTTCGAACTCTTACCCGTGTCCAGCATTGCTCTATCATTCGTGTCACATGACATTATCCACCGGAGTAACGCGGATCAATTAGAGCGAGATTTGGAACACGGCCTTTGTCTGCTCGTTCTTGGTGGCCTGTCGTCTGCTCCCCTCTCTGTGCCCTCCCCCTTCTCCCCCCCGCCATGATGCAAGCCGGTGCGGTGATGTGCAGGCGCCGACATTGACACTCTGTGCGTGGCCCCGAGGCACGTGGACAGGACGGACTTCTTCTCCTCCTTTGTGGAGCTGCTGCGGCAGCAGGAAGAGGTCAAGGACCTCAGGGTGAGTGCATCTCTCCGACCCCCCTATTCCCAGACGGCGAGGTTGTAATGCCGGGGTTTCCCGCGTCTGCTACCGAGGTCCGGTATGGGGCACCGCTCGAATACGACCGCTGCGTCAGTTGGGACCCGAGTCCCAACGAAAACCGCTACTGCTATACTCATGTCCAATCCAGCATGTAGCCTATAAAATACAGCACTAAAGCCGTCTAGGGGATGCTGGTCTCATCCCTCTCCCTCCTCTCCCGTTCAGCACAAACCTATAATTATCCCTCTAAACTAGGGGTCTGAAACACGCGGCCCGCGGGCTGCATGCAGCCCACGACTCACTAGGATATGGCCCACAGGCAGCCAACCGTCTACGAGTCCCGGTTTCAACGCTCTATGCGCCATATCATCTCGCCGATTCATTTTGGCTCGAAAAGTAGCTCTGCTCTTTTAAGGTATTAAGATAGTTTACACTTATCTGTGTTCATTCTCCCTTTGTTTTGCTTTTGCTTCCTAGCTTTTTTTGTAGTGTACAATTCCGCTACTAGGCTGCTAGCGCGAGTTCTGCGCTGAAGGATGCATCGCGGCTGCATGAATTTTCTATTTGCAAAAGCCACAGGCAAAGATAAAACTAGGAGCTCGGGATTCCTACCTTAAGAAAATATCACTATTAAAATTCAGTAATTTGTTCAAAGTGTTACAATAAAAATCGCCAGGAAAGCAAGAACTGTCAATTTAACCGATTGTTTCTTTTCGATGCACGTTGAGCTTGGTTCATTTCTCAGTGAATTAAGCATTGGGAAGGACAGTGTAGGTTCCTCTCTTGTTTTATTAAAAATGTCAGGACATTGGCGGGGTGGTGTCATTTCTACGTTTGTTTTCACATCAGGTCAGGGCCCAAAATAGTCATATAGGCAAATCAAATATAAAGATATCACTGCCAAAACTGAGAGTTTACAAAAAGATAAAGCACAAGGTCTCTCCTCTTCAAAATCTTTTGAACCCCTCCTCCCCCCCATTATTTTACCTTGGCCCTCGACCTTTCCGGTATGGGCTATCTGGCTCCCACACTTAAATGAGTTTGAAACCACTGCTCTAAGCAATGTTTTCCTTTCAGCAGTTGTCTGCACTCTAAAGTGTTCCTCAACCTTCTGCACCTAAGGTGTGTTTCTGGGGTCGATTTCTTGTGGGAGTTGCTATACTTCGTTTCACCTTACGTCCAGATGCAGCCAACGCTGCAAACTAATGAGACCAATCAAACATCGTCAAAAGCACATTATCGTGATGTTCGTCATGTTTTGTATGTGTTCAATCATCGCTGAAGCAATCATAAGTAGAAAAGGCCCAGTGACTTGTGCTCTTGGCACCACTTAAATAGGTCCCAATAGATTGTGGCGTCTGCTGCGTCTGGACTTAAGCAAAGACGAAGTGTAGTGTCTGGAAGGGACAGTGACATCACAGCAGGGTGATTTCGTCGCCCGGTCATGTTTGCCTGATGCCAACGAGCCCTCAAACTCTGAGAATGCTCACGGAGACATTTGTTGTGGTCTGCGAATGACGTAAATCTTGAATGTGGACTTCGAGGAAACCCGACTTGCGGCGCATTTTTATGCCTTCAATGATTTTAAAGAGGGTCCAGTCGCTCCTGGTCGCTCAGTCTTTGTCAGAAAATGGTGTCATACACTTCAAGCAGGTGGATGAACTCCGTCGTCTTGTTTTGGCAGGCGGTGGAGGAGGCCTTCGTTCCGGTCATCAAGATGACGTTTGCTGGCATCGAGGTAAGCCGGCCAGTCTCCTTCTATACGTGAGCATTATTTCGATCGCCACTCTTTGCACGCTCGCCTGCAAACAGCCCGCTTGGCATTTGCAACTGCGAGCGTCGCTCTTGGGTTGAACGTTGGCAGCGACTGGAAAGCCATATGTGTCTTTGACCGACGCGTTTTTGCACATCCTAAACAGTGGTTCTTCGATTTCCACCCCATCACGTCGTGGAAGTGATGCGTTGTCGCCGGCCTGTTCTACCGAAAATTGCTCCCCAGCTTGAGAGTCCATGGAGGCTTCAACGTCTAGGGGTCGAAATGCCGCGACAACAGCGACGCTTGCGTTTTTTCGCTCTTTTTTTTTAACCTTTACATCGAACCGCGAGGATTGGACAGCACGACACTGCGGCTTTTGCGACGTCATTCGTTGCCGCTTCGAGACCGTTTTCGATGCGCGGGTGGGTCGACGCGTGGGTCAAGCATCGTGTGATGGCAGAAGCACCCCATTCCCTTCTCTCGTCTCCCAGCTGGACATGCTGTTTGCGAGGCTGGCCCTCAAGGACATTCCCGAGCAGCAGGACCTGAGGGACGTCAACATCCTCAAGAACCTGGACCCCAAGTGTGTCCGCAGCCTCAACGGTGAGTGGGTTGCCGTTCCGTTCCGGAGCGGAGCCCGGGGACGCAACCTCCGGTCAGTGCGTACATCGCGTTTCTGACATTTCACTTTCAAACTGGTGATGTCGTAGAGGTGCCTTCTGTGGTCGTAGTGGGCGTCGCGGCGGACAAGCAGCAGGCACCCATTCTGCCCTGGGTCACTGAGCACACGGGGCGCTAAGCTCACGGGCCGATTGTGCATTTTCTTGCACCAGTCTGTGCGGCCGATCTCACCCTGCGGAGCGCGGAGGTGTGTTAGAACGGACATGTCTTTTCAGGCTGCCGGGTGACGGACGAGATCCTGCACCTGGTCCCAAACAGGGAGACGTTCCGGCTGTCGCTGCGTGCCATCAAGCTCTGGGCCAAGAGTGAGTGGACGACACCTCTCTCGCGTCGCCCCGCTGTGGGGCAAGGCTTAACCATGTCGTCGAGCTTGTCAGACCGCCGTTGATGTCATGGTTCGACCCAACCTTCCTTGACAATTTAGAGAGAGGCAGAAGTGTGGGTGCGTTGCTTTGACTGCGTTGGCTCGAGAAGTTGCGTCCAGGTGTAAACCAATTCTTTTCCTGTGCAGCATTTGGTGGCTGGCTTCTGAAATAACTGGCTCATCCACCCACACGGGCAAGAAAGAGACTTGAACTGTTTTTCGGCTTCGATTGTACCTATCGCTGACATTTGTTTAGTTTTCCTGCTAGCAGTACATGCCCATTTTATTTTCTTTAGGGGAGACACTACTCCTTAAGGCAAAGGGTACTAAAAAAAAAACTTTGAAATTGTGTTCATGTACATTGAGGGCCCCTTATCTTGTTCTGAAGTATTTTCACGGAATAAGTATTTTTTGTGTTGAAATATTGACTTGAAAATAGTAAAATAAGTCTGTGCAGGATTTTTGCTATTATTTCAGAATGAAATATTTACACACTACGCTATTTTATGGAATCCATATCCCCATTTGCACACAGCACACATCCATTCTTGAACATTTTTTTTCTGGTAAATGCACGTGTGAGGTATCAAATAAGGTGTGCAAATATGTTAAATATGGCATCAGGGTTTTTATACACACCTTTTAAACTTTTTGCAATAAATCATTTTGAAACAGGAAAACTCAGAAGTGTCATAAAATACCCATAAATCGTTCTAGAGCTTTCATTTATACCTTATTGGATTCCACAGATCCTTCAGTTTTCCTGAGATACGTTTATTTTCTGATTTCAATATTTCGATTTGTCTTTATCCTTCCCCATAATCTTTGCAATTGAAACTTTACTAATCAGACTTCGTCAAAACCAAGTGCATATTTGTAGTGAGATTGTAAAGGCAGATGAGGTACCATACCTAATCGCATAATGAATGCACCCCCCACAACGGGCATTAATATTTGAACTTCTTTTAACTCGCTAATGAACGCATCTCCAATTTTCGGCTCTGCGAGTCTCGAACTGCGTCCAACGCAGCTAGCTACAGAGCCAATTTTCTTTTGCCGCCAAGCGTCCAGGCCGAGTTAAGCCAAGCTAAGCCGCACTTGTAATAACTGCAAGTGCATAGTTGTGGGAGTGGTCAACAGTGAAACCGAGCGGCAGCACACCTAACGAAGCTGGGGGTCGAGAGATTGCTCAACCCCGGACATGCTTCGCCCATCCGGTGCATTGATGTCAACAAACACGTCGTCCTCTGAGGTCCGCTTTCGGACAGTGAAGTCATGAAAGTGGTTAGGCCTAAGAACGGTCACGTCACTCTTTGTACTGAGTGAGCTTTGTAGGGTGCTTTTCCTTTGGTAAAAGATATGCCACAAGCACCCTAAAAAAGGTTCGCAATTTAGAGAGCATAATTACTGTGGCGCGCTCACAATCAGTTGCAGGTGCGCCTTCGTCAGTGGAGGCGTGCCACAGTTCGCTGCCGCATCATATTGGCATCTAAAATTACATTTGAGCAAAGTGTGTAAATGCAAAAAATTTGACCCCACGCAATGATGCATCCCCCAAATATGTGTTAATTTTTTGGGGAAAAAAGTGTGTTCAGTATGCGAGTATATACGGTATGTAAATCTCATTTGTATTGGATCACACATTATATAAAGATGCTCTAGTCTAGAAGCAGTGTTGCCCCTTAATACCGATTCCTCCCTGTAACCCCCATCGCTGTAACTGTAGTTGATAGATGAAGAGCCGAGGAAATTTGTAACAAAAGGGCGGGGCGTGATGTGGAGCGCTCGTTGAGAAGCCGGCCCTGACCATGGTTGCGTGTGTGGACATTGCAGAGCACGGGGTGTACTCGAACGTGCTGGGCTACCTCGGAGGTGTCTCCTGGGCCATGCTGGTGGCCCGGACCTGCCAGCTGTACCCCAACGCGGCCGCGGCCACCCTCGTCCACAAGTTCTTCCTCGTCTTCTCGCAATGGTGAGTGGCGGGTGGGCGCCGAGTCATACTCCACCAGCCCGAGCTCTCATTCCGTGCCGCATTCACACCGGGCGCGATTTGGGTTGCGGCTGTAAGTCAGATGCCCCCCTTTTTCCGGTGGGGCGAAACACTGACCAGCAGATCCTCAGGTTGAGTGCTTGAATCCCGGCCAGATGTTCGCAGTCGGACAGAGGCTCGTTTGTGGAGATTTTTGTGCTCGTCCAGCTATCGCCGGGTGGTCGAAATGAATCCCCAGTCCTACGCTGGGGTGTGCCCTTTGTCGGCGCGTAAAATGCAATTTGATTCTGGTTTTAGTCGTTGAGTGAAATTGTGCTAGTCTTGTGTCGCCATTTTGAGGAGGCAGCTCGACCACCGGCACGATTCCACGTGTTCTATCCTGCGTGTAGGAATGACTCAAGTTCTTGAACTGCTTCCCCCCCCCCCCCCCCCCGTTTTCTAACTCTTTGCAGCACTTGCCGATGTAATGACTCGCCGGTAATTTAAACACCCCTTTGCTTTATTACATTTGTTGCTTGCCGGGTCTATGGGTTTCTACGAACTTGCGGTCTTCCCAGACTACCCACATAGGTTTCTCGAGCTTCCCTGATCTTCTTGGCCGTCCCAATTCCTAACCGAAATGTTTCTACAGTTTTAAGGCTATTTTAGCAGATAGGAGCCACCCATTGGTGTGAGACTATGAGCTAAACATTCCCTGGCATGCATATTATGGCTACAAGATCTGTGGCCTTCTGCACTGCTTTATTGCATCACTGAGTAGTCCAGAGTCCGATTTTGGTCATGGCAAGAGCATTCTTAGCCACTGATTGGATGTGGCATCTCAACTTGCGCGTAATCAACCAATGAGACATTTTTGACCCGCTGCGAGCTCGAAATCGGGCAATATTTTGGTGAGCAGCTCTCCCGATCTCACTTTGCCGTAGCACTCGGTTCGTAGCAGACAGTCAACTTTTTTTTGGTCTGTTGGCAGACGACATACGGTGTTTTCTTGTTTTATATCTGTCTCCGAATGGAGGTTCGTGGCAGACGAACAGCAGTATTCACTCGTTCCGCGAAAGGCAAATTGGATTTTGCTTTCGCGAGGACCAAAATCAGACCCCAGGAGAGATGTTCCTCAACTACCTGTCAGACGATAGGGGTTCTGCGAGATAATAAAAAGTTTGAGAATCCCTGGTGTAGAGAAGGGCTTCCCAGCAACGCCGTACCTTACAAAACGATTGGTTACATGTCGTCGACCGATCTCTTGATCCCCAGGCCGTGGCCCAAACCCGTGCTGCTGAAGCAGCCCGAGGAGAACAAGCTGGGCTTCCCCGTGTGGGATCCCCGCATCAACGTGGCGGATCGCTTCCACCTCATGCCCATCATCACACCAGCCTACCCGCAGCAGAACTCCACCTTCAATGTGTCCGTGTCCACGCGCACCATCATGCGCCAGGAGTTCAAGCAGGGTGAGCGCTCGTCATTTGAACGACTCAAAGCACGGCTTACAGCAGTGCCTCACAGTGGTGGAGTCTACATCACTATGGGTAATAGCTGTTGCCAGCAGTTCGGTCTAAACTACAAGGACCCATAGCCTCGCGTGGTTCGACGCGTCAAACGTCCCGTCCGGTGAAGTTCGATAGAGACGCACAAGCCGCCAATACTTTTACATGGGATTTTCGAGATACATTTTGGCTGTTCAAAATCGACAATATTTCGAAATCCTTGGGTTCGATGTAATCGGGCTCGATTGTATTCTAGTGAATTTGAGCCACCCTCGATGCGTGACGACGAGCCACATGATTCTTAGTTTGTGGTGGGCCTGCACTCAACTCCGAGGTTTCTTTACTGCGCCAACACCAAGACTGAGGGGGGCTCCTCAGCTGTAAATTGGGAGAGCGGGGGTTCCTTGAGATAGAAAGTTCTGAGAATCCTTGGCTGGTTTGAGGTGGCTCAAATGCACGCAAATGTAGCGCGTCTTTTCCTTTATAATGATTAGACAAACTTAACGGCGTCCCCGCGACCCTCCAGGTCTGGCCATCACCGACGAGATCATGCTGGGGCGCACCGAGTGGATAAAGCTGTTCGAGCCTCCCAACTTCTTCGGGAAGTACAAGTGAGTCGCACCGGGAAGGGTGCTCTTTGCCACTGAAGTTGAAGTGGGGGGGGGGGGGTGGGGGGAGGATTCCAAAAAGTGGTGCACTTCAAAGTGCTCAATGATACGCAGTTGTGCACTTCAAAGTGATACGCAACGGCGTATCGTCTGTCGCCTCTATCGTCTGCTACAGCCGGTTCTTTCCAGGCCGGCACTGTGTGCTTTTGCAAAAGGTGTATTGAGCATGCCCCTCAGTCACTGCAAAACAAAAATTTGCAAATAGAAATTAAAAACATTTTGGTCATTAGTTGGGAGATTGCAGAAGTACTAGCAAAGTCCCCTCTTCACTATTGGCTCGTGCATTTACCAGTGTTGGCTCAAGTTGTCCTTCCGAACGTTCCATTCTCTCTCTCTTTTCCGGCAGACATTTCATTGTCCTCATGGCGACCACGATGACCAAGGAGCACCATTTAGAGTGGTGGGTGCTGCTTCCTCTCTTCTCGAGCGTTCCGTTGGCTTGCTCGATGACGACCTTGGTTGCGCTTCCCCGCAGGTATGGCCTAGTAGAGTCCAAGATCCGCATCCTCATCTCCAACCTGGAGCGGCACCCATACATCGAGATTGCCCACGTCAACCCGGAGTCCTTCCCGCCCTGCGAGCCGGACGGGTGAGCGGCTCCTCTTTGTTCCGATGACGGCCTCGTGCCGCGGAAGTGTCGTAAGCCGTGCTGGCAAAATTTTACACAACAAACAGGAGAGCTGGTTGATGTTACATATTTTTTTTTTTTTTAAAAACGGAGACGACGGGTGAAGAAGGGGACAAACACAGAATGCCTGAAACTCAGCGACTAAACTTGATTGACACAAGCGATTATATATCTTATATATCGTCTCTCACACGCATGTCTCCCGGAATTTGCACGCGTCTATGTGCCCTTCTGCCACAGTGCAACATTGTGCTGTGGCAGAAAGTTGCAAGGGCACATGCAAATTCCGGGAGACGTGTGTGCAAGAGACGATTTATAAACGGCGTGTCAATAAAGTTTAGTCGCCGCACTTAAAACGTTGTCGATCGCGATTGCTCGCGCGAGGGGCGATGAACATGACTCTCATTTGGGTTTACTGCCAGAAGTTCCAGCTGGTTCCGTTTCGATTCCTACATTATTTTTCGTGCGCCGATTTTTGCAAAGATTGAATCTCCTGCAGGCATATGACGAGCACGGTGTAAAGTAAATGGAGACTTGTGGCGCCACAAGTAGAACGTTGCGACACAAAAATAAGAAAAGACAGCTTCGGTGCACTTTTGCCAAGTGAGCTCGGACACGGTCACAATGCAAGCGTCTGCGGGTTCGCGGGCTTGTCGTCACCCTAAACTTGTTCCACAACAATTGATCTGCTGGGTCGTGGCGGTGGAGCGGTTGCTGTGGAATTGCCGGAAGAGCGGCAAAGAAGAGAAGGGTGCTGACACCATGCTTCCTCCCGTCGAAGTTACCATTTCCGACAGCGCTTGTCTGGAAACTCCCGTGAACTCTCTTTATTTTAAAACATACTATCAGTTGCGTTTGAGACCGTCCTCTGTTCACCTCTAGTGTGGTGTCCCAAATTGGCCGCTGTGGGACTTGACAGACGACTTGTTTTCTCTCTTCTTTTTTCGGGAACGGGCGCAGGGATAAGCTTCAGTCGATGTGGTTCATCGGGCTTCAGTTCAGCAAGACCGAGCACGTCAACGTGGACCTCACCTACGACATTCGCTCATTTGTGGACACTGGTGAGTCTGCTGTACCCCTCTTCAATTTTTATTAAGGCAAAAGCCTTACTTGTCTCATTTAGCGGAAAGCGGCGTATGGGGCCATAACATTATGATTGAGCAGCGCGCGCCGCTCGATCGTGAGCTCAAGGATGATGCTGTCTTTCTTGTCGTCCTTGAGGTAGTCCTAGACCTCTAGGATGACCTTACTTGTCCCATTAGGCGAAAAAGCGGCAGCGGCATGCCCGAAAGATGGCCAGAAAAATACAGTGTAGACCGCATATAACGTATGTCGTGGGAGTCCCGAAAATCTGCACTATAAGCGGTACCGCGCTATAACCAAAACATAAATTTTTCAGGCCAAAATACATGCCATCAGACAACTTACCTTTGTAAAAGAATTTATTTTATCTTAGATGAAAAATAAAGCTTAGTTTGAGGAAAGTCTTTATTTCACCAGACTAGTACACTTCCCTCTCAAGTGTGTCACACATTTTGAAAGAAATGAGCGACTTTTGCCTGGCACAGCCTTTTAACGGCGTCGCGGGTTGCGGACGGACGTTGCGAGCGTTCAGGATTGCTAACCCTAATCACTTTTCTCCGGTGATGAAAACACGTGAAAATTCGCATCCTTTATATGGTACGCGCCAGTAATACCTTCAACTTGAGCACAGGCATGAACTGCTCCAAATAAGGAATCCGGGCGATGTTCGAAAACACAAATGCTTAAAATCACCACTGTAGTCGAAGTAAACAAACACGGCGACACGGGCGTCTCTGCCGTCTTGAAAGTGCCGCCACGACATCGCCGCACGAGTAGGTGGATCTTCCCTTCTAGTACGTGCTGGGTTATCATAGCGACACACAATGAAAATTCAGTCAAGGATAGCGCTTTTACGCAGAACGATGAGCTTCCACCACGCCGTCTACGTCAACGATCACAACCGATGCCATGATTGCGGATAGAAGAAGCCGGCCCGCGACCGGCATGCAACGCGCGCGAACCCTTCTCCTCGACCTGCGACTGGTCTGTCGTTGCGGTTGTTTCCAACACAGTGGAGGGCCGCACGCACGTGAACGACACGTGCGTGCGTCCCTCCGTCGCTATGGCAACTGAAGCCTCTCTCTTCGCTTCTCCCCGCTTCTTCGAGCAACCTTCTTGCCCCGCGAGTGCCGCTTGCGGCTAGCACCGTTGTCTAGTGTCGCACAGGGAAGCGTGCTCGCTGCGCCGGTTGGTCAGCGCGGTCGGCGGGCTGTTCCAGAAACTGCACTATAACCGGTATATCCCTTCGCGCGCCTGCATTTTAAGCAGTATGTAATTACATGGAGTTCTATGGGAGGCGAACTGGTGGTTTAAAAAAGCCGCGTTATACCCGGTCCTGCACTATAAGCAGTTACGTTGTAAGTGGTCTATACTGTATGTCATCGAGCACGCGCCGCTCACGCTCACACTCAGAAGGGCGGGAGAGTGATGTCACCCCCGAAGCGCCTTATGCAAAAGGTACGCTTCAGGTTTCATCTGTGCTCGTGTACTCTGTGCAATAGACTGTGAGGCAACTGCGTCTACATTTTCGGCAGCTTCCGCAGGCAAATGTGGCCGCCCACGCAAATATACCATAGCCTCCTTTAAGGACACATACAAAGGAAAAAACTTTTTTTTAAACAGTCGGGTTTGGAAAAGGAAGTCATAAGACGAATTTACAACGAAAAATAAAAATTTTTAGAGCTATATTTACGGCGCGATACGAATTTGTAGTTGGCGCCCACGGGCGCCGCGGAAAAGTGGCCTATATTTATCACGTGACTGACTGGCCACTATTTGTCACGTGGTACTTGCACTCTTTCAGAAGCTTCCTATGGTCTCGAAAAGTTACTTATTCATCTTTATTTGAAGTGCAACAAAAAACAAAGATTAATGAGTAACTTTTAGACTCAAAAGGAAGCTTTTGAATAAAGTGCAAGCAGACGTGATAGACGGCGGGGGCGCCCCGGAGCACACAAACTTGCAAGGCGGCGGCGGCGGGGACGCAGCGCGGTGGCACACAGGTCTACCACGTGACCAGCAGCGGCTCCCGCGGTCGCCAACTACAAATTAGTTTCGCGCCATAAATATAGCTCTAAAAATTTTCTTCCTTCTTTGTAAATTCGTTTTATAACATACTTTTTTCATCTAGGCTGTTTAAAAAAAATGTCTTTTTCCTTTGCATGTGTCCTTTAAGTGTCTTCCTCTAGGCGTCTTTCTCGACATCGTCTTCTTCTAGGCATCGTTCTCAACTTTGTCCTTAAGGTCGTCTTAAAAGTCGTCCTCTAGGCTAGGACGTCATCCTAGACGTCGTTCTTGACGTCACCTTTGAGGTCGTCCAAGAGATCGTCCTCAGTGTTGTCCTACACATCATCCTAGAGGTTGTCCTAGACGCCGTACTTGGCATCTAGGACGTCCTGGAGATCAACGCCAAGTATGGCGTCGATCTCTAGGACGTCATCCTAAACTAATGTAGAAACATTACTCGAAAACATTTCTCCCGCGGGGCTAGAATGCTTTCACCCCCCTACACGTAAGCAGTCTTGAGTGTCCTCCTGTATTCATTACTGCGGTCTTTATTTAAAAGTGTAATATATATTTTTTTTTTAACCTAAATTTCAAATTTTTTTGAAAAAATTTGTGTTTCAATTTTGAGGTTTTCAGTTTTAGAAACTAATTACACACACTTCAACTAATTTTGATACCCATATGCCAAATAGTTATGTTGATATAAAATATTTTCAACCCATTGTGAGGCTGTAACAAGGTAAAGGAGTTCAATGTTTGAATGCTTTTTTCTCGGTTTCACTTTTTGCTGCAAATCTCATACGAGGGAATCTTTTGTTCGAAGGTAGAAGTATTCTGATACCACAATCAAGATGTTTCTGGACTGAAATTGACCAGGGAATCGGGCTATCTACTTTATTTTGTTTTAAGTTGGAGTCCTCAGTTACAAAAAAAACAAATGTTTTCAAAAATTGACATAGGACAGATATGCATCTCATATTTTGAGGTAATCGCTCTTCCTGAAATATGTACATTTGAGTTATTAAAACTACCGTATTTACTCGAATCTAGGCCGATAGTTTTTCCAAAAAAATTAAATCCGAAACTCGGGGGTCGGCCTAGATACGAGGATCCGGCTCCGCCATGACCGCGGGACGCCATCTTGTCTACATCGCTTCGGGAAGATACGCTGTGTACCACGGAACGCACGGAACGTTCGTCTCTACTCGACGCTATGGCATCGACCAGTCGATGCCACTACTCCGCAGCTTTTAAGAGGAAAGTTGTCTTGGCTGCTGAACACTCGTCCAACCTGCAAGCCCAGCGCGACTTCGGCGTGGACGAAAAAAATGTGCGTCGCTGGAGAAAGCAGCGTGGTCAGCTCTTTGCATGTGTGGCAACAAGAATGGCATTCTCAGGACCGCGGAAGGGAAGGCACCACGAGCTGGATCGCGGCCGCATGGGACGACATCCCGGCGGAACTGATAGTAAAGTCGTTCCGAAAGTGTTGCATCTCGAATGCCCTGGACGGTACGGATGACCACGCGTTGTGGGAAGTGGACAGTGACAAAGATACGAGTGAGGACGACGAATGATCAGGAAAAATGCGGACATTAACCGTGAGCATGCCGTCGGATAAGTGACCGAAATAGTGCTGTACATTGCAGATAAATTCCGTTCTGTGTTTAATTTATGGTGTTTTTCCTATACTTTTTGGTCAACCTAGAATCGAGAATTTTTTTTTTTTTTTTTTCGGCCCTGCCGTTTTTGCGGGGTCGGCCTAGAATCGATGCCGGCTTAGAATCGAGTAAATACGGATAGCATGAAGTCCCATATCCCCCACTTTATATTCAAGCAGCCAAAATGGTATTTAATAGCTTAATTTTAATTTCATAGATTTCTTAACAAAGAGTGACACACCTTCTTATGCAGATGCGTAAATTTGTCCTAGAGAGCTGAAAGTTTGCACAGTACACCGTCTGATGTTAAATCTCCCCTGCAAATTTCATTCCGATCACTTGAGTAGTTCAGAGGTTCAACCTGTAGCCAGTGTCCCTCTTAACTCTAACAGATTTCAGAAATTGTGGGAGAAGTATTTAGAATGCCAGCTTCTTCGTAATTTTTTTTTTATTGTTTCGATGAGAGATGAAATTTGTGCCATTGGGGACGTTACCAGCACGTCCCGGTGTTGTATCCTTGAAAGGATGGTTTAGTTTCCTGCTACCAGATTTTATCCCTTCGTCAACTGAATTCTCGAAGAAAAGAAAATGGAGTTGTCGGTTTACTTCTCGAGAATAAGGATGCTGTAGTATGACTTGTCTCGGGGACGTTTTGATGGGTGTCAATGATTTCTTGCCGCTCGTTTAGTCTGCAGGATTGTCGTGGATGTTTTGCATGCGTGTTTGTTGTTGTCCAGCTACAATCTCGCTCGCTTATTGTGCCTGTTAACAGTGAAGAGACAAGCAACAGCCATCAACATTCTCAAGCAGGACATGGAGGTGGACATCAAATATGTGCGGCGGTGAGTCGTTCTGTTTCAGTTACACGTGTTTGCATGTTTTTGTGAGGAATTTGGGGAAGACATTTTGAGAGTTGAGGAAATTTGGGGAATTAATGTCAGTTGGACATATTTGTGTGGTGGGGCAGGGAATTTTAGGAAAGTGATGGGAGGATTGGGAAAATTTGGGAAGGGATGTTACTTGCACAGGCTTGTGTGGTAGATTAGGGAATTAGAGGAAAACATTGAAGTTGAGGAAGGGATGTCAGTCCCACACATTTGCATGGCGGCGAGGCAATTTGGAGAAAAGAGGCAGTTTGGGGAAGAAATATCAGTTGCACATGTTAGCATGGTCGGGCAGGTAATTTGAGAAGAACATAGAGTTTGGGATATTTGGGTAACAGATGTGAATTGTGCATGTATGGTTGGCTAGGGACTTTCAGGAAACATTGTAAGATGAGAAAATTTGAGGAATGTACGACAGTTGCACCTGTTTTCATGGTAGAGCAGGAAATTTGGAGAAATCGTTGAGGGTGGGGACATTCGAGGAAGGGATGTCTGTTGGACACATAGCATGGTTGGGCAGGGAATTTGGGGAAAACATCGCAAGAGTTGGGAATTCCAACTCTCGCAATGGATTCCCCTGGAACGGGGGGGAACCAGAGTTGATGGGGAATTTTGTTTGGCTGGAGAAGTAAGACAATTAGAGGATAGGTATTATTTATTTTACATTTTCAATGACTCCTCAGAATGCAAGTTCGGTGTGTATTGGTCACCCAATGAATAAAAGGTTCATGATTGCGATCACGCCTGGTGCTATTAAAAGCTCTTACTTTTTTTGGAGCTCGCAGGGGGTAACTACGTTCAGTGAGACACTGATGGCTCTGAACCTATTCTTCATATTGTCGCAGATGGAAAAGGATTGACAGGCATAAAACCGAAAATAAAGGTTTAGTAATCGGCGAACTTGGGCCAGAAATAAAAGAAAGAATGAGCGTCGAGAAAGAAGCAGCGAATTTCGAAGGCGGCAGAAGCGAGCGTCTAGGCGTCGGCGTAACAGCTGGATAGCACATGGGTGCAAGAGTGTCCGAGTCAGCAAGGCCACGCTAGGATCCTTATCTGCTACACTCTATCTCAAACATTCGGCCTAGAATGCTTGAGCGTCAAACACTCGGGAGACTGACTCGGCAACGTCATGTTGGCCTCCTTATCTATTACACTTGGTATCTAGAACATTCGAATCGAACGTCGAATCATTTGGGGTAAGGGTAAACGCAAATCTTCCACAAGTGCGGAGTATCATTCGTCCATGCACAGGGCAGTATTGATTGGGAAATCGAGAAACGTTTAGCTATTTCGAGATAGAGCGTGCTAAACCTTTTTGCCACTTGCTCGTACATATACACTTCATACAGAAAGACTGAAATTATAGGAAAAACAAGTGGTACAAGTCCTGCAGGTTGAGTGCTGGTTTTCCTTTCTTTTATTTTTTCAGGAGAGAACTGATCAAGTATTTGCCCCAGCCGATCTTGAACCGTTGCAAGAAGAAGGGAGGGAAGTCGGTGAGTGTCGCGCCGTTGTCTTTCTTTTGTGAAAACCGGGTCGACTGGAGACAGTGCCGCGAGAGTAGCAGGATTCTGTTGCTACGTTGTGCATGAAGGTGATCTTCTCCTGCCTGTTAATTTTTGCAAAGCTTGTAAACTTTTATAAAGAAAAAGATTGGATGAGGATGGGATCTACTTTTTCTATAGCTCTGGTTTTTGAGGAGAAAAAAGTAGACTTTGGGTTCTCACACGGGGTTCCTAGGTACGCAGGAGTTCCCTAAAGCTCAAGAGTTCCCGAACTCTCTCAGTCGTTGCCTCTGGGTATTGTGTTTTTACGATTCAGGTGCTTTTTTAGAAGATCTGTAGGTACGTAGGCTCATCGGGGCAGCTTCGCCGTGCCAACCTCACAGGTATGTTGCTGTGACTTTCATAGCAACGTTCCCGCGAAAACGGACGTTTTTGGGGGTGCGGTGCGACTTCCACGACGGCGTGACTTGCAGACTGGGAAACGCGGTATTGGAACGGCCTGCGCCTGTTGGGAGACGCGTGCCCCAATGCGGCGGCGTCTTTCCGTGCAGAGCCTGACGCCCAACTCGACGAGCAACAGCCCGGGCAGCACCCCGGTGGCGGGCAAGAAGCCCCTGGCCACGAGCAAGTCGGACTCGGCCCTGCTGGGCCTGGTCGGGGTGGACGCCAACAGCTTGGCTTCGGACGGGGGAACGCCGCAGCCCGGCGAGGCCAACGACGCCGCCCTCCTCAACCTGGTGCGTGCCTCGCCTTCGCCCACTACCGCGCTGCTCGTCCTCGGGTCGACACCATCAAAGTTGATAGTTTCTTTTCTTTCCATCGAAAGTAGAACTAATCACGCTGAAGACATCATAGTGACCGTTGGGCCAATCTGGAAGGTCGACCACAGCGACGCTTTTGGTCGGGCGTGTCGTTAATAAGGTCAGCTTCGGCGCTTTTGTCTTCCGGTGCAGTATGTAGCTTCAGTAGAGCGTGCAGCCTACGACTGCACGTTTAGCATGCAGCCGGCGTCTGCTCTTGGAGCGAGGACTTTCCTCGGCACGTGCTTGACGCCAGCGAAGCTTACTAGACGTGCCAGGAAGGCTCCTCCTTACGGGCCTTGCGTACCACTAAAGTGGAGCTGGAGCGACCACGACGAATGCAACAGGGGAAGAGAAGGTTGGGAAATGCCGAAGAGACAGCCAATTTTTTCGGTCGGCACTGCATCACCCTTTCGCCGGACCGTTTGACAAAGCATAGATTGTTTTTGTGGCATGAAAATGATGTTTATTTTCCTACGCCTACTACTCGGTATTGTCAAGGAATATAGTCTGTTGTTTTTGCTAGAACACTTTAGTGGTACCAAAATTGCAAAGCCGGAGACTTAGCTAGGTCCTTCTGCCGAGCTATTCAGCATATGTCGAGTGATTGTTCGTCTTCCAAGAGTGTCTGGATGTTTCCAACAACTCTCACACTGCCCAATTCTTTCAGCTAAGCACTGGGAGAATTTGTGATGAAATATTTAATGGGCATTGCAAGGAGCAGTGTTTAGATTGGTATTGTTTGTCCTCCTATTTGACCAGAAGCACGGTGTAAGAATCATAGGTGTGGACGCTGAACATGTTGCAGCTGCCAGGTAAAGTCCTCTCCTCACCTCGGTTGCAAGCGGTGCCACCAGATGACTCTTTGACAAGCGGCTCGTGGCAGCCTATCACAGGCCCGGTTTCCTATGCTTCTTTATGGGACACATTCTTCTTTTTAGAGCCGTTTTCTGGGTGCGCCGCATCGTGTAGAACTTGGCACTCTTGCTGCACATGTTACTTGGACACAGCTTTGTCGTTCACCTTTGTTTTGTGCCTCAAGGGTGGCAAGAAAAGTTATGAACGCATTCAAGCGGAAGGCTCCCTAACGCGGTGTTCGAGCCTGTGTTCGTTGAGGTTGGAGCAGACGTGCTGAGCGGTAAGCGCGTGCCCAGGTCCCATGGCATCAAAACAATTTTTTTTTCTTTCTCAGTTGCATTGCTTTTTTAGCAGAGACGCTGTCGGCATAGGCCAATCGTGTGTGTGCCACTAGCCCTCTATCTAGTTTATAACATTGCAGCATTTGCCGCGCTGTTTCCTCTCCCAAAGAGTATCTTGCACCATGACCAGTGGAAATGCAAATTGCAACAGCGCCACCTCGCAGCATTTTTACGGATAGGGTCTGTAGTTGCCACGGTGTCGAGCGGTGGCGTCCCGGTGCCAACGTCCGCTGCGGTCCCAGTCTGCAGGGTCCGTGCCAGGCCTGCAGTCCCAACACAAGCGGAAGCTGGACCTGGAACCCGGGAGTGCCGAGTCCACCCCCGGCGGACAGGTGGGCGGGGCCAACTCCACGGGGGAGGAGGAGGAGGAGGAGGGCGGGGCCAAGCGGTGCCGGTCGGACGAGGCCAACAGCACGGCGTTTCTCGATGCCATCGGACTGGGCAAAGGCGACCTCCCCTTCCTGGAGGAAAGGGTCAGCGACGGCAACGGCAGCGCAGAGGCGGAGCCGCAGGTGAAGAAGGGCTTCTAGATGATGCCGGCCTTGTCCGGCAGTTTTGGTTAGGGAGATTGCATCTGGCCGGCTAGGCTGGGATAGCTGACCACCATTGGGTGATCGTTGAGGAAATCTATAGATGAGTCCAGCCAAATAGGGAAAACCTGGAATTGTAGGGAATGCGGAACCGTCCAAGATTAACGATAATTGGCAAAATCTGTCAAGAGTGTTTGCTGACTAGGGAAAACATGGTATTGTAGAGAAGGTGAACAGCACGGCGCACAAGAAGACAAGGGCAGAGGAAAGGAACATGCACAACATGTGTCGTGCATGCTCTGTTTCTCTGTCCTTGTGCGCTGTACTGTTCACCATGGCATCGTACCAACTCGCCCAGCTTACCACGCTTCTGCAATTGTAGAGAACTTTGGTCCTGGCCAAGAACTGTATTGATCGGAGAAAACTTCCGTCCTGTGTAGAACTGGACAATAATTGGTTAAAAGCGTGGAACAAAGCTGAGTCCTCGTAGACCCTTTTCAAAACAGCACTAGGATGACACCTGTGGTTGCCACTCATTTGTCGTTACTCCCACTGCTTAGCTTTCGATTGGACCCGAAGCCAAGCCAGCACAACGATTTTAGCTTTTGTTAACAGGTCTGTAGACCTTCTGCTGAATTGCACAAGCGCCAAGGAGAGTGCGGGGAACGTAGGTTTACACGCTGCCCACGCTTGCCTTACTTGTATATAAGGGTCAATGTAAATAATTAAGGTAAGTGGCTCACAAACCCACGTGCAAGATGCCATTTGTTTAAAAAAATTTGTTTAGAACAGTTAGTGCCGCAGACTCCAGCAAGTGCAGCACGCCTGGCTACTCTGGCAGCGTTCTCCTCGGTGCTCGAGCAGTTAAATTTAGCAAAAGGTCTATTGGGAGCATATGTAGGGTATCTATATGTAGTGCAACTTCTTAAGAATTCAGAGGAACTTCTAGACTTGTGTCCGTCCTACGTCCCTTTTCTCTGGCTCCAGGGTTACCATGTAAGTATTGAACCAGCTCGCCTGCACTCTTGCTTTAGTTCTAGACTTGCAGACAGCTTCCAGCCTTCATGGGGGGAGGTAGTTGTGCGTTACAAAAGTCCCTAGAAGGCGTTTCTTGAGGGTGGAAACGTCAAAGAACAAACCCTTCCTTCGTTCGTTTATGCCTACCCTCTCACTTGTTTGGGAACGGGCGTGCACCTCATTGCTTTGCAGAAGTGTTGGCTAGCCTGAAGGAAAGATGGAGAGAACCATGGCGCGCGTGCCGCCGTCTTGCAGGTGGAGAGTTCGCGGCCTGCGGAGAACTGCGCGGTTGCAGACACCTCCCTCGGCGGCCCGGAGGAGCCGTCGCGGTCCAAGGAAACTGCAGTGGCCGACTCGTTACAGGTGTTGTCTCGTCTTGGCACCCTTTGTTTCGGGGCATTAGAGTAGCCCCAGAAGCAAGTGCTACGGGAGCTTTTTTTTTTGGGTGGAAATACCAGCGTGCAGTTAGGGGTGTTTTCGGAAGTTTGTTGCAGAGCAGGAATGGTATCATGTGTAATAAACAAATGCAACATGCAGTACTTTTTTTGCTAATATTTTATTTAAAATGTTTAATAAAGATAAACTGCCTCTGGCTAGGCTAAAGACCTGCTTGCATCTTGTTGGCCTTACTGGGAAGTCTTATGTAACTGGGAAGCTAAATTGGGGACAGGCAAAGACTGCTTCCTCAGCGTTTGCTTTTGTTTGGGGGGGGGGGGGGGGGGGGGGGGGTAGTCTAAAAATTTGACATAAAAGGACCTTAGTGACTCGGGCAAAGTTCCATCCTGATGATCCCCAATTTATTGCACAGAGACGTCTTGTAACCGGGATTTTCTAGCCACGCTAAAAAAATGGCAAGGCAGTGTAAAATTGATTTTTAGTCCTCTGCTGGGGCCTGCCACCACCCTTGGCTAATTAGTTTGTGTACAGACCCCCCCAAAATTCCTTCTTTTTGTAGGGGCGGGTCACTCATTCTCGCGTTGCATCGCAGATAACTTGTAACGAAACTCGTCTAATGGCGCCCATTTCGATAGTATGTAAGGGGCTTAGCTGCTAGTATGAGAGGTTTTGCTGTCCAGAGCTCAACGCACGAAGCAAACGGAGTCTAGCGGCTATCTACCGATGTCAAGTTGTAGGAACGCGTTGGTTCGCACTCTAAGGTGGTCCGACGACCTCACACGCTGCCTGCCCCAGCAGCGTCCTTTCTTCCACCGCCTCTCGTAGGGGACGGGCTGATGCGCCCCTTCGCACGTCGCTACCCTCTCTCGCTGCACCTCCTTCGCCGCCCTCGGACCTCCGCCCATGCCGATCTCTCGGAACCCTGCACGGCTTCTCGCACCGACCGCATGCCACCGGACGCCGTTGCGAGTCCGACTGCACGATGCTCTCCTCTCGCGTCTTCAACTGGATCAAAACCTGCACGAACTCGCGCTTTTAAACTCCGTTCATCCCTGAGCCGACGGCATGGTGAGAGCCACGCGCTTGTTGGACCGATCGTACGTTTATCTTTCGCCACTTGGTCCTGTTTCCACCCGTACCCTTGCGCAGAGAGTGGGGTCGGGTGACGAAAGGGAAGCGGTTGGTTGGTCCTGCGGCTGTGAAACTTTACCGCACTGTCGGCTTAGGGACGAACGGAGTATATTTTTCGTCGCATAGTGTAGACATTGTTTGTTTCTGGGGCCACCCGGCGTTGGAAGAGCTTTGGGTCGTCCGTTGCACGTCAATGTGGGCTCACTGTATTGGCGGCATGCGTAGGCTCGTAGCTTGCGCAGGTACTTCCCCTGCACGAGCGCTCAACTGGTGTAACGCCCCCTTAAGACTGCGCTCAAACCCGCCGAATCTCTGACTGTGAGAGCAGCACAGAAATTGAAGCTCGTCGTTTTGTTTGAGGCCGCAGCAGTGGTCGAGAAATGTCACCTTCGAGGGTTGTGGCCTCGGGCGACAAAAACAACTTTGACAAGCGGTGCCCCAGAAACATGCTTGGTCTATACCGTACGCTTTGGAAAAAATGGCGCAAAAACTTGGAGCAGTTGATTTTGGGTGCTTGGTGCTTCTTGGTTGCGGTGGTTGCCACTATGGGCTGGTGTCTGCTGCATGCCTATTTCTGCTCGTCAATGACTGCTTTCTCTGAAGGCACGAGCGCCGTGTCTCGAATCGTCGATATTGTATTTTCTAATTTCTCTCGTCGTGACAACGTCGCGTGGCCCGGAATTTGGACCAGGGCTCCGGTGACTTCTAGTTTAGGCGGAAGAGATGCGAATGCCTTTTGTCGCGACACCTCTTTGCCGCAACAAATGGCCCGAGGCGTCTTTTCCGTTGCATGTCGTGTAAATCTCTGTACAAAAGGCCGAAAGTGCATTGGCCAGAAGCTGCAAATGTCATTCGTACCAATAAAGCAATATTATCAGCTTTTGCGTTGCCTGCTTTCGCGGCCGCGCTGCTTGTATAAGGTATGTTGCTTGTATATTGCCGCATTGAATGTTTGATGGGGTGCAGGGCATGATTGGCATGTGCATGGAAACAACTTGCTTGCATGGCTGTTAAGCGTGTGGTTGTGCTTGCTTTCGGTCTTGGTTGTGGTTTGAGGGTGGATGTGCAATATGTAAAATAGTAATATAATAATAAAAGGTGCAATAAGTATACGAACGTCGGGAAACTTGTGCCGGTAGGAGTCCTTTATGGAAAGTTCTGTGCCGTGCTGCAACAAAATCAAATGGTGGTTGCAAAAGGCGATGATGTAAAGAGCTGCACAGATTTTTTTTTTTTTTTTTTTTAAAGGTAAATTTTGTCACTTGTGGAAAACGACAAATTTGTTAGCCTGCGTTTATTTGTTTGTTTTATTTACATTAAAAGATGGTCACAGGATAAAAACAATTTTTTTTTTAAGTGGCCTAGATGGAAAAGGATGTTATAAAACAAACATCACGTGACTAGCCGCTACAGTCACGTAGTGCTTGCGCTCTTTTGGGAGCATCCTATGGGCTGTAAAAGTTACGTATTAATCTTTGTTTTGAGTGCAACAAACAAATGATGATTAATAAGTAACTTTTAGAGCCCATAGGAAGCTCCCAAAAGGGTGCAAGCACCACATGATAGACCTTTGTGCCTGTCAGAAATTAACGGCGGCGGCATGGAGAAACGCGTTCAGCCAGCAGTGGGCCGTGCTCAACGTACAGCAGCAGCGGGGTGATTCTGGGGACTTCTGCGCCGGCACTGAAGGGCTCCGGTGTAACTTGCAGCGGCGGCGCACAGGTCTACAACGTGACTAGTGCAGGTGCCAACTACAAATTTGTTTCGCACCATAAATATAGCTGTAAATTCATTTTATGACATCCTTTTCCTATCCAGCATATGTCTTTTAAGTGTGAAGGTAGTTTTTGCACCTGTGCAATGACTATTCGGAGAAAAGATTAAGAGGTACTGCATGCTTGCAACGAAGCGTTCGGACCGGTAGCAATTTTGAGTGTTCCTAGAAGTATCTTCCAGGTGTTAAAGAATTGCCCATATCTATCCATGGAGCTCATTATTAGTGCCAGGTGTATATATGGAACAAAAATACTCTGTCTGATAAATGGAAAGTTTGTCTAAAAATGCTTGTGCTTTTGAGGAAACCAGCCTTGGCTTTGGTGAAAGACTCCAAAATGTAAGAAGTATGAGAAGATGTCTGTTTTGTGTTACAACTGATAATATTGTATTTTCGCTTTCTGATGCACTGGAGGGCAAGATTCATTTGTGGATGTAATTGCTATCAGATCTGACTAAGGTGACTCACATTGTTGACACCAAATATGTAATACCGAGCCTAAAAGGAAAGCTCAGATTCAAGCGGTAAGTGTTGTAAAAGGACACTTCGTGTGTGTGGATTTTTTTGGAATATGGTTGCCGAGTTATATGCAAAGTCAGCCTTTAGGTTGTGATCAGTCTGCTAAATGCACACAGTAGCTTCATGAATAAGGAGTTTTTTTTTTTTTCACTTTTGGACGTTCTAACTTGAATTTAAAAGATGATGTTTGCTTGGTGAACGTCGGTGATTAAACAATATATAAAAAAAAAATGGTTCACTGACCTGCAGGCTAGTGCTAAACACATCTGGCCCCAGTGCAGGTAAGCGAGCCGCAAGTAGCTGATTATCTAACAGAGTCCTATCAATTACTCACTTTGCTCACTTCGAAGTTCACGCTATTTGTATGCAATGCAATGCAGGCACCCTGAAAGGGGCACTGACACCCCAAAGGTCTATTTTTTTATTGTCTAAAACGATGCAAGTTGCAGTCATAGACACGCAAAAAAATAAACGCAACGCAAAAAAAAATTTACCGCGCGCGTGCACGCCTTTTTATTTTTGGTCTTCCATTCTCCCGCCTCTCGCCTCCTCGCTTCTTTAGATTCGTGACGTCAAGAATTGTGAAATTTAGAAGCTTTGTAGGCGACATTTATATAACATTTGATAACAGCAATCGTAAAACATGTTTTATAACGCAATTGCGAATGCACTACGGCCCTTTTTGAAATATAAAAAATCAGAGTCTGTTTTGGTGCCGTCTCCTGGATTTGTATCCTCCCACGGAAAACAGGCGACATCGCTCAAAACCGGTCCGCCGGCGCTCGCTCCTTTCCTCCTCGCTTTGGGTCGCTATGGCAACAGCAGGGAGTCGTGAAAGAAAGTGGACTCTCAGGACTCCGCAATATTTGACGTCAACGCACCGGCGCGGATCGCGCGGGAACTTTGGATTGACATTTGGAAATTAGTTCTTTACTTCACAAATACTTAGTTCCCAAATTTCGAATTTTGAGGGTAATGTCCCGGCATCGTTTTCAATCGTTTCGGATGATAAAAAAAAAATATAATTTTGATGTTTCAGTGCCTCTTGAAGTGTTGCCTGGTGGTGCCTACAGGTGGCGAAAACATGTTACCTAGTTTTTTTATAGTTTAAGGACCACCTCATACCAGCCAAAACATTGAATTGCTCCACCACGGATCAGCAATGGTCTTATAGCCTAAAATCATTGTTGCCAGTTGTCTGGAGCTTTACCTGAAATCATGATAAACGTTTTTCCGTACTCCAGAAATGTGAAAACGGTCTGCGGTGACAAAACGGTATCGCAAGAGTTTTTCAACGCAACGTCTAATGCGTGGGAGGTTTAATTTTTTTGGTTGTAACGATCGCTGATTGCACCAGTTTTGCACCAAACACCAAATTGGCGGCGCCCACGAAGCTGTTGAGAAATGGAGTGTCGGTACTCTGTTTGGTGGCTTGAGACGACTATTTATGCATTGTGGAGGAACGTTGGCTGATGGTAAGGAGGTAGTCGGAGCTTCTGGCATATTCTTAAAGGGACGCTGAGCCGCTTTCTGAGATGGCCTGTTTATGCTCGTAACTCTGTGAGCTCTAAGCATCCTAAAAAAAAAAAAAAAATAAAACGTGTTTGTGCGTGGCCGACTTTTCCCTTAAAATCAATATTGGAGCTTACAATCTGTATTGGGAACTAGAGCAGGCACCAGAGGGCGCTGTCAGATGAGGGAAAGAGTTCCTGTGTGCAAGCTCCTGTAGGCAGCAGCGTTCAGTGTTCATTCATTTGAAATCAAAAGTTATGCGAAAAAGCCCCTCTTAACCCGTGCAGGGGCCATGTTGATGGTAGACCGAGTGGACGGGCGGAGTCCCCTAGAGTTTGCGTGCTGTGGTAAGCTCGCGTTGCCATGGTTGCGCGAGTGTTCCCTGTCGGCCTCCAATGCTGCATGAGTGATGTTCAGTTTTTGGTTGATAGCATGGTGAAATACCCAAATGGGCCAGGATCTGGTAAGACAGACAGGTGGTGGACCACCACCTGTTTGTTGTCGTTTCTAGAACCACTAAGCTACGCTTCAGAGTAGCGACACTCATCTTGGTGCTTCAAAACACCGAATCTGATGCTGAGGAAGTCGCACTTTTGAATTGTGACGGTTGGCAGTTGCGTGTGCTCTGTACCAAGCACCAAGATGGCGGTGCCCACACTGGTGTTAAGGAACAGAGTGTTGATACTTTAGCTAAGCGTAGATCATTTAGTGGCTCTAGTCGTTGCAATGATCAGGTGAGCGATACATGAATGATACACGGCGAGCATGTGTTTCGAAATGCGTCTTTTGCGCATCGCAACGCAAGGAAGAGCATGCCAATCAAAGGGCGACATAGAGAATGCGTAAGGAATGTGCGATGACTAAGCCGCCAAGCGCGTACCGTCATTGGGGGGGGGTTTGGTAGAGGGGAAACAAAAGCATGCGGGTGCATTGGGAGGGGAAGCAAACGCAGAAGGCGCACAAAGAGTGGACGAACCTGCACTCCGTATACCGCCCACGAATGGATAATCTATGGCCTCATGCAAAAGCAAAGAATGTAAGCACAGTTGGCTATTTAACAGTTAATGGAGCTGTAGAGCAACTGTAGTAGAGGCTTTCCTGCGCAGCACTGGATTTTTCTTTGTCACATGATTGAGTTCGGAGAACAGCAGCGCAATGGCCCGTGGAAAAGACTCGCAACTCTCTAGAAGGGCTTCTCTTTGTCCGACGGCGCCCTCTGGTGTCTGTGATAGTTCTGAGGGAATCAATCATTGATACTGATTATAAGAGAAATCTGCCACGCATAACTGTAATGTATTTTTAATTTTTTTTAGCATAGACTTCAGCCCATAGGTCGGGTTATGACCATAAATAGACCATGCGCCAAGGAAGTGAGGGAGAGGAGGAGACGAGAGCGCAAGGGACGTTGGAACGCCGTGCTCTGATTGGACTGATTAGTGGGTAGACCTAAAGCTAGCTGCCTTTGTCTCCACTGCACTCGTCAAATGCGTTAAAACACAAAATGCCAGCGTCCGGCGTTGGCTCGCATTCGAAGGCGTTCAACTAGTGCAGGGGTTCTCAAACTGGGTTCCGGGGAACACAAGGGTTCCACGAGCTGGTCTCATGGGTTCCGCGAACACCCTAATTGAAACCCCCTCCCCCCCCCCCCCCCCCCCATGCCGCAGGCTGCGCGGCAGGACTATGCAAAGCACCTTCATCTCACTTTGTACTGACATTGCGATTGATATGGTGGGGATATATGGGGAGCAACACAAGCAAAATTGCCTACAATTGTTAATCTGTTGCTTCTCAATCGGCAAATATGGAGGGGGGGTCCGCGGCAGTTTTTGAGGCTTCCTGGAGTTCCGTGAGGCCAAAAAGTTTGAGAACCCCTGAACTAGTGCAATGGAGACAAGCAGCTAGCTTCAGGTCTGCCCGCGAATCATTTCAGTCGGAGCTCGGCAATCTGACACCCCCGCACGCTTTTGTGTCCTACTCTCCTTCAGCTTCTGAAAATGGCGCTCGGAGCGCGTTTGATGTGAGCGGGCAGTGTCTGTTGGTAGTCCTTTCGGGTTTCGACTCAGTACCGTAGAAACATAAGGAAGAGGCTGACGTCGCCGCGGCGCCGCCTGCATTCCGTCTCTTTTCATGCGCAGGACTCTCCTGTCTCGTCCACTACCAGTGGTACCACGAAGCGGCAGCTGGACGGCGAGGCGGAAGACGTCGCCTCCGAGAGCACCACCAAGCGGCGGCGCACCAACGAACCGCTCGACAACGCCGAGGTAAGGGCCCCCGTACGGCTCGCCGCCGTGGCGGCTGGTCCCCAACGGGGGTCCCGCGCATTTGCGACGAAACGTCCGCTGACAGTCAGTTGTCGCGACAGAACTGGGCCGGAGGTGACGCTTTGGCCAAAAAGGGGACGAAGACTGTACGCTCTAACCGAAACGTCTCAGTAACTCGCCACACCCTCTGTTCGAAATAGCCGTGACCCACATACAGAAATGTTAGAACGCACTGCCGCCTGTGAAGAGATTGATCTAAACAGGTGGGGGTTCCCCAAGGAAGTCTCGCAAAAACGCAAGAATTGTTGGGTACCTACGTCGAGTGAACGACCTGCTCGTGGCGCACTGTCTACCAGTGAGTTGGTGTCTGATTTTTAGCTTACTATGGGTGCCGACGAGATGAGAATCACAGGGCGGCTCTTTCCGACACCCGGTCTCCAGCACACGTTCGTTGCTTTCCGTCGTACTTCGGCTGCATGGGAATGCTCGGGGATTCCAAGATGCCGAAGCATTGTCAAAGGTAGGAAGCTTGCGTCGGTGGCAAGACAACAGTAGGACCTCCCTGCTGTTCTCGCTGCAGCGGCGACTACGTAGCGTAAAATACCTAGCAAGCGTACACTCAAGAATGGGAGGTGGTCGTGAAGAACTGGAGGATGGGCGCTTGCTAGGTTTGAGAGCGAAAATGCGGAAAAAGCACGCGATCGGGCAGGGCCCTCGCTCGGTCCGATCGCCGAACTCGAGACAGCCATTGTTTTCCAAATTTGCAATTTGCAGGGTGCTCTGGTGCGCGAAAACGGAACTTCTTCGTTTCTTAGCCGACAAAAGAGTGCCCTATGATGGTCAACGGCAGTTTTTCTGTCGATGGCACTTAGCACAAAAAGCAACGCGACCGTCTTTGGGTCAAACCACTGTCCAAGAACGAACTGCAGGCCGCAGCGCATTCATTTATGTCGATATATCCGACGGACGAATTGTGTCCCTGGAAATTCTTCGAACACAAGTTTGTTGGCCATGTGCACCTCGCATTTACCCTGTTGCTTCCACAACTTGCCTCTTGCAGCCATAACTTGCACGCGTCTGCTGCCTTGCTCAGTTTGGCTTGACTTGGTTTAGCCTGGCCGCTTGACGGCTTAATTGATTTGGCGGCTTTGTGGGAAAAGAAAACAAATCAATACCAAAGACTGTTGTGGGAGTGCGTTCATTATGCCAGTAAATATAGTGAGTAGTTTATTGAGAAAAATTGAAAGGTAATTGATTACGCACCGTCTAGTCTTCGTCCCTAAAGCCACCTCACCTGTGCTATGCCTCTGCGGTCCGCCGGTCGTGGAGATATGTCTTGTGCATGTTTTTGAACCTGCTTAAAATAGGGGAGTGGACGCTTGATATGTCCTTTGATTATTTTTTAAATGTCTCAAAAGTAGGGGGTGGCCGCTTAAAGGGAAACTCCGCTTCATTTTTGTTTTTGAAAAAACAATACAGTCCTTTTCAATATCACCTGAGAAGATTACACGTCAAATATTACCCCGTAGTTCTGTCTAAATGTTTCTTAAATGGTCCGGCTATCTTTGCAACTCGCCAAGTTGCCGAAATCGGCCAACTCGAGCGGGCGAATTGAGGCGCAACCAACAGCGCAGTCAAAACTACGGCGTGGGCGTAGCCAACATTGAGCTAAACGTCATCACCATTGCCCCCTTTTATTTGTTTTTACTTCTCCGGGCAAGCGTAACGGATGACGTCAGCAGCGTTTTCTCTCGGCGCTCCTGCGGTGTCCACGCGATTGGCGTAAAGCGCCTGCACAGCGCGCTTGGGAGACGTCCAACCGCCCTGCCGTGGTCCCGCTGTCTCCTGCGTCACAACGGCCTTCGTCGTCTCACCGTTTATGATTGCTGTCTCTCGGAGCATCGTCCGCACTTCGGACACTATGTGCGCAGAGTTATGCTGCAGTTGTGCAGACGTCGTCGAATGTCGTAGACACCAAAACGTGGAGAAGAGTACGATGCAGTCGACACCTGCTCCTGGCACATGCCCGCCCCAATCCCACCCGTCATTGAATAAAGTATCACGTGACATCTCGTACCACGTGATAGCCACATCCTTGGCGGCCCAAGGTCAATGTTAGATTTAATTGGATTTAAAAATAAAAATTTTATTTCTCCCGAAGCAAGTGGCGTAGTGTCTTTTGCTAGGGCTTTTTAATGCGAAATCACTCACTATCCCTAAATGTTTGGAATTGAGCGGAGTTGCCCCTTAAGGTACATTCACACTGGCGTTCGAATCGCAACCGCTAAGCGGATCTGCTCATTTTCGTCGTCAGACGTGCAGGAATTTGTATTGAATCTTTAAGCAATCGCGTCTGCAATCGCTTTGCCAACGCAGTTCCACCGCTAGTGTGAATGCAGCGCTATTGTGACACGGGCGCATGCTCGGTATTTTACGGTAGTCGTTCCTTTCTCTCTCGATATTGCAGGTGGATCCGGCTGAATGCGGCCCGGTCTCCTCTTCGCACCCCAAAAACCACCTGCTGAGAGAGCGTGAGCCACTCGCAGCAGACAGGGCTCTCGTCACGGGAAGCAACTGCGCGGAGGTAACGTCGCGGACATCGTGTCTGTCACGCGGCACCGTTGCGGGAAGGCGTCCCAACGTCGCACGCACGTCCGCTTATCTCTGCCGGCTCGCAGCGCCCCGGAAGAGCTTCGTAGCAACAATGTGCCGGACTAACCGCCGCTTGTTTTCCGGCGCTGCTTCCCTGTTACATTATGGTTGCCTGCGGATTGATAATGCAAAGTTTAAATCGTCAACAGCCTGTCTTTAGGCTTGGGAACTGTGGGACTGGCAGATTGGAAAGATGGAGGCGGTATGGACAGCATGGTGAAAAGGAACTATGTACACTGGACGAGTGGCTTTCTTTTCTTACACCATTTGATTCAATGTTTTTTGTTTTTTTTATGTTATTCATTGTCTTCAACTTTAATAAACTATCATTTTCAAGTTAGAGTTTTGAATGAGATAGTAGCAGTGTTGTATGTCACATGTGGTAACAATTACATTCAGTAAAGTGAAATAATTTACCAACCACAAGTACTTCTTCCAACACATATTTTTCACGGTATATCTTCTCGTTGGCGCCAGACATTGACACAATAAACGTTTGACGGCATTCCTTTGCACAAAAATAACAAAGAAGAAAAAAGAAAAAAGACTAATTCACACGACAAACTGATCTGCGGACGGATTAATCACGTGACGACATGTCCGTGGTTTGTCCGTCTCCCGAGCGCATCCTCACGAGGGAGACGACGAGCAGATGACAGCGAGAACGGACCGAACCTGTTTGCCACCCCACTGTGCCGAGAAAATTCAGCATCGCACTCTGGCACCATTGTCCAAGAGAAAAATCTATGTTTGCTACCGCGATTAAGAATCATACGCCGCTGTTATGTACAGATTGAGACAGACCACCGTGATAAGATTCGCACGAAGTGCCACTAGCTTTACTAACCCAAGGCATGACAGTAACACAGGCATGGTCCTGCTCGAGAAGGCTTCAGCGGGGAAGCAACGAAGTTCTGGGCTCACAGAGGGACGTTTGGAGAAGCTTTCACGCCCTCCGCGCTTGTGCACAATTAAGTTCACCACAGACACAAGAAAGGTCTTGCTTGTGGAAAGGCTGATTGGACGTGCAAGAATTATCGCGGCGTGCTAGACGAGTTTTCACGGAGGCTTTTTGACACAGACCCGGAGGAGTACTGGAACCAGCATCGCATGAGCTGGGCAGTTTCTGCAGTTTCTTCCATGCGTGGAACCAAAAATTGCACATCAAAATGAACCAGTGAATGCACAAAACACAATGATGTGCCATTTTTGTTTTAATTTTCCAAAAACAAAGAAACAACACATTGTACCGTTGCCAGACCAATTGTTTTTCGAGTCAATCTCCCGCCAAAAATCCACAAGTGAAAAGGCGCTCAACTTTATCAGTCCGCGGACAAAGCACGGATCGCTGGAATCGGTGACGTGACGGTCATGTGCTGCACGGCCCGCGGATGAAAATCTATTCGGTCCGTCGTGTGTATCGGCTGTGAGCAACACAAACTTCCAACCGTTGTGCTATAACGCGTCCATGCAATTGACTTGTGGGGAAACCTGCCGTTTTATGGTCTTAGTTGCTAGTTTTGTCGGTCACTTTTTTATCGCTCATAAACATGACTTTTTTTTATTCTGTTCAGTCATGCTCGTTCTAGTAAGGGCTTAAGCGTGTAAGTATGAGGAAGGATGTTATCATAAAGTTATCAATATTCTACATTTGTACTTTTATCAGATAGAGTAGATTTGCTAAACAGGGACTTAGAACATTTGTATTTCCTAATAATGAGAACTGTAGTGAGTAAGTAATGAGGTTTATTTCATACCATACTATTGCATCTTGAAATGGTTTTGTTTTCAACTTATGGAACTTGTGTTATTTAGATTGCTAAATGGGCAGGTTTTGTTTTAATGAGGCTTAAGTTGTGCTTATTTTGTTGACTATGCCTTTCTATTGGAAATCCATAAAAGGAACCAACCCGCTACCACGACAGTTCCCAATAGCTGCCATTCAGATAAATTGCTATTGCGCTGTTGGCTTTTTAATGCTATGGACTGGATTATATTTAAGGAAACGGTATGTTAGGAAATAGCTCTGGAATGTTACATGTAGATACTTTCTCTTTGTGATATTTTTGTATATCAAAAAACATCCGTGCACTTATATCCCCAAGTTTGACTTGGGTGACCAGCTCCAAGATTTACTTATGCCGCTACTAAACTCGACTTTTATGGCTCCTGAGCTGTTCCAAAGCCGAGCTTTACTGCTCCAAAGTTGCTCAGAAGTGGCATTTTCGCTGCTCCCAGACCTGCTACAAAAGGCTGAAGCTTGCTTCCACCCCTGTGATAATGATCATATTGTATGAAATTTCTGCAGCTCAGCCAGGTTGAAAAGTGGATGGCACGCACAGTATCAAAAATGCCGACAATGACGAGAAATTTTATAACTGACATGACAGGTCTTTGGACTCTACACCCAGGCTGTCTAGTGACCGGGAAAACCGGGAATCGTCAGGGAAATTTTAATTACCAAGAAAAGTCGGGGAATTGTCAGGGATATTGTCCAAAAGCGAGCCCAGTCAGGGAAAATGAGCCGGAAGTGCCATCGAGTGCCCTGAGCAAAGACTTGGGGACTTGGGGGCAGAAAAATAGGCAATACATTCTGCTTAGAGCGGAGCGCTGGCTCTGCTCACCCGATGTAGGGTGTGCTACCCGATGCAAAGGGACCAGCCGACAAATCCAATCCAAGCCTTGGATTGGGTTGGATTGGATTGAAAGAGCAACACTGAACTAGATCTGGTTAGAGCTACTATACCCGTTTTCACCTCAAGAACCAAAGTAAAAAAAGTCTGGCTCCTCGCAGAGCATAGCTAATTTTCCCTTTTACGAGGAGAATTAATATATATGTAGGTGTATTTTAGATTAGATATATGTTATCTAATCAAGACGTATACATTTCAAACGCCAAAAGGATCGCCTCTTCCTCCGACAACTAAATCTTGTAAGAACTACTTCGCCCGGCGTATGAACAATGCACAAAACGTCCTTTTTTCTTGAGGTGAAAACGAGTATAGGTTTAGTAACAAACGGGAACGTCGTGTTTTCATTGTGTGTCCGGAAGTGGCCTCTTGACTGACAATGTCGGCGGCAAGAAAGTGCTCGTTTAATCCGAACTGGACAAACCCGAATATTTTGGAATATGCAAGTTAGATTAAGCTTGTGCAAAATGATCCTCACAGTGCTCAATGCTCAATGCCTTGTATTGTAACGGTCTTATAGATTTTACCGTTCCTACAGTGGTCTGGGAATTTTACCTGAAATTGTCAGGGAAAATGGAAAAGTCAAGGAATTTTAAAATAATAATTTGCTAGACATCCTTACACCAGGCTTGTTCGGGGTGACTCCAAATTACACTCAAAAGTGTGTAAGCACCAAATTGGTTGAAACGACCTATCACTAGGTATCTTAGCGAGCGGTCTGTTGGTTTGACCTGGACGCGAGATCACCGTTAGCTCCGTGCGCGTCTCTTTCATTCTGGTGCAGTCTGTGATCGTGTTGCAGGTGGACGGCCCCCGGGACGCCACGAGGCGCTCTCCCGTCCCCGTTGCCGAGGAGAAGGCCCACGTGTCCGATGTGAGTTGCCCGTCCGAGCAGTGCCACCTAGGACACAAGACCTGCCAGTGACGTTGGCGGCAAATTCCTTGAGGCTCGACGAGAACCACCGCTAAGCCACGTTCTGGCGTCACACTCCTCGTGGGACGCTGCAAGACGTGCCGGCGGCGTGGATTTAATTAGTGACGTCATTTGGGGGAGCTTGCAGGGTTTGTCTTCTGGGTGGTATTGGCTTGAATTCTCATTTTCTTCTTTAAACGGAATGCGTACGGACCTATACTCCGTTTCACGACGACTCGGCGAACTGCAAAGGCCACGACCCCCCCCCCCCCCTTCCCGATCCAATAGGGGTGTCAAAGCGAGGCACATGACCTCGCGTCGTGGGAGCTCTTCTGTCGCAGCGTCAAATGCGAGGCCCGGAGGAACCGGCTGTCGTCTGCTGGCCGAAAGTTGTCTGCCGCGAAGCCGACCAACTTCGGACGAACGTCCACCGCCGCAACGTCTCCGTCTGCTGGAGTAGCCATCTCTTTGGGAACAGTTCCTGAGACAACCATACGCTTTATTTATTCACGAATCTGTGGCGGGCACTAATGCCAGGACGACGTTTTGAGCGGAAGCGGTCGGATTACAGGGCTGCAATCGTTCAAACGTCGTTCAAAAGCCACGTTCTCGGGAAAGGTTTGATCCGAATTGAGTGCCGTTGGAAAGTAACGTGGCTTCGTCTTTCTTCCGTGTCGTGTAGCATAGTGTCGCTACAGATGCAATCGCGTGAGTTCAATTACCGTTAAAAGAAAAAGAATAGAACTACTTTCTGTCGCAAACGGCGCTGTTGCTACGGTGGTAACGATACCTCCATGGCCTCGACCGTGGAGTGTTGTCACGTGCCTTGCTCAGACACCCTCATTGGGTCGCGGAGGCCGCAGCCTCTGCAGTTCGCCAAGTTATCGTAAAACGAAGTAGAGTGTTTCGTAAGAATATTCTGCGAGCTCGACCGTGCTGACAAAGACCGGGCAGCACGTGACGTTTTGAACGCAAACTATCGCCTCGCGGAGCCACCTTGCACCAATTAACATTGCGTGACTCGAGGGAAGGCAGCGCTGTCACGTCACATAAATTTCCCCGCCGGATTCGGCAGGGAAATTAGCTCGACGGTTCTTTGGGAGGGTTTTCTATGGAATTCGGTTGATAAAACACAATCCGTGTTTCAAAAAATTCCCAAAGAGCGTAATGGAAGTGCAACAAGTGTGCGGCAAACAAAGAACTGGAAATCGATACGCATATTCCCATGGGACTACAACGCGACAGGCGTTTGCGAACGTAACAGCTGGGAAAGCGTATAGACCGAGAACGCGTCAACGAGGATGCAATACAAGCCTTTGGTTAACGGGCGAGCACCAACTCAAACGCTCTTACAGAACGTGCGCGATTGACCTGAGAATGCGTGCGACGATTCTGTGTACTGCGTTCCTATACTTCGTCTCGCCTTACGATGGCCCACGGGGTACGATACAAGCCGTCCAAGCCAATTCAATGCCGTGCGGCTGCCACGTGACCTTTGGGAGGGGAGGTGCGTTGTCACGCGATACATTCGCAGCGCTAAATTGGCCGAGGTGACTCGTACAGTCGGCTACAGTCTGTCGTAAGGTGGAACGAAGTACGACGGGCGCTCTACTTGGAGTCGTTGAATCTGCCCTCTCTGTATTTTATGCTTTTCCTTGTACCTTTCGCAGGGCATCGACAGCACAACGAGGTCACCCCTGCACTCGACAGCACTGGAAACATCCGTCTAATGTGCGTAAGGTAAAACAAAACAAGAGGAAAAAATGCAGAAAACTTTTTTTTTGGAAAAAAAACTTTTTTGCCCAACCCTTGTTCAAGACAACCGAACGCAAAGATGCCACCTCCTTTCCCTTTTTTTTTTTTTTTTTTTTTTCTTGTTTTTGTTTCCGTACGTATTTTGTGTGTTTCTTCGTGTTCCCATCCTATTCTCCTTGCAGGAGACTCGTGTGAAAAAAAAGAAAGAGCTCGTCCTGCAACTTTGGGCACATGTGTTCAGTCCCTCTAGTGATTTGGGAAGGTTGACAGGGCTCGAACTTTGGTGATGCTTTAAAGCGTAGAAAAGACCGATTTTTTTTATTTTATTTTTTTTTCTTGGCATTTGATTGTTGGACTTTGGAAGGTATGGTTTGAGGTCAACTGGAATAAGATTGGGCAGACACTTTTTGCTTCACTTGCAGGCTGTTACTATTGATGTACCGAGAAAACAACTGATAGTTTGCGCACCGAGCTTAGCGGAAGTACATTTGCAGGTTTTTCGTATTTGGTGGCTGTCTCTCTACTACCCGTATTCTTGCAGGAGAAACGTTTTGGATTCCCCCAAGTGTCTCTAACTTTTCAGTTTGTAAGAGGAGTTTTACGGTGCTCAAAACATCTTTTTTATGATATCACGAGACTGTAAGAGGAGTTTTTTTGGTGCTCGAAACATCTTTTCTATAGCATCACGAGACCTATTTTAGGGAATTCAAAACCTTATTCCAGTTGACCTGTAGCAGTTCGAGAAGACTTGCCACTCTGCCAACAAAGATAGTGATGTTGTGGAGAGACTTTTTTCTTTCCCAAATCTTTCCAGGACAGCGCGAGATCTCTCGTCTGGCGGTGTTTGCGAGAGCTCTAGTTTGTCTTCACGTGCGAGCGTTTGTGGAGCTGCAGGTGCAAGGTGCTTTGGCTGTTTTCATGATTTGTTTGTTGCTGCAAGCGTGTCTGTGCATTAGACCTTTTGGCCGAGCTTTCAAACTCTGCAGAGATGGGGCCTACTAGAAGTGGCATGATGAGGGGAGAAAAATATTTTTTTAAAAATTATGTTTACACCTTAGTACATTTTCTTGAATTTTGGCTCTCGATCCTTGCACTCAAATTTGAAATTGGGGACGGTTGTGTTGTTTCGAGAGACCTCACCAGAGAAGCGATGCAAAACGCCCCTCTGAAGAGTGCGAGCCATTGTGCACGTCATTTGAGTGACCTTACCATAACGGTTTTTGTCTTTTCCGGTTTCAACCAAGCATTGCACCACACGTGCTTCTGCAACCTGTTGGGTGGTGCGTGTGAATATCGTAATGTGTTTTTGAGGGGTTGAGAAACATCAGATCAGGCTGAAACTTATTATGCAGCAGCTGTTTTCGTTTTTGCTTGTTGAGGGTCATGGCTGTGACCCGTCTAATTCGTGGCATAAGTTCTTAGCGATTGAACATTTTCCATTGTTTTTTGGGACTGGAAACTTGAAGCGTTTCAAGATACCACCTTCTTTGCCCGCATGTTTGCTTGCATGAAGGGGGCAGGGTATGAATCGATATTTGGGCTCGTTTCAGGAACACCTTTGTGTGTTACTGAAGCAAACCTTTTAGCAATGCCCGGAATGGCTACTGAAGTTGGGCCCTTTCAGCAACATTGATTGCTAAAGCAAGACCTTTAGCAATGCCCAGGGGGCATGATCGCTTCGCGATTATTCATCGTATATCTTTCTTTCTGCGTGTTTGTTTGTTGTCATTTTGCTTTCAATTCCATGGAAGGGTTAGCAGAAACTTCACGTGGAAGCGGATGCTGCGACTGCTCGGGGGCATTAAAGCGCGCACCACATAGTTTTTATTCTGCAGCATTAACATCGATGTGCGCCATGTATATTCACGCCGCTGAATTACCCCCTCACATTCTGTACATAGTCTTCCTGCGATCATGTGTCTGGTGCGTGCGAGTCTTTGTGAGTCAAGAAAGTCGTTACCTTGCGTCTAGGAGTGGCCCATCCTTGCTTTGTCTTCATTGCAATTGATTGTTTGATGGCTTTGGAGGTTTCGTGTTGTTAAGCAACATCATCTAATTGGAAGATGCCATTTAGAGAAGTGGAAGCAGTGATGGTGTGTGCTTGCCAGCAAAACATCTGCAAATTTGTACAGAGGTAGCTGGGTGAGCAGCCGTTGTTATTATTTTTTTTTATGTCAGATGGAGCACACTTTGGATACTTATTTTGTACCAATCGTTACGATTGCAGCAGATATTTCGAGCCATCAACTTTGTTGTGATCGAGATTTTTGACACGGCTGAAACGTTAAATTGGGTTAATTCGAATGTTTGAAGACCTGTGGAGTGCCTGATTTTACCTGTAGCGCTGTACATATTCAAGGTATAATAAAGTGAGCAAAATTTTCATTGGACGGTTGTGTCACTGGTACTATTTTTCGGCGCGCGTAGTGCGGCCTTTGTGAGGCGTCAACAGGCGTTGACGTCATGTTGCGTCTGTTCTTCCGCGGCAGCAAATGCAATGGCGGCGGGTAGTAGTCAGTGGTCGCATTTCGTATCTGTGGTCGTGGTGAATCGTCGACTTTTGGCGTGAAGTGGAGCAACTCAACATATTCAGGCAAGTTTACATCTCTACGCGTGCGAGAGTTGTTTCATTTTAAGTTATTTATGAAAATGCGCGAGTGGCCGCGAACGGGGTGCCGTAGGACGACATAAGAACTCGTAGGAACGTCGTTTTGCGGGCCAAAAACTGGTGATTTAGTTGACCAAAATGTCCTCTTGCTGAGAACATCAGTGTTAATTAGCATATTGAAGAAACCGCTAATTGGATGTGCGGTGACATGAAGAGTAACGGCCCGCAACAGCCCGAGAACTGGATTGGATTGGCTGACGTTTGCGTGATATGCTGGCATCGGTTGCCAGGTGACTTATTTATGTTTGGTTTTCTGTGTTCACTGTTGCGAAAACCTATAAAACGTTCTCTCAATCAGTCGCTGTACTCGCCAATAAATTTCACAGATTTATGTTGCTTCCAGAGCTTCGATGGCAAGGCACTGGCTTATTTTTATAGCTAAAGTTCACCGTTATTGACGTTTTCTTCAATCGGTTGTCAAACAGTCGCCGGCAACGCGCGTGATTCTGCGACGTTTCACCGGAAAATGAATCGCATTAGGTCTGTTAACTCGTTTATTAAGTTAGGAAGTCTGTGGAATATAATCCATTAAATAATAAATTCACCCAGTAAACACCGATGGATGAGCAAGTTTTGGTTTTTTGGGGTGGACTTCTGGTTTCGGTTTCTTAGGGCAGACTTTCGAAAACGGGCGAACAAGCTATTTTCAACGCTCTTTGCGGTGTACTTGCAGCGTGTCTCGCTTGCCATGGCCCACTCCGAAGCAGATCTTGAGCGACAAGCCATGGAAGAGATCCTCCGCGAGAGCAAGCGAGGAGCCGAAAGGGCCAAGGAGTCGGGCGCCTACGGTTGGGAAAGACCGCGACTGCACCCGACCAACAAAGTCTTCCTCAGGAACACAGTCCTCAGCACCTTGCCTAGCAGACGCCGGCTACAGTCGTCCTCGAAGACGTCGGTCAAGGATCGAGCATCGAATGGCAGAGCAGAGTCGGAACACAGAAAAAGAGAGCGCAGAGATTCGCCTGGGAAAAGCGAAACTGACAAGAAGAGCCGCGATGAAGACGTGCGACCTGTGTCCAAGGCTCAGAGTACAAGGGCCAAATAATGTCATATAGGAGCCGCGATGTGCATTTAAGTCTGGCGTGCCATCCATTCGAAGCATTTGTCGTGAAGTAAAATGTTATTGTTGTAAAGTACATACTGATTTGCCCTGTTAATTCCTCTCTCGTCTAGGTTTGTTCTATATCCGACTTGATTGATTGCTCCCCCGATTGTTTATGAAGGTGATTCATAGCTGTTTTGAATATGCACGGTGACATTGGAGTTAGTGGCATAGCCGGGGAGGGGGGGGGGGGGGGGGGGATGTATGGATTATAAGTAACGCAAAAGAACCGCGGAAAGCAATGAGTGACGACAATCGCTATTATATGATTCCTGGGCATACTTTCAATTTGACCACACAATACGATATGATCATTTATAAGCTGGCCGCTCCATGCCTTCAGTCTGACAATGGGAAAGAGTGAAGACCTTAAAATAGGGGCCATGAAACATTCTGCACGTTTTAGGTCCATTTGAGGTGAAATCCCATATTTAATACTAAAAGAAACGATTGGAAGGTATCCTACTTGTAACGCGAATTGCAGCATTGCGCTTCTCCATTGAATTTAAGGGATATCCAGAAAGAATATTTCTTATATGGATATACACAGTAAGCAGTGGTTTCGTTATGGAGATAATTACTTCTTTAATTAATACTTGCAAATTAAAATGGTGCGGTACACGAACTCCATTGGAGCAAAAATGGTGGTCACTTGATGGTCACAAGAGAGGGACGTGCTGGATTCTGTTTAGTTCCATCGCCATCGTTGTTTGTGTGTCAGTAACTATATAGGCGAAACTGCGGCCAGCTTTTTATACTTTCTGCAGGATGTGAATGTAAAACGCAGGAACGTAGTCGTCGCTCAGCGGCTTGAAGTCCCCGTATATCTCGTGCCTCGCCTCGTCGCCGAAAACGTCCTTGAGGATCTTGGAAAATTCGGCCAATCTGTGCGGGTAGTACGACAGCCGGAAATTGCTGCAAAAAATTAAACAAAACAAGCGTCACACACAGTGACGCCACTATAGGTCAGCGGCACCCCGCGACACCACCCCCCCACCCCTTTTTAATGACGTCATTGGTAACATAACTTGTGAATACAAAGTATCTCGGAATAAGATATACACCTTGAGATCGCCCCCACTGTAAAACGAAACTACACGACGAGACCGACCGAAGACGTCATATGTGCCCTCCAGGGGTTACCAAACTTGTTGATCCCGAAGATCGAAAAGCCTCAAATGATAGCCGAAGGACTTCTGTCCCCTTTGACACTATTGCATATTAGAGCTAGGCCTACATACTTTGTTAACAACATAGCACAGACTGAGTAGGGTGTGTTTAGCTCATGGCTGTGCATCACTGTGTGCTTCAGACACGCTGAAAAACCGGTTGAACTGGGGAGATACCTTACTTGGGATAGGGACGATTAAGAATATCTAGCTTCCTGGGAACCCAGTTTGACTTGACTTGAGATCAAAATAAGATAATTATGAAAATGCTGATATGCCGCGTAAGTACCAGGAACTCACTTGACGGGTTCTCCGGAGAGCCTCCCCTTCTTGCTGTGCTCCGAGTCGGTGTTGTCGAACTTGCTGTCCAGCGACGAGATGTCCATGACGTAGTCGAGCATCACCATGGACGGCTTCCGGTCAACGTACATCACCGACGTGTGAATGTCCCGGATATACTTGCTCTGCAAGAAATGCACCTCGGGGTCATTTTGCGGCCCCCGTGACATGGTCCGGTCGTGATAAACTAATTTGTGACCTACATGGTGCGTCCCTAACAGTCAGCACGGTTGGCAAGCCTTGCAAAATTCAAATTTCAAACCCACTTTTTCTTTATTAGGCACGCGAACATTGCTTTGCAAAAAAAGTTTTGTCTATTTTTTTTTAGCTTAACTCAGAGTTGTAAAACTGTTAATAGTAGTGCAGAACACGGCGACTGTGCAGGTTTGCAAGTTTGCTCCCAAATAACTTGCTTAACCCCCCCCCCCCCCCAAAAAAAAAAAAAAAAAAAAAATGAAAAAGTTATTTTAGAGTCTAGCTGCACGAGCATAATAATTTCGATAAGTTATGATTTTAACGAAATGCGTGAACAATGACCTCCTGGGAGCGAGCTCGCAAGCCATTGAGCAGACGACGCGTGCGGCCGCCGTTATATATATATATATATATATATATATATATATATATATATTAAGATTTCATTATTTCTAGACTATATTTAGAAACAATTGTAAAACCACGTTTGCCTGCAAAATTTCCGGTGTGTACATTTGAAATTGAAATTTCGTGAGGCGTGCCAAATGTGCTGCTGCTTAGGGCCTCGCCCTGTAATCCGTAAAACATAAAACCGCGTTGTCTCTGGTGAATAGCACACTGACGGAATGAAGAAAAAAAAAGTGCTTATTTGTTACACCTGACATCCTCTGCAGTAGGGTCTACGAGTCACCAAACAAACTACGCCTGTGTCCATTGTTACGTGGCGATCGACACTGTGGCAATCGCCGTAACAGCATAAGAAGGGTGAGCGTCGTACATTGTAGTAGATGCTGTGCGTCGGCGTCGTTCCGTGGTCGAGGATGTGGTCGTAGTTGCGGTGGTCGATGATCAGGAAGCCTCCGGGCTTGATCATTTCCCTGAAGTTGGTGATGGCTTTCCGGTGGATGCTGCCGTCCCCGGCGACGTCCGGTAAATGGCTGAACGAGTTGCCGAGACAAATGACCGCGTCGAAACCGGTCTCGGGCTTCACCAGGTCATCGGGGAGCGTCAGCCAGTTTGCCTCTTCGATCACTGCAGATGGTATAGGTAACGAAAGCTCATATTTAAAGTCTAATCAGTGAGCCTGCACTTCATAGGAGTGTGCGAATATTCGAAGTTTCGAATAATACGCTATTCGGTTCGAGGTGAATTGCGATATTCGTATTTGTCGAAGTGTTGAACTTGATAGCGGCCGGTCAGCCCCGTTGAGTGCGCTTTTCGTCGAGCCTGGCGCATTGTGGGGAAGCAACACCAGCGGAGCTCACTAAATGTGCGGGTGTTGCTCCACGGCGATCAACACTTCGTAAAGTACAAATATCGCCGCCGCGCACGCTTAGCAGGAAAGCACACTTCTAAAGCAGGATGGTGTACGCACGCAACTGGTGTATTTATGAAGAAACGGAAAATGTGACCGAAAGCAGTTATGGTGTCGCAAGCGATTTGGCGAGCGACGAGACAAGCGACGGCGACCCGCATCGCTGTCGCTCGGTCAGTCGCGCGGCGACACAAACCAAATGAAAGCGACAGGAGCAGCAAGCGACCAAGGCGATGAGCGACGTTTACTAGAAATCCAAAAACAGAGCGGCGCGCCGAGCGACAGTGAGAAATCTCCGCTTGCCGTTGATCTCGTCGCTTCTCGCCGTCGCTCGTCTCGTCACTCGCTAAATCGCTTACATGCGGTTCAGCCTTCGCTGTACTCGGATCTCTAATTATCACTTATCGTCCCGAGTCAAGTTTTAGACAACTGACTACCCTAGTATTTGTAATAAAATAAAAATATATTTTTTTTTTTTTTTATTGAAGCCGCGTGAAACCGAAACCGAAATTTCGGGGCTAGGTTTTGTTGCAGACAACGCTCAAACTTTCGCTCTTTGCTGTGCGGCATCGATGTTGCGCAGCTCCCTTGCTTCATTGCCCAAATAAGAAAATTAATAAAAAAAAAAACACTTACGTTGAAGAACCAACTTAAAAAGTCACGCGATTATGGTGGCAATCCATGACAGTCAGAAAGAAAAAAAGAGCAGTACCTCCGGTGGCGAGACGCGTGACAAACACTTCGACTTCGACACCTCTTCGTCGCTAATCAAAACACTTATCGGAGCAGAAGGCATGTGTTTACTCCGCTATCCTGGACGTACGTACCCCACTCGTTGAAGGCCTTTTCGCTTCTGCGGTTCCAACGGGTCCTCAGCGCGTACTTGAGCATACGGTCGCTGGCGTCCACGCTGGTCACCTTAAAGCCTTCTTCCAGGAGAAGGATAGAGTCGATGCTGGAGCATGCGAAAAGGAAATTAGTACAGGGCCCCACCCCAGTGTGACAGAACTGTCACATTGGGGCATACAAGACATCAAGAACGTTATAAGCAGAAACCTAAATGATTAAAAGAAACAGTTGGAACGAACGCGCTTACCCAGTTCCGCAAGCGACGTCCAGGAGACGATGACATTGCAGAGTTTGGAGTTTCTCCGTCAGGAAAGTTTTGTAGTGGTCTGTCCTCTTGTTTCTTTCTCCGATGTAGACCTCCCATACCTTAGCCGCTCTGCCGTCGGCGTACTGGTCCGGGATACCTTCGCTACCGATGCCCAAGGACCGTGTATGATAGACGTGATCTGTCATTATGGCGTGAGAAAGCAAAGTGACGACGAGACTGAGGCTGCTCTACGCTGTCCTCCCAAGAGTCTGTTTGGATGCCCGTCTGGACATTTTATTGTGTTGTTTTGGCAATGTCAGGCGGTGCGCGCCCGAAAGAGCCAATGAGGAGAGCGGAAGTTAGCCACGTGCTGATTACAGTGATTACAGATCCTCGACGATAGCAGACAACGTCCTTTGTGGTTTATCGGCAAGTTCTCGAGTGTTTGTTCGAGTTTACCGTCGTTTTATTGTTCTAAAATTGATAGATGTAGTGATGCAAGCAGAAACCAATTCGTTGCGGGATTTTACGAGCTTCGAAGTGGCCAAATAGACGTGCGTAGCGGTTGATGGAAACTAAACTTTTTAAAAGATGTTTGCAGTGCGAGTTAGTGCTCGAAGCATACCTTTTAAATACAATCAATAGAAATCGCCCCCTCTTCCTCTCCTCTCGTCATACCAAACGTTCTGAAAATGGAAAAAGTAAAAAAAAAAAAAAAAAGTTCGAATATGTATTGTTTTGAGCAGACGTGTGGTGATGTTATCCGTGTGTTCCCAGTCAACCTTCAGGAACTTTATCGTTGCTTTTTTCTACTATGAAAGGCACGCGTTTTTGTTATGATGAAGCGACTATGACGTTGATCTTTGTTCCCTGCTGTGTCGGTATCTCGAGTGTGTCTGATATCCGCCGATTACGAGTTAGCGCAGTACAAGCGTACTATTCTTCCACTGAGCTGTCGATGGAATAAATGTAAATATATCAAATAAATATCCGATATGAAAAACGTAATTTAATAATCACAAGGAAAAAAAAATGGCACGAGGAAAGTGAAATCACACGGAGCAGAATATTGAGGATGCATTAATTTTTAATCAGGTGACTGCAGCGACACAATATTTTTTTTAGACAATATCACCGTACGATAAAGAGAGAAGTGGTCGACCAAGACGTGTAATAAAACCATTGACTGTGCGCGCGAATAATTTTGTTAAGACCGATTCACATATGGTGCGATTTTACTTGCGATTTCGCAGTGGCGACATCGCTCGCGCGGAGCTGCGAAATCGCAAGAAGATTCGCTCCATGTGAATAAGTATTTGTGCCTTTGACGAATAGACTGACATGACGGCGGAATTTCGCTGAGATTTGTCCAAAAGTCATTCCACGAAAAGAAAAAAAGAACACGTATTCTTTGTTAGGAACAGCTGAGACACAAAAAGGAGAATACAAAGCCTGACAAAATACACGGAGGCGACACACATTACCGTATTCCACAAGTTACATTTAATGGCTGAAAGCTACAGAAGCCCGCAAAACGGCAATTATATTTACGCGTGATATGCTTTTTTTTTTTTTTTTTTTTTAATTTCTTGGTTGTTGGGCTGGTCGCTGTCACGTATTGCTCGTACATGGTACGTAGGGACGGATCGAAAACTCCGTCTTTTTTTCTTTTTTTTTTTGGGGGGGGGGGGGGGGGGCGGAAATTTTTTAAGGATACTATTCTCCCATTCTTTCTTGTGCAAGGGGGGTCCACCTATCTCAAATTGCCCTCCGAGAAGGGAAGAGGGAGGGGGGGTCGACTAATTAATTACGTAATTAATTACGTAATCAATTACACATGCCTTGCCCCTCCGGTTGTCAGATTGGGGGGGGAAGGGGGCAAGGCATGTGCTTTGCCCCCCTGACACAGCTGCCACTGGACAGGGCAAACACTGGCCGGCGGCGCCCAAGGGATACCGAGGGCACCGCCACCCGGGGAGGTGGGAGGGGGGTTCTGGCAAGTTCTATTTTGACCCCCCCCCCCCCCCCCCCCCGCCCCCCTTCTACACACACACACACACACACTCAAAAACAAGTTGGTATGCCACTGGAGCTTGTGCTTTTAGCCTAGTGGTGGTATATTGCCATTCCGGTTTATTCGGGCAAAAAAGAATGAGAGGCCAATATTTAGACGAAGCAATACTCCGTCCAAAATATAAGCAAAATAGTGCAAAATGCGTGAACACGTCACAGAAGCAGGGTTTTTTTTTTCAGCGGAAATAAATTGACGATATATAAAACTATTATTCATGGCGCATGTGACACTTGAGGCATATACGAAGCAGTCGCGGAATGCCTGCGGGCCGCGTGTTTGACACCCCTGCTATATTAGATCTGTATGGGGCGGATATTTGCCAGAACTGACACCTAAATTACAATGAAAGGGCCGGGGATGCGTGGTGTACGATAACACCACGAAGACACCCTATCGAATTCTCACTGATTGATACGGTTTTCAGTGGCAGACCTTGTCTAGCCGTTATCTACCAGACGAGATTGTCGCACTCTTCATTGTGTGTACCGTAAACAGATTTGCCATCGAAACCAGTGAGAGGCAGAAACATCCGCCGCTATCCTCGTGGCAATACCAAATACGTTTAGGCGACAGATTAGTCATTGGTAATTTATCTCAGACTTTCTTTTATGGGAAAAATAAATTTCCTTTCCTAAAAAATCAAGCTTTTTTCTTTTTAGATTTGCGTTGTGGTTAGCAATAAAGATCTCAAATATATATGTCTAAACCACTGTAATATGATCACTCTTACTTTTTTTCCCCTCCTTGTTCCTTCGAGTGAATTCATTTTTCTTTCAACACGTAATTATCACGAACTACACAAAACTACCACAAACAAATTGTGATTCAACTTAATACAACCGTGCAGTTTGATTTTCACAGAATTATACAGTAACCATAACTTCCTATTTTTCGCAATTGGATTGTCACTAACACAAAGTCTGACATAAGATTTATTCTTCTGTGTGTTTGTGTGAGTGAAAAGTTTGTTCGAAAATTATAAAAGATTATACTTTTTTATTTTTTTCACATTTTCGGAAGTTTGTCATATCTAACTCCGAACGTACAGTAAAAGCTAGACAACCAAGTAAATGAAATCGCCTTCCCATTGAAAGGTGGTACTCTACAGAAACTGATATTGAATAGAGTGAATGTAGTGTCAAAATGAAAGTTAATAACACCATCTGATGAAAAAAAAAAAAAAAAAAGAAAACTAAGAACGCAAACAAGCTGGTGCAAATTGAATATAGTCACAAAGAACTCCGCGTGCTGTCCCCTTCCTTCGGCCGGTCTTGCGATCCTTTGTGATTATGACAGTCTGATAGATTTATCTCTTCAGACATCAAGCAGAACCATAGCCTATGAGAGAACTAACCCGACATGTATTTCAAAATTAAATCTTCAAATGTAGTTTAAAAAAAAAAAGACAAAATGTGAGGAAAACATAAAGAGAAGGAGGGAGAGAGAGGGAGAGAGAGAGAGAGAGAAAAATAGGGGGGGGGGGGGGGTGTCACCGAAAAATAGCGTTACTGCTGCGTATTTCCTCAATGTATTCGACTCATGCGGTGTACATGAGGTACAAGTTACATTTTTTTAAGCTTGTTAATGAAACAATATACTTTTTAGCACATTACCAAGGCATGAAATAAATATAATATTTTGTCTGCATAATTTTCCGTCCGAAGGGATGGTCACTTCTCGTCGGTAAAGCCAAACAACTGTTATTTTTAAAATTATTATTAAGGTTTCTAAAGCAGTGTGAATGCTTTATTTTATAACGTAACGAGAATCCAGCGTTTGGCTGCTAGCACAAGTGGCGGTAGCAGACGACGCCAAAAGCGAAATTGACCTCTTCTTGTAACTCTCCTGCCTTGTATCTGTCTTCATTCTTACTTGAAATTCTTTCTTGCTATAAAATTTATAAATTATCATGCGAATTATGCAACAGATAAGTTATAGCTCAAACAAAATAATGTAAATTAAACAGCTCGTTTCACTACAGTAGTTTCGCTAAGCACCGACATGTTCTTGCTAAGCCAATCTGGCAACGTTTACAAACCGTGGGCGGAAGTGATTTCGCACCTCGCTTGGTTTCGTTATTTCGTTATGATTTCGTCGTAGTTATGCACGGTTGCGTACGGCCAAACGTACTCACACCTGTCGGAAGCTGAAGTACAGTATATTCCGGAAACTCATCATGAACCCTCCCTTGTACAATCCCGTAAGTGAATACGGGACGCCGCCCGGCGAATTCTCGTGCTGCCACTACCGACTCTCCTAATTTGGGTTTGGGCGATGTCGCAGCTTGTACTGGCTTGAGCGAATGCTTTAATGAGCGTAGCGTGACGTGTAGGCTTTTTGCGGCTCTTGCGAGCTATTGCATGAACGACGAGTAACGAATCATTCCATAAACCTTTCTGTCAAGCCTACCTGAATCTTAAAATGCCGCCGAAACGTGGCTAGGCACGGCGTGTGGTGGGGAACCAAATACGATCTTATCTTTTGGATCGGTAACAGCCCGATCAAAACCCCGATTCGCCGGCGATATTTTATGAAAGCCTGGGGTTATGCGGAGCGCAAGTTCGTCTGCTTCTTTTGCAGGGGTGACGTCACCACACACTTATGTGTGGTGACGTCAGAACGCCGACCTCTGATTGGCTCTGATCGAAGGATAGCGGGTAGACCTCGAGGCAGCTCATCGAGTTCTACCCGCTATCCTTCGATAAGAGCTCGTCGTCTTTCTGACGTCATCACAACCCCTGCAAAACAAGCAGACGAACTTGCTCTTTGCATAGAGAATCCGAGTCTTGGGTAAATTCACCGTATTTTTATCCTGGCCTGCACCCTTTTTTTTTTTTCTTTTGCTAAAAAAATGATTTGTCAATTTTTCTTGTTTTGCTTTTTAGAGTATTCCTTATGTGGGGCCCGTTCCTGGTGGCGTTCTCAGCGTGGGAGCTTTGCTTCGAGTTCAAGGAACTCCTCATGCTACGGCGAGATGGTACGTAAAAACTTTTGCTATCCGTCGAGAATACTCAAATCGGCACTGGCAAAACTTTGTATGCACTGCACGATGAAGCAGTTGCTCGCAGTGGCATACATCAAGAGCATTCATTGTCGACATACTCGTTATGAAAACACGCGCTTAAAATGAAATGTTGCCTTGTTGTGGCAACATATATCTCTCTTAATAACAATAATAATTACTTCTCCAGGAATTATCTTCATTCTTGTTCAGCTCTCTTGCAACTTTGCATTAATTACATTATCATAATATCTTTCTTGTAAATTGCTATCCTAGGATATGGATATGCAAAGCAATTGATACACACCAGCAACATTTTGACATACTGATGTTGTTGTGAAAAATAATGTTAATTTTTCCTGAAAATCTTGCACATTATTATAAAGAAGACACTACTTATAATTTAAAAAAAACCTGTAAACTCTTTGGGGTCATTGTTTCCAAGGATCTAGAAAATTGACCCCACGGAACGAGGCCTCTAGATGGATTCTTAGAACGCAGTTGAGCCTCGTTTCCGCACTGTGCCCCGCAGCTTCGCCATCAACCTCCAGTGCGGTCCCAACATGCACCCGCGGGACGACATAGCGTTGCACCTGAGTCCCGTGTTCTCGCCGCCGCCCCGGGTGGTGCGCAACTCGATCCAGCAGCAGCAGTGGGGCCCCGAGGAGTCCCACGGCGACCCCTTCCCATTGGTGGCGGGCCAACCCTTCGAGATACTCGTCCTGGTCGAACACGACCACTACAAGGTCGGTGCGCGAAGTTCGCACGATAAATCTGCGCTCCGCTTCACCTCGGGGTTGGTTTACGTGTTTGCGTCTGATTGTGGTCGATTGCGTCACGGTATAGTGACCGCTCGTGACGAGAGAATGCGCCGGCCCCATTTATCGGTAGTCCTTGAACACTAGATTGCATGAACTAATTAATGCCTCAATGTACGAAATACGGCCGGTTTCAAAAGCCTAATTAAATGGCAATGTGCATTAACACGACGACGCTCTCGTTCTGGGGGGTTGCCGCCGAAAACGCGGCGAAGTAAATTTAGAGCGTGCCTCCGGTACGGAGGTCGGCACAAGTTGAAGATGGTCCTTGTAAGCCATATATGCCTTGCCGTTGCGCTGATCCACGATTAGGCTTTGCGCACTTTGTCGTTTCAGGTACGAGCATCTATGCCCGTTTTCACCTCAAGAAAAAGAGGAAGTTTTGCGTATTGTGCATATGCCATGCAAAGTAGTTCTGACAAGATTTGTTTTTTTGAGGAAGATGCGACGCTTATGGCGTTTTGAAGCGTGTACGCCTCGTTAAGATAACATATGTCTAATCCAAAATGCACCTTCGTATATCCTAATTCTCCACATAACAGGGGGAAATTAGCCATGCTCTGCGAGGAGCCACACTTTTTTTTGTATTACGATTCTTGAGGTGAATACGAGGTTAGTCTCACAAATTGCGTAAAAGCGTATTTATTAATTTTTTTTTTATGATTTATTTTACATACCCTCAAGTGTTGAAGCACTGTAGAGGGGAGTGGGAAAGAAAACATAAAAATGACGAAAGACAACAAAAAGATGCGGCGAAGTATGTGAACACTAAATGTGCGAAATAATTTGAAACAAGAAATATGACGTCTTGCACAAACAGAGTAAAGTAAAGCGAGAGCATCGTGGAGACGTCTCGCGCACAAAGCGTCAACGAAGATTGCTGGAATAGCATGTACGATCGAATATAGATGCGATATCTGTGGGAAGATGGTTCCATTCGTTTGGCACATGCGAGATGATTGAAAAGAGGACGGCGTTCATCTGGCAGCGAGTTAGTTCAGCTCGGTTACAGGAATTTGTGCCCGTGTCAGTGCTGGTTACCTCTAAAACCATTTTCTGGATGCCTGGTCACAGCGTGGCCGTTAATGAACGTTACCACTCTAGTTTTACAGCAACCAATGTACTTTTTCACACTGTACTCAGATTGCCATCAACGGTGCCCACTATGCGGAGTTTCGGCATCGGCTTCCCGTCCACCGGGTCACGCACGTCGCCATCGACGGCGAGGTCTCTGTTGGCATGCTTCACTTCGAGGGCTCCGTCCAGTCTTCGGTGAGACTTTTGGCCGATTCTTAATGCCAGATTCTTTGAGACCTTCAAGACCGACAGATATCTAAGTAGAATACAAAGCACGCAACCAGTGGTGTACATCCTTCGTACACCCGACGTCTCACAAGCTGGGTACAGTGCAGGTGGGAAGATATTTTTTTTTTAACTGCAGTTGGTCACTTCGTAACTTGCAGATGCAAAAACCTTGCACTTCGCCCTTTGAGTACCGGGCCCTGCCGGTCACGAGTTTGCTCCTTGTAACTCCCGACTAAACTTGGGCTAGTTTTTTGCTTTTGTTTGATGAGCGTTATCTATGATTGAGAGATAAAATTTTGTTTTGCAGCATCATCTGTTGACGGCACATAGAAAGTTGTGTTTAGGCAAGTTCCATTTTGGTCTTTGTGTCCTTTGTTTAGATATGGCAAACACTTCTTTGACAGACACTGAGATTAAAAAAGTATGATTGGTTTTTGACATTTGTGAAAAGGAGGAAATTTCAGTTCCGAGTGAAAGCGATGTCAAGACAATGCTGCCTGAAAGGCTGCTCAAGAAGAGTGGCCTTAGTGTGCGAGAGCGAGGTGCAACTTTTTATAGTACCATCTTTTGAAGGGTACCGCACTAGAAAAATTTACCAACTTAGAGGCGTGCAGACATTGATAATTCTGTGCGCATAAATGAGTGTATCTTCAATAAGTAAATAAGCTTTATAAAGCAGGAACCAAACTTTGCATTCAAGATGCAGAAAGAGCCAACATGGGGGGCATGTCTGTTGACAAATATTTCGGCACTCGGACAAGAGGCTTCCATGCGCATTATAGAAAGCCGTAACGAATGTACTGGCCACAGGCCAGGCCACTCTTGGCCACTGCATTACGCAAACGTGTACAGTGTCTAAATTCGAGACCCCCTCATTGCAGGCACCACCACCTGGACCTTTGTATCCACCGCTGGGCGGTGACACGGCTATGCCGATGCCAATGCCCGTCCCGGTGTCGGGCCGGGTTTCGCCGTATGGGAACTTAGGGCATGGTGCCCAGTATCCACCAGCGCAGCCGTACCCCGCACAGCCGTATCCATCCCAGCCCGGTTACCCCGCAGGGGGCTACCCCGGGGGCGGGTACCCTGGAGGCGGGTACCCTGGGGGAGCATATCCGGCCGGTCAGTATCCACCACCAGGAGCGGCGTATCCGGGACAGGCTGTCGGGACACAATTTGTGGTGAGTGGCATAAAATTGGCATTTACTCCGTTTATTTCCTCTGCCAAAGTGCGAAGGGCTGTGATTATTCCCCGTTTACTCTCGCGAATTTGAAATCAATGCTTTCTACGCGGCATGAAATTGGTGTTTACTCCGTCTGCTTTCTAAGCTTATCTGCCTCATTGAAGTGTAAAGAGCAGTGCTTACTCAAAAGGAACAAACACACAGAGTAAATGCACAAAGTGTGCATTTGTCTTGATGCAGAAAATCTGTATTCACTCCAGCTCTTTACTTTGCAAAGGGCATAAAGAACAATGTTTACTCTGTGTTACTCCTTTTGAGAGATAGAAAACTGTTTTTACTTCATATTTACTCCACCTAGCCATGAAGGATTAAATTTATTCTATGGGTCTACTTTCTTACACATAAAAGTGATGCTTACTCCTTCAGGAGGAAAATTATGCTGCTCACTTTATTTACCTCACCATGGAGTGACAATCTTGTTTTTGTGGGTTTACTGGTTATTGACATATATAAAACCTATATTTACTTTACTGAACCATAAAATGTTGTTCTTTTGCCACTTAAGTCTAATAATTTTATAACTCGAGTAGATTTCTTTTTAATCCTGGCGAGGATTCTTTCTTTGCTTGTCTGATCGCATTTTATGAGAAAAGTAATTTATTTTAAAAACAACTTTTTCCAAATTATTTGTGCAGAAGAGTAGTGCAAGTTCATATCACGAGGTACCACACCAAGTTTAAATTATCATTGTTTTGAAGCTACCGTATACACATTTTTCATTACTAAAAAACATTGTATCTTTTTGTTGTCACTGTAGTGTCTCTGTGTGTCAGTGTTGTGATCGTCTTCTCTGAGCGTTCTCCCCTATTCACTTCGTCTCGGCTTCTGGCTGGCTTCGTAGCCGCATCCGGGGGACCCGCACAAGCAGCACTCCGGGCTCGGTATGGGAACCGGCTTGGGGGCCGGATTGGCGGCTGGAGCAGCAGCCTTAGCCGGTGGCTCTCTTCTTAAGCACGGGATGGTAATTGGACCCTATCCCTTCCTCGTTCCATGCATCTTCTTTGCCCCAGCCTTGCGCAAAGTGTCTCAACTACAAGTCGAAGCCGCAAGCTAAATGTCCCAGAAGCCTGTGGGTGTTCACTCAGATCTTATCCCGAAACGCACAGATCCGTAGCCATGACATGCAAAAAGTAAAGCAAGTCATGAAGTCAGTTCTATTTATTATGTTTTAAAGGGCTGTAACATTTAAGGCAAAGAGTTGTAACCTTTGCAGTTAAATCAGTTTACTTTTTATGGTTGAAGTGTTAACTTTTACTGTAAGAGTCAACTATCTCAATTCTTATATTGTAATTTTAGTAATGGCTTCCGTTCTCTCCTGTTGCATTTTAAGAACTTGTAGAACACACAGGCAATTTTATTGACCATTAAACCCAGGGGTTTTGATTGGGAATGTTTGGAGCAACACGTTTTTTGGCTTTGACCTAGAAACAGCACTTCAAGTAGCAGATTAATTTGCAATGTTAGGTTGCACGTGCCTTGTATGGTACTTTTTGAGCAATTAGAGAATTGGAGGGTATGTCGCTTACTAAGCAGCCCAATTATGAAACATGGCGTGAAGTGGAAAACCCAAAATTTGAAAGAATCGCCCCCTCCCAACAGACGTGCCAAAACAGTGCTAGTTGTATACCTATCTTTCCTTCTCTATTTCACCCTTGTGTCCATCTGTCTGTGTGTACATGCCAGGGGGGCCATAGGTCAGGTCTGGGCTCGGCGGTGACCGGAGCAGCTCTTTCCTCGGTACTCCACCCCAAGGTTGTTTGACCGTCGACTGCCTTGGCGGTCGTTTTCATAGACTAAAACCGTCACTCACATCTCAACACTCGAGATATTTTGTCATTCGGTGCTCCCCGCTTTTGCTGCATTAATTCCTAATTGCACGGAGGGGTTAGAATTAAATCACCTCATGTGTCGAGCAGTTCAAGTCAGTCCAGCGAAGAGCCGTCCATTAGGAAGCGGGGAACAAATGGTTTCCGACGCATAACGGTGTTTTGTTTAAGGAGTCAATGTTCAAGATGAATATGTATAGGGTGCATCTTGCAGATCTTATGCTGCAAGACTAACTGTAAAATTCGGTGCCTACACATAGAAAGCTCAAACTTTCACCGAACGTGCATCGAGGAGGTCAGTTTCACCTTGTGGAATATCAGGGTGCAGTTCTCTTCCTGTAAAAAAATGAGACCAACAAACTTTCTAAAGTTAATGGAGGGTGTGTTCGCAGACAACCGAGTTAGCGACGAACGTACCTCGTGGCGCCATCTCCCGACGGACTCGAAGAGCACGTGACATACTCTGTTGTCTGCATTCTTGCTATTGACACTGAATTCTTCAATACGGTTTGCACCTAGCCTGGAGTTGAATGTTGCATATTGGCATTCCTTGGCCGTCACTACACGCAAATCCTGCGCTACGAGTTTCTCACCACGCCTCACCAGAACCTAATCTCAAATCGTGGTTTGAACGGAAGATGGCATTGTTTGTTTCGTGCCAGTTGCATGATAAAAATCTGCAACAGCTTTTAAACAATTTCTGTTTCACAGTAATGTACTCACACTACTTACCTTTGATTGATAGTGAAACTTGTGGGCAATTTTCTTGGTGCATTTGGAGCGATCCAAAAGCGCTCATGTTCGCACCTTTAGTGCAGTCAATTCGAGCATGTGCCTGCACGTGCAAAAAATGCCAACAAGGAAGCGCTCCAAAACTGCTCCAAATGCACCGAGGGAATTTCCCATTAATTAATCTGTCTTTCAACAGCAGTGCCTCTCATGCTAACATTTTATTCTTCTATTATATTATTCTGCATTGTCTGAGTGAGTGTTGTATCTCTATAGCATACGGATTGTCATGTGCTGCAAGTTATTTATGTTGGAAGCTGCAGTTGTGACTCCTGGTTTATGTAAAGACAGTGTCATTCTTCCAAACTTAGCCTTCATCATACGTTAGCTGGGAGTCTTTGCAGCCAGGCAAGTAACTGAAAGCATCGGCATACAATATTTTAATAGTATATCAATGTGATTTGGGAAGACTCTTTTGATCATCAACCACATTGTCTTCTGGTTAGGATCCGAATAATAGTAAACAATATTTAAAGAAATGCCTAAGAAGAAAAATGTTGAAAACATGTGCAAGACTGTATTGCAACTGCTGGCAAACTCTAAAGAGTTGCAGGAATCGGTGAAGCTTGCGACACCTCACGATTTCGTTGCACCTCGCTTAAAATTGCAATGGATGCAGTCCCACGGCGGGTACCCCAAGCACAAGTCGAGCCTGCCGATCCCGATCAGCGGCAACCTTGGCAAGGGATTGGCCGTCGGCGCTGGAGCTCTTGCGGGCGCTGCCTTGCTCAAAAAGGTTAATCCCGTGAGTGTGCCTAATCCTTGTGATTGGATTGTGGTGTTTCTGTGACCGTCCTCGTTGGTTTGGCGTGTTTGTACCAATTGTTGGCTCGTGCGGAATCGTAATCCTAACATATGTGGTTGGCTTGGTAAAACTTTCAGCACAATAATTTTTCCAAGTCGAAGTTACAACTTACAAGCGGAAGCAATATTCTCCCGGCACTGTGCCGTCTAGCTAAGCCTATTTTAGGTTTTGCACGTTTGAGATTGGAGTGTGGAAATCATTTCCCGAAAAACTTGGGAGTAGACCGCTCTCTCTAAGCGTTCCACACAAGTGTGACACCGTCGTAACCGTAGTCCACAGGAGGCAGTGCATTAAACAGCTCGTGCTGCCTCGTGCAGAAACTCTACAGTTCCCACGACGCATGCCTGCAGCGGCATTACAAAAAGAAAGTGGTTGGTGAGATCAGTTCGCTCAGCCCAACCTTGCTCCACTGCTACGTTTCCTTCGATGCAAAACCGTTTCATCGCTTTAGAACCATTACGCTTAGCTGAATATTGCATGTGACAAAGAAATGAAATGTTTGCTCAACTTTACATTACAAGTTAAAAAAAAAAAAAAAAAAGAGGTGTGCTGACATTTTTTTGACAATTCAAGAAAACAATAAATATAAACTGCACAAGGTTGCTCTTGAACGGCAAAAAAAAAAAAAAAGTACCGGCACATGGAAAGAAACATTACTTCCAATCCTTTTTTTTTCCCCCCGTGTTGCACGTTTACCTAAATTCATTCCGCCATGTAATGGTTCTGATTCGGTGCCAATCTCCAATTCTAGCTCAAGCCCAAGAAAATGTTCAAGCACAAACACAAGCACGGCTGGAAAGGCTGGAGTAGCAGCAGCAGTTCCAGTTCTAGCGAAGAGGAGTAAACCCCTTTCCCCCCGAAATGCCGAGTAATCCACGTCGCAGCCTCTTTTTCCAGGTTCATCGCTCATTTGCAACTCCTCGACTCTGGGTCATGTGCATTTAAAGCACGGCAACGCTATGCACAGTCTACGCAGTATGTTATCATGAAATCCGAGGAAATGGAGTGAAAATCTGAGTACAAGCTGATCACTTAAAACGAAAGCTATCTTGCATCTTTTGCTTCAGGCATGCAGAAGAATATGCTGTTGCATGCACAATGCGTTTTATCCCGGTGTTGTATATATTTTCTGGTCTGGCTCTTTCATGTATACGTTTTGCTACTGTTTTACTCGTTACTATTTAACCGCCCAACTGGTTCTTCCTGAACATGTAGAAAGAAGACACGACCTTAGAGAAGAAAATTGCGCTCTTTCCCTAGCCAAATGCAAACTTGTGCATAGATTGGAAAGGAACATAGATACAGCCTTGGCAGGACAGTGCAAGGGGGAAAATGGCACGCACGGGAAAAGCCATGGTGGAAAGAAGGTCACTCTTCTCCACTTCAGTTTTCCATCTTCACAGTCTTTCTTAGGTTGTATCTGACTACTGATGTCTGCTCTGCATCTAGTCGCCAGTACGATGCTTCCAGGAGCTTGCAATGTCTGCTAATGCCACTACACAACTGCGAGCTTTAAATGGCTCTTTAAATGGATATTTATACGGGTCTTCCTCTCGACTCTCCTAAGTCACATTTCGTTTTCATTATAGGTTGTTTTGGGAGCATCATTGTGTACTGTATTACAATAAAGAGCATGTTTTGTATTCTGCAAACCTTACGGCTGTCGACTCGTATTGATACTTCAGTAATAAAGTTACCGTCCGTTACAAGAATGTTTTACGAACCAGTCCTTTCTTGCGACAAAATTACTGTGCCGACATAGTTCGATGTCGGCAGCTGCATTGTTCTTGTTTTTAGAGTTATACAAGGATGACTCTACGGATAAGATACATGTCCAAACTTCCAACACTTTTATTTTGAATTGTGGCTGTGTCGAGTTTGTGGTGAAAACGTCGTTGGGCCTTTAGCATTTTCACCGTGGGACTTCGATAGTCACGAACTTTGAACAAATGGGGCAGTGATGAATTTTTTCGTAGCATGAAAAAGAAAACCTTTAAAAGCGGTCTAGCCACGTTCTATATCCCTCTGCAGCACAGGTATCAATGAATTCAACTGGCGTTCACACGAATCTAACTTATTATTGACGACTGGTGGCTAGTTGGCCTCCTGGTAATGTATGGGCTTCAAGAAACGAACCTGACTTGCGGAAGTGTGATACGGAAGGATATAGAGCATGCAAGGATGTTGGAACAACCGGTCTCTGGTTGGAATGGTTGGTGGGTAGACTCAAAACTAGCTGCCTTTATCTCCTTTCTCAGTATCTTGTATCTCCTTTCTCAGTATCGCTTGCAGGGGAATCGGTGGTCGAGTGGGCTAGCGCACACCAGCTAGGATCACGTGGAGCAAAAGCTTGTGTTGCAGAACCCAGGATCCTGGGTTCAATCCCCAGCCCTGCCCGCTTTGATCTGGATAAGCATCGTACCGGCGTGTAATCGGGTACCACTACTGCGTGATGCACGTTAAAGACCCCAGGCTAGCAGTTGTATTGCACTGGCTAAATTGCTCATCTACAGGTGGGAGACTCGTCGCCTGTCGATGCAGACCAAGTTCTAGGCTGTGTCAACATACACACACCCCAATTTTTTTTTTTTTTTTAGCGCTTGCACACATGCACTAGATAAAATCTGAAATACATTTGTTGAGCTAAGCACTTTAACATTTACTGTTAATTGCCTACAAAGGCGATATCGTCGTGACCACACTGCCAACACTTTGTACTCAAGAGGTTTGCTCTAGACTTCCCTGTTAATGAATCAAAGGGTTGGTTGCTGGGTCACACTGTGGCTCTGAGCACATAGAGCAAAAACTAGCAACTGCAGAACTTAGGCATCCTGGGTTAAACCCTAGCTCTGCCTGTTTTAACCTGGACAAGCATCTTACTCGCATGTGCTGGTGCATCGCAACCGTGGTGCACGTTGAAGACTTCAGGCTAGCAACACAATTACAATTTCCAACAAATCAAACCCACCAATGTTAAACCCTATATCTGTTACACACTAAAATCTAGTAAAGCTGTTGCAGGAGCTTGATTGGCTGGAGTGCAGCCGTTCAAGAACCCAATTGGCCAGAATGCAACCATTAGAGATCCTGGTTGGCTGGAGGGCCAGCCGCTGATCCAATTCCAAATCTGCAGTCGTTGAAGGACTTGATTGGCGAGAAGGCATTCGTTGACGTCCCTGATTGGCTGAGGCGTAGCCGTTGCACGAATCCGATTGGCTGCAAAATGACAGCCGAATTAGTCTGATGGGTCAGTCCCCGATGCGTACTGTGCGTACCACAAGACATGAGGGATTACGAGTTCTCCGTTTCTTGAAACAGGCACTCGGGGCACGAATAGAAGATCGTCTGTCCCTCGTCGGCGGACCTTGTCTGAAGCGTGGCGTAGGTCATTCCCTCGTGGCCACAGCGGGAGCACTTTCTGTCCACGAGAGGTCCGGCGGGCTTGGCAGACGACGCGGACGACGTCTTTTTGAGTGCCACTTTCCTGTCGTTGAACGTCACTTTCGAGGTTGTCTCCAAGCCGTCGAAGTTGCGAACGTCGATCCTTGCGTCGCAGCGCCTGCAGACGACGAAGTCTTCTAGGCCCGGCAGGGGCAACACGCTGCCGCAGTTCTTGCAGAAGTCGGTGTCCGAGACGAAACAGCTTGACGACTCCATGCTTTTTGAAGTAACTGTCTACGCTATTGAGTTTAATGGCCACAAACAACGTCCTTTGTGGGACCCGAATTTCAGAATCGCATCAAAACCGCGAACTCGCGCCCACCACAAGCATGGAATACGACAGCTATCCCGCAGAACGTTGCTGTGCGACGTCACAAAAAAAACGACGTTTTAAAAAATAATTCAAAAGTTTTTGAACAGAAGTTAAAGTATTCATTTTTATATATTATTTCGAAGATTAAAATAGCCTCAATGTATCGTTTTGTATTATTTGTTGAGACAAAAAGTGTTTTGGTGACGTCATTTATGAGCTTGAATTTATATTTTAAATTTACTCAGAACTGTAACGTTACAATTTTAAAAAACATGTTATCTTGTGGACTAATTAGAGTTTTTAAACGGGTTTTAATTTTTCCTTTTTTTTCGTCCCAACTTTGACCAATGAGGTGCCGGCGCAGCATTCGTTTGTGAACCACCATGACAGAGGACACAACTGATCATGAAAACTCAAACGAATCGCCGGTATGGAGCCATTTCCCGACTTTCTAAATATTTTTACCGCGATCTCGAAGTGTTGAAGCTCTAGGAAAACTGGTCGAGAGCATTCGATCGCAGTCTGATATTTTATAAATGCGCACGAACAGCGACCGTCCTAGTTGGGTGGTCGGCCATTTTGGATTGCCCTCAACCGCAGCGAGGCGCTGGTGATTTTGTTTACGTTTGTATGATCGTGCACGTGCAGATCCATTGATTGCCAAATCGCTGCCTGTGTCAATCGGATGAGCCTATTGATGTGATTTTGACACAAATTTAAAGTGTTTTCAAGTATTAAGTTCAGTCGCCTCGTTCGAACGAGATTTGTTTGGTTGCAAACTCGTTCATCAAAGAAAAGTTGAAGCACGTGTGTCGACCTACAAGTTAAACAATTTCTTTTTAAAACGCCTATAACGTCGCAGTTTATCTTAATTCTCGGACCAGCGGTTTGAAGCTTGTGATAATAAAAGTACAAATCTGGGTTATTTGTTCCTTATATCGCGGCGATAGCGAGTAGATTGTTGTGTCCTTCCTAGTAGCAGTGAGTTTGTTGACGCTTATAACATGGGGGAAAAAAAAAGTAAAAACAAAAAAAACGTAGTGTTTGAAATAGCAGAAAAATATAACTGAATTGATTGCTGGCCCCGAAGCACACAGTCAGGAGTACACAGTGAAGTTCAGACATCACACAGTCCTGTTGTTTCGACATTTGTGCTAATAGAGAACAACAGCCATATAATGGTCACTTATGCAAAGAAATCAGAAATCAAACCGTTTTTGCTACCACGGTTTGGCCAGACCGGATCACCAATAACAAAACAGGAAACTAAATTATGCTACAAGAACCGTTTTGTACAACTGGTAAGGTTGCTAAAAGTTTCTTGTTTTTTAAACTCTGCTACAGCGTCCGTACTGTGTACCTTTAAAGAGGCGCTGCAAGCTTGTTCAGTCGGCTGCCTAATCTTTAAAGGGGCACTGAAGTCGATTCTGAGATCGTCCTTTTGAAGTGACAACTCAATCTAGACGCTCTAAGCGTCCCAACGAATCTGAAATCACAATCGTGCGTAGCTTATATCCTCGTTAAAAGCGTGTTCGAAGTTCGCGACACGCCTTTTTTCGGGAAGAATTTTCTTCCAAGTGAAGTGGTCCACGAAGGGCGTTTGTCGGCGTGTTGCAAGCGATGGCTTCGCCCACGGAGAAAAAGAGGAGTCTTATCTGAATGTGTACCTAACAGACTTTCTTCAAAACAAGTATAATAGAATCATTCGGAATCTGTGCGTATTGTAGGGCCTTCACTGGTCTACACAATGTGGTCCACGAGAAAAAAGAGTGCATGTTTTTCTATTGGCCTGGATGAATAGGCAGTTTTGTGTTATAGGACTTAATATATAAGGGAACTAACACATTTTAAACAATATAAGATAAAAACTGACCTTCAGCGCCCCTTTAAAGCCACAGATTTGTAGGATTCCATTGTTGCACCACACGGTTGTAAAATTTGCATTCTTTCGAGGTTGGGTTGTAAGTAGGGTGCCTGGTTTTCTGCGTCCGATTTCTGGAGGATTTCACGTGGCATAAATTGATGGTTGTGTGTGTCTCTTTTACCTGATTGCTATTCAATGTTTTACAATCAGTGCAAAAGACCTTTCTATGCTCTAAGAAATCTGTTGTGTTTGTTTCCTGCAAAGCACTTAGAAAAAAAAGGCAATTGACGCAATCTATAGGTGGAGCTCAGCAAAGGATGAGGTTGAAAATATGTTTAGCATTGAGGTCTCCAAACCCTGGCCCGCAACCCAGATCCGGCTTACCGATGCCTGCAGTCTTTCCAGTGTCGCCACCAAATATGCTTGTGTAAAACAAACAGTGCCACGAGGCGCACCAAGTCTGTAAACAAAGGTATCGAAAAGAGTGGGAGAAAACTGCATCAGAACGAGGTGATTCTTGCTATATTATTTGTTGTACATCGTCATCACCAACATTACTATTGTGTCCTGTGTCATAATTAGGGTTTCTTGTTTTCAGTGAATACCGATAAACCCAGAAAATTAACTCCCGAGACAGTTTTATTGAAATCTGTGAAAACTGAAAGACCCCAAAGAGGCCACTTTCAAAAATCCCTTCATTCAACACTGCTCACATTGCACGCTGGGAACCAGTTGGCCACAGAGCGGAGTGGCATGGTTTCGCTTTCCATCAGACGGCCACTGTCTGTATTCTTGCAGCTGAGCATTTGAACTGCTAAGCCTGCATAACTTTTCTTCGCGCACATGTGAACGTGCTGCACGACAAGGGCACCAGCATGGACGTTGCAATCCATCGTTTTACATTTGCCCACCTTTGCTCGAAATTCGGCACACCGGGAACCACAAAAACAGTGCCAAGTGTTTTTTGGGTATCTCTCGGTAACGTCTACAGCATTGTACACTTGTAGAAAGTTGTAGCAATGAAAACGCAAGCAGCATGTTCTGTCGCAGCACAATGATCATGACAAAATCTGAAACTGAAACCAAAACTAAGTGGCGAACTGGTACCCTGAATTCATTTCGTGCCACTAGTGGCACTTCGATTCGGTAAAAGATCTATTGGAGCTGTCCTTGACTAAGAAAAGCCAAAACGCAGAATGAAAATTTGTTTTCAGTTTTATTTTATGTTGACCCTAAATAGAACCCCCGGTGAACTCTCCATGACGCTTTTTCGCTCCTCGGAACCACGTCCCCTATCCCATTTTCATTTCTTTACACCACAAATACGGTCTCTATGTATTCAGATCATAGCCAATGTTCACTCAAGGTCAGAAAATCCCATTCCCGTGTCTTATTTTCTGAAACGCAAGTCCCGGTAAAGGCCAATTGTTTTTCTGACCCCAGAAATTGACACCGAAAAACACAAAATCTGTGGGGAAAACTAAACCACCAAAAACCACCCCTGATTTCAAAGAAAAATAAACCCCAAAAGCCCGAAACCCTAGTCATAATCTTCGTTTGTCTTCTGTCCCCTGTGAATATGCCATAGTTCCCATGCGCTTTGATTTATGCCAGGCATGTTTTCCGTGTCACAATGATTTTGTAACGTCCTAATTAGCAACATATTGAATTTAAAGATATAGCCAATGTATTCATTTGCATTACATTTAAAGATATTTTTTTTTTGTGTATTTAAATACTCATTTAGGTTTATTTATTGAGTCTACCCTCGTTTATATTGTCTTACCTTGTTTTCTTGCCCTCGAGACTGCGACAGATTCCAAATTCGGTTCCTTTGCCAAAACTTTTGAGCACCCCTGGTTTAGACCTAAGAAAAGACAGTATGCGTTGTGACACTAAGCACGACGTTTCCTATGCTTACGCCGTGCTCAGCTGTTGCTGTGTAGACTCTTTTTTTTTAGGTTTAAATATATTTTCAGTTTCGTGCTTGGCTTCCGCAAGTGCTTCCCGGGAAAGTAGTTGCGCTGGGTTTTCTAGAGCGTAGAAAACAAATGGTGGCGCATAGAGGTCGCCCGTCAATCAGCACTGACGTTTCTTTTCAGCCACAAGTAACGGAAGGATGCCGAATGCCCGTGAGGATGCGCAACAGCAACGACTGGCGTAAGCATATGTCGTAACTTCCCGGGTAAACCGCACACCATAGTACACCCGTTCTAGTTTCTATCTGGAGTTAGGCTCGATGCTCTGCGGATACGGGAAAGAACCAAGCCCACCTGTTCGAGCGTAGAAACATTGCTTTTTTGGGAACCTTGAAGCACTTGGACAAAGATGTTGATCGCGTTCCCAAATTTTGTGGGCTGCACCGAGCTCCGTTTAAATGAAGTTTTTGAGTTGAAAAACTTTGGTGCAATAGCTTGTTCGTATCCGAGGGTTTTTGTTTCTAGCAATCGCCCTCTTCGTACTTGTTTTCCCTAGAGCTACCAAATAAGCTACGCTTGAGTGTATAGACACTTAGCCATGAATGGTTGGATGCTAACGGCTGTACTCTTTATAACAGGGGTAGCTTGCGTCACCTAGCCTAGCAACCAAAAAGAACCAAAAGTATGATTCCTTTTCTCGCCCTTCTAAGCTGATTTTCCTTTCCCTGAGCATTTTTGTAACTATCACCAGGCAGTGTAGGATATCGCCAAAATAACCTTTTAAAAAAAAGTTTTTTTTTCTTTTATTGTTTAGGGAGTTGCTAGTTTTCCTCTGGTCAAGCCTAGTCAGTGTTATCCCCAACACCGGGCCCACTGGGAAATGGGGTTGAGACTTTGGACTGGAGCCATCTGGGAGGATTCTCAATTTTACTCTGTCCCACCTGTCCCCAGCTGTGCTAGTTTAGTTTTTTTCTTCATTTAATTTTTCCCCGGATAATTTCCACCAATCTTCTAACCCTCTCTTTGTGACAGTAATTCTTTTCTGCTCGCCAGAAAAACCCAGCGCCCCTGCCAGATCCGTTACTCCTTCAGGGAGGGCGGGGCGAAGCCCTGTGCACTTCAAAACCAAATGTTCTAGCATCTCACTCTCACTATGACACATAACACATAATGTGTATCTCTTGAAATTTAGCCCTATACGTCTTTGTCCTTAACACTGCCATATTCGCCTCGAACAGCAAATAACTTCCATGTAGAATCAATGTTGCCAGCTGTTACCAGTTTTTGCCGACGTGCCTGGCAGAAAATGCAAGGAGTACTTTCTGTAGCCTTGCTCACTGAAAGTAGTTGCACTAAGAAAAGTTGTACTGCAGTGTTCGCTTAAGATCGACTGCTCAAAAGTCTCATTTTATAACCTTATCCGCCGCAAAGGTGCTCTTGAGGTAGTAGGCAACAAAATGGAAACAGTCGTCACGTCAGGCGAACGAACGGATGACTGTTGTGGCGACGGGGGATGGGAATGAGGAATAGTGCCGATACCCTGAGCTCTAGTTTCCTCCATTGATACTAAAAGCCGCCGGGGACTCTTTCATGCGACCAGGGATCGGACTGGCGAAGACTCAGTTGTCATTCTCGTTTCTGTTTCAGCGCTGGCCGAAATCCTGAGCTTGAAGGAACTGGGAGACAACCAGTTCCTCTACTATGTCCACTTCATCGACTGTGAGTTGGGTCGACTCTTTTCGAGCTGCACAATTATCTCTTCCAAAGAGGGGTATGGTAGTGATGCCGTAGCATAATTGACTGCGGATACAGTCATCATGCCGGTTCTACCGTGATCTCTCGTTAATATGGACACCTTTGTTCCTCATTAATCATAACGTAACATCCAAGATTGTGGCGCAGACAAATTAATTAACTTTTACGTCAAAGAAAAATAGAACGGTAGGAGAATGTCGCCTATTACTTTTTCTTAGAGTTGTAAGCCTTAACTTTTGACCTTCTCTTTCACTTGAGTCATTCTCATACTGCTGTCTTTTTCTTCGGCTTGACATTTTCTCAATTTTTTCCTCACCACAGTTTCAGGTGTTACATTATGATTAATTATCACCAGCTTGCCTGCACGCTCACTGTTATTTCGTTAATCTTTGTTCATCCAAAATATTTTTCATAAGGTGAGTGGAGATTTACGTCGATTGCGTGCTTGACAACAAGGCATGCGTATTTGTGCAGACAACAAGCGCCTGGACGAGTGGGTGACGGCGGAGCGGCTGGACATGAAGAAGTTGCAGCTCCCGCGGAAAGAGAACAAGACGCCGCTCAAAGATGTCAAGAACGGCTCACGCCCCTGCTCGCCGGACCCCCTGGCGCCACTGCCCGCAGGGGTACGTCCCCCACCCTCTTTCGTTGCACGAAGCAGCGTGTGTTGGCCTGGAAGTAACGGTAGCCAGGAAACCACTCAGAAACCACTTTGGGTTTTGAACGATATTCAGTTCGGGAATGTTTTTCACCTTACATGAGCTTCCTGGCGCTAGTGGGACCCTCTTTCGTCAAGCTGGATGACGTAGCTCGGGGCTTGCAGCATTGTCATAGACCCCGGGAGACGCTATTTACGTGTGGCTTGTAGATTGGACCCGAGCATTGCTTGGATTCTCGATTTGGGATCGCGATAATCAGTAGCTCAACAAGCGCTCGTGTAGTGACTCGTGTCCAATCGCTGCAATGACGACAGTAGCCGTACCCTAACAATGTCTGGAACTCGGCACTTGTCCCGTGCTTTGCTGATCCCAGACGCGCGACTACGATGAACATTGGCGGCATGCAATCGGCTTCAGGTCATGTGGCTGCTTGTGTTGGCTGCAAGTTGGACAGGGTGAACGCTGCTTGTTTTTCTTCAATTTTTTCTGTGACAACCATTGCATGGATAGAAATGCTAATGCCTGTTTCGTAGGATGTAGATGTCAGGAATTCGTTCTAAGTGGTATTTGCACCAAGCATAAAAATTGTTGCAAGGCCCTTTAAAAGGGGCACTAAACGACTTTCCGCTATAGTCTATTTATGGTCACAACTCAAATCTATAAGCTCTAAGCTTCTCAAGAGACCAAACATTACATTTGTGCGTGGCCGATTTCTCTAATAACATCGGTATCAAAGATTGGTTATGTCTGAATTATCACAGATGCCAGAAGAAGAAAACAAGCCCTTCTTCCCTCTGGTGTCTGCAATAGTTTCGAGAGAATCAATTTTTGATATCAATTTTAATAGAGAAATGGGCCACGCATGAATGTAATGTTTGGTTTTTTAAGACGTTTAGAGCCCATAGTTTGAGAAACACTGAAAGGGTAAGACACAGGTGAGACGACGGACGACACACATTCTTTTTTGGCAACGGTGCAATAAAGCCATGACGACCTTTTTCGGAATCGCGCCCCACGGTTAAAAACGAAAGAAAGAAACGTGGAAAGGGGCAAGGAGAGAAAGAAAACGATTATGAAAGGAAGTGTACGTCATCCCTTGTCTTACCCGTGTGTCATTCTTTCGGCGTTCCTCATCTCGATCCACACGCGCGTCAGTCTACATAGATTGAGCGGTGACCACAAATAGGTTATAGCAGAGAGTGGTTTAGTGCGCTTTTAAGGGTTCAGTAGTCGCCTCTGGCACATGCTCGTTGCCCTCTGCTGGGCTTTGACTGAGCGTGGGCCGAAGTGCCAAGTTCGGTGTTTGAGACAATACAAGAAGTATCCATATTTGGGTCGGTGGTGGCTTTTTAAACCAGTACGCGATAGGGTAAAATGTCGCATAAGGCTCCCGACAACGAATTGTTATAATCGCAAAACTTGCGCCCGTTCTGCAAGTTGAATCAAGGTGACAGCGCTCACAAGAAGATTGGTTAACGGCAGCTCTAGCCTTTACCTAATCATTGAAAATTGTGACGATCGTGGAAAATTATAAAAAAAACTTGCGTTTTAGTGGCGCCTACAGTTGTTGAGGGTTACCTAACGTTTCGCTTGCTTCTGTTCTACACTTCCTGCGCAGAACGAACAGCCGTTGAGGCCAACCGAAGAGAAAGTAAGTCGTAGAGGTCGTCCAAGGTCGTTTGTGCCTCCGGGACGGTGTGTTGGTGTCGGTCGTCCGTCTCTGCGTTCCGTTTTGTCTGCGCTTCTGTGTCTGATCGAGTGGGTGTCATGGCTCCCAGCAAATGTTTTAAACATGTTTCACTTGTAGGGCCAGCTATTAGCGCTTTTAGAGTGCAACTCTTAGGTGCCCGTTTCCGTGTTTCGCGCTGTCGGGTGTCGGCGTAACCGCGCAGGGAAAATTGTTGTCACGCAACCTCAACACCAGTTCGATTCCCCGCTAAATTCAGCGGGGAAATTCAGTTTCTTCTCTCGATTTAGCGGGCAAATTAAGTTTCTCCGCTTAATTTAGCGGGGAAATTCAGTTTCTCTGCTCGATTTGGCGGACAAATTCAGTAGCGGGGAATTGAATTGGTGTTGAGGTTATGTAACGTCAATTTTCCTACGAAATCTAGCGGAAAAACTGATTTTGTTCATAGGCGACGTGACACCAAGTCAGGTGACGTCATTTTCCCTGCTAAATTTAGCGGGGAAACTGAATCGTAAGAGGAGGGGATGGAGGAGGACGAGAAGGTATAGAGGGGGAGGAGGGGCATACCCTCGCCCCCTTCTCTTAAGAGCTGCGCTCTAACTTCGCATTACAGAGATTTGTAAATGTCTTTCATTTTCGTGTCTGCAAATATAGCCTCGATGACGTCAGCGTCGTGTCACGCTGAGATGTCTCCCCAAGGGTGCTCTACATGCATAGTGACATGATGTGACATCACATTACGTGACACTGACGACTTTATACATTCACAACACAAACTCCAGATGCTTCCTTCAGTGGCCTCCTTATTGCACCTGCAAAAGGAAGAGCTCAAAGAAGCCCTGTTATTGCCATGCATTTAGAACACCTTTGGGAAATGCCAAAGAGGCAGTCAATTCCTTGTTATAACATTTCATGTTTGTATTATCGTAGGCGGACCTGTGGCCCCAGAAGTCCCCAGTTGACGTCAAAGGGTCCGCCGTAAAAGAGGTGCGCCTTTTTTGTCGCTTCTTAATATGTTTTTTTTTTTTTCACGTTTTCAAGTCCCTCGTAGTTTTTTGCTGCAGTGTTAACTCGACCCGTTTGTCTTCTGTCTGTTACTTTTGCACTTTTTGCGTTTCTCGGTCGTAATCATATAACTTTTTCTGTATGCAGAAATTTCAAACGCGATCTATCCGAAACATAGTTAGCATTTTAGCTTAGGTTCTTAATGACTTTTTTTTTATACAACATACCATAGAACACCGCGCATCCGCCCATTCCACATTAAGTGCCCATATCCAAATTTCTAAGATTTGAAAAAATATACACAGTACGTTTATATGTAAAATTGATGACCGGACAAGCGCTCATTCCCCATTTTTTTGCGACTATCTCTAAATTTTGAGTGGGCGCTTGCCTGGTATTTTACGGTAGATACACAAATTAATTTATGTTATGTGCCGAATTTTGTCAATTAATATTTAAGCCGTCTCCTTTTTAATGAAAGTTGCACTGTTTCCTCAACTAAATAAATTTGACCGTGCACTTGGACATGCAGCATGTGCGAGACCGATACGTGACCCCGTCCGTTCGTCTCTTACTCTACGGCGAAATGGCGTTTGATTTGCGTAGAACGTTTTTCTGTCGTATCATTTGATTTTGAGTTTGTTTTGTTTTCCTGTTTTCCTTTTTTTCCGCTTTCTCTCGGTTTGGTTCGCTTTTGGCCAAAGCTGGTGCCGCCTGCTCCAACGGAATCTTGGGCCGAACAATCGCCAGGGGAAGCCCCGGCTACGCCTCTAGCCAACAAAGAGGCCAGAGAGGCAAAGGAGGTACGCCCGTCTAGAGCCAGCTTTCAGCAGAACATCGAAAGTTCATTTCTGCTGGTACACAAGAAGTAGTCAGAGGGAGTAGGAAGGGGTAGTGTACAAAAATTGCGGAATCATTTGCAGTTTCGGGAAACCAGCAAATTTGCGGATAACCAGAAATGTGGAAGTGTGATGTTGGAAACTTGCTGCATCTAAGCAAATAAGCTCAGCAAGAATCAGATTTTTGTTTTACGTGTATAATGGAAATGTGCAGGTAGTGTTTTCATGCTGCGTCAACATCCGTCTTCAACTCTTAAAAGTGTGTTTTGTGTCAGAAAAAAAATCTTTGTGTCTCTGTTCGATACTTTAGACCGATTTTCAAGAAAAAGGAATGGATGCCGGATGAGCAGAAAAAGCGTTCTTTTCGCGTAAGGCTTGCCAAAATAAATCTGCATTAAGTCTATATTTCAAACTCGTTTTGTTCCCATTCTGCCCAGTGAAAAGCACGGCGAAAAAGCAGAAATATGCACCTGATGTCGCCACGCCGCCGTCTTTTTTTTTTTGACAGTGTGAGGCCCATTGTGCCCAGATGTTTGTGTTTTACCTCGTCCCTCATGCATTTGGCGTTTTGTTTTTCTCGCAGAATTCAGACATCTGGAGTAACAAGGCAAGAACTCCGGAAACAAATCTGGCTGTGAAAGAGGTGAGTGCAATGCTGTGGAAGCATTGTTCTGAGTGTGGCTTGTAATTTTTAAACACAACTCTTTAGGGAAAGCTTTCTAGGCAATAGAACCTCTAAAGTTAAAGTGTAAGTCTCATTGCTACTCTCACAGAACTATCACGGTTGCTACAAGTCTCTTCCCTGAACCTCTTTTGACACGTTTCCAGAAACTGTGCTGCAAGCTGATTTTTGTGAAAATAACTCAATTTTCTTATGTGTGTCGCTGTGAAGTGATCCAAATTTATTTTCGTTCACTAAGGGACCACCATTTGCTCGGATCACCTGTCTCCTATGCTTCGCTCAAACTGATTGGAAAAATTTCAGAATACTATGAAGGTTGACATACTTCTATGGTAAATTCAGCTAAAAGGGCCACGTTTTTATGTGAGGGTTATATCTGCATCTGCTGCCCAGTCACAGAGCCTAGCCACGATGGACAAAGTTTACGTTTTTGTTTGCAGAATGGCGCTCCTCCGAAGAAGGCCATCGCGGGGAGGAAACGGAAATTCCCGGCTACCGAAAATGAGGTATGGCTTGTTCATAGCTAGTTTGTCGCATCCTTAAGGGTTTTCCGCAACTTTTCAAAAGCACACAACAAATTTCGTGTTGTAAAGTACTAGAATGTGGTGCCGCAATACCACGCATTTATTCGTTAGCTATGTTACGTTTATGGAGAAAAAAACACGAAGTCGAGCCGAAACCGCGGCTTGAAGGAATGTGACAGCAGACTCCCAGGAAATCACTAGCTCGTTTCATTCTCTTTGAAACACCCCAGTTGCAGAGCATTCTACACATTTTCGGTGTTTTGGTGCCAATAAAATGGCACATTGCGTGGCGTTCATTATTATTTATATATGAAGACACACCCAGATGTCCCACTGTACTACAACTTAAGTATTCAGAGTTCCATGTCATTATGGCATCCGACTGAGAAGTGAAAGGCCAAGGAAGCACTGTCGCCGGAGAAACGTCTGATTTAAAATCTCAAATATATATATATATATATATTGTATTTTATTTTTCTGGATTTTCGTGGCTTTCTGTAGAAATCCAATCTGTAAAAATCCAGACGCGCGTGAATACCTTGCCAGAGCCTTCTTTGAATTTTTAAATGCGGAGCATTCAAAGGGCCAGACTTGGGGGTTTTTGTGTCCCAGGCACGTAGCCTCGATGATGTCACAATGTCACGTCACTTGATGATGTGTCTTAAAGCTGTTATAGATGCTTAGTATTATAGGCCTTTCTTGACGTCGCATGACGCCGTGACGCGCGTCTCCCAACGCGACTTAGTCATGCAACGTCGTGACGTTGTGTCATGTGGGGACGTCACGCGATGCCTTGACATCATAGTGTCACATGGTGATGTCACACATTGTGACATCATATTGTCACATGGTGATGTCACACAACACTGACGTCATGGTGTCACATTGTGACGTCCCGTAACGCTGTGACATCAGTGTCGCAAGGTGACGTCACGCCATGACACACCGTGACGTGCCATCGTGATGTCGCGTGCCACGACAGTGTCACGTGACGGCGTGGGCTTTATACATTGACCAAGTCCTCACAGCGCGCCCTTTGGTGACCTCCTTACCATGCCCAGCAAAGAAGGAGCACAAAGTGGCATTTATTAACGCTGTGCATTTAGGACACCTTTGGCGAAAACGCCGGAGAGCGAACCATCTTCTTTGCTTGCAATTGCTTGCATCACATTAGTTGGCGCTGAGCGCTTCCCTCCTGCCCGGTCTCCCAGGACTCTCAGGACTCCCTGACGCCGTGGCCCCGCCCAACGGGGAGCATGGTGGCCCACCACGACGACATTGTGACGCGCATGAAGAACATTGAGATGATCGAGCTGGGACGCAACCGCATCCGGCCCTGGTACTTTTCCCCCTATCCACAGGTGAGGGGTCGGACCGAACACTCTACTAGTACTCTCCTCGAGAACCGTAGTGATGAAAGTTCTCCCCCTCGCAGATATAGAAGTTTCATATAATAATCAGCCATTAATATTTTGGGCACTTGTTTCAAGACGTTTGTACGATAAACGGGGAAAGTTAGACGATGTGGACGCTTTTGTGTGAAAGCAACGGCAATGCAAACTACCTCGTGAAATCTTGTCAGTTTCCACGCCTTGAACGTCTTAATTTTGTATTTTAGCAAATAAAGGTTAACTACGACATTCTTGTATAGCTGAATATTCCGTCCAAGGGTATGGCTGACATTAGTGGTTCTCAGCTACTGATGTTTTGGGGATTTCTTTTGTACTGTGGGGGGACCCCATACACCCTAAAAGGGAGGGGGCAGGTTATTGGATGATTACAATGGAAAAGGAGTAAACGAAGAAAACCAAATGCTTGCAAACCATTTTGAATCTCTGAAACAGAGAATAATCAACTCTGCTCACTGGGCGCATGGGGTTTGGTCTAGTATTAGCATCTCACGACTGCCAGGATCAATAAAAAAAAGTTTAATTGCTTGGCTTGACCGACGGTCGAGGGCTTTGGGGACCCTGAGAAGGCTTTCAGGGGCCCCAGAGGGTCCTCAGGCCCCTGTTTGAGATCCAGTGGCTTATGTGTACATTTGTTTTGCAGAAATAAACAAAATATGACCCAAACCATTGTTTTTTTTATAAACTGACAGTACGTGGAATCGCCCTGTGGTTCATCGTAAGATGAAACGGAGTGTAGGCCACAGAGTAGTATAGCAGATTTTTTGTTTTGTTTTTGGGTGTCTCACTCGTGTTTGTGCGTCCACCTCTATGTTTAGTCCTTGACGGAGGTGCCTCTCCCTTCCGACAGGAACTAGTCAACTCCTGCATTTACCTGTGCGAGTTCTGCCTCAAGTACACCAAGTCGAGAACTTGCCTCAAGCGGCATCTGGTGAGCACCATTCATGCTTCGTCCAGACGTAACTGGACAGAGGTTTGAAATCTACGGCACTTATGTGCCAACAGGAGCGACGAAGTGAAGTGCGTGACAACTTGCTCTACTGGACAGTCTCATATGCCTCACTCTTGCATTTTGATTGGCTCGTTGAGGCCGCAGCCTTCTTTGCTTGCTGAGCGATGTTGAAACACACACACACAGTGGCCATTTTGGAAGGACAGCTCTAGATTTTTTATTTTTAAGGTTAATTTGAAAATAACCGTAATGGAAGCTGACTTCTTGGCTTAATGAGTTGTGTTTGAATCCTTAAATGTGGGGTTCACAAATAGCATGTGACAGTGGGAATTTTGAAATTTCATAATTGTAATGTGGTTGAATTAATTTTTGCCAGTTCTGTTAAAGTGACAAACGAACAATTTTAAGTTAAGATGGAAGGAGCAGCTTCGAGTTGAAAATGTAGGTCTAAATCGGGTGGTCAGGCTGACCCGGCCTAAGAGCCACAAACAAGGCCACGAAAAGAGCCGCGGGGGGGGGGGGGGCAAATATTTGTAAATAGCAATTAACGAAACTCGAACTACCATATTTTCCGGACTATAGTCCGCACCCGATGTATAGTCCGCAGGGGTAAATTTGGGGTCAAAAATAAAAGATTTTGCTTAGATAGCCCGCACACAGTGCATAGCCCTCACCCGGTGCATAGTCCGCACCTGGTGCTTAGTCGGCACGAAAATCTTCTCATAGACGCACACGTTTACAAATGTCTGCTCTTTAGCTCACAATAAAGCCTGTAATGTGCATAAATCATTATTAACATACACTTTTGTGCACAAAATTCGTCACGTCTGGTCATAATAAACAATCTTGAAAAACATAATTCCTGTATAGTCCGCACGCGTAGATAGTCCGCACAGCCAGAAATTTCAACTTCTAAACAAGTATAGTCCGCGGACTATAGCCCGGAAAATACGGTACTTTCAGTCTATCCGAGTCAAAAGCAGTCCAACTGTACGTAAGGCAGTAGCACAAGACTACCAAACCGCAACCTGCCTTTCGATTTAAAACGCGTTCCATTTCTCTTTTCGGGGAAGTGCTTATGTGACCGGCAGGGAGGAGGGGGAGGTGGGGGGGGTGGAAGGTTGGGGAGGGAGCCGCGAGCCGCACTGTAACATGCAAAGAGCCGCAGCTTGGCCACCCGTGGTCTAAATTTATGGGGCAGCTTTTCGGGCTTTTGAGTTCAATGGAAAGAGTCACTAGCTGCCCTTTCAGTGGAGCCAGCATGGGTCAGGAGCACTTAGAAACATCTGCAGTTGCCAGCAGTTGCCAGTTGTGTGCATTGTAAACTCAAACGCATTGCTCTTGTGAACACTGCAGTCACCAATTCCGGCTTCGTGTTGAGGTTAACGGTGCGTCCTCTTTCCTGAGTTTCTTTTGTGTGCAGATAGATAAGGCACGGGGGAAAAAGGCGAAACTATGTTGCCTGCTTTACGACACCTTGGATATATTTTGGAGCTGTATTGAATTGAAGTCAGAAAAATGGCTCTGTGGCACTTTTGTTGTTTTTAACAAGGGTTCTTGCGTATTACTAAAAGTCTCACATTACCTTTTTATTTTTTTTTTAAGGCAAAGTGCACGCTCAAGCACCCTCCCGGGAATGAGATCTACCGGAAGGGGTCTTACTCATTCTTCGAGATTGACGGCCGGAAAAACAAGGTACCCGTTTTGTCCAGTTTTGACGTGCCGAAACAACCAAAAATAACAGACATTATGCCGAGTTACCTTTTTCAACATTTCTGAAGTGCAGATTTGCATGTGCCCGCTAAAGCGCAAGTAGGAAAAAGGAGAGGGATCCTAGCTAGGTCAAACATCAAGAAGTGCATTGGAGCTTCTGCTGTGTACCAAAGTGTACCTATGAAAGAAACAAACCTTTACTAGATCGATGTTGTTTTCATGCGAGAGTACTTCATTTGCCCATACTGTAATCACAAGCCTGGCACATCTTTTCTTTACCTTTTTTTTACATTTGTACTGTATGGCAGAATCTCTCGATTTGTTCTTAAAAAAATGTTTGCTGTGTCAGATTTACTCTTGTAGGGGTAACTGATGTGCTTATGTTGGGGTTGTAAGTGTACCGCAGCTTTTCCTTGGTTTTGCCCGTGTGGTAGCTTTTGCTTGTTTCCCAATGTAGACACTCCACAATGATACGCGCCATTTAGTAGCAGTTGTTTCAAGAGAAACGGGCTTTCGGGAAAAGTTTGAGAAATCCTGCCGTACGTGACGAGCCGTCTTTGAGAATGCGTGTTTGGGTCGATCCTGTGCAGATGTACGCACAGAACCTGTGCCTGCTGGCCAAGTGCTTTCTGGACCACAAGACCCTGTACTACGACACAGACCCGTTCCTGTTCTACGTCATGACGGAGGTGGACAGCCGGGGCTACCACCTCGTCGGATACTTCTCCAAGGTGGGTGACTTAGTGGACAAGGCGTGGACTCACTTTTGGGCCCGGCTGCACTGTGCGAACAAATGGCAGACGCCGCTCGCAGACAGGTTGAGGATATCTTGTCGGGCTCCCCAGAGCCATCGTGAGAGCACTGTATCATACAAAAATCATCATTAAAATACTCCGCCAGTCACAAAATTTGTCGTGATTTTCACAATGAAGGATCTAGAAAAGCAAGTTCGGCTACAGTCCACACTACATAAAATTTCAGCGTTTAAACACGTATAGTCTGCAGGCCGTAGTCTGGTAAATGGGTTAATGACGCTAGAGGACGGTACTATACTCAGATTATTCCTAAGCCAGCAGTGCGGTGGAAACTACGCTCTCGCCGGACCAATCAGCCGCCTCTCTCTCATTACCCGACCCCACACTCTGCGCGTGGGTACAGATGGAAAGCGTGATCACATGGCGAAAGACAGACATAGTTCATGAGCATGTAGCTTCCACCACACTGTCAGCTAAGAGATGAACAGGGGATGGTGGATGAGACACTGACTTATTTTTAGTCTGGTTGCACTGCGTGGAGAAACGGCACATGTCGCTCGCAAACGCACGTGCCAGAGACACCCAGAGGCACCAAAGCATAATCGAAGGTAGGAAGCTTGCTCTGAAGGTGGTACAGCTGGAAGACCACCCTGCCATTTTTATCCTGCCAGTGGCTAAACACTAGACTCTCCTTAATTCAAACTCCAGGAAGCCATTTTGTTTGAATTATCAGAAATTCATCTGAATATGGTGCAAGATAAAATTACGAACCATATATTTGAGGTTTTCTCTACACATGCCTACTAATAATCATGAGCAGGTATACCGTACCACACGTGAAATATACGAGATAAGTTTCACTTCAAAAATGTTGTTTATCGTGGACTGTTTAGACAGCATGCGGCACCTCAAAATAGAATAAAGTTTGTTCATCCAGCAAAAAGCTTGTCTGTTGTAGACTACTAGCTCCGCAGTGCACCAGTATCGGTGCACTGCGGTAGGGTTGGTAGAGTGTTCCACTGGAAATGTAGAGGTCCCTGATTTGATACCGGGACCAGGCGGATTTTTTTGGTCGCGCACCAGTCGTGTAGTTATGTTTGAAGACTTGTGTTTGTCCTTTGTTCCCCTTCTCCAGGGATTATTTTAGTCGCTGTTGTTGGTCTTGGGTTTACTAAGACGTCGGAAATCGTTGTTCGTACATTTTTCCAGGAAAAGGAGTCTACAGAAGATTACAATGTGGCCTGCATACTGACCCTGCCACCGTTTCAGCGGAAAGGTTTTGGCAAGCTGCTCATTGAATTCAGTGAGTGCTTTCCACCTTTCTTTTTACAGCGATAGTTCTTTTAGGCTCCTCCCACCACTTAAAATGATGTCTGTTGTTGTTGTAGTTATAGTAGGTGTCAAACGTCAATATTGGCGACTGTTAAAAAAAATTGTGCGACGATTGCACGACGTCATGCGTTTAGACAGCGGCAGCTGTGTTGCTTATTCGACGATGACGATCGATTGACATTGCGCTGATCATGCGTCGTACGGTGACCTGATATTGAAATGAAGTTGGTTTGATTTAGCGTTGATAGGTTGTTGACGAATAAATGACTTTAAGGTTGTGATGTGCTTTACCGCCAAATTTAGAGAGGAAGCTGAATTGGTACATAGGTCACATGACGTTAATATTTCTGCTAAATTTAGTGGGGAAACTGAATTGGTGCATGTGACACGTGACACCAATTTTTCCGCTAAGTTTAGCGGGGAACCTGAATTGGTCCATAGGACATGTCACGTCAATTTTTCAGCTATATTTAGCAGGGAAATTGAATTGGTGCTTAGGGCACCTTCACGCTCCTGCAGTCGCGAAACCGGGAGACGGGTCACAAACGGGTGCCTCTGTAAGTGCCACTGTGAAAGATCACCCGCTCCCGCGGTGCTAGCAGGATTCCATCCTTGGTCCACTGCATGAGAAACTGCTGCGTTACCACAGAGCTACGCAACAGCTTTGACAATCCGCTTTAAATGCGACATTTGTGGTCACAGGAGTGCGTACGAGCCTTGCGTAGTGCCTGCTAGGTGGCCGCAATTGCTGTGACGTCGTGATAGAAAATTTCTTGTCATTCTTAATTTAATCGTTGAAATTCAAAGCTTCAGCTAGGTGGCGCAAGCCGCTGCCCAATTGAAAGAGTTCAGTTGTATTCATCCATCCAATACCAGCTAGGAGACGGGCCTGTGCGTTCTGTCGTCATTGGTGGACCTTTAGCCTGCCTGAGCTGCCCCAAGCGGCAGACGCGCTGAAGCGACACGCCCCTTTTTAAGGGACATGTCGCGGCGTTGCCACATTTTTAAGAGTGAAAAAGGCCACGTATGATTGTCAAACCCGCGACTCTGACGTCAACGTTGCTGCGATGGCGCTGTTGTTGCCACGGCGCATGCGCAGAAGCTTTAACTCACGTGAATCGTGTTTCTACGCTCGCGCAGTGCCCACACCTGGTATAGGCAAATGCGGGCTTGTCTTGAATAGTGTGTGAGTCTATATGATGCTTAGGGTGCATAGGTTGAATTTGAACCATAAAAACACGATCTCAAAATCCGCCTTAGTGCCCCTTTTAAGTCCGCCAGATTTAGTGTGTTACAAATTTGCATTACATTTCCACGTTACACTTGTGTGTTCTGCTTGTGTGGTACACTTTATGGGGATATTTTTTTACCCCACTCTGAGAATGTGGAGCGAAAGTTTGCGTTGCAAGACCCAGGGATCCTGGGTTTAATCCCCACCCCTGCCCGTTTCGATCCGGATGAGTGTACTATACACCAACTCATGTTTACAAACAAACCGGAGCGCCCCTAGCGGACGCCACCAGTGCCGCGCATGCGCGATGGGGGTGTGGGCAAGAAGCTCGCCGTCGCCCATAAACAAAACATTGAAATGCGATGTTGTCGGCGTCGGTGTGAGTCCCCCAGCCCTTTTTCGCGTTCGCATTGTTGATTCTACGTCTTCCTGGCAAGGTCTGACTACTTCAGCGGCGTCAGCGAAATTACCGAGGCTCGTTACACCGCAAAACTTCGTGTGAATAATGTGACATGCGGCGATTCATTCCGCGTGGACGCCGCAGAATGTACGCTAAAGCCTGAGTCGCATGATGAGATTTCGCTCGCAATTTTCAGTCCGGACGTCGGTCGGGCTGCAAAAGCGTGAACCATAGCTGAGATGGTCGACGTCGATGCTGAAAATCTCAAGCAGAATCGGACCAAGTGAATTAAGGATAACAAGTCGGTGACGGTCACTGGTAACAATGATCGACATCTTTTTGTATCTACTGTTTACATCGAGCCTGTTAACCAACCTTCAAAGTTAAGCCTTTTGAGTCCTGCATTTACTTCTTATCGCAAGTACCGGGCCAACATTTGGTCTACGGGCCGGCGTCGTCTAAGAGAGCAGACGACAAGCAGAAACGTTTGAAAGAGCAGACGACAGCTCGAATGATCAGGCGGCCGTTTGAACTTGAAGACGCACTGAACGTAGTCCGCAGGTGGTCTGTACAACCTCGCGGTTTTCCGCCGTTCATGTTAGAACAAAACAAATACATTTGATGACCAGAAGTATCCGTGAATTCAATCCAAAGTGCTTCCCGCCCAAGCAATCGTGGTCGACGGCATCTGGTTTTCCCTTTTCACGGCACATATCCACCTTCTCGGACGATTCGAGCACATGAAAACTGGCCTTCAAACCTTTCTCGACTCTTTTAACACAGCCCCAGTCGCGGCGTTTCAACGAGAAGCCAGGTTTTTGTCAGGTTCCTTTCAAAACAGCGCAGGAATACACGTCTCGCTTGGGGACTTCTGCCCACAGCCCCAGACCGAAAGTGCGACCGACGCGCCACCACCGCGCCGTGACGTAACAGAGATAAGTTTGTGTATACCAGCGTGTGGTCGTGTGCCACTACTGCGTGGTGCACGTTAAACTTCCCAGGCTGGCGGTTGTGTTGCACTGGCAGAATTTCTCATCTACAGCCGAGACACCAGACACCTATTGGGGCTGACTAACTTCCGGCTGTGTAAACATATACACAACACAATGGACCTTTTTCCAGTAAGCTTCTGTGCATGCATGCACATCCTCTCCCCTTGCCTTGCTTCCCGCTGTCTCCATTTTCGGAAGGCACCAGCCTGCACGACCAAATTTTTTGTGAGTGCCTATCTTTCCACGTATTTCGCCTTTTTTTACTATTCTTTTCTGGGTATTGGTAGCGTGGGGCATACAGAGCAATGAAGACTCATACAACAGCACGATGTCAATGTGCTTTGGTGAGCGGAGTCCTGTCGGGCTGCCCTTCATTTGTAGTTCGCAGACAAACCGCCGCGCGGGTCTCACTACTCGTAAAAGGTCCATGGGAAGATTGTTTCACTGGATGACACCCCTCTCCCTCCAGGCTACGAGCTGTCCAAGTTCGAAGGCAAGACTGGCTCCCCGGAGAAGCCCCTGTCGGACCTGGGGCTCCTGTCGTACCGGTCCTACTGGTCCGAGACCATCCTGGAGATCATGATCAACATGGCACCCTCGGAGGCCGGCGAGAAGCCTCAGATCACCATCCAGTGAGTGGACGCTCACTCTCGCGTCTGTGCGTCGGCCTCTCTAGTCGCCCGTCGGGCGCCTTGTCCCGGCGCCGTTCTCGCCGACAGAAAACGTAGAAGTGTCGAAGGATTTTAATCATATTGTGCGAAAAACCGATACTGGCGAGAAAAAGATAAGGAAGTCTCAAGTCTAATAAAACTGGCAACCGTTGGAGGGAACGTCTCAAACCTGGCTAAGTTGCTTACTTCTCTCGCTCCTCCTATTCATCCTTTTTTGTTTGACCACAAACTCGGTGGTGCCATCTGTCGAGTAGTCCTGGCACACTTCTGGACTGCGTATATTTTCTAATTTCTTTTATGCACCATTCTTGCACCCCAAGAGTGAATTACATGTAAGAGCACTATAGACGATCATTAATTGAAGATAGTGCGTGGATTTAATCTCGTAAATGCTGGAAAACTTGCCGTCTAGTGAAAGGGGCGATGCAACAATTTAAACTTCAAAAGGACTTGCAGTTCCAAATTTTTACAATGCTTTATCTTACCAAATGGAATGGAGAAACTGCCTCATTCTTTTGAGATATTGAATTCTGTTGCGTACCTAATAGCAAAAGAAAGAACGGGACTATTTCGCGACTTGCAGCCACGAGGTGGTGGCCATGGGAGCTGAGGCGTGACGTGTAATGGGTATAATGTAATAAGTTTGCAAGACGTGTCAATATGCTCAATCTAATGCTATATTTGATCAATATTGTTGTTTCGATGTGAGGAGATGCGTCGAATATCTTGTATCATCGACAAAGTTGTACTATATTCAGTTTTAGTGGTGCCACCTGTTTGAGGTGAAAAAAATACTATTCCTCCCTTGAGCCTCACCCCTCTCCACGTTGCTCAGACCATTCTTCAAGGTCGCCATATGAATTGCAAGCTGACGCCGCTTGCACTGGAGGCTCTGAAAGAGAACCTAACCGGATCTTCCCTATACTAATTACGGGTCACTGCACACGTGACTCGGAAGAAGGTGTAAGAGTTGGTGGTTTGGAGGCGCCGTTAGTTCCTAAAGGACTAAAGCCCATAGGCAAAATTTGTTTTCAGTTCTTTAATCCATACATGACAACGTGACAGGGAACAACTACCACAGTTATTTGACTGAAGTCCAAACATTGTTGCACGGCTCCTTTAAGAATTGTAAGTGTTCAAGGACTACTTGTACGCTGGCGCCTCCACCTTTCAACTCGTGCGAGAAAGAGCGAATAACCCACAATGGCTGTCGCCAATTGACCTTCTTTGTGGACACCCCCTTCGTAAACAAAGCAACGACGGACCCTTTGAAGCTACGAGGGGGTTGTGCAGTTTATGTGACGACGTCTACCGACCTTCGCCTCTTCCGTAATCTATGAAACCTCAAATTAGACCCACAGAAACTCGTCGCCCAAACACCTGCACCGGTAGACTTCAGCCTCTCCTAACACATACGCCACACCGCCGAGAGACCCGCACGATGCGCTTAGCCAATGCGTGGAGGTCGCTACCACTTGAGCTAACTTCATACGTTCTTGACGACCCGACGACATCGGGGTACTCCGTCGGCAAGTCTCTTAGCATCTACGATGTTAAAGTGTGCTAGCGAGTGTGGTTGCCACGCGTCTTCCATGCCATCCCTTCATCTTCGATTGTGAACCCTCGTCATCACCGTTTACTCGCTCTTCACCCTAGTGTCCCGCATTGCCATGGACTTCCTTGGCATGGGCTACTAGCCTTTTTGCTGTGTTGGCTGTCCTCGACCAAATGAATATGCAGATAAAGGTTGCGGAGTGGCTGTTACTCTCCGGTAACCTGTTGCCTCACTCTTTTTGTGACGCAGCGAGATGAGTGAGCTGACGAGCATCAAGAAGGAGGACGTGATCTCGACACTGCAGTACCTGAACCTAATCAACTACTACAAGGGCCAGTACATCATCACCCTGACGCGAGAGGTGGTGGAGGCGTACGAGCGGGCCGCCCTCAAGAGGCCCCTGCGCATCGACCCCAAGTGCCTGCACTGGACCCCCAAAGACTGGGCCAAGCGGGGAAAGTGAGGCGGTGAGTGCCACCGCATTGCCCCGTGAACGAGCATGAAGTCGCCGAATCCTGGGAAAGTAGCGCCACTGCCTTCCCTGCTTCCCAGCGGGACACAAACATACTAACTTACAGACAACCAATACCTCGTGAGGGAATTGGCCGGTCGGTCTCAGTTACCACGGTCCTTTCAAATCTTCGAAGTTTCGAAAGGGTCGTCTTGGACCAGCCACGCCAAAATCGCTGTGGAGCGTCGCCATACTGAAAGTGTTCCTTGCCATTATAAGCATCTTTGGCACTGCGCATAAAATCAACTTAAGTACTGCTTACCTTGACGGATATCTTATGAAAATATTGTTGTTCTTACGTCTTTCAAGACAGGAAAATTATTTTTCAATGCCGCCAAGGACCGATACCGCACATGGTGGCGTTGTAAGGACGCTCGCTTGTTCCGCCGGCGTGTAGATAACAAAACCTCGGTATACAAGAAATGTCACAATAAACTGACTTGTCGCCGCAAATTCGGATTAACTCGCCAAGAATGAGAGAGTCGAGGAGATAACTGCGCGTTCCAGGGACCAAAATGGCGATCAAACAGGGTAGGGGAGTTTGGCGCCATTTTCCTTAGGTCAAGTGGCTTTAAACAGGCATAGGTAACAAAGGCGGGATGAAACAAATGTAACGGCAACTCGTGATTGGAAGTGGACCCCCAGACTGTTCTGTGGAGAGAGTAATTTTTATTGGGGGTAATAGACCCTTTTTAAAACCCCGTTGAGCAACATTGGCGGTCGCATTTCTTGGGCACAAAGTATGTGATTGGTTCCTCGCTGAGTGCCGACGCAGCAGTTGTGTCCAATACTAGCTCAAGGCACATGCCCAAACAATGATGCACTCGGATGATAGGCACAGCAGCAGGTGGGGATGCACAATCTTGGAAAAGGGTCTATCGTTCATCGTAAATTTGACGTCTATCGGGGCCTACTTTTTTTGGTAAGAAAATTAAATCAAAGTGCAAAAAGGGGGCGAGGATGGACACTTTCTTAATGAGGGATACTAAAAGCAATGGGGAACAGGACAAGAAAAAGGTCCTGTACTCTGGTGATTTTAGTATATTTTTGAGATGCACTGCATGGCCCATCTTTCCATTCTATTGCAATTTTTTGATGAACGCAACAGCACGTGCTCGGAGCAGTGTTCATACTTCTGATAATTTCTGATTCTCGCCAGTTTGACGTTTAGTGTGGTTAATTTCGATGGAGCGTGAGTAAGCGGAGGAGGCTGTCATTAGTAAGCGGAGGAGGTTGTTACCATATAATTGCGTGTAAGGGCCGCACCCCCGTATTTAGGACAAAGTGTTGGAAAAAAAAATTACAGACATTATTTGCGTATGCGCCGCACCCCCTTGTTTTTGAGGCACGCTGACTGTAATGCTACGTTTCTATGGATATATATCGCTAGGTGGCACTAGCCACCGCCCGAGCGTGTAGCGGCACGTGTCTACATCCTTGATATTTGCTCTCCACTCATTCGTATCACCATATGGAATAATGGCTGTCGAACTCGATCGTGGTCGGCCGCACTGTCGGGATACGTTTCTGTTGCAGCAAGGCATTGAGAAAAGATAAAGGATATGCCAGCTTCCGTGGCAAGCGTGAGGAACAAGGATTCAGCGGGCTTGGCTCACGCGTGCACTCAGCTAGGTTTCCGAATGCCGCTGTACGCTCTGGGGAGGTTCCCTTTTGTTCTTCGATTCGTGTCAAAGCGTCGTGATTTTTCTACCTTTTAGCGCAATCTGAGAGCTATGGGCAAGTACCACTTCAACAGTCATACGGGATTCAAGTCAAAAGTTGTCGCGCATGCTATCAAGTATGGCAATATTGCGCTGTATGTAAACTAATTAAATCCGACTGACGATTGAGTCTGGATTCCGGAGTGAAGGCATTTCCGACCAGTGCAGCCGCTCACGTACATTCATTTCGGAATGTGGATACAGATATTTTTTTTATTTTATCCGTGTATGGGCCGCTCCTCGAAAATTTTCCCTCAAATCGGGAAAAAATAGTGTGGCCCTTACACGAGTTTATACGGTATTAAAACGCTGCCTCCTCTGCTTACACTCGGTTTCACTCCAGGTCCGACCTCAGCCGACGCTTCAATTCGACGGACGGGCGTTTCTACAGATTTCGTCGGCGCTGTCCAAAAATGCGGCATCCCGCTTGCCAGAGGCTAACACGCCTTTTCTGCCATTGTTTGTACGCAGGTCGGCCTTGACCGTCGCACAAACCCAGTTCATCCGGACGGCGTTGACGCCGTCTGCTCATCATCCGAGCCCGTGAAAGCCTCTGGCGTTGTTGTCCCGTTTCCGCACACCCTGCTGTCGTGTCGCAACGGTCAATGGTGTCTTGCTGTGTCGCCGCGCGCTACCTTTTACAAAGCCACCAGATTCCCTTCCCCGGCTATGCCCGTCGACAACCGTGAATACGCCCAGGCACGCGAGCCCGTTCTACGGCAGCAGCTCGCCGCCAAATGACGGAACTGTTCGTCGCGAGGTTTCTGTCCAAGGCATGCCATATAGCGGCTTTGCTTTGGGTGGATGGATCCTTGGCGGCCTGCTATCAGCCGGGCTTGCTCACTAGTGATTTTGAGGAGCTAACAATGTTTAGGAACGGTCACTTTACGTTGAAGCTCGACGGGATCTGTCTATCTTCTCGTGCTGACTACGGCGCGAGAAACGGCATTGTCCGCTCTCTCCCGCTTGCCGCCGACCGGTACAACAAGGCATCATCACTTTTGGTACGGATAGTTATACTCAGTTTTGGCTATTTTGTACTACGTCATCGAGGCTAGAGTAGCTTCCACAGTGCTGCATCCCTGCACTGCTGCAAGAGCATGTGGCTTTGCTTTGGCATCTCGAGGAAAATGCAAAACGAAGCCATGTGCTTGCGCAGGTGGCTTTTACAACATTGGAGCACTGGAAGACGTTAGCCTTGACAATGTGGCATGAAATCTTCGATGCCGAGTGGTTAATTCAACATAGTGAATAGTTTTACTGCCTGGCCTGTGTGTCGAAAGTTCAAATTGCAGACGTGTCTCTGTGTGCCCTGCGTGACGAAGGTGTTTTCGGATTGTGATTGCCTTTTGAAGTATGATTAACGTCTACTAGCGAGGCCTGCAACACAGAGCTAACAGTGTTGGCACCTTTAGGAAAATATGACAAAAGAAAAAAAAAAAAAAAAAAGAGAAGACAAGGTGTTCCTTGTGAGACTCTTAAAGAGTCGAAATTGTGTGTTCACAGAGCTGTGTTTTTGTGGTCAACTTAGGATATGGCTCCTTTTTGTACATAGTTTACAATTTCTCCCCCCATAGTGGGTGTGTATTTACTGTAAAATTCTGTATATATGCCCTTTTTTTTTCTTTTCTTTTTGGTATATGCTGCCACGCTGGAACGTTAGGTTAATAAAATTGTGTAAATACAATCAAAGCACACTTGTGATTCATTAGTAAGAAGTACTTCCATCGTTTCATTTGGAAAGTTTGTAGTCGGCAACTTCTGAAGAGCTGTTTATGAATAAAAACAAGCTTGTGGAGGTGTATTGGCTGTGCGTTTTACTGGGGAGTCTTGGTCTTGTGCTTGAGGACCAAAGATTACACGTCTTGGATAAATTGAAAGAATACATAGCTGTAGAAAGAAGCTGTAGAAGTGTGTTTAACGTTATCGAAGGAGCACAAAGAGAGCTCCCCCTCCTTTTTCCGGGGGCCTCTACCTGTGCTCGAGCTAGAACAACTCCCCCACCCCCCACCCCCCCACCCCCAAACTGGAGGGAGACTTTAAGCCCTAAATATGTCCTAAAATGCATACATATCAAGCGCAATGTATTGCTGTTTTTTTTTTTTTTTTTTTTTTTGTGTTTTGGTTTGGGATTGAGCGCCACTGGGCCATTTGTTACTGGCAAACTTGAGGCAAAGTTATATTTTTGTTTACCTTAAGTGCTATTTCAAGCGTGATTGATTAGTTAATGAAATCAATTTCAACCACATCAACACTTTTAGTCCGTCCGGAACGGCGGAAACCGCGGAAACGGCGGAAACTGACGCTTACGTTTAGGCCGGAAGCACAGTGGCCGGAAGTGTGCGTCCGCCATCTTTAAAAACTTTGTGAGCGTCGGCGGCTATGGCGTTCGCGAAGACGGTGGTTTAATGGATCGGTTCCTTTCTGAGAAGATGCCGTGAAACTTGACTTTAAGCGAAAAAAAGGAATACAATCGGTGCATGCTCGCAAGTGACTCCGAATCAACGAACGAGTACATTTGCCTGATGGAATCGGCCTCGACGTACGCGGCACCTGTCAAGTTCGGCAAGTTCGAGACGTCAAACGCCCATCACAAACGCCGCGATGTTGAAGCTCATGTGAGAAGATCCTTTTTGTTTGTGTTTGTGCGTGCCCTCCATTGAGTGCTGCTTACGCATTTCCTGCCTTTCTTTCGTCGCCGCCCACCTTTATCTCGTTTTATTTCGAGTGACCAAGATAGCGCGCTACCAATCGCATAGGAAGGCCGAAGAAATAATTATTACGATAATTAAATTTGGGATGGACGGTACCGATCATGCTCGTTTACTTCCGAAAGCGGTGAGTTTTCGCACTCTCTTAAAAGTTTTGCCGAGCGTAAACGAACGAACCACCATTCTCTGGAAAGTGAGTTTTTATTACCCTCCTTGTTTTTGTAAACCCAACTCGCCTACATATTCAGCCGATCGTGGCTAAAACAAACAATCAGCTTTGTACACACAGTATCGTTCGTTCGTTGACTCCCCCTTTTTTAAACGACGACGACAAAAAAAAAAAAAAAAAAAAACGTAAAACCAAATACTTTGCAAAAAAAAAAAATAAAGAAAAAAGGTTGAATGTTTTATTGCGTAGCAAGCCAAATAGTAGGTTCTACTGCCTTCTGAAACGTAAGCGCATTGCTCTCTTCCCGCGTAAAGAATGAAGTAAACGGTGCTGGTGAGCTGGTGCAGCTTTTGGCGTTTTCACATGACGTCAATCCACCATTTTGTTGTTAGCTTGTTTTTTCTAACAAATTTACTAATTTGGAGGATTACATCGCAACCTGTTGAGATGTCAGCGTGGTAAGACTTGTAAGCTTCTGTGCTCCACGCATATGAGGGGTCCTGTAAATCCTTACAATACTCGCCTTCGGCACATGCCAGACAGCTCAAAAGAATGAAATTATGTTGGTGAAAACACCCTATATTGCATATTAACCTGAGATGAGTCCAGGAGATGGGGAGAGGAAGGGGTAATTTCCTCTTCTTCCCCCAAATTCTTTAGTAGAGATGTCGGAAATGCGTAGTCAGGTATGCTAACCTCTGCGCCACACCACCGCTTTGTCTTTTGGCGTGTCCTATATTTGTGCTATGAATGCACCAAAATGGAGCGTATCCAATCAGAAATATTCTGGAGTGGCACAGGATGCCACACGGAACACATCACAACACTTCCTGGCATGTGATATGTGCTCCTTGGAGACCCCATAAATAATAAAAGCGACCTGTGGTTTAAAGAAAAGAAGTACACAAGAAACAACTGTTGTAATAGAGCTTACGAATCGGGCACCAAAAGAAGATGCAGTGATGTCACATTAATGTGGACACCTCTGTCCTCATCAAAAATCGTCCTTAATAAACGAGCCGAAAATACATCTACAGTGATGTCTCGTTAATGTGGACACCTCTGTTTTCCCAAAAAAAGCGTCCATAATGCAAGTTTTTTTTTTTGTTTGTTTTTCATAATAATGAGACAAAAATGCATGTTTTTACCCAGTTCGTCCCCGAAAGTGTTGTCTATGTAAGGGGACATAGAGACATCACTGCATTTATCCAGTTCTCCCCCGGAAATTTTGTCTACCGTAGTTGACATTTAGACAATAAAACTGGTGCTGGAATTTCCTTTCAGTACCCCAAGGATAAATTTTTGCTCAGAAAATAAAGTAATTTCGTGTCCATATTGTTGAGGTTTATTTGGAGAGCAAGTCGTCTGCTGCTTGCGCAGGGGTTGCGGTGATGTCAGAACGACGCCGCATACAAACTTGCGCTCCGCATACTAATGAGACATGACTGTAGCTCGAAGCACTTCAAGTTATGGTAGAGAACTCTGCTGCGCTCAATTTTGAATGCTGCAAACTCCGTTGTTTTTGGCACGAGGAGGAGTACATGGTGGACGAAAGAGCGTCCAGGCGTTGTGACCGTGTCGCCGTCCGCCACTGTCCAGCCGGCAGACGACGAGGTGGAGGTGGCGTTCTCGGACGGCTCGGCGAGCCGCGAGGGCACAGAGGTGGACCTGCAGCCGGCGTCTGGGGGCGGAGGGCGTGCCTGGGGAGAGAGCGGGACGGAAGAGGAGGAGGAGGAGCTCAAGTACGGGGCCAAGCACGTCATCCGCCTCTTCGTGCCGGTCTCCCTCTGCATGCTGGTGGTAGTGGCCACCATCAGCTCCATCAGCTTCTACAGGCACACCAACACCTACCTGTGAGTCTGTCCGGGGGCGCGGGTTTGCGAGGCCTTTTAGAACAAGTTATGACTCGTGGGAGGACAGATTGTGGCAACGTTTTAGATTCTTGATACTTCTCGCCATGGTCGCTGACGAGGTGAGGACATCAGGGAGAAGGTAGAGTCCTCCCGTTTCTAGGAGGAGCTTCCTTCCTTTGATGACGCATTAGAATCTTGTGTGCCCCGAGTGTGCGGCAGGGGCCGTCGAGTGCAGGCCGAAAGCCGGGTGTTCGGAAGATACGCCCCAGCATCCTTGTTCTCTGAACGACTACAGAGCTCTTTGCGGGCCTGCTTTTTTTTAGGCCCGACCTGGGTCCGACCTGATGGGGTACCTACCTGATCGGACCTAACCCAGGCCCGCCTTGTGTTTGTAAACGTGTTGTGTTTGTAAGACGGCTTGTGTTTGTAAACAGTAAAAGGGTCTATAGAAGGATGCTGGCTTGCAAAGAAGTCGTCAATACCTCTGCGCGTGGCCAAAATTTAGGGGCGTGCTTGTCCGACGAGTTACGTCGCATTAAACGGAACAGGCGGTAATTCGAGGAGGTGGTGTTTGGGTGTGACTTTTTATTTCTCTTTTTGTTTATCTCGAAGCTTTCAGTGTCCAGGGGGCATTGCAGGGAGGGTGGGTATGAAACACTATCGTAAAAGGTGTAATTAGATGTACATTGTTCGGATAGCGACAACATTCCGAAGGAAAAAACGCAGGATTAGTAAGGTGTTTGGTTGTGGCGGTCTTGAGGGATGAAACGTTTTCAATGGAGGCAATGGAGGGGGTTAGGCAGTTCCACTTTGTGCTGATGTTGGGTGCGAAAGAATAGAAAAAAAAAACATATCTAGACTTCAATGACGAATGGCAGCTTTATACAAGTTATCAATATGAGATGAAAGGCATGAAGACCATAAAAGAAGTTTTGTTGCCGTTGCGTGTTATAGAAGATAGTTTTATAAAAAAAAGATGCACTTTTTTTTTTAATGTTATGAGGTTTAATGTTTTATTTAATTGATGAAACGCTATACTATTTCTAGATGCAACTCGCTCATCTTTCTGTTGCACAAATATTTTGGATATGGCCGCTTACATTGGTTAAAAAAAATAAGATGTGTACATGTTAATAATGTTATCGAAAAAAGCACTAATACCCCCCCCCCCCCCCCCCCCCCCCCCCCCCCGTTTTTTTGGGGGCCTCTACTTGTGCTCGAGATAAGATGACCCTCCCCCCCTTCCCCCCCCCCCCCCCCCCCAAAAAAAAAGAAAAAAAACATACAAAAAACTGGAGGGTGTCATAGTGGTCTACAGAGGTGGGCTTTGTCGTGACTTATCATCTCGAAATGCCAAATATCGACAGAAAGAACAAAGCTCCATTTTTACCTCCAGTTGGTCTGTTGTAGACTTCGTAGATTGTACTTAGAAAAAAGAAAAAAAAACACACATTCATATTCATACACCATATTCGTCTAATCTTTTGGAGTTTTAGAACAGCCGTTGGAAAGCTCAGTAAAAGGGTGCACAAGCCGCGTGTGGGGTTTTGGAAGATGCAGTGTCAGATGGGAAACACAGCACACAACGGAGGGTGTTTCACACGCAGCATTGGGCGGATCCTTCTTTTTTCTGAATTTTATATGACATCATCATTTATGTGGCTTTGTGCATATGGTGGGCGACAAAGCTGCTCACCCAAGCACATTGCTTAATCTAGCATCCAATTGTAACGCGCTTGTCCGATCGGTGCAGATCGTGTGCTAGATCAGGCCACATGCTCGTGCCACCAACTTCGGCAGCATTGTCACCATATGTGAAACGGGGTATAATTTCGTCGACGTGAGCTACTACTAATCATGCTGTTGCGTTCCAGCTGCCTCTGTCCACAGCTGCACGTGCATGTCTTTAGGGCAGTGGTTCTCAACCGGTGACGTTCCAGTACGCTGCTCGGAATGCATACGACTACCGTAAAATACCGCGAAAGCACGTGCTTCCTTCAAGTGCTATTAACATTCCCCAAACTTGGAAATTCTGCAAACGTTAAGCATCCGATTTGATTGGACAAGCACCCATGTCTAGGTTAACCCAGTTTTTAGTGAAACTGGGGTGGGTGATTCCCCGGTATTTGACTGTAGTGTGTTTAACATTGTAGTCTGGCCCGCACATCGAACCAACCAACTTTGAAGCTGTGAAATGGAGAATATCAACCCTACTCACTCTGTGCGTGTGGTTTGGTTTATTTACCTCTGAGGGACAGCCAGCATCAGCAAGAAATAAAAATAAAAGTTTGATTGCTCGGCTTGACTGACGGTCGGGGGGCTTTTGGGGACCCCAAATGGTCTGTGGATCTTCATGTTGAGAACCACTGCTTTAGAGTGCTTAGCACAGTAGTGGTGTGTTGCACAGAGACACTCGTTTCCAGAGCAGCGTCAAATCCCAAAGTGTTTTAGGAAGTCGGGCGCGCTGATGTCATTTATGTGGCGTTCTTCTTTGTCCAGGGTGTACACTCCGTTTACGGACCAGACGGTGGACACGGGCACCAAGGTGTGGCAATCGTTTGCCAACGCCTTCATCCTCATGGGTGTCATAGTGGTCATGACCATCCTGCTCATTCTGCTGTACAAGTTCCGCTGCTACAAGGTGAGTGCACTCCCCCTCTCTTTCGTCCTATTTTTTTCCTTTTTCGTTGGTCAGAGAGCTTGCTGAGGTGATAATATCTGGAGAAAAATGAGACAGTTGACAAGTGACTACATACATAATTTACCCTAATATTGAGGGAAATTTGGAACAGCAAACAGAAAACGGGCAAACTAAAAAGGAACTCAACGTTATGAAATCTACCGAGGCTCTCTGTAGGCTATCCCTCACCTTTTCTAATAATATCGGGAGAAATTGAGATGGTTGAAAGGTGACTATACATACGTAATTTGCCCTAATATTGGGAAAAATTTGGGACAGCAATCAGAAAAGGGATATGTAATACATTGGGAAACTTGCTGAGGCCTTCTGTTGACTATCCCTATCTTTTTGCTAATATCGGAAGGAAATTGTGGATGCTGGGAAAGTGACAATACATAATTTATGCTAACATTTAGTATAAGAAATTATGGGTGGCAAGAAAACTGAGCTGCCATAACATCTTGCGAGATGGGTTGCCCTAAATGGAGGACAGATGACTAAAAAAAAAGCAGGTTGCAACTTTTGGGTATGTACACGTGTTCCGTAAGTACATGCATTCCTTTTTCTAGAACGACCAAGTGGCCGTGGCTGTTACGGGGCTGGTCGTCGAGAATTCCAAGCGTAGTTGGGTTTGTAGGAAATCTTGTTCAGAGCACTTTTGTTGTCTGTCATTTGCAGGTGATTCACGCCTGGCTCATTGTGTCCTCGCTGCTGCTAGTGTTCCTCTTCGCATACATCTATCTCGGGTGGGTGCGTAAGGCCTCGACGCAATGCTTTGGCATTGTCTTCGGCACATTGAGTCGCATGCACTCAGCGTGATAGGAGTTGGTCACAAAAGTTGCATCTGGAAAAGCCAGTGAACCTACTTGAGGGCACGCTGGCAAAATATGTGTTTCTTTCCAGATAAAAAAAAAAAAAAAAGAAGAGTACTGCAATTTTTATGTTTCGACACACAATTTAGACAACCATAGATGCAGTGTTCCGGCAGTCTTCTACTTTCTTGTTCTCGCCTTTTCTCTCGGTGTGCGAGGAATGGATAGGCCTCACGTGATTCAGAGGAATGGGCTTACATCCCGCTAAAGCTTGAAGGATTTGGCGGTCGTAATGCTTTTGCATCTTGCGTTTCTGCCAGGTCAGGGTCTGTCCAAACAGGACGGGCTTTCTAAAATCGCGACACATGCCATACTGGAAGTGAAAGCTTTCTCCGGTTTCCAGAATGCTTTTGCACATTCTTTTTGGCGGAGGAAAAGTTTCCCTTCATTTCGTCTTTGGACTGAGGCCTAGAGCATCCTCATCACGTGGGTCCAGACAGCCACCCTCGCAGTCTACCCGCTGTTGTCAAGGCCTGCGCCGTAGCTGTCAGCCTCCCAAATGTCCCGAAAGCGAGAAAGGGGAAGGGGTGACAGCGAAAAGCAAGGAGGAAGGCCGCATCGTTTGCACGGTCAGAGTTTGAACAAAAAGCGGACGGGCACGTAGCAGCTTTTGCGTTTTTCGAGAGAAGTATACCCTTTCTTCGCCGTGCGCAGCATCTGTCGTGTCCTGTGCAGACAGCCCTTTACCCTCACCAGGGTGTGAGATATATATATGGGTGGTTTCATCTCAAATCGTGCAGGCAAAAAGGGTCGAATTTTTAATTTCGATGAAAAAAATATATGTTATGCCGCCGTTTCTAAAACCGCAGTCGACACAAACCGCAAGTTCGTCGGATTTTTTCTTCTCGACTTATGAATTTTTAAAGAGGCCGCGGCGAAAAGCAGTGTTTTTCACACCCGTCGTGGGTCGGATGTTTCGCTTGATCTCCCGCCATGGATTTTCAGTCCACATTATATTATCTTTTTTGACGCACTCTGTGGACACATTTAAAAGGCTCCAATACCATGAAATAATTTTAGGCCTTTTGCTTTTTTTCTTTAAAAATGTCAAAAACGCCTCCTCGGTCAATTGTTGACGAACTTTGACAATTAATTACTGGCGATCTACTTGGGTTACACCGATATTTTTTATGTCCACGGAGAGCCCAAAACACGCTCTTTCTATTTATTATAAAATGCCTTGGCTGTATAAAATATCCTTTGCGGTACGTTTACGTTAATATTATGCAAAAACCAAAAAGTACAATTTTTGAAATTGATTTTCTCAAAAAACCCATTTTTTATTTTTTTTATTTTTTGTTCAAATGTAGATATGATAGTTCTCTACACGAAAATCAAGCCTAGAAAGTGTATATTTTGTTTGCATGTTTTATATTTAGGCCTCAATATCGGAAAAAGACGTCTTTGTTTTGCAAGACCTAAGTCAGACATAGCGACCCATGCGTCTCTATGAATTGTGAAAAAGTTTTCTTGAATTCTCTTCTGCACTTTGTAATCAATTATAAACGGATTTTGTAATATTGAATATTTATGTATGTTTTGATAAGAGCGGGAACCATGAGATACATATCTAACCAAATCAGCAGGCCTAGTAGACTTTCAATAACCAAAAGGCACAGACGTTGTATTGTTTCGATTTATAAACCTTTCAAAGTAAACTAGCACGAATAGCTATTTGCTGTCATATTACTAAGACAAAGAAAGTCACCACATCGTCGATATATTATATACAATTCTTTACGAAACCAAACACTGGGGCTTGTTCACCGCACATCGCACAGGTCACCAGGGAATGTCCTTTCACTTCCGTAATACACAAAAGTGGTGACACAGAAACGGTCCGAAACACACAGAGAGTGTGTCCTGGAGAGGGGTAGGAAATAAAAATAAATAAATAGGAATTAAATTGCCCAACTCCGATCTTAACGAAAATTGCGTTAAAAAAAAAAAAAAAAAAAGTATTTAGGTTCGAGCGGTGGCAAGGCGATAGGTCCACGCCTGGTGGAGAGTCAGACAAAGAAGTCGACGGCACGTAAAGGTAAAACAAAACAAAAAATCAATAATTTAATAAAGACGGGAAAACTCAGCCCCACATAGCAAGAACATAAACCAACTCCCCCGGGGATTCCCTAAACGGGACGCAACCAAATGCGTGCGAACACGCTCTCTACATCACCGCCAGGCCGCTCCGCCATGATGAAATAAACCCAACAACTGAACAGTGCTAACAAACAGTTAATAAGAAAACATTGAAAAAAAACAAAAAAAAAAAAAACGTTCAGAAAAAATCGCATTCGAGAAACAAAGTTCAGCGGGGCGAAGAAACACACACGAGTCGGTCCCACGACATTGAAGTCTGGCAGGATGACGGCGTCCACATGATGCTCGAATCTGTTCCTCCCTCTATTACGCACATCCAGGACGGCTGTGCGGAACAGTGGCTGTACGAAAGAAAGTGAAGAATAGATTCCAGCAGGCGATGCGCGAGAAGGTAACCGAGACTATGCTTCAAGCTTCACATCGGGAGAGGAGCTTTCGAGGTAGTTTCTGCAGTTACTCAAACTTTCTCTTTCCCCTTCCCTTTTTCAAAAGAACACGTCAGCCGGCGCTAACGTTTCATCTCGGGAGAAGCCCACTCTTCACAAACGGTTATAGTTGACAAGGAGGCTGACTTCGACCCAACTAGTCTCCGGGCAGAATACAAACACAAGCATATTTACCAACACGCTCGTTTTAATATCAGTCTCCGGGCTTTGCTGTTTCCAAAAGAGATAACCCTTTATAAGGACAGAACGAGCGGGTTGGTGGGGATAATTAAACTTAAACACTCCCTTCTCGTTTTCTTCCTCAAGTTTAATAGATAACCCTTCGGTGCTATCGGATCTCCCCGGAGAGAGAGAGAGAGAGAGCACGGCCGTTTCAAGGTAAGGATAGGGCGCTCGAAGCTAGGGCAAACAGGCGGTATCGTTTCACGCATGCACGGATGGCTGGTTTCAAATTTCCCCACATCCCTAAAGAAACCGGCCCATCTTCGTGTGTGCGTCTGCGGGATTTCTGTCCCGCGCCGCCGGTTTTAGCGCGCACGCGGCGTTGTTTTGGCTGGCACAACAGTTGTTGACCGTCGACATTGTAAGGCCGTGGTGTCCTCATCCTTTCAGGCAACGATTCCTTTGCTTTCCCTTGTGCAATACTCTGACAGACTCCTCCTGGGTGGCTGTCACTGTTCGCCGCGTCAACGAAACAATCGTACCATTTCACTCCTCGTGACACAGGGTGCGCTGCTCGCTTTACTGTCACGGGCCGTCCCATCTAACACAACGAGAGCGAAAGGTCGTGGTCATCTGCTGGCTCCGAAAGGGCGGGACGTTCATGCAGGCCAATGAGGGCCCCGAATCAATAAGACGTCTGCCGACTCCTACACGTTAAAAATTTACGACACCTGCTGGTCTGTTATGAAGTGTTGCTTTCTCTTTTTGGAACTCCTCCGATGTAGCTTGCCGCCTATAATAAAATTTAAATAATCAATAAATATATCAGGGTGGAAATACTGTATTTCAGTTTTATGTGGGAACGTTTAAAAAAAGAAAAAACTATTTCCAAGCTTGTGAAGACGCGCAATTCGCAACTCCATTTCGAGCCGTAAAAACACGTTTGTGTACGATATTGATGCTTAAATGTAGAACATACAAACAAAATATACACTTTCTAGGCTTGATTTTCGTGTAGAGAACTATCATATCTACATTTGAACAAAAAATAAAAAAAATAAAAAATGGGCTTTTTGAGAAAATCAATTTCAAAAATGGTACTTTTTTGGTTTTTGCATAATATTAACGTAAATGTACCTCAAAGGATATCTTATACAGCCAAGGCATTTTATAATAAATAAAAAGAGCGTGTTTTGGGCTCTCCGTGGACATAAAAAATATCGGTGTAACCCAAGTAGATCGCCAGTAATTAATTGTCAAAGTTTGTCAACAATTGACCGAGGAGGCGTTTTTGACATTTTTACAGAAAAAAAGAAAAAGGCCTAAAATTATTTCATGGTATTGGAGCCTTTTAAATGTATCCACAGAGTGCTTCAAAAAAGATAATATAATGTGGACTGAAAATCCATGGCGGGAGATCAAGCGAAACATCCGACCCACGACGGGTGTGAAAAACACTGCTTTTCGTCGCGGCCTCTTTAAAAATTCATAAGTCGAGAAGAAAAAATCCGACGAACTTGCGGTTTGTGTCGACTGCGGTTTTAGAAACGGCGGCATAACATATATTTTTTTCATCGAAATTAAAAATTCGACCCTTTTTGCCTGCACGATTTGAGATGAAACCACCCATATATATATGGGTGGTTTCATCTCAAATCGTGCAGGCAAAAAAGGTTGAATTTTTAATTTCAATGAAAAAAATATATGTTATGGCGCCGTTTCTAAAACCGCAGTCGCCACAAATCGCAAGCTCGTCGGATTTTTTGTTCTCAACTTATGAATTTTTGAAGAGGCCGCGGCGATAAGCAGTGTTTTTCACACCTGTCGTGGGTCGGATGTTTCGCTTGATCTCCCGCCATGGATTTTCAGTCCACATTATATTAACTTTTTTCAAGCACTCTGTGTACACATTTAAAATGCTCCAATGCCATGAAATAATTTTAGGCGTTTTGCTTTTTTTCTGTAAAAATGTCAAAAACGCCTCCTCGGTCAATTGTTGACGAACTTTGACAATTAATTACTGGCGATCTACTTGGGGTACACCAATATTTTTTATGTCCACGGAGACCCCAAAACACGCTCTTTATATGTATTATAAAATGCTTCGGCTGTATAAAATATATTTTGCGTTACATTTACGTTAATATTATGCAAAAACCAAAAAGTGCCATTTTTGAAATTGATTTTCTCAAAAAACCCATTTTTTATTTTTTTTATTTTTTGTTAAAATGTAGATATGATAGTTGTCTACACGAAAATAAAGCCTAGAAAGTGTATATTTTGTTTGTATGTTTTATATTTAGGCCTCAATATCGGAAAAAAGACGTCTTTGTTTTGCAAGACTTAAGTCAGACATAGCGACCCATGCGTCTCTATTAATTGTGAAAAAGTTTTCTTAAATTTTCTTCTGCATTTTGTAATCAATTATAAACGGATTTTATGGTATTGAATTTTTATGTATGTTTTGATAAGAGCGGGAACCAGGAGATACATATCTAACCAAATCAGCAGGCCTAGTAGACTTTCAATAACCAAAAGGCACAGACGTTGTATTGTTTCGATTTATAAACCTTTCACAGTAAACTAGCACGACTAGCTATTAGCTGTCATATTACTAAGACAAAGAAAGTCACCACATCGTCGATATATTATATACAATTCTTTCCGAAACCAAACACTGGGGGTTTGTTCACCGCACATCGCACATGTCACCAGGGAATGTCCTTTCACTTCCGTAATACACAAATGTGGTGACACAGAAACGGTCCGAAACACACAGAGAGTGTGTCATGGAGAGGGGTAGAAAATAAAAATAAATAAATAGGAATTAAATTGCCCAACTCCGATCTTAACGAAAATTGCGTTAAAAAAAAATAAAGTATTTAGGTTCGAGCGGCGGCAAGGCGATAGGTCCACGCCTGGTGGAGAGTCAGTCAAAGAAGTTGACGACACGTAAAGGTAAAACAAAAACAAAAAAAAATCAAAAATTTAATAAAGATGAGAAAACTCAGCCGCACATGGCAAGAACAAAAACCAACTCCTCCGGGCATTCCCTAAACGGGACGCAACCAAATGCGTGCGAACACGCTCTCTACATCACCGCCAGGCAGCTACGCCATGACGAAATAAACCCAACAACTGATCAGTGCTAACAAACAGTTAGTAAGAAAACATTGAAAAAAAAAAACGTTCAGAAAAAACTGCACCCGAGAAACAAAGTTCAGCGGGGCGAAGAAACACACACGAGTCGGTCCCACGACACTGAAGTCTGGCAGGATGACGGCGTCCAAATGATGCTTGAATCTGTTCCTCCCTCTATTACGCACATCCACGACGGTTGTGCGGAACAGTGGCTGTGAGAAAGAAAGTGAAGAATAGATTCGAGCAGGCGATGCGCGAGAAGGTAACCGAGACTATGCCTCAAGCTTCATATCGGGAGAGGAGCTTTCGAGGTCGTTTCTGCAGTTACTCAAACTTTCTCTTTCCCCTTCCATTTTTCAAAAGAACACGTCAGACGGCGCTAACTTTTCATCTCGGGAGAAGCCCACTCTTCACAGACGGTTATAGTTGACAAGGAGGCTGACTTCGACCCAACTAGTCTCCGGGCAGAATACAAACACAAGTATATTTACCAACACGCTCGTTTTAATGTCAATCTCCGGGCTTTGCTGTTTCCAAAAGAGATAACCCTTTATAAGGACAGAACGAGCGGGTTGGTGGGGATAATTAAACTTAAACAGTCCCTTCTCGTTTTCTTCGTCAAGTTTAATAGATAACCCTTCGGTGCTATCGGATCTCCCCGGAGAGAGAGAGAGAGAGCACGACCGTTTCAAGGTAAGGATAGGGCGCTCGAAGCTAGGGCAAACAGGCGGTATCGTTTCACGCATGCACGGATGGCTGCTTTCAAATTTCCCCTCCCTAACGAAACCGGCCCATCTTCGTGTGTGCGTTTAAGGGATTTCTGTCCCGCGCCGCCGGTTTTAGCGCGCACGCGGCGTTGTTTTGGCTGGCAGAACAGTTGTTGACCGTCGATATTGTAAGGCCGTGGTGTCCTCATCCTTTCAGGCAACGATTCCTTTGCTTTCCCTTGTGCAATACTCTGACTGACTCCTCCTGGGTGGCTGTCACTGTTCGCCGCGTCAACGACACAATCGTACCATTTCACTCCTCGTGACACAGGGTGCGCTGCTCGCTTTACTGTCACGGGCCGTCCCATCTAACACAACGAGCGCGAAAAGTCGTGGTCATCTGCTGGCTCCGAAAGGGCGGGACGTTCATGCAGGTCAATGAGGGCCCCGAATCAATACGACGTCTACCGACTCCTACACGTAAAAAATTAACGACACCTGCTGGTCTGTTAAGAAGTGTTGCTTTCTCTTTTTGGAACTCCTCCGATGTAGCTTGCCGCCTATAATAAAATTTAAATAATCAATAAATATAACAGGGTGGAAATACTGTATTTCATTTTTATGTGGGAACGTTGAAAAAAAGAAAAAAACTATTTCCAAGCTTGTGAAGACGCGCAATTCGCAAGTCCATTTCGAGCCGTAAAAACACGTTTTTGTACGATATAGATGCTTAAATGTAGAACACACAAACAAAATATACACTTTCTCGACTTAGTTTTCGCGTAGAAAACTATCAAATCTACATTTTAACAAAAAATAAAAAAAATAAAAAATGGGTTTTTTGAGAAAATCAATTTCAAAAATGGTACTTTTTGGTTTTCACATAACATTAACGTAAACGTAACAAAAAGAATATTTGATACAGCCGAGTTATTTTATAATACATATAAAGAATGTGTTTTGTGCTCTCCGTGGACATAAAAATTATCGATGTAACCCAAGTAGATCGCCAGTAATTAATTGTCAAACTTCGTCAACAATTGACCGAGGGTGCGTTTTTGACATTTTTGCAAAACAAAAGCAAAACGCCTAAAATTATTTTATGGTATTGGAGCCTTTTAAATGTGTCCACAGAGTGCTTGAAAAAATATAATATAATGTGGACTGAAAATCCAGGGCGGGAGATCAAGCGAAACATCCGACCCACGACGGGTGTGAAAAACACTGCTTTTCGCCGCGGCCTCTTTAAAAATTTGTAAGTCGAGAACAAAAAATCCGACGAACTTGCGGTTTGTGTCGACTGCGGTTTTAGAAACGGCGCCATAACATATATTTTTTTCATCGAAATTAAAAATTGGACCCTTTTTGCCTGCACGATTTGAGATGAAACCACCCATATATATAGTTGAGGACACGTGGCACGGCGAACGCTGCGACGCGATTGACCAAATAAAGCCCTCTCTGCGCGCGCCAGAGTGGCCTTAGCCGACTGCGCCTCCGCTGTCTACACAACGCAAACGAGAGAGGAAAAAAAAAAGTTTCTTGCACCCGTGGCATTTTGGTGTGCACCCTTTCCACTCGGAGCGTCTGCTCTGACCTGGACAAGTGCTGGCTCGAATGCCGTGCCAGAGATCTCTCGGCTTGAACACATTCGTAAAACTGTTATTGATGCCGGCACGAAACTAGGGTCAGTGATGAAGCAGTGTCTAAGCAATGTGCGTAGCGCAAGTGCCGAGTTCTATGTGACGTGGTGGCGCACGCAGAAAGTGGCTTTAAAAATGAGCGTGTCTCCCATAGAGAAGCACGGAATACTGGGCTCGTGACGGACTGCCATTAGCAGCTTATCGAGGAGCCATCTGGTGGCGCCGCTTGCAACCGAGGCGAGGAGAGGTCTTTATCTGGCAGCAGTGATGCGCGCGCGGTGTCCACGCCTATATATATATCTTTCACCATGGTCCTCACCAAAAGCGTGTGGTATTTTAAAGTGTTTTTTTCGGGAGCGAAGCGTTCCCACTTGATGGGTGTCGTCGAACGTGTGTATGCAGGGAGGTGCTGCGTGCCTACAACGTCCCGATGGACTACCTGACGGTGGCTCTGGTGATGTGGAACTTCGGGGTGGTGGGCATGATCTCGATCCACTGGAAAGGGCCCCTGCTCCTGCAGCAAGCCTACCTGATCCTGGTGTCGGCCCTCATGGCACTCGTCTTCATCAAGTACCTCCCCGACTGGACCGCCTGGGTCGTCCTGGGCGTCATCTCCGTCTGGGGTCTCTGCCCTTTTCCCTCTTTCAATGTCGGGCTTCCAATACAAGGCCTTTGTTCAATACGAGGCTTTCATACGCGAGGCCTCCTTCCCGTGCGAGGCGTTTTGATGTGAGGCCCCCAACAGGGCTTCTAGTATGAAGCTTCCAGTATGAGGCCTTCCAATGTGAGGCTTCCAATATAAAATCTTCTGTATGAGGGACGCTTTTTTCCAATATGAGGCTTTCAATGAGGCCTTCAGTGTGAGGCTTACTATATGAGGCCTCCTTTCATTATGAGGCCTTTTAGTGTGAGGCTTCCAATATGGGACTTCCAATAGGCTTCTACAGGGTGAAACAAGGAGACGCCAGGCTCTTTATATAGACCGGAAAATTTGGTTTCTTAACCTATCGCGCTACGACTTTGTGCAGCGTTGCCCACAGATGGTGCATTTTTTTTTGTAAAATTTGCAAAGGGTGAATTTACCCAACGAAAAAGTAAAGAAAGAAAAAGGCTTAGCTCCTATGGAAACGCAGCGACGCCACTGGTCTGCAAACAACATGGCGCCGTTTTGCACGGGAGACAAGAGATGGCGCAACAAACGCCGCCAACGAACGAGCATGCGGCGCCGAGAGCAGGCCTTTTTAGCAGACAATCTTTTCGACTCAAAAGCGGCGCACGTTCCGCAGGCGGCGTCAGTCATAGAAACAAAGAAGACGGGTGCGGTAACCGCAAGGAACTGCAGTTTCTTGTCTGCAAAAGGGCCGGCTCTCGGCGTCGTCTGCTCGTTCGTTGGCGGCAGTTGGCGTCGCGACCGCTTGCGCCATCTCTTGTGTCCCGTGCGAAACGGCGCCGTGTTGTTTGCAGACCGGTGGCGTTGCTGCGTTTCCATAGGAGCTAAGCCTTTTTCTTTCTTTACTTTTTCCTCAGGCAAGTTCGCTCTTTACGAATTTTACAAAAAAAATGCACCATCTGTGGGCAACGCTGCACAAAGTCGTAGCGCGATGGGTTAAGAAACCGAATTTTCCGGTCGATTTAAAGAGCTTGGCGTCTCCTTGTTTCACCCTGTAGTATAAAGCTTCCAGTATGAGGCCTTCCAATATCAGGCTTCCAATATAAAGCCTTCTGTATGAGGCCTTTCAAAATGAGGCATCCAATATGAAGACTCCAAGTGTGAGGTCTCAGACACTTCCTTCCAATATCAAGCTTCTAATACAATCCAACCTCGTTATTACAAACACTGATATAGTACTAGCGAAGTATCGGATATAGTGAAGAAAATAAAATTTTGTTTGGTTAATGCCGTATGCCGTATAATGCCGTATAATCCTGCCGCTGTAGCATGAAAGAACCCCTGTGTTTGCGCAAATCGTCGCGTTTGCATCTGCGGAATCTCAAGGGTGCCCCTTTTCCTCATTGTTGAATTTGGGTGCAGACTTGATAGCGGTGCTGTGCCCGAAGGGACCACTGCGGATCCTGGTGGAAACAGCCCAGGAGCGCAACGAGCCCATCTTTCCGGCACTCATCTATTCCTGTGAGTGGTGTGTGTAGGCCATAGGCCACGCCGTCGCTTCCGCACAATTGCACTTTGTCTGCGAGACGTCCTCGACACGCGAGTGTCTTTGTCTCTCCGGACGGCGGGTGTCATGGATGTCTTTCGCGTGTCTTTCTACCGTCGTTTCTGGTTGGGTGTTTGCTGGTATGTATCGTAGATTACCGAGCAAGCACCCATCCAAGAGATAATCTCGAAAGAAATGGGGGATGGCCGGTTGTTGGGATCCGACAGCGGAAACGCTGAAGGGGCACTTGGTGGGGCGTGCCCTTGCTTGGTTCTACTGTACGGCGTAGGTGTAGCAGGGGGTGCGTGAGAACACATAATTCTGGCAGCCACTTGTGTCAAGCCTGCTTTGTGCCGATGCTCTCGCATCAAGCTTCACCGCTTAACACCAGTGTGCACGTGTAAAGCTTTACCGCTTCATACCGGCCTGCTCGAAAAGTGTCCGACGTGGAGGAGCGTCTCAGTTAGCTTGGTGTGCTTGTAAGTTTACTGGTGCCGGTGCTTGATAGGTCCTTTGCTTATATTTCCCACGTTTCAAAAGTAGGGGGTTGTTGCTTATTGCGACATCGGTACATGTTCGTTGTTTTCTTTAGAAGTTGAATTCTGTTGCATGTCTTAATGATGTTATGAAGCAGGGTGTAATGCGCAACGTAACGTTCAGATGGTTCACCAACTAGTCCATTTACAAGTTCTTCTACAGTACATGTCTTAGTGATGGCGGCTTATGACGAAGTTTTTGTAGAGGAACATCCGTGTCACACTCGGATCTCATCAAGAATTGCCTCGACCCATTTGAAAACGAACCCCTTTTCATTAAAAAATTGTCTGCGAGCATTTACCTTCTTGCAGTTGCAAGAGCAAAGCAGTTTTCGACTGCACAACAATGCATTTTCGCGGCAGATTAATTTTTCTCTCGGTCGTTTTTGTTCCGCAGCGGCCATGGTGTGGAACGTGGTGACGATGGCGGACAGGGACCCCTTCTACTCTTCGCAGAACCAGCACGCCAGTCAGAGCGACGCGTCTTCGGGTATGTCGCGGTGCCCCCGCTCAACCTTCGTTGCACGAACGGGCGGCAAATCAAACGGCCACATTTACGGGACGCACGGTCGGGCGAGACACGGCGTCAGCACCCTCTCGTAATTTAGCTGCGCGGCTCGACATTGAACGACCAACTCAGTGGGCGGCTCGTGACTTGACGACGCTTAGTGCTTACAGCGAGTGAATACACTGGCGCCATCTGTTGGGTAGTCCCCACCCGCTTTTCTGAACTAGACCCGAAGGTTTTTGCAGTATCTGCGAAATCAAATTTATGCGCCATCTACCAGAAATGCTCGCTGAAGATCTCGTGAGGATTACTTTGTGTCCACGACGAAAGACTTGTTTTTGAAAATGGGAAAATACATATGGATCGTAAGTGTTTTGTGGCCTCCAATAGATAGCTCTAGTGTGTTTTCCGTTAATGAGTACAGTCGCCGACTGGGTTTCAGTCTTCGCAGGGACCGAAAAAACGTCCGAATAATAGAGCAGTTAGAAAAATCAGCAGATCAAAAAATTTGCCTTTATTACGTCCAAGCAGGCTTAAGGGCTAGAGGTTGAACTTCTGAACTACTCAAGTGATTGGAATGAACTCTGCAACAGAGATTTAACCTCAGACGTAGGTGTACCATGCAAACTTTCAGCTCTCTAGGACAACTTTACATACCTGCCTAAGAAGATGTGTCACTCTTCGTTAACAAATTTATGATATGTAAATCAAGCCATTAAGCGCCATTTTAACTGCTTGAGTATAAAGTGGGGGATGTGGAACTTCGGGCTATCTAGTTTTTATAACTTACATGTAAATATTTCAAGAAGAGTGATTACTTCAAAATATGAGATGCATATCTGTCCTATGTCAATTTTTGAAAACATATATTTTCTCAATGAAGACTTTAATGTAAAACAAAATAAAGTAGATAGCCCGATTTCCCAGTAAATTTCAGTTCAGAAACATCTTGGTTGTGGTATCGGAATAATTTTACCTTCGAACAAAAGATTGCTCCGTATAAAATTTACAGCAAAAAGTGGAACCGAGAGAAATGCATTCAAATATTGACCTCCTTTACTTTGTTACTGCCTCACAATGTGTTGAAAATATTTCATATCAACGTAACTATTTGGCGCATGGTTATGAAATTTAGTGTAAGGGTGTAAATTAGTTTCTAAAACCGAAACCCTCAAAATTGAAAAATGTATTTTTTTAAAACAATTTTGAAACTTAGGCTTATGTTGTGTATTTATTTACTTATTTAAAATACCGCCAGGGCCACAAGGGCACTGTGGAGGGGAGTGGGTTACAGGTATCTATCAAACAGAAATGAAAAATAACCACCAGTTCCTAGCACGCAAACGATTAGCCATTATTACATCATGGTGACATTGTCAAGGCAGTTTTAAAGGCGGTGCCATTGGGTGCAGTTTCCAAACGCCGTTGGTGCTGCACGGGACCACATTCTGCTAATAACTTATCCGGTATATCGGCGGCCGAGTGCGTTGGCGCACCGTGACTCGGAACGCGTGGAGTGAAAGTTTGCGCTGCAGAACCCAGGCATTTGGGGTTCAATCCCACCCCTGTCCGTTTCGATCTGTATGAACATCGTACCGGTGTGCGGTCGTGTACCACTACTGCATGGTGCACGTTAAAGACCCCAGGATAGCAGTGCTACGTTGCATTGGCTGAATCTCTCGTCTACAGCATATACCTGCGTTGCCATACCTTAACGGCAGACCAGTTGCGCCCCGTCTAAACAGGAACATCAAATTTGTGTTTTTTTTTTTCACTTGTCTGATGTTTGCAGGCACATTTTTCGGGAAAACATTGTTTTGTAACACATGCACCATATGTAGTTAGTTAACAACAGTTGTATTTGGGAGCTAGTTGGTAAGATGACATCATATTAAAAACGGCGCACAAGCAGTGAGGAATTGAAGAGAAGCGAACACGGAACACGGTGGTCTGGGTTCTCTTTTCTCTTCCTCACTGCTTGTGCAGTGAGGAACTCCATCGCGCTCCATGTCTTTACGAAACCGGATATTCGGCGCTCTGCGAGTTCGCGGGCCAGCCGCACGGGATCATGTTCACCTTCCCACTCCCGCAGGGTCCACGGCTAGCCCTGGGGGTCGACGGCGTTCGGCGGCCGGCGACGACGAGCCGACGGTGGAAGTGGAGCAGCCGCGGATGCGCGGGAGCGGCCGGTCCCGCCGGCGCTCGCAGCGGGGCAGCATGGCCAACAGCGGGACGCTGGCTGCCCTTGGGTCGTCACAGGGGTCCGCACCCGAAGTGGACGACCTCCCCCGCCAGGAAGAGGAGGAGAGTGAGTCGTTCATCCGCTCTCTCCCTCTCCCACTCTGCCTTGCTGCATTTAGTAGGGTACTCGAAAAAGAAAATTTTTAACGCCTTAATCCTGCGTGTAAAGTTAGTTGCGCAAAATGTATTTTGCTCAGTCCTTATACAGAATGTCTTTTTTAGTAGGACTAGAATTTTTTTTTTTTAAGTGAACTTACGGTGAGGGTTTTTTTTTTTGCTCTGAGGCTAAGTCGAGGGCTGTGAGTGCCACTAGTAAAGAGGCGAAATGGGTTAATTAGCTAGCTAATGAACTAAAATGTTTTAATTAGCTTTCTGCATTATTGTTTCTTGGGACATAATGTTGTTGGAGAAATGATGTTCAACCTCATTATTGCCTAGCGGTGACGTGAAATTTTGACATTTTGTAGTGGGCCCCATAGCGCGCTATGGGGTGCAATCAAATGTCATGGCTTCAAACCACAACTAGCCGGCGAAGTGCACCCGTGACATCAGCTGTGCGTTGGAAGTTTAGAGCAGGGAGATTGACGTCACGGACGTGTCTTGCTAGCTCAATTTCAGTTTTAAAAATCTTTAAAAAAAAAGTAAAATAAAAAGTTATTTTTAGAAACATTCTTTTTCTTGATCTATGAGCCACAAACAACATTTATTTTAAGTACTACACCAAGGAAGTGCATATTTATATAGTTATGTCGATTCAAAGTTTCATTCAGGCTATGCAAGCCACAAATGACCTACGTTGTAAGTACTACGCGAAGGAAATGCATATTTATTATTTTACATTAATTCAAAGTTTCACATCAGGGCTATTTGCAAGCATTGCTTGAAAAGATTTTCTTTTTTACACAGAATTAATTTTCTCATCACAATACAAAGTTTTGCCCACGACACCTGAAAATCTAAAATTTTTGATCTGAATACTTTTGAATACTTTATGCTGAATATCTAAAGTATCTGAATACTTTATGCAAGTTTAATATAAACTTGAATGAATCAGAGAGTGCAAAAAGACTAATATTTCTGCAAAATGTAGACTGCAATATTTTGGAATTGGCAATGACTTTAATACACCTTTTCTGTTAATCAGGGGAAAATATTTAAATTCTGATAACTCTTGCCTAGAAGGATGCTAGAATTTTAAGAATGGTTTTGTTGCAGTTTCTACTGTTTGTAGAATATGCTGACATACTTTGTAGTATGATTTTTGAGGGGGGTGTTGTAAAAAAGTTGGGCAGAAATATTTGTGGTAAAGATGAGGTTTCCTTGAAGACTACAGAGAATGGGCCTACGCTTGCAAAGATCACAAGAACTTAGTGCAAAGGTGAAAATTTAATATAAATTATATTAGAGATAACAGAAAAATGTTAGAGACCAGGGTCTCTTTTTAAGCTGAGCAGCGTGATCTCAACAGCTACACTGGGGCGACAATCGCACCGATTCCCAGCAATTCTGAAAAAGATATGTTTGTGTATTTTTCACCTGTACATAGTTTGTGCAGCGTAAAATATCATTGTTTAAACATGTTTTGTCTGCAGAATATAGTCCAGAAAATATAATAATCGGTTTAGCCGGCTCCTTCTTGATTGACGCCCAACAAAGGTCTTGTAACTTCTACCTTGTTCCTTTCTTAATTAAAGGGGCCATGAAATTATTTTGCAACTTCTATCTGAAAAAATCACGTTGTCGTGACGTATGCTTGTGCACTGAATGTAAAGACTCCAAGCTCCCAGCACGGTTTTCACCACGGAACCTGTCATTCGCAAGCGATGATAAGCACCGTCACGGCACTATTGGCCACGAACGCGAATCCAGATATGCGTCGACGGATTGATCGTTGACGAGCACTTGTGGCCGAGTGACGCAGCATTCATGTCCAGTGCGTGGGCTGGGGTCGGCCAATGTGCTTTGGGTACTGCGGTTGTAGCAAGGTTTTACCTTTCAAAGGAAAGGAAAAAAAAAATAGTCTGCTCTATTTTGAAAAAATGCTCTACCGAAAAGCGGGTCTTTGATTTTCTACCCTCTTTTTTTTGGCCCAATAAACGATATGCGCTTAGTAAAATCCCAATATAAAATCATTTGTCCCAGCCCAAAATTCATTTTATGGTTCCTCTAAAGTGAACCGGGGCATAGGGTCGAGCAAATGTGCTGGCTGTGGGGAAATGACAAAGTTAGAAATGATCGAAAGAGTGAAAAAAAAAAAAAAAAAAGAAACATTGGGTTTGCGGGGTGTTTGGTTGCCGAGCTTACGCTGCATTGCAGGAGGAGTCAAGCTAGGCCTGGGAGACTTCATCTTTTACAGCGTCTTGGTGGGGAAGGCCTCGTCCTACGGCGACTGGAACACGACTATCGCCTGCTTCGTGGCCATCTTGATCGTAAGTGCGCCTCGTCGTCGTTTCCCCAAACGGAAGTACTGCAGGGTGGTTTACTTCATTGTCGAGCCCATAAAAATCAGTTCCACGTACAGATCAAAGCCCAGTTGGACGAAATTCGTGAGGGCTCTGCACCCGCGTTGAAGACGGTTTATTTTTGGATCAACAAGTCTCAACGTGACTGAATATCCCCCAAAGATGAATCACACTCTAGACGCCCAGTTGAGGCCACGAAGACAGAAATCGGTGGAAAAATTTATGGTATCATTATGGAAGACCGTCGAGATTGCCGAGACCGTAGGCATCTCAACTGAACGAGTGCACGATACCCTGTACGGAATATTGCACATAACAAAGGTGTGTGCGCAATGGTTGCCGAAACTGCTCACTGCTGCCATCACTGCATATTTTGCAGACTTTGAGAAAGCTTCTTTTTCTGGCGGAATGAAAAAAAGTTTGAACTCACTGGACCAATTGTGTAGCCCTCAATGAAAACTATGTAATAAAATGACAACAACAAAAAAAAAAAAGGCAGTGTTTTAGTTTTTTTTTTTTTTACCGTGTTTATCAAACGATTTTTATACCAGCCAGTGAATCCGTTGGGGCATGATAGTTTCATTTTTGTACCATTAGTGTATGCCCTGTGATGCCGTTAGCGCAATCAGGCCATTGCCGGTTTTCTCGGGTTTTCACGGGTTTTCACGGGTTTTCTCTTAGTATCGAAGGACTGTCATCAAAACTACTATAGTGGTGGAAAGTGCCCTGTCGGGGTACTAACCTAAGTGGTAAATTTTGATGCCCGCCAGTAACCCTCTCGAAGTAAAATGTGAAAAGCGGCGTAGTGTCATTCGCGCTCACGGTGTTGCACAGTGTTCTGTGTGTTTCTAAGAAAAAAAGAACCACATTTTTTTGCCCATGTAAATAAACTACACATTGCAGGAAGCTGTAACTCTGTGAGAAAGGAACGCTAGCGGTTGGGACGGGCTGCGAAAGTTTGAGAGCATGACATTACCTGAATCAAAAGATAAAAGAAAAAGACCCAATTTCTTCAGGAGCTGACATCCACCTAAGCCAAATATCGTCAAAACAGGAAATGACATTGTAGGCACCCTTAGGCTTTATTTCAGTGAAAAAAAACTTGTTAGCGAGAAGGAAAACAGTATTCTCTTTCTTGCTGCCCAAGTGTTTTTCACTGATATAAATGCCACGTGCACCCACAACGTCAGTTCTCGTTTTGATGACGAAAGCGTTCGTTCCGTACACCATCGGCTACACCAGATAGGCTTAGGCGGATGTTGGCTAGGGGAAATTTGATCTCTCTTTTGTCTTTTCATCAAGGTAACGTCATTGCAGCTTCCTGCAATTCATAGTTTATTTATGCGGGCCAAAAGACAGTTCTTTCTTCTCAAACAGACCCGGTACATGGGTGCAGGACTCGCAAAATTAACCCATGTTTTTTCCTGTATCTTTTTCTCTACTTTGTCTCCTCTCGCAGGGCTTGTGCCTAACACTTCTCCTGCTGGCCATCTTCAAGAAGGCGTTGCCCGCGCTGCCGATTTCCATCACGTTCGGGCTGATCTTCTACTTTGCGACGTCGTCACTCGTCCAACCCTTTGCGGACAGCCTCGCTGGCGAACAAGTTTTCATCTGAGCTAGTCGCGACGACATTGGGGTCGCACCGAAATGCCATAATTTATTCGACTGTATTGTGACACGACGCCACTGGCTTTAGCCAAGGCCGTCTTCTGTCATGTCACATGAATTTGGATGCCTCCGTTCTTTCCGAAAATCGTCCGTAATATGAGTAATCCGTAACGACGAGACCAAAATGCATGTACAGTCGTGCCTCTTTAATATGGACCCCGCTATATGAACACCACTTTCGGGGAGAAATTGGGAGAATTCGTGCTTTTTTTGTCTCGTCATTATGGACAACTCATTATATGGACGATCTTTTACGGGAACGGAGGTGCCCATAGTAACGAGACATCACTGTATTTGTGCAGTTCATTTTGGAAAATTTTGTCTGTATAGTAGGGTGTCTGTATTGTGTTTTCTGCAAATGATTGGCCATCAAAATGTTACGACACTTGACACTTTTCTTTTTTGGTTAGAAAGCTTGTGAGAAATTTGGAAATAGAACAGAGGAGCAAAGGGATGCTAATATAATTGTATATAGTACATATATGCCACTAAACTGTCTGCTTGAATTGTTCGGGTTTTGCATCATGCTTTAAGATTCAAAAACACGATTTATTTATTTTTTATTTTTTTTACAAATACTGCTTGCAAGGACTCAGTCCAATTGTGTAGTAGGTCTTATTTTTGTCGACAGGTTTTGATGCTCTTTTGGCATCTTCTGTAACATTCGGACCCGAGAAATATTTTGCAACAGAATCCGCACCCTGTGAGAATTATTGCAAGGTTAGAGATTGATTAGTTCACGCACTCATTCCAGTTGCTGAACATATGGCACCGAATTGTTGCTGTTATGTTGCATTTGTAACGAACTGCTTACAAATCGCTTTCCAATTGTGTCCTTGTCACTTGTGTCGCATGTGAGCCGTTTCCGCATTGCACATTTGTGCACTGCTGATGGAAAATAAAATGACGAGGAAACGGTATGGGAATCTGTGTGTACAAATTATTTTTACTCTTTACTATAGTCCGTCGCAACTCAAGAAGGTAGGGCGAGGGTAAAACGGGCCAGGCAGGAGGAAGCAGACGGAACGCTAAAGAGAGGACGAGGTTTCCCTCTCTTCTCCAGCATTTCGTCTGCTTCCTCTTACCCTCTCCCTACCTTCTTGAGCTGTAAAAACTAAACCCCACTCAAGAAAAAAAAAAAAAAAAAAAAGGTGAACATATTGGTATTCAAGCTATGGGATTATTCCAGCACACTGAGCTTAAATGCTTGAGAAACAATGTGTTTTTAGAAACCTCAAACTTCTGATATCCGAGTCTTGAGGTTGAACCCCAAGCAAAATAAAGAATATTCATGTAAGGCCTTACAAAACTCCCGCTCAAAAGTAGGGAGTGCCGACGCGTATTTCAAGCAAGTGCACTCATCATCCACCAGATGTCGCCACTAGTCCCATTCCCCAGTTTCCTTTTGCTCCCGTCGGCGGGAAATCACGTGACCCAGTTCCCGCGCTCCCTGATTGGCCAGCCTCGGCGTCCGCTGCTTCTGCCTACTTTTGTTTGAAAACAGCGTAGGTCAGCTGCGCGGCTGCGCGATGTCGGCTGGCGGCTGTTGTCCTGCCAAGACCTCGAACGCCGTCAACGCCGTCCCTTCAGAAAACCATGCATAATCCCAGGCAGACGGGCGACACGGAATCCAGTCGCGCTGCATTAGTGCCGCCGTGAAGATAAGGACCGACCTGCCGCCCTGCTCCGTAGCAAGCAGCAGCAGCTTCAAGAGTCCGCAACGATGCCTCGGCCCCTACCCTCCACCGCCGACGGCGGCGGCGGCGGTTGCACGGATCCCCGACGAGAACGGGTCCTGCGAGCAGCGCGATCTTCGAGTCCGCGACATCACCGCGGAAATGGGACGGACGCCGACAGCTAGGTCTACAACCGCAACGCACGCAAAGGAAGCTAACCACAGCACCGCAGCGACCACCTCCACCGCGCAGCCACGGCAGGCTGGGCCCGGAAGGAGACCGTACTGTCGCTAGGCCTAACGCCGCTGCCGCTTCCGAAGTCGTGCTCGCTCGTCCTCGGTGGGCGCCTCGGTTTCGGCTGCGTTGCACCGTCGCACGCGCTGTTCGACTGGCGTGGCCGTGCTGACCGACGGACGGTGTCCGTGCAAGCGTCGTGCAGCGGCAACAACTTGGTTCGTTCTGCGTGTGGTTTGTTTTTGTTTTTGGTGGAGGCGGCGGCGGCGGCGGGGGTGGTTGTAATGGTGGCCGACGTTGTTGTGCCTGCCCTGCCCGCACGACGGCCCCAGGACTGAAGCTCGGCCCGACCGTGGCCCCTCGCGAGGAACTTAGCATGGCGTACCGTCGAAAGACGGACACGGGAAGCGGTCAAGGCGGCGGGGGTGCCGGCGGCGGCGGAGGCGCCGTCGAGGAGAACCCCAACCAGATCGTCTGTCGAAAGGTGAGCTTGCGGAAAGCTGCCGAAAATATTTATGAACAAAGACGCGGTTGGGGTCAAGCGCGTGCATGTGTCTAGTGGACTCAACTGACGTGTTTTGAATAGGAGCAACTTGTTGGTGTTTTTTTTGTTTTGTCTGCTGCCTCGCTCGGAGCGGGAACTTGATTGAGTGAGCGCGCGCAGGATGCATTGTCGGAGGCGGCGAGCGAACAATAAAAAGAACCTGACACTAAATATCACTGCGTTTGACTCACCGGCCGTGCGTGCATTACGTTTGTGAGTTGACGGCGTACAAGCAAAAATAAAAGAAATCAGCGTAAGAAAATTAGGATCGCTGAAATGGTTCTGTCAGCGCGCCTTCTCCACTTCATTTTTGAATCTTGCTTTCCTGCCCGCGGTTTGTGGAAATTACTGTCTCGGGCTTGTATCTTTAAAAACTGCGAACTATCACATGTTCCGTTAATTTGACAGTGCTATTAATTTCTTTTTTGTTTGCTTGGACGCATAGTTACAGAAGCAGGAACGCGCGAATATCGGGTTTTGCCCATTTTCTTTTTTTCTAACGCGGTCTAATTTTGCCGCGTAGTGGAATGTACTTATGCGGGGACTACGTGTCCTGGCGTCAATCTTTTTTTTTTTTTTTTCGCACATTTTGTGTGGCGTTGTGCAGCGATTGGCGATATTTATAGTCTAAGTATTATTTATTTCGCTGCTCCACTGTATTCACATTCGATCCTTCACCATTTTCTGTTTTCTTTTTCTTCTACTAAATTTCAGTAAAAGTTGTTTATAAAAAATAAATTGTCTTCTTTTTTTTTTTGCGTTGGCTCCGCCACTCTAAACTGAGCAACCGTCATGACCTTTTGCGCCATCAACATGTTTAAACATAAAAAAATAAAATCTATCCCTAAAACATGAGCAGCGAGCTGACAACTGTGCATTCACTGCTTTGTTCACTTTTTCCCTTCCATTGTTGACCGCCTAATGCCGCAAAAACAATATCAAGTTTTATCCGGGGCACCGTTCCGAAACTGACTATCAAATCTGAAGCGGGGTCAAAAGATGAAAACAACAAAATAAAAAAGTTATTCCGAGAAACCCTGCGATTTATCGGGTGGCTCCACCCGATAACACCCGGGCGTTGCGGCGCTGCACCCTTTCCGGTGTGGCGATGTCTGATACGAGACTGCCGTGAACTTCGACCTTGTATTTGACGAATTCGTAGCTAAAACGTCTTAGGGATTGGTACGCTTTTAAAAGGTTTGTCAGAATTCAATGCTGCAATAGTAACAGCAATATTGTCACCTGCTGCGATGAAAAACTCGCGTAGACGGTCGCTTTTGGAGCAATGTTACCAAATCCATGTTTATATGAGCGTCTGAAATGAGAAAAGCAGGGAAATTTTCAGCTGCCCCAAGTCGCCTTTTTTTTTTTTTTTAAATTTCGTATGTGGAAGTGGGTTGAACGGCCTCGCCGTCGGCGTAACCGCGCGTTGCATTATGGGACGTTACCCATAATGGCGTTACGCCACGCATCCCGGAAGACATTTCCCCGCTAAATTAAGCGGAAAAAGTGACGTCACGTGACCTCAACACCAGTTCAATTTCCCCACTAAATTAAGCGAAGAAATTTCCTGCTAAATTTAGCGGGAATATTTCCCCGCTAAATTTAGTGAGAAATTTATCAACATTTTCCCGCTAAATTTAGCGAAACTTCCCCCGCTAAATGGGAAAGGAGGAGGGGCATACCCTCCCCTCCTCCTCAAGAGCTGCGCTCTAATTTGGCATTGTAAAGAATTGTGCACGTCTTTCATTTTTGAATGCAAAAACATGAACTGTCCCATGGAGCGAGCTGACGTCATCAGTTTGAAGCGCGAAAACGGCACCTAGTTCCCCCGATCCCAATAGGAGCGAAATAAAGCTGATGGATTTCGCCTTCGTTTCCATTGGCTGGCGCGCGTCGACGGGGCTCCCATTGGCCGCTGCGCTCCTCAGTTTCCACGACCGCTCACGCCATGGCGCTGCGCTCGTCAGTTTCCACGACCGCTCACCCTGTGGCGCTGCGTGTCCATCAGTGCTCCGTTGACACGGAGCGACCAAGGCCACCAGGAGGGCACGCGCGCTGACCGGCGACGAAAAGTACGCACCAGACGAAAAAGGGAGGGGACGAGCGGCTTGCGTGCTTTCGCATTCACAACTCATAAGAAGTGCTCAGTTGTACCTCGAGCTTTTTAATATATATATATATATATATATACAAGGTGTTTGTTTTTCGTTTTAAGTATATTTTTTTAAAGAAGCCGCGAAGGCTGCACGAATACGGATTGTGCAGGTGAGTTATACTGCCAGGGAGACATAATATATAGGGTGCTAATCGCCACAAAAAGTCGGCTAATAAACTAAGATATGTTAATTATTTTAATTATTTAAAATGCACAGTTCCAAACAAAAACCTGCTAAGCGCCATCGAAAAAAAAATAGAGTTTTTTTTTCAAGAAAGATTTGAAGCACGGTGGAGCGGTCAAGTTATCACTAGTGCAGCAGGAGCGAGAAAGCCTACGGACGCGATATTTCCGTTTCTTATTGTCCGTGTTTTCTCACCGCCAGCCTAGCTTGTGCTTGTTAGAACACGAGTGGCAACTTTAGTGCACTACTGCGCTTCCCACGCGCTCAAAGCCCACTTCTAAAAATGACCGATTTCGTGGTTTTCGATGGCGCACAGGAAGTTTTCTGTTGGAACCGTACGTTAATTTCCACCTGTTCAAAGGTTAGTTGACGTAATATAGTTAATTATCCGATTTATCGCGATGAGTAGCCCCCTATATTATGTCCCTCTAACCATATAGCTAAAAAAAAAAGAAGAAAAAAAAAACAGTGTGTGCGTTATGTGCATCCTGCACCCTGCTAATTTGACCATAATGTGAGGGATTTGCGCCCAGAATTTTATTTCACTTTAATCATACTGAAAATAGCCGAGGCCTTGGTATACGGCCGGGCCGTTACGATATGTTTGTGCGAGTTTTCAGGACTTTCGATAATCGCCTCAAGTAACGGAATACTCGATTTGGTTATACGTGAAGCACGGTCAGTACCCGGAAGTTTTGCGATAATTCTCACCTTCGTGGTCTGTTCTGGCGGTTAGTTAGTTTCGTTGAGTGCGCTTCTCACCGCGCACTGGTGTACTGCGGTGAAGCGACAGCCGCGGAGTAGTCATCGCGATTTTGGGTGTCTTGCTTTGCCGCAGCGCACCCGCGTCCGAAAGTGCGATGCAAACCAACGCGCTTTTGTGCGCGCGTAGGCCGTGCGCTTCCCGGAAATTGCGTATTTCGTCGCATTTTTGCTGTTTCCGGTGCGCTTTCTGAGTCACAACTACGCGCGTTGGTTAGGACGTTGCGGCTTCGGGAAAGCGGAGAACACCTGCGCCAGACGGCAAGGAAACGCGGAGCCGAAAATTGTGCCCTCCACCGATTTGCCAGGAGACAGGAGCGCCTTACTACGTTCCAGCAAGTTTTCGTGCGCCTTCAGAAAAAGTTTAAATCATCCAACTTATGCGCGCCCGGAAGGCGCAAGGAATCGGCGCGACGTCACGAATTACGCAATTTTCGGGAGCCGCACGCGCAAAAACGCGTTGGTTTGGATCGCGTTTAAAGGGGGAATGCGCCCCTCCAGAGTGAGACTTGGCACAATTTCTCAATAAAAGTTCTGCTTGTATATGCGATATCCTGCCTGCATCTTTTTTTTTTCCCCAATTCGAATGTTGCATGGGCTCTTGTAGGTTTATTTTTATGCCTTTTCTTCTTTTTATCTGAAATAAGAATTGCAGTTTTATCACAACATTTATAACTCGAAGTAAATATAAATATAGGTGCTCAAAATGATTGTGTTCTAGCTCTATTTCAGTGGAATGCCGTACTTAAAATAAGCATTCGCGTCAGTTTGAGCCGCCTTTCATCAGTCATCTTGTTACCGTGTCTGGTGCTTCTACACAACACAGCTAGTTCTGTGTTTGAGGGAATCGCCCCTGGTGTGCGCATGCGCGATCGATGCTAACAAAAGGTTACACACAAGGGAGAAGGCAAAGTAGACATTGCCTTTTAACATAATATTTGCAGTGATATGAATGAAAATGAAGTGTTTGCTTGTGCTCCAAAATATCTTTTTTGCTGCAAAATGACTCCGACCAATCATATCACTGCAAATGCTTCCTTGCTTTTTTTTTTGTCTATAATATTTGTGTTTTTTTTTTGTTTTTTTTTTCGCGCACTGCCCTATCAGGGCGCTTTGAGGTATATTAAATGAACCAATGGAACTTGAAAAGTTTTTTTGGGGAAGAATACCTTTTCTAATTCCTCTCACTCCAGAAGCATGGCTTCAGCGTTCGTTACGTCTTTCAGACTTCCTTTTTTGGCCCTTATTCTCTCGTTTCTACCGTGTAATACGCGAAGGATTGCAGGCCAGAGAACTTCGTGCGTAGTTATTTATAGTGTAGCTCGCTCGATCTAGGTATTAGGGAAGGCACGGTCCTTGGCGAGGGGAGGGGTTGATGACGTCACGGTTCCCCTTTCCCTCCGCCAAGACGGTTTGCTTAGCGTCGAATCGCGTGACAGCGCAGCTGGGAAACGGGGCGGTTGTGTATGAATTGGAACAAGACATAGATGACGGCTAAATGAAGATGGCGGATGTATCAACTGTAGCAGACGACGTCACTTAAGACTGTTGCTGCAGGAGTTCCGTGTGGCTGTACTATTGGTTCTTTTGTTTTGCAGTTGTGTTTGGTTTGGAGTGTATACCTTCGAAACTAAAAAAAGAAAAAGGTAATTCGTTCATTAAAGGACGGACAACTCGATTACAGAGCGCTCTTTGAGAGATCGTTTCGTACCGAACAAAAATGGCGCTATTACTGGATTGATCGTCTGCTTTCGTCGTCTGCTTTGATCATCTGAGAGATGAACTCTTTTGCGTGATTGAAGGATATAGGCCCGTGGTTCTATATTTGTTTCGTCG